AGAACTTGAGGTTGATGCTGAGACATAAAAAAAAAAACGCCCCTTCTCTCGCAATAGTGTCGCGGATTTCGGAGGCTACCCACCTCGGGTGGCGAGACGGGCTGCCCCCACATGGCGAACTGGGTCCAAATCGAGAATCGTGCCCCTGAGCCTCTGAACAAAGGACAGGGAGTCAAATAAAGCTGGCCCGTACACAGGCAAAAAAGCCGGCTAGGAAGGCTAGGTCGGGAACGATCGCAGTTGTGCGTGCAGCACCCAGTCTGCCAGTCTGGCCAGTGAGAGAGACTGTCTGGCCCAATGGCAGTGATGGTACTGGCCCCACACTTGAGTTTGGCTACTGCGACAGTACTCCGCTCCTGTTCGGCACTTGAGACTGTTTGGTGAGGCTAATCCGTGCCAAGACACTACCCTGAAACGTTTCTTTTCGCGGGTCAACTCTAAATTCTAGTGGTACGTAGCGATCAGTGATCTACCACATGGAAACGGGCCTTTCGACCACTTTGACTTTCAAAATCAGACAGGAGAGAGGAGAGCCCAGTTGTCAGCGACTAGCCTGTCGAACCGAACCGAACCGAGCCGGCTGTATTGCCGGTGGGAGCCACCTGGCACCTCGGATGAGAGACAGCTGCGATCAGTCAAAGAGCCGCCCAGAAGTAGACACGAGACCGGCGCCAGGTTCCCCTTACCAGGCGTGTACTGTATGTTCAGTGACCACGTACGGTTTGTGCTGCTCTCCCGTCAGCCGCCAGAGCACACGGGCGCCGTATCCAACAGGGTTAAAAATAACCTCGATGGCAGTGGCACACCGGTTTGCACATGAGTCTGAACGATGATCTTTTTGCAAGCAGGCGGGTAATCACCGACCTCCAACAGTAACTGGCCCGAAGCCAGCCAGCGGCGGCCGGCTGGGCGGCTCCATGAACAGCAGCTGTCATTGACTCGCCGGCCGATCGAACCGGGATCTCAATACCCACGTAGGCAGGACAGGCAGCCCGGAAGCGGCCTTCCATAGTGAATGTGGAAAGTGAGAGGGCGCTCTCATTTCGTTCATTTAATCTCGTCGCATCGGTTCCGGTGGGACGGACAAAGCGGAGGAAGGCAGTCCCTGCCAGCCTGCGACCAGGTAATCTGGCAATCTGGCAGGGACGCGCCCATGATCCGGCGAGATTGGCTTGGGTTGGGTAGGGGTGTCAGCTGGCTGGCTGGCTGGAATTAAGCTTCATGGGCTTTAGGTTTTGGCTGTGACCATGGACGATGGCGGCCGTGGGAACTGGGGCCCTGTCGGTGATGACCAAATTGGCTCGTGGAGGAATGCACGTCTTTGCTATGCATGTCATCAATATTAGGCCCAGATCACGGATAAAACGCCGCAGTGTTCTAAAGCATACCATGGTGCTATACTTAATCTGGAATTCAATTTTAATTATGAAATGCATTTAATCTTTAAATGCGGCTTAGGAAGTACCTTAAAACTTATTATAATTTTTATTTATATTATAACTTTTTTTAATAATAATTTATATTATTTTTCTTTTTTTAAATTTTAAAATTTTAAAAAAATATTATTTATAATGCTTAATTAATAATATTTTATATAATATTAACTAATATTTTAATTTTTTTTAAAGCTTTAAAATAAGTTTTTTTTATAAATATCTTTTTTATAAGCTTTAATAATATCTTAATTTAAAATTTATTTTATATTTTAAAATATTATAATATTAAAAATTTATAATTTAATCCTTAAATTAATTTATAATATAAATAAATTATAATTAATTTTAATTATAAAGTTAAATATAATTTAAAATTTATATTTATATAAAATATAATTAAAAAATAAATTAACTTTATAATTAAAAAATTTATAAATAAATTATAATATTTATAAAAATTAAAAAACTTTTTAATAATTTAATATTTTTTAAATTTAATTTTCTTTAATATAAATTTTTTAATTTAAATAAATTTTTTTTATAATTTAAAAACTTTTATTACTTAATTTTTAATAAATTATATTTTATTTATTAAAAAAATAAAAAAAATAAAATATAAATAATTAATTAAAATATTTTTAATTTTTAAATTATATTTATTAATTAAATATATTATATTTTATAAAATAAAATATAATAAAATAATTTTAATATTTAAATAATAATAAAAATATAATATAATAATAAAAAATAATTAATTTATAATTAAATTTATTAAAAAAATAAATGAAAATAATTTTAAAGGTTAATTAAATAAGTTTAAAAAGCCTTTATATATAATTAACCTTATAACTTTAATAATTAATTAAAAAAAGAAAAAAAGAAAAAAAGCTTAATTATTTTTTTTATTTAATATTTTATTTATATTAAAATTATTAATTAAGAAAATAATAAAATTAAAAAATATTTAAAAGGCATCTTTTAATATTTATAAGCTTTAATTCTTAAGTTTTAAATTTTTTATATTTTAGTTTTAAATATTTATTTAATGTATTTACATTTACCCTTATAGCTTTTTGTATACCTAACCCACTAAACAGCACTGCAGCGATCACGAGAGACGCTGTAAACTATATGATATGGGTATGTAGGTTGCTTAGTTATTTTCTATGTATGGAGGGCTGTGGCGATGGTGTTTTGGGCTACGGCAGCTGCTTATATAAGCGGCTGCCTGCCCACTATCTACGGATCCACACCCTTAATAAGCCTATTTTATATTACTACCTTAGCTACTATAATTAGTAAGGAAGCTTAGGCCCCCAGAATTATCGCGTTTAAATGGGCACCTGAACCTTTGAGATAACCCATACCCTGGTTAGTGTGGAAGACGCTATCTTGGTACATAGTAGCTGGAGTTTGTTCTTCCTGGCTTCACAGCGACCGCTCGTCCGCACACCTCCCTCGCCTGCCGGGCCTTCAGGACAGGATGTATCCAAGCTGTAGTCTGTAGATGTTGCCTCTTGCTGTTCTCGTAGCCGCAAGCAGCCGTGTCGAGATGTGGTTGCAGATGACGTGATACCAAGTTGATGGCCAAGTCAGGTCCAGATAGATGGCAGATCGGTGCGGCCATGCCTAGATACTATCGTGTGCACACAAGAACAGTTTTCCCGTCGATGATAGGCTGGCCAAACAACGGCTCTCTTCCAAGATTTGCAAAGATATGAGGCCAAGAGGTTGTGGTGGCCTGGCACTGGCGCGCCGAAAAGTAGTGTCAAGGCACGAACGAGTCGAGGACGGACTGTGCCCCCCTGACTCCAGGTGAAAGCTTCGTATTTCCTGTCACCAGCGCCTTGGTATCATTGTCATCATGGCAATGGCCATGGCAATGCTGGGTTGAGTGGGAGTTTCGTCTTTTGCTGTGTTTGTTCTGTTTCCCAAAGGTTATCTTCTACCACACAGCCTCAGATGGTGGCCCAACTCAACCTTGTCCAGCTTGCCCCAGGGATCCCGATCGCCTCCTGCTCGTCTTCCTCCTCCCACCTCCACGCAGGCATCCCTGTAGCGGATGTCTCCTCCACTGAGCTGGGTGTGGGTGCGAGTAGGAGCGGGCTGGGTAGATGGCGTGGTTATCATCGTTTCCCGATCTACAATACTTGAAGTTGGAAGAGAGGGGGTTGCATCACGACGGCGGCAGTCGCAGTCGCAGTCGCAGTCGCAGTCGCAGTAGCAGCAGGCCATTATCTCCAACGCCACCGTGATGGTTACAGTCATAATGTGTCGACCTGATCAGCAGCCGAGCAGTCCGGCCGATGTTGTATCTTGCTGGGAGCCAGCCCGCCTAAGCGATTATCCCACAGGATAACCTGGCTGGGAGTGGGTAGTGGCGAGCGGGCCAGCATGCTCCAACCGGTTCCACTCCGGCGGAGAAGGGGCGTGAACGGGGCAAGTGTAGGTGCATTTCCCAGTGGGCAGGCGGGCACAGGCGCAACTGGGGCTGCTGCTGGGGCTCCTGGGGCTATACGCAGTAAAATTTCAGGGAATAACAGGTGGGAAGCGAAGCACCGAGGACTTGCACCAAGACTTGCACCAGGAGCAGCAGCAGGGCCCAGGCGCGCACTACTGCACCGAAGCCCAGGCCACCAATGACGGCAGCCCTCCGACCCCCCAAGTCCAGGTCCGAAACCCCCAGCCTGCCCATGCTTGTTCCTGAATTGTCCAAGTGCCAGAGCCGTGCCCTGGTCCCTCCCTCGACCCCCCTCTCTCCCTCCTCCCCTGCTGCAGAGTGAGTGGCAGAGTGGTAGGAGCAAATATGAGTGTGGCTCGCACCCGCACTCAATCCACCGCCCAGTCCACCCAAGTCTGGTCCGGCCCAAATCCAGCACCAGCCTTGGAATACTCTCTCTTATTGCCCATCTGTCCCGTCCCGTCATCGATTCTATTCGCTTCAGTCCGGTCCAGTTCATTCTACTTCCCTTCGCCCCGTCTTTGGTGGCATCCTCAAGTCCGTTTTCCTTGACGCTATACCCTATTCTGGGCGGCTTCTTCCGTCAGCAGCGTCAATCCGGGCACACGCCCACTCTGACACGCTCCGTTCTCTTGGTCCTGACTCGACACTAATCAATCCCTCCTTCTCTTCGTTCTACCCAATCCATCCATTTCATCCATCCACCCATCAATCCACACCACTCACCCACATCACGCGGCGTCAACACCACCGGCGACATCAACGACCGTGAGGGAAACCAGGAATCTACTGCAGTCATCACCACGGAGAGAGAGAACGGGACGAGAAATAATCGATCGAGGTCAATCGTAGCACGGATCGGGTACCTCGCAGCATCAAAAGTAATTGCTTTGTCTCGGGTCGGGGCGGACATTGTCGGACAATTCGATGGTTTCACAGGCTCCTCATTTACTCTCGGCGGATCGAACCTGCGGCCCCCAGCGCCACGGCAGTTCAACCATCGATTGAATCATTGAGCATCGCTCACTGCCCGCCGACGCCGGCTCGGCTTCATAACCACAGCCACAGCATCCGACGCCTTTCGAGCGTTGCGACTCAAGATGGACCACACCAGCGGCAAAGCGTCTGATCCCGAGAGGAGGGCCTCGGTTAGGACGTCGAGGAGGATATCAATGCAGCAAGAGGGCGGAGGAGGAGTGTTACTGGACGTGGACGACGACGATTATGCTCTCTTGGCTTTGGGCATCTCGGATGGGTTCCGGCCCCAGCCCATGAACACCGCCGACCTTGACGATCCACAAACCTCCCGTGTCCAGTCAGACCCGTCGACCGTTCCCACCGTCACACAACCGACCCAAGAAACGACGTCACCGCCCCGGCTGAATCGTTCCAGCATATCGAAACCTCCCTCGGGTCGTGATTCTTTCACCCTCAGACATGACGGTGCTATGGGCCATGTCGCCGGCCCATCCCTCTCGCGTGTCCAGTGTCTCAACCGACGCGCCCTACGTCCCCGAGGAGACGCCATATGAGGGCCCTTCTGCACCTTCTCATCCTTATCAGATGTACTCGCAAAACCCCCGGCTGGCAAGGACATCAAGTGTCACGACCACTTCATCCACGCCCACGACAAGGCCCGAATCCGAGTACACTGGCCCCAGCGGCCCCACGCATCCCTACTCTATGTACCCCCAGAATCCCTTTGTTGACACGAGCAGTCAAGTATCTGTGCCCGCGGTGCCCGCCATCCCTGTCGGCTTTGCCAGTTCCTCAGATCCTTACCAACGCCGCATCGGGCCAGAGGGCGAGGAAGCAGGTGACATCATTGGCCCAGATGGACATACCGAGGAGCTACCACCATACACGAGATACCCGGATGAATATTATAACCGGAAAATACGAGACACTGAGGAGCGTCAGAGCGGAGGGCCTTCGGTCGCAGCAGCCGCGGTACCACTAAACACTACGAGGGCGGTATCAGGTGCTGGTGGGCTAGGACTGGCTGCTCGAAACCCAGAGTTCGATTCAGTTGAAGACATTGGCACTCCACAGTCACGGCAGTCCGCCAGGAGCTTCACCAACGAGAGCCACCACGAGATCAACACTGCCGCGGCAGCAGAAGTGTCCGAGAAACCGCAACTCAACAAGTTCCAGAAATTTGCGAAAAGGAAAGCTTGCGGCGTGGTACCTTACTGGGCCATATGCATGACGGTCACCGCCGTTGTCGTGGTCATTATCATCGTTGGGGCTGTGGTTGGGACTCTGCTGTCCAAACATAAGAAGCCACCTCGAAAGGGCAACTCTTCACAGTAAGGCTATCCACCTGAGCGACTCGGACTGACTGGCCAAAGCTAACTCGTCTGGCTTAGATTTCAGGATGGCGTTCCGACAATGACCATAACCTACGATGCTACTCCCATCCCGACCCCTACCGATCTACCTCCACTCCCGACAGGCGTGTATGGCCTGCCTTTGAGCCTCAACAAGTCACCCAACACTTGTTTTGAGAACACGGCCCAGAGTTCAGCATGGACTTGCAACCTCATATTTGGGCAGGCAGTCCACGTTCAGATGACGATTAGCAGAAACGCCCCTCAGCTCGGTGAGGAGGGTAACTACGATATATTCCTTGAGACTAACACGTCTTTCCCGGGCGGGGACCGCAAAAACCTACTGGCTTATGGTGCTCAGCCACCTGTCATCCAACCTGCCATGGGCATGCAGCTGGTCAACGACACATTTGACAAGGAGCGCGGCCCAGCATGGTTTAGGATGCTGCCATACAACAAGACTGTTGTTGTTCCAGAAGATCTGTTGTCAACAGATAGCACTTCAAAGATCCGGCGGAACGGAGGCAATTTCATGCCAGGTCCCGGGGACTTCCAGCGCAAAGATGTCGCACCATTGGGCAGCAAACCTTGGATCTGCAATTGGCCTGACACCTTTGTTGAGGTGTTCATATATGCGGAACAGAACAGCAGCTACGCTTCCCAGACGAAAGCGTCAACCGGTACGATCACGCCACCACCGGGACCGACACCTACTTCATTCCCGACGCCAACGGGCTCCGGCGCTGCATCAGCGGTCACAAGCCAAGTGATTGATTTCATGCCGTTCGCTCCCTACCCGAGGGCCGTCAAGGTGAAAGAGCGTCGCATTGACTCGGCACCTGCGCCATACTGCGTTCAGGTGAGGGTGATGCCGGATAACACCACGCAACCCGTTACGAACGACGCTGGCGAACCGGTAATTGTATACATCAAGGAAGACGAGCCGGGTCCAGTAATGCCAGAAGCAGAGCGGAAGGGGAAATACGGCAACGGGCACTTCAAGCAAAAGCGGGAGCGCGATGCTCTGCGGGGATTCTTGTACCCTCGGGACAGCGGCGGCGACGGTGACATGAGCAACTGCGGGTGCATGTGGTTCTCATCGTGACCCATATCTTTCACTCGTCATTACAATTGCCACAAATCAAGACACAGTGGCGGCCTAGGGCGGGCGGTGGTGTTGCAGAAGAACCAAGCCACGACGCGCATAAGCGCCGACACACACAGGCGGGATGGAGGGCGTTGTTGGCTTTTGTTATGTTTTTGGAGAGGATACTTGTGGCGACTGGTGGTGCTTTCTCGCAACTTGCGCGGCGACCGGCGCTCTGGGCTGGTTCATTTTCCTACCTTGTTCCTTATTACCATTGTGCGACATCTCAGCTGTGCGACATTTATTGGACCGGACGGAGTTGACGGCATATGCGGCGACATATTTGGTTTTCAAAAAAAAGCTTCGGCCTTTGTGTGCGTGGTTGTTTTGGTCGATCTCCCTCCCTATCTGTGTGTGTATCCTGAGGGACGGCGCGCAGATATCGACGATAGAGAGATCTAGGGATGAGGGCGGTTGGTATTATCAGGAAGAGCAGGATTGAGACGATGGGGATAATGCTCTTCCAGAACGCTAATGATTGATTCATCATCGTCATCATCGTCATCATCGCCAGGGCATCTGGAAGGGTGAGCATCAGGAGGGGCCTAAGTTGAAGGGCTCACTGAATGTATATTGTTTACGTAGCCGAGTTGGACCATGGGATGAGGGACCACTGAGCGAATGAATCAAGAGCAATCTGAAGATTTCTTGACTGTCTGAACAATGATCGCATGAGAAAATACATGAGCGTGGTTCGTGTTTAATGTCGTCAACATTGAGGTGCCCCCCTGTAGTGACTGACTGTTTTCAAAGGGCTTGGGCTCTATCGCAGCACCACATTGAGCATGGCAGGTTGTAGTCGATATCCCCTTGATCTCTGTACTGTCTATATGCGATTTCAACGTGAGAATACTGAGCAATGTTAGGTTGTGTTCGCACTTATGGATCAACACCTTCGTGGCCGTCAAGTTTTCCGTGAGGACACGAATGAATTTCAACGGACGTCCGAAAAGGTCACCCTGGCTAGATAGACTTGGGACAAGACATGTATTTATATGTTCTAGAGCATCAAGTTACCGGATGTTTATACAGAACCAAAAGTGTGCACAATGTACCTGCACGCGGAATCCTGTAGGTGAGCACTGGCATACCGTTGGATACGCACAAGGGCAGTGAACAGCGACGCAGCTGTTTCCAAGCAAGAAACCGCGGTGAAAGAAATCAAAGGAGTGTCGAGACCTATTTGGGCCTGCAATCAAGTACTTTTCACGATTGGTCTGCCGTGTACGTGTCTCTCAAGCTCGGATACAGGAGCAACTTCCCTCCGCAGTTCAACAACTGACCAGGCGGGTACAGACAATGCTCCCGAAGAAGCTGGAAGAGTGTAGGCAAGCGACTAGGTGCTGTCTGGCCGCCTTAAATACAAGTACTGTTTGCTACGTCATGGTCCTCATGAGCTCAGACGTAGTGAGCGCGAGCCCCAGCAACGGCGACCACCACGATCACATGCCTGGCTAGACTGTGCCGAGAGGGACAAACTTGTTCGAATGGAATGCCAAAAACGTCTCGAGCGAATATCTCGTAATATAGGACTTTCATGACCAAAATTGGCCAACGAGTTCGACGGCCATCGCCTTCGGTACATCTCTGTTGGCACCCAATGGTACGGCACCCATACGAGCGGATTGCCACTCGAGCTAATGATATTTTGGTGGGCTTGTTTTCTCATTCCGCAGGTACTACCAGGATGGCTCGAACCAGTGAGACTTTATTTAGTTGCCCTTCAGGTAGCAGTATCTCCCACGACGGCTTGCGCATGGTGTTGACAACTCTGTGCAACCGCGAACGACTGCCGACCTTTGCTGCTCAGTTCGGCAGTTTTATGACCTGGAACGCAGGCCAGTAAGAGGTGATATGAATGTATGTTTTGTTTTCAACTTATGGCTTAATTAAGATGCTGTGTCCAGAGCTGTCAGTCCTTGGCCCCCTGATCCTCGCCCTCTCCCTCTCCCATATCGGCAGCCAGCCCGTCCAGGAAACTGTCCGCTATCTTCCTAGCCTTCTTCTGACCGAGCTCTTTCCTCCTCTGCTCAATTACCCGCCTCCGCTCCTCGACCTCCCGCCGCCTTCTCTCCTTCTCCTCGTCCTTTTTCGCCCTCTCCCTCTCGGTATTCAGCCTCTCCGCCTCCAGGTTGGCCATCTCCCTCTGCCGCGTCTCCTCGTCCTTGCTGAACTGGAAGAAACCCGTGCCCTTGGTCCTGATCTCGCTGTCGGCATCGTAGTGCTTCATCTCGGGCGGCGTCATGCTGCGGTCCCGCTTCCGGGCGAGCTCCTCCATCTTGTCCTCGTCCGCCGCGCGGAACGCCTCGCTCTGGATCGCATCGCCGTAGATGACCTTCTCGGGCGCCTTGGGCCGCGCGCTCATCGTCTCCGCCTCCTGCGCCGCGTACGCCCTCACCCGCTGCCGTCGCTCCATGCGCGCCACCTCCGCCCGCGTGCCGCGCCGCGTGCGGCCGTACTCGTCCGTGTACTCGACAGTCTCGTTGTCGACATTGTCTTCTTCATCGTCATTGTCACCCTCGTCCTCCGAGGACGAGGACTCCCCCTTGCCGTCCTCCTGTGCCTGGGCCCATTTCCTGTCGAAGTCAACGAGGGGCGCCGCCTCGCCTTCCTTCGCCACGTAGTCGCCCCTTTTCATGGCGGCGTACAGGCGTGCCTTCTCCTCCATCCTCCGCCGGGCGGCCTCGTTCTCCTTCTTCTGGTCCTCTGTGCCGACCGCATCCTTCAGGACCAGCTTCCCCTCGTCGCGCTCGCGCTCCTGCCTCTCGGCCTTCCGCTTCGCTTTTACGCCTGCGAAGAGATCTGGTTTTGACTTGGATGGCCGGGGCCGGGCTGTAGTCGAGGAGGAGGATTTGTTCGCGATGAGAGAGGACAGCTCGGAGGAGAAGGCGAGGGAGCTCGGGAGGGCGATCTCCTTCTTCTGGCGCTTGGGGGCCCGCTGGCCGTAGAGATTTGGGTCCTGTGGCATTATGCGTGGCCCGATGAGACGAAGAGTTCGGATCCGTGATACGATGCAGAGACACCACCCCCAGTCGCAGTGGAGTAATAATCTGGCCGTCCGAACGGGGAGCCCGCGGCTTTCCTGATCTAGATTGGGGTGCGTTGGGCTGCGTCGAGGTGCTGTTTTGGCATGTGAAGTCTGGTGATAAAAAATGGGGACAGGCACGGCAGGAAACCAACGTCACTCGCTAAGAAACGATCTGCAGGGCGGACCTGTCACCCAAGGGCCCACCGACAGTGGCCCCTGCTCCCTTCCCGCAATCCGGGCTGCCGAGGCTTTGCTGGGCTGCTGGGGTGGAAATTGGGTGGGCCGCTAGAAAAGCATGCCACTCTTGATTGCTGCTAACCAGATCCTAAATGCCAAATCCCAGGGCTCCCAGATACGCAAGTCCGGTATTTATTTACTGGCCAATTCTCACCCAATCTCACTCGCCCTTGTCTCCCTTCATGCACATCATCTTATCACTCGTTAGATTGTTTTGAGACGTCCTCGATTTCCGACACGACCAAAAAAGAAGACAAAAAACGCCGCGGCCCCCCACGCCAACAAGTCGGAAAATACCTACTGTACCTGGGCTGGTATCGACTGCAGACCCCCGAAGCTCGCAGCGAGACGTCTGTTCGCCAAACCCAATTGCAGAAACCAACAGGCCGCCAACAAGCCAACAAGCCAACCAGCAAGCTGAGCCCTGCTGCCCCGAGTCGCGACTCCAGGAGTGATCACGGTCTCCCCACACTTCCCCCAGATGCGCGTCCACATTCCCCTGAGCATGGCGTCTCTACCTGAACTCGCGTCACTTGCGCGCTCCAAGATCATGGAGTGGAGCGTGGTGTCGAGCTCAACGTCGTGGATGCAGTTCATCTCCTGGTGCTTCGTAGGTCTCCCCCGGTCCCCCCCACCCTCCGTCCGATTTATCTTTGCTGTTGAGCAGTACCTGAAATCGGGGGCCGGAATGCTGATTCATGATTCCAAATTCACAGTTGGCACTGGCGCTGTCCTTCTTCCTACCCCTCGTGGCCCTCATATGCTTCGACTTCCTTCTCTGGGTCTGCCGCCTGATCCGGCCGCCCACCACTACCACCAACCCGTCAAGGAGACGACGGCGCGAGTCACTTAAGCACCCGGTCTCCACGTCCTAGGATATACGCGACGACGAGCAACAATCACATGTCTTATCTGGTCCTCTACAAATACAAGGGATTTCCTGCAATGGCGCACAGAGCAACATATACAATGTTGGAGCGAGAGCGAGGAGTTTGGTTGTCATGATAGCCATGGAGCATGGTTCATTTTCAGCGTCATTGATATTTCAGGGGATGAGGGTGGTTGCGCGTCGATTTGACTATGCTTGTGATATTGGGAACGGGCCCCGGCGGGTCTATATCTGGGACAGCACCTTGAGGAGATCGCTTGTCACACCCATGGCGGTGACTTCACCGCCTGCGCCGGCGCCCTGGATGATCAGAGGGTTGCTTCCGTACCGCTTAGTGTAGAAGCTGATAATGTTATCGGAGCCCTTGAGCGCCGCGATAGGGTGTGACCGGTCGAACTTCTCCAGGCCCACCTTGACCTGCTTGCTGGCCACGTCGATGCTCCCCACGAACCGGACCACCTTGCCCTCCTTCTCGGCAGACGCCTTGACCTCCTCCATCTGGGAGTCGAACTCAGGCAGCTTCTGCAGGAACTCGTCGCCGCTGGCCACGGACTCCAGCTCCTTGGGGATCAGGCTCTGCACGGGGAAGGACGTGGGCGACTCGACGGGCAGGCCCGCCAGACGCGCCAGGATGGTCAGCTTGCGCGCCACATCGAGGCCGTTGAGGTCGTCCCGGGGGTCGGGCTCCGTGTAGCCCAGCTCCTTTGCCTTCTTGACCTCGGCGGACCACTTGCCGCCGGCGCCCTCGGTGGGCGCGAACGAGTTGAACAGGAACGACATGGTGCCGCTGAACACGCCCTCGACGTGCGTGACCTCGTCGCCGGTGGCCACCAGGTCGTTGAGCGTCGAGATGACGGGCAGGCCCGCGCCACAGCTCGACTCGTGGTACACCTTGGCCCCGCTGGCCGCCGCGGCGCCGAAGATGTCCTGCCACAGCTTGTAGCTGCCCGAGAAGGCCTTCTTGTTGGGGGTGACGACGCTGACGCCACGGCTGAGGAAGGCCGGGTACGACTCGGCAACGTCCTGGCTGCTGGTGTTGTCGATGAGCACGGCCTTGGACCCGCCGGGCGCGGAGGCAAGGTACTCGACGACCTTGGGCAGGGCGGGCGGCGCGCCGACGCTGTTCGTCTGGAGCTGTGAGATGGCGCTGGAGATGTCGAGCGGGGTGTAGTTGCTGTGGTAGAGGGACTTGGAGGAGGTAGAGATGTAGCAGAGGACGAGCTTGGGGCCTGAGGGGCGCTTGGCGAGCTGCTCGAGCTGCGACAGGAAAGCCTTTCCTACGCCGCCGGCACCTGTATACAGCTGGTTAGCATTGCAAGAGAAGGAAAAGCTGCAGAGTACAGGCAGGTGTTCACGAACCGATAATGCCAATATAAACTTGCTTTGCTGAAGCCATCTTCGTAAGTCAATTGGTGCTGCGGATTCAATTGGAGGTGGGGGAAGGTGTTCAAGGTGGTCAGGCTGTGAACAGTGCAATAGGGACGATGTCATTCGAATATGGAGCGGATGGAGGGGTTCAAGGTTGACATTGAAAATTGTCAAGCTGCAGGCGAGCCGATCGCGGGGCTTTACAGTTGGTAGCTTCGGCAGGGGCCTTGTGAGAGAGCTGGGCGGACCCTTGAAAAGCGAGCCCCACATAAACTGGATGTACTTTGTTGGATTCAGCCAAATTTCGACGCTTCGTTCGGCTTGTGAAGATGGGCTTCTGACGTCCAGTCCACACTTTCTGCAACCCAACTCGCGGCATACAAATAAACTCATTCTGTGCTGAAATTGACTTCCTGAGTATCTCGAGATGGTGGGCCCAGCGGCGAAGCGCCAAAAGCGCGAGACATACCGCGCGCAGCATCGCGCAGATGAAGACTCGACGGAGTTGCCTAGAAAGAAATTCTACCGGCAGAGGGCTCATGCAAACCCCTTCTCAGATCACAGGCTCTCATAGTAAGTGTTCTTCTCAGTATGAAATACAGCAGAGAAGAGACGCTGACCATGGGACAGCCCCGCAAGTCCAGACCTTATGGACTGGTCAGCGATGTACCCAGCGTATGTTGCTGAGGGCCAGGACAACGAGGCCACCGAAGTTGTAATGCAGCAGGGCGGGCAGACTGTGAGGGCAGTGATCAAGCCGAATAGTTTGACCAAGGACGTCGAGGTTGCGGATATAGGATGTGGTTTTGGAGGGCTGCTCGTGGCCTTGTCACCTGTCATTCCGGACACCCTCTGCCTGGGTACGTTCTAGTCCCCACATCATCTCAACTGCAGCATAAACAGCCAGCTAAACAGTACTAGGCCTCGAGATCAGGGCTCAAGTCACCGACTATGTCGAGGACAAGATCCGAGCCCTGCGGAACCAGAGCCGACAAAAAGGCAGCAACGACTACCAGAATATCGCCTGCCTGCGCGCAAACACCATGAAGTTCCTCCCCAACTTCTTCAAGAAGTCGCAGCTGTCCAAGATCTTCATCTGCTTTCCGGATCCGCATTTTAAGGCCAAGAAGCACAAGGCGCGCATCGTGTCCACTCAGCTGAACTCGGAATACGCATATGTGTTAAGACCGGGCGGTATCGTGTACACCATCACCGACGTCAAGGATCTGCATGAGTGGATGGTATCGCATTTTGAGGCACACCCTGCCTTTGAGAGGGTCTCGGAGGAGGACCAGGAGAAGGACGAGTGTGTCGCTGTCATGAGGACCGAGACGGAAGAGGGCAAGAAGGTGGAGAGGAATCAAGGACTCAAGTTTGTTGCGCTTTACAGACGGCTGGAGGACCCTCCGTGGTAGGGACAGCATTCGCTCTGTGGAGTTATGGATCGGAGGTCATGACGGAAACGGCAGGACAAAGGACCAAGAGGATACCCAAAACAATTCGGTGAGAAGCAAATTATCGGCGTCGACAGAATCCAATACCACAACATCTAGAGCCCAGCAATTCCCTGAGACGTGATCAATAGTCAGATTGTGTGACCTGCACTTCTTCTCTATGGTAGCAGCTGCAGGTGCTGGTATACAGTGTGCTCGGGACGTGCACACGGCCCCTTCCGCACTTCCTTCGGTCAGGGGCAGCTCCCCGGGCCCCGTCGAGTGCAGCATCTATCGATAAGCTGCTCGAACCGGGCGTGCCTGCATCATAAGCCCATGCCCCCCCGACGCGTCGAAACATGCGGCGACTCTCACAAACTGGCTCTTCGATGAATGGACTATGGCCCTGAAGGGGAGAGATGTGATTCTTGCTGGTATTGCAAGTTTCATTGCCTGGGGCTATGCCACCCACTGGCTTCCCGCCATCCGCTGGGCTGGCCATGCCTTCGTCGCCGGCTTTCTGACCTCCCTGCTCCTCCTGCTGGCCATCACCCTGCTGCTGTCCAAGGGCCTCAACCACAAGAACCGAAGGCTGTCGCCCCGGCCAGATGGCCCCAAGTTTCTCGGCCGGAAACAATGGGACAGCGAGCTCTCGGCGCTACGAAAACGGCAGGCGTACGAGAAGAAGCCGCTTTGCGATTCCTCGACAAAGATCTCCCAAGCCCTCGACGACGTCCTCGACCTGATCACGCGCGACTTCGTGTGGTCGTGGTATTCAAAGATCAGCGAGAACCCTGTGTTCAGGAACGAGGTGGACAAGGCGGTACGATGCGCGCTCGACGAACTGAGGGAACGGCTGTCCACCTTGGACCTGCCCGAGGTCCTCACCACCAGAATTGTCCCTATCATGACGGCGCACTTTCACGACTTTAATGAAGCCGAGAGGGCCATCCGTGGCCATAAACTTAATCGGTCTGTTACGGAATCAGAGGAGCTGGACCTGGCCATTGCATCAAAATACAGAGATGGGAAAATCCACCCGGCTGCCAGCCTGTCATACTCGGACCTCAAGCTCACACAGCAGGACTACCTCCGGCAAACCACCAGCAAGATTCTCCCGCACGTGCTGCCAGACAACGTCATCAGCAGCCGAGCTGTTTCCAGTCTGATCCGCGAGATTATCGCCTGCGCTGTCTTGTTTCCTGTCCTACAACTGCTGTCCGATCCTGATACCTGGAATCAGCTGATGGAGAACTACGGGCGAGGCATGCTACAGGACCGCTCCACGATCAGGAAACTGCGTGCAGCTCTGGATCAACACGCGCCGTCTCCCAAACCGGGCAGGCCGCCACAGTTCCCGCGTTTGGCACCCGGCGACAGCGAGAGAAGGTTCGAAAAATTTATCAGAACTGTCCGGAAAGTGAACAATTTATCAGATGCGAGGCGCTTCAGAAGTGAGGTGACCAGCCAGCTCAAGAGGGACTCACAGCAAGACGGGCAGGACCCCGTCTACCTTCGTCGTCTGGATATGGGAAAGAGGCTGTTGGACCAGAGGGTGCAATATCTTGCTGCTGGCGGAGACAAGAGAGGGATGTCGTTCTCGGCAGATCTCGGCTCCAGCACCCCCACAGAGTCGAGGCTGGAGAACGCCTCGCTTGCGGAACTCCTCCGTGATGCTTCAGGGCTTTCTTACTTCATGGAGTACATGGACAGGCAACGACTGATGAGCCTGGTGCAGTTCTGGCTGGTTGTTGACGGATTTCGTAACCCACTTGAGGAGTTTCACGACGACGACACCCTTCCGCTCACACTGCCACCATGGACGGAGTCGGACAGGCTGGATCTCGCCCAAATTGAGCAAGCCTATCTGTCCAAATCAGAACTGAAAGTACCAGAACCGTCCAAGCGAACGGTACGGGAGTTCCTCGAGGCCAGGAAGAAGGCCACCCCAGAACAGTTTTATAGGGCGCGGCGAGCGATACTACGTGCCCAGAATGCTATCTTGGAGGAAATGCAATCGAGGCATTTCCCAAACTTCAAGAAATCGGACTTGTGGTACAAGTGCCTCGCAGCAGAAGAGGCCTCTCAGAGTAAACCCCAGTCAGTCGGTAGGATTTCCGGGGAGCTCAAGTCACCACCTATGAACAGGACGGTCAGCGCCTTTGCTGGCAAGCCAAATCCGTTGTCTCGACTGGGTCCAAAGTTCAATACAAAGCTACAGAGCCGGCGCGCTGAGTCTTCTTCGGATCTGAGATCGTCTAATGGTACTCTCGCCCCTTTGGACGTTGCGGTGGAACCTCGAAGGTCGGCGGAGGCTCGAAGATCTCTAGATTCTAGACGATCCTACGATGACACGTCTCCAAATCCCCTCTTTGATGATGAAGATTTCGATCACGATGGCCTCGCAGAGAGTGTCACAAGCCTGGATCAGAACACAGGGCCACAACCACCAGACAAGAAGGTTGTTGCAGCCATGGAGGAGGCTCTAAGCAATATCTTGGAGGATACCCGACCAGCCACCTCGGAAGACTTAAGACAATCTCTTTTCGGAGAGGGAGACACAGACTCGCTCTTGTTTTCCGACCAGGATACCAACTCCAAACGTGGCTCTCTTGACGCCGGCCGTTCGGGCAAAGAGCCGGAGAAGCCTAGTCTCTCGTCCCTTGGCCTCGTGAGCGCTCATTCTCGTATCGGCGTATTCGTGGATGACGACCTGTTCGGGGACGAGAACAAATACTTGTCGGACGAGCATGACGAGGAGGATGGGCCTGAAAAAGATGACGACGTGGGCGACATTCATGAGGCCGCACCGGGAGACCTTGGGTTGGCTGAAGCAGTCACTGTCCTCACGACTGACATCGATCGGCTAGAGGCGCAGAATGCTGTTATCGACTCGCTGCTCAAAAAGGCGGAACTAACGAACAATATGGCGGAATTGAGGATCTTGCGCAAGTCTAAGGCCAGCCTGGAAAGAGAGATACGGCGGAAAGAGTTGCAAAGGCAGCAATACGTCGTGCAGGAAAGCGACAACAGTTTGTACGGCCGGTCGATGATCAGGATCAAGGGCATACAGGTCGGGCACGAAGAAGATGGTAAAGAATTTGCAATCTACGTTATCGAGGTCTCCCGTAATGCGGGAGAGAAGATGCCTGCGGCGTCCTGGATGATAAGCCGCCGGTACAGCGAGTTTCACGAGCTTCATCAGAGACTACGATCGAAATACCCATCCGTCCGCAGCCTCGACTTCCCAAGGAGGCGCGTCGTTATGAAGCTCCAGTCGGACTTCCTGCAGAAGCGAAGGCAGGCGCTGGAGAGTTACATGAGCGAGCTCTTGCTTCTTCCCGACGTGTGCCGGAGCCGGGAGCTGCGGGCATTCCTCTCGCAGAGCGTCATCATGCAGGACCTCGCGGAGAGCCACGAGAACAACAGGAAGGACATGATCACGCGGCTGTACGATTCCGTGACGGACGGCATGGAGGACATACTTGGCAGCATACCAGTGTTGGACCAGCTTTCCGTCGCGGGGCAGAACCTCATTGCGGCGGCCACGAGCCAAATGAACACGATGGGGCCGGGGCTGCACGGTGTAAACAGCATCATCGACCCGGCTGTCAGCAGCTCAGACGCGGTGACTGCGGCGGAGGCGGAGGCAGAGCTGAGGGCGTTCGAGGCGGGAGCCGAGGGCAAGGAGCAGGCGGATGCGGAGCCGTTCGTCAAGCCGATCTGTGACATATTCCTAGAGGTGTTCGAGCTCAACCGCGGCAACAACTGGTTGCGGGGACGGGCGGTGGTGGTGGTGCTGCACCAGCTGCTGGGCGGGACGATCGAGCGCAAGCTGCGCGACAACGTGCGCGTGCTCGTCAACGAGGACGCGGTGGCGCGGTACGTGGCGCTGCTCCGAGACAGCCTGTGGCCCGAGGGAGGGCCTTTCGGGGCCGGTAAGAGGACGCGCACCAGAGGTGAGAAGACCAGGACGCGGACCGAGGCCAGCCTCATGCTGGCGACGCTGGTGCCCGACATGGTGGGCAGCGTCGTGGGGCGGGTCAACGCGCAGGCGGCGAGCAGGAGGATCTTTGCGACGCTGAACAATGAACGGCTGAAGTAAGTTTGCATGCTACATGCTGCTATGCTTGCATGCACGCACTGCAAATGCCTCGCTTCTTCTCCCCTCTCACTCCTTCTTTGCCTCTCGCGCCTCATTTCGTGGCTCTCGTTCGATACCTTGCTTGCTAACTCTGCCCCTTGCTCAGTGCGCACCTTGCGTTTACGATTATGGACGAGATTATTGATATACTCTTTAATGAGAGGTAGTATGCTCGATGCAGATTATGATATGATAAGAACACCCCAGCACGGAACGAACGGTACGATGCGGAAACTTATTGTCTGGTGAGCGGCGTGGCATAGCGTGGGCGTTTATTTCTTTTTTTGACAGAGCCTCCTTGCGAAATATTCAACCGTGTGTCTTCCTGTTCGTCGGGCTCTCTCTTTGCACAAGTCTTATGTGTTGTGCTGGAACATTGAATTGTGTCGTCTGGTCTCTCGGTATTGATTTGGGACGCATGACCGCACCTGCCGAACGGCTTTGTGCGGCTCCATCTCTTCAGTCGGCGTGGCCGAGGGATGAGCTCCGGCCGGTTGTTATGCTCAGTGACTACTACCATGTAAAGTCTGTCTATGAATCCTGGGTATGCCGCCTGGGTTTGCCATCTTTTGCCTCGGTCGAGTTGCATGGGCCAGATGGGTGCAGACCGAGAATCTTCCGATTCTGGAGGAGCATGGTGGCGCTGAAACCCGGCTGGGGAATGAGAAGCCCATGGTAAAGCCGGTGTCGAATCTTTTGAGACAACTCAGCCTCCCCCGTCCCAAACTTTTCTACGCACCTCCAGGGCGGTAGATCGAGGCAATTGTATCGCCTCATTGTGGTTAGGAAGCAGTCATCTGCTTCCTCCACTGCCAAGGCGTGGTGGTGGAATCGGGAGTTTATTTGTTTCTGGCCGAGGCTGCTGCCGATCCCGTGTCAAGATCTTCCTGACAGATCTTGCTGCCCGTCCTGCTCCCTAACGGTGGCACGCCCTCCCAAGGTAGATCCTGAAGCTTGTCTTGTTCGGACTTCGGATGATGTAAGGCTTGGCTCGCACCATCGCCCGCTGTCGTGAGCCACAGTGCCCATTTGTGAGAGAATGGTGAGACGCAATCATGAGCAAGGGGAGCTTGACCGGGGCGAGCGAGATACTCAACCTCAAAATCCAAAAGGTGCGGCCGTAGTTATCATGGGTGACGAGATGGGGATGCCCTGGGTAATATCTATCTAACAATGTGGTCGGCCGGTGGAATCCGACAAAGCTGCGGTTTGCGATTCTGGGTCCGGGTCCCATGTGCCAAGGCGGGCAGTAAGAGGGCGGCTGCATCTCCCCATGGGTTCCTCCTTCCTTGCCCGAGGCTGCTTTGCGTGGTTATCTACGTGCACTAGGTGCCTAGGTGGTGCTGGTGCAGCAGTCTAGTAGATGGCCAATGTACCCATGTACTGTACCTTGGTACCTGCAGTGGCAGACTGACAGACTGGCTGAGAGATGAGGGGAAGAACGGACCGGCGCTGCACTGGACTCAGCCGATGAGATTGGACTGGACTGGACTGGGCTGGCCTGCGAGTGTTTGCTTGGGGCCCGTGCGCCCTGCAGTTCTCGGTGCCCTCGATTGATTGCGCACCTGCCCTCTTCGATCAGATGTGGGCAGCCAGAAGCCAGCCTTGGGGGAAGCTTTCCTTGGTTCGAGCTCGACCTCGTCTAAACCCCTCTCCTCCGTCCCTTTCCCTCTCCCTCGCATTCTGTCTCACCACCTGCACCTTGCGCAATATTCGAGCGACTCAGTCGAGCAGTCAAGGGTTTCTGGCGATCGCATCAACAGGCACGTCCAAATCAGCTTAGAATCGACTAGGCATTGACAGGAACTTGTGCGACACGAGCAACGGTTTGTTTACCCCGTCAGCCGTCAGGACCCACTGGAGCAGAAAGGGCTTGCTTTGGCTGCGACACGCTGCTTGGCTTCCCTGCTGGGCATCCCTCGCCTGCCCCCAACTGTCTGATCTGAACCCAAACCCAAACCCGCCCACAGCCAACCAACCTTGGGAACCCAAAAGCTCAGCCCCAGCTACTGGTCCCTCTTCCACACTTTTCCCCACGGCCAGTCGCAGACCGTCAGCATCCCAAACCAGACCACCTCCCAACGTCCGCCCACGATAAGGCTGCCATTGAAATCCCGTGCCATTCCTCTCCCGCCGCCTCACTTCGCCTCGATCCAGCTTCAAAAACAGTCCAGTCCAATCCCTCCCGTTGCATGACCTGATCGCCTGGAAAACAGATCGCAGCAAACATGACCGAGGTGTCATCCACCCGCCTGTACCTGGGCAACCTGCCGCGCAATGGTAAGCGCCCCATCCCAACCGCCTCGCCCTTTGCGCCTCGACCTGTGTGCTCCCGCGCCGCGCCCTCCCGCCTCCGTCCAGCCCTCTAACCTTGTCTCTAGCGACCAAGGCCGATGTTGAGGCCCACTTCGCGTCCCATGGCACCGGCGACATCACCGAAATCAAGCTCATGAACGGCTTCGGTTTCATCGAGTACAAAGATGCCATGGACGCCCGGGATGTCGTCCCAGGTAAGCTACCAACCCACGCTCCTGCCTTCTCAGCACCCATGCTTTCTTTCCACCCTGCCCTCGCCTCGCCCCGTGCCCTTCAACGGTACTCTCGTTATCCACCCGGCAATTGGCTAACCGTCATGTCCTTGACAGCTTTCCGTACGTCGCGACCACCTCCGTGGACTCCAGCAACCACCACCGTGACCCATCCCGCGTGAACCTGGCTAATACTGTCTGCAACAAGATGGATCCACCTTCATGGGCGAGCGCCTGACTGTCCAATTCGCCCGAGGTTCGCGTCACCGTGAGAATGGCGCCCCCGGCGGCCCTGGCGGATTTGCCAGTAACGAGCGCGCGCCCCCTCGCCCCGTCGCACTCCTCACAGGATGCAAATTAGTGGTCTTCCCACCGATACCAGTTGGCAGGTCTGTTCTTCCTCCTATTCCTTGCTGCCGGATTCACGGATGCCCGTCGCAACAGCCATCTGTGTTTCTGGATAGGTGGCCAGCTTTTGTGGGATTCGATTGTACTGCGCTCTCCCCTCCATGACGACTTGCTCCCCCCTCAGGACGACTGCAGTGCGTCTTCCTCCGGTGGACTTGGAGTTCCTGGCATGTTTGATATCTGGACTGTTTTGGAGTGACGTGATTGCGAGGATTCCCTCTCCCTGCTGGACTTCAACCTCAGACGCTCTTGGATGGTCCTGGATTTTCACTTTGCTTGCCGAGGCCTGTGCCTGGGGATCGGCCGCTTCAACCCGCCCCCGTGCTCGAACCTGGACTTCAACTTACGTGGATTCTCTGGACGCAGGACCTGAAAGATTTCGCCCGTCAATCTGGCTGTGATGTCGTCTACTCGGAGACCGGCCGCAACTCCAATGGCGAAGGGTGAGTCCCATTCCACCCATGCCCGCTTCGTTGTCTTCAAAGTCTAACTTGACCCTTGCGCAACAGCTTTGTGGAGTTCGAGACTGCCGCAGATCTCAAGAAGGCTGTCGAGGCGCTTGATGGTCGCGAGTTTAAGGACCAGCGCGTGACCTGTATCGCGAACGTGGGTGACCCTAGCCTGCTTTTATCCTCTCCTTCTCTCGTCCCTGTTGCTGATCTTGAGACAGACCCAGCCTGACTTCCCACCACGAGACGGCCGCGGTCGATCCCGCTCACCAGGTGCCCGCCGTCCATACCCTCCACGGGATGACTTCATCGACCGTCGTGGCCCACCGGGCGGATGGAGCCCGCGCCGCGACTACCGCGACAGAAGCCCTCCTCGTCGCGACTACTATGACGACCGTGCGGCGAGATACCGCATGGACGATTACCCGCCCCCTCGCCGTGGCCCCATGGATGATTACCCCCCTCCTCGGCGCGGTCGCATGGATGATTATCCGCCTCCCCGTCGCGGTCCTGTCGATGATTACCCTCCTCCCCCGAGAGACTTCCCCCCTCGCGAGGCCGGGTACCCCAGGGAAGGCGGGTACTACCCTCCGCGCGATTACGACCGCCGTTACTGGTAACTCACCATTCCAATCCTTGAACCCGCGCGGGCCTTGACCTGATTAATAGATGCGCACGATTTTCACGTAATCTTAACGACCAAGGGAAAGGCAGGGTGATGATGGGAAAAGTTTTTTTCTTTGGGCGGGGGGGGGGGGTCAAAATCTCTTGAGTAACCTGGTTGGGTTTCGGATCGCATTTTCTGACGCTCTTTGCACGTTTGAGTCACCGAGGGCCTGGCTTAAGCACTGCATCTGGATGGTTTGGACGACTCTCCAAGCAGGAGCGCATGTATAAGACGTGCTGATCCTGAGCGCCCTAGGGTGATTGAAAACTTGGGACATCGGGGCTCTAGCAGCCTGGGCCGCGAGAAGAGCTAGCGGCCTGGTCTGGTGAGCTTGGGAGTGTTTGCCATCTCCTGCCCCCTCGACATGCTTGCTTCCGTTTTATTTCGATGCCTGGGGGAACTAAAAAAGCACGGATGCGTAACATGAGGCAATTCATGGGCGGAGAACATCAAGAGGGAGGCGTTTCCGTTTACTTTTGGACTCTTTGAATGTTCACGCGAGACGAGGCCAGGATTGAAGTCTCCAAAGGTTGTACGTTAGGTTGTCACGACATTATCTTTCTACTTTCGTGGCTTGAAATAAATTGATGAATTTTGAGATTTGCGAGAGTCCTCCTTCTAGTAGTTTGGTTTCCTTATTCTTTCTTCCGTCTATCTATACTATATCATGGCTTGTTTCTTTCAGCCAGTCGCCATTAACCTGTATGTGTGCTCAGCCTTGTAAGGACTACACCGTCCTGCAGTATTTCCCCCCACCCCCGCCCAAGATCCGACCTCCCACTTCCAGCAGGTACATCCACACTCCTAGACACGAACCCACGCGATAGTGGCCCTTTCTTCTTGCCCGAAAGACTGAAATGAAGCAAGTAATAGCACTTCGAAAGATTCCACGGGAGGCCATAGAAGGCTGCAGCCAGTGGTATTATAGGTTGCTGTATTCTAGCCAAATAGATGAGAAGCGCAAGCTAGCCACTGGCGCTCGGATCCGTCTGGCTTATAAGTCGGGCGCGCATTTATTTGGACACAAAATTTTCAAGAAGATTTGATTGTAGCACTTAATGACGAGCAAGGATTAATTATCAGTGCAGACTAAGTATCATTTTGTTTCGTTTCCCCCATAGCCCAAAGACAAGAACCCGTTTCGCTGGAGGGCAACTCCCACTCCCATCAGCCTGGAGTGCAAGACCTCTCTGCCTAGCAAGACTTTTCGAAATTTTCAGAGGATACAAGAGATCCACCTATCTTCATATCAGCAAGAAAGTTGTGAAGTGTCAATTGGTAGCGTATATTTAGTTGTCACGCTACGGTCTAGCCCTTGAGGGAAGCCTGACCCGGCTGGAGTCCAGAAAGGCGCTGTCTGCTCATTCAGAATATATTGATGTGGTTTGATGTGGTGAGTAGCGCATACTTGTGCGTATAGTGAGCGACGGCGCCATCTCAGACGTTGTTCGGGACGGGAGAGCACACCTAGCAGCGCCTGACGCAAAATTGCCAAATATTAAGTTGCAAGTGATGAGAACACAAAAGTCTGAAGTCTTCCCTCTACTTCTGGATAATTATTGTCGCTACCAATTTATCATTTCGTATACTGTGTTAGCTCGAGGCAATAGCAAACAACCGTCCTCAGGAACCGACCCTGTCATGGATAGACCAACAGAACTGGCCGGCGGGAGCAGCCTTGAGCCACCTGCATACCACAGCACAAACGACTGGCGCCCAGTCCTCGAGGAGAAAATGCAACGCATGCTGTACAATTTGGGTATTTCAAAGGCTTTCGGGAGAGACTCGAACGTCATGGAGACGGGACAAGCCTACGACGACGGCGTCATTGGATCCCAAGACACGAACAACACAGCCCATATCGAAAATTGCGACTATACGATGGCAATGTCTCCTGGCGCCGCCTTCGACGCCTCCTCCGTCGAAGAGGCTCGAAAGCAACGGATAAAAGCACTCCAACACAGAATCGAGGAAATCGACTCCGTTGCCCAAGACGATAACAAGACCAGCTCTCGGCCGCTGGAGGAATCAAAAGAAAGGTGCCTAAACGAGCTCGCGCTTCTGTGCGACTACGTCGCACCTCACCGGGCAACGGCCCTGCGGACCATTGAAACGGTGAAGCCAGTCGAGCAGTTGGCGCAGTCAGCAGATCCAACCCCGTTGCTGGGCACCACTGGAGAGGCGCACCCCGACAGCGCAGTCTCAGGCAGCCCTCACACTGTCTCCCCCATAACAGCCGCCAGGGTAAAGGCCGTGCTGAGAGAACGCTCATCTCGTCATGAGGGTGTGAATGGCTGGGGAGCTGGTGACTCTGACGCCTCCACTGCGAGATCGGCGAGCAATGCAGCCATTTGGAGGTGTCGGACCAAGTACGATGATGACTCGGCGGAGGAAGAACAACAACAAGAAGAACAACAAAATTCCACCGGCACGCTCACTGAGCTTGAGGAATTTTTCAGCACTACTGGACTGGTGACATCGGAGCGGAGAGACAGTGCACTAGCAGGATTGGAAGAAACACATCGAGGCAAAGCCGGGGGAAAAGGCGAAGCAAAGTCACCAGCAGCGGACCGCAGGAGTGCTCCATCGAGTACGCTTGGCTCTCTTCCTGTCGCCGAGGTGAGACGACGCCGTCCTACCGAGAAGCACGTCCATAGGAGGAAGAACACACAACGAGAACTTGAGCATGAAGAGCCCGTGTCAGAGTCTGCGGTACTGGAGCCGGCGCGATATACTAGACCCCCGACGGCGAAGGAAAAGGGCAAGTGGGTAGCAGAATGTGAATGCGAGCGATGCCAACGACAGCGACACAAGCGTGTTCACTTCGACGACAGCGCGATGGACAAGGCCGAGGAGGGGCCAGGACTCAGCCACGAAGGGTTCGTGAAGAGTATGAGGGAGAACAGGAGAAGGATGGAGGAGGCACAGGAGAGGGGCGAGGGTGCCAGCTTCTGGGCGACGTCTGGCCCGACTGGGCTGGACGGGCTGGACATGTTCAGCAACCCGAGGCCGGCGCCCCCCTGTGCCTGTGCGCATGCAGGAGAGCGTCGGTGTTATGCGGGGCGAGCGTGCTCAGAAGAGAGGGGTCAATATGAGTCGCCATCCGCTTGTGAAAACATTGTCACGGCGGTTCAGGAGGTGAATGAGGTGAGGTGCATGAAGCCCGGGATGGATTTGATGCTGTGTAACGTCGTCGTGGTTTACAAAGCTTGCTGAGTAATTCGGCAGAAGCATGAGCAGCGGGGGAGCGGCTGGAGCTACGGTGGGGCGCCTGGGCAGCTTTCTTAGGCCCAGATCATGGATTCCAAAACGCCGCAGTATTTTAAAGCACACCGTGGCGCTATACTTAATCTGGAATTAAATTCTAACTACGGGGTGCATTTGGTCTTTAAACGCGGCTTGGGAAGTACCTTAAGACCTACCGTAATCTCCGTTTACGCCATAACCCTTTTTAGCAACCATCTACATTTTTTTTTCCTCTCTAAAATGCTGAAATTTTATGAAAACGTCGTTTTTAAAACGCCCGATCAGCAGCGTTTTATACAACACTGGCCAATGTTCTAACTTTTTTTTGAGGCTCCAAAGTGGGTCCTTCCCCATGAGTGACTTCTCGGTAAGCTTCGGTAGCGCCTTAGCACGGAAGTCACTTTGCAGGGGTGCTTCACAACACTGGCTTAGAACCGTGATCTGGCCCTTCGTGTAGATCGGAGCTCTGCTTTGAAAGCATCACGCATCCCCCACATGCGGAATGTACCCCAGGCGGACTCTGATAGGTAATCCAGTAGTACGTAGCTTCCAATTGTTGCGTAACTGACTGGCTGTGGCATGCCTGTGCTTCCCCAACGTTGACGTCCCGTACCGCACCACACTCAAGCTCAGGGCAGCCATGGCAACCTCCATAAGAAGAGGGGCTCTCTCCCTCATACATGCCTCACCGCCTGCCCGCCAGGTTCGTGTGCGCACCTCAACAGCTTCGTTTACCTCACTTGCCTCCCAGTGTCAAGCCTCATCTTCTCATATCATTCCAAGACGGGCTCAACTGAGCTTCAACACCATCACCACCACCACCAACACAGGCTCTCGCCCATATAGCAGCAACAACGCCCAGGTCAGCACCGACGACATGGCAGACAAGCCTGAGCCCTCCGGACCTATCGCCAAGGATGGCATCGAGCTCTTTACGTTCGGGACACCCAATGGCTACAAGGCCAGCATTATCCTAGAGGAGCTTAAGGAGGCCTATGGAGACAAGGCTCCCAAGTTTGTATGGCAGGCCATCAACATCATGAAGAACACCCAGAAGCAGGATTGGTACGTCCGGATCTGCCCAAACGGTAGAATTCCTGCCATCGTCGACCACGACCGCGGCGACTTTGCCGTCTTCGAGGGCCTGCCCATCCTCACCTACCTGACCAAGCACTACGACCCGGACAACAAGCTCAGCTTCGCCTACGACTCGGACGACTACTCGGTCGCCGAGCAGTGGATGGCCTGGCAGCACGGCGGCGTCGGGCCCATCCAGGGCCAGGCGAACCACTTCGCGCGCTTCGCCAAGGAAAAGATCCCCTACGCCATCCAGCGCTTCGTCGGCGAGTCGGAGCGCCTGTACGGCATCCTGGACGCCCGCCTCAAGGACCGCGACTTTGTCGCCGGCGCCGGCAGGGGCAGGTTCTCCATCGCCGACATCTCGCTGCTGGGCTGGGCCAACGGCGCCGTGCTCGGCGGGCTCGACCTCGAGGGCCAGTTCCCCAACGTCGCCGCCTGGTTCGACCGCTGCAACGAGCGGCCCGGCGTCAAGAGGGGCTTTGCCATCCCCCAGGAGTCGCCCTTTGGCAACAAGGCCTTCCTGCAGAAGATCAAGGACGACCCCGAGACCAGGCAGAAGGCGGAGGAGACAAAGAAGCTCATCGATGACGCCAAGGCCCAGTATGGCTACAAGTATGCGTCGCCTTGAGAGGCCTGGGCTGTATGTGAAGTGGCAGGTGGTGAGCGCGAATTTCCATCTGGCAGTTCATAGAAATGCTGTGAATTTGTCTCCACCCATATCCAAAAATAGCCAATTCAATTCACACAATTGAACCACTCCACTTTATTCTTGATTTTGTGCTGCTGAGCCATTGTGACACTGGAGTCAGCAGCGTGGACACAGGCTGCACCAGAACGCGAATACTTGGTACTGCGATGCTTGGTAATGCAGTAGTGGCCTCCCAATCGGCATTGTTAATTCTCGGGCTACTAGGGGCCGCCCTAAGACCCATTTGACAGCGTCATCGAAGCGCAAGCTAAAAAGCCAATTGAAAAAAGGTCGAGCGGCTCGGGTCCCAATGTCATTCAGCACCACGGAGCACCCGCCTACCGCCCAGGCTGCCAGGGCACACGGGTGGATCTCCCAAGCAGTCGGATTTAGTGGGGTTTGTGGGAGGCTGCAGACCGAACCAGACCGGCCTGTGAATCCATCCGGATGAGAAGACTCGGGAAGCTCACAAGACCTCACCCAAGCTCTCGGGTGGCCAGGCACTCCAGGAGGTTGACGACGACTCGTGGCTGTCGTCGTCCTTTCGGAGTTGGGGGTTGCATTTTCCTCCTTGCAAGACCCGATGTGCATCGCCCACCACGGGACAGGACACCCAACCAATCAACCCCCTTCACTAGGATCCCACATAAAGAGCCCTCATTCCTCATGCCTCGCCCTCTTAGCCTGCCCTCCCGGGCACGGCTCAAGCCTCTCCGTTCTGCGTCACTCTGCACCAAGACCACCATGCCCTACTCAATATCCGTCAACCAGCCCGCCCTGGGCCCTGTCCCTGAGGGTGCAAAGTCCAAGCCTCACCATGTGAAAAACAATGATGGCACCATTAACCGGTTCCAAAATCCCCACCCCTCTTACAAAGCCGCGTTCCAGCCTTGGCAGTATCCTCTCAAGGCCATCATGTAAGTCAGCCCCTGAATCTGGTGGTTTGGGTTGGGGCTGGTTGAGGGGCACAATTTGGGGGACCCGGTTGGAGAATGCCGAGGAGAAACCAATGGTGTATGGTGTGGTGACACTCAGTATAAGTGCCCATGAGCCAAGTATCAGAGCCGAGAAGCAAAAGAAAAAGCAAACACTCATTGACATCTCGTCCACAGGGGCCAACTGGACGGCAGCATGAGGATGCCAGCCCCAAAGGGCGAGACGGTCCCCATCCGGACGCCCACCTTCCTGACCTCGCGCCTGGGCTCCCAGGACCTGAGGACCACCTGGCTGGGCCACGCGTGCCACTACGTCGAGTACCCGTCCGGGCTGCGCGTGCTCTTCGACCCGGTCATGGAGGACCGCTGCTCGCCCTTCACCTTCGCGGGCCCCAAGCGGTACACGCGCAGCGCCTGCGGCGTCGCCGACCTGCCCTTCCTGGACGCCGTGGTCATCTCGCACAACCACTACGACCATCTCTCGCTGCCGACCGTCCAGGAGGTCAAGGCGCGCTTCCCCCAGGCGCACTTCTTCGTTGGCCTGGGGCTGGGCCGGTGGTTCCGCGAGTCCGGGGTCGACAACGTCACGGAGATGGACTGGTGGGAGGACGCCGAGGTGACGGTCAAGCCGGACAGTGACGGCAACGGCGGCGGCGGCGAGGAGATCACAGCGGCGGTGTCCTGCCTCCCCGCGCAGCACGGCTCGGCCCGCAGCCCCTTCGACCACGAGAAGACGCTGTGGTGCTCGTGGGCGGTGAAATCAGCCGCCAAGTCGGCCTACTTCGCGGGCGACACGGGCTACCGCTCGGTGCCGGCGGTGGCGGGCGGCGAGGAGGCCACGCACGGCTACGGCGAGGACCAGCAGCACCTCGCGGGCCTGCCGACGAACCCGGACTTTGCGGAGATCGGCGCCCTGCGCGGGCCCTTCGACGTGGGCCTCATCCCCATCGGGGCGTACGCGCCGCGCCTGCTCATGTCGCCGCTGCACGCGGGCCCCGCCGACGCCGTCGAGATCTTCCGCGACACGCGGTGCCGCGCCGCGCTGGCCATCCACTGGGGCACGTGGGCGCTGACCTCGGAGCCCGTCATGGAGCCGCCCCAGAGGCTGAGGGAGGCGTTGAAGCGGAGGGGCATCCCCGAGGAGGGGGTCTTTGATATCTGTGATATTGGCGAGACGCGCGTGTTTTGAGCGGGGTGTGCCAATGGAACAGCCAGGGGAAAGGGGGTTGCCTCGCATGCGTGCGTGCGTGCGTGTTTATGGTCTGGCATCTAGCATATCTAGCAAGGCGTTCCGGGCCGGGCGTGGGCCTGTGTACATTTAGCATCTTTCTGCATCAGGACGAGGGTGGCTTGGTCGGGGGCGGGCTCATCACGGGGAGCGACTGCCCATGATAGAACGAGGACTCAGACACCGGAGTGCCTCACATAAATTCCTCCTCTGCATTATCTCATCTTCTGACTTGGACGGAAGCTATCACGTCAGAAAAGCCGTGACTGTACAAATTACCTTGGAGTGAAGTATCTAGGTTTTGGCCACGCCGTTCAGAAGAAAGCCCGGGACTGGTACCCAACAAGGTTCCCCGATCATATGTCACCTCGAATCTTTTGTGGACGCAGGAATTCGCACACCTTGGCGCAGCTTCAGTTTCTCGCTTGCCGCCTGCATGTGAATTCCCTGCCAGACTTCTTTACGGGGAGACCTGCCCCAGGATTGAACCACCAGAATAAAAGTCACTAGTTCTTGCAACATCTCTTTCATCCAAAACTATCACAACGCAAGAGCCCCGGGGACTGAAGCCCCAGATGAGGATGCCATGACACGTCACACTCCCGTTGCCGTTGTAAAGTGGCTGAACCTGGGTGTCACGCCCTGGTCGTGTTTGTAGTCTGATTCACGTTACGAGGAGACAATGCAAAGAGTGTGTGCAAAGATGGGACGGCCGCGCGATCATCATCAATTCGGGACAAAAGGAAAATATGGTTGAGTATAGTAGAACGTCCGAGTGTGTCAACATCAAGAACATAAGTGCAGAGTATAGTCTGACTTCCTCGTGAATTTAGTCGTGAAATCTTTCCCTTTGGTTTTCCCTTTTGTTCTTCTGAGATGGGTTTGGAGAGAGGGGGTGGGGTTGAATAAGGAATATCGTGTGAGATAAGTGCCGCTTGTCTTCACGCTTATGTCGACATCTTCAATATGCAACATGAGCTGCTAGGGAAATTAATTATAAAATGATCGAGGCAGTCGTATTCAACCACTTAATCCAAGTGAGCCTCATCAGGAAATTTGTAACGAAGTTGCTGCGAGTCCGACATCTACTGACAAGCGACTAGGGACTGCAATCATGCAATCATCACTTCCAATTTGCCCTACATCATCTTCGTTGGCAATACACAATATCAATTCGCAAGATCCATGGGCTTCATATGGAACGGCGGCTCAAGCTTTCGAAGTAGAGGGCAAGCCGACAAACCCACGTCCCTTACGAGCGTACAACTCTCAATCTCAAGAAAAGTATAGATAGTAATATTAGGCATACTCCTATTTATGCAAATATGTCTATCTTCACAGATGTATGCATGCATATGAATTAGAATAAAGTCTAGGACAGATCCTCCCACTGAGGCCATCTATCGCGCCGTGCTCTCCCCGCCAGGGATCCGAACGGGGTGAGCTTCGGTGTTGTACACGTACTCATTCGTGTGGTCTGCCTTGACTTGGAATGGAGCGTCCTATATCAATCAAAGTAAGCGGTCATGCTCGCCAATATCCACCAAGTCGACAGAAAGATGTGGCGCGTGGATAGAGGGCTGGGGGATTGGAGGTAGAAACTCACCTCAGCATGGATCAGGTAGCTGTACTTGAGCACCTCGGCAAACCAGAAGCTCTCCTGGAAGTCGGCAAACCCGCCGCCGCCGGGGACGTTGACGTCGTTGATGGCGCTGTACCCGCTGCCGGCGCGGCACGTCTCGTTGATGGCGAGGTACGCCTCCCAAGCCCACTCCTGGTACTTGGTGTCGCCGGTGGCGCGGTACGCGTAGTAGTAGCTCTCGATGACCTCGGGCCGCAGGACGTAGTCGGCGCTGTCGATGTAGAAGCCCGCGCGCTCGTAGAAGGTCTCGTTCCCCGGCGGCACGGTCGCGTTGGCCGGCGACTTCTCGCCCAGCCAGCGGAACGTCTCGGGCCCGATCTTGGTCGCCGTCTGCACGTACGTCTCGCGGCAGCCCGCCACCAGCTCGAGCCCGAAGTCGATGTACGACGGCTCGTTGAGCGTCAGACCGCCCAGGATGAAGTTGCCGCCATCGAAGCACGCGACTGTTTTTTTCGGGGAGGGTTGTGTCAGCCTTGGGCTCGGAAGGTTTCCCTCAGGTGGGTGCCCGGGAACGGATATGTTGTGCTAGTGAGGCTAGAACACTGGAGCATAGGGACCGCATATACGGGCGGTTGGTCCATGCTACACGAGGCCCGCGTGTTTTGCCTTTGTGCTTGTGTTCCCACGGGTACCCGTGGGAACACAAGCGGCGGACCACAAACTCGACGTGGGGTGGCTGCTCCACCTAAAAATGACATCCGGAGAAAAGAAAAGACGAGCGATTGACTTACGATGCTGCGAGAGGTAAACAATGCCAGTCTCTGTGTTATTGCGGTAATAAGCCAAGAACGTCAGGTCGGGCCTGCTGGTCGGATGGCTCGCCAGGTACTCGATGCTGCTGTCGACGGCCTCCACCCACTTGTCTTTGTAATCCGCGAAGGTTTCGGGGTCGTACAAGTACATCTTGATCAGGTACTCGTAGTAGCTGTCCGTACCTCCCGTCCAGCCTCCCTTAGAGTCCAGGAACGAGCCGTTGCTGATCGATATGTCGGTGCCGATGAGACCAGGGAACGGCTCACCCAGCTCCGGGTTGAGAGGGTTGATCAGATACGACTCCGCCTTCTTCGCAAGCTCGCCGTACGAGGGGTCGCCTGTCAGGTCAGACAGACGCTGCCACTCCAGGATGAGCGTGCCGGTGGTTGCAACACCGTTGGAGGTCGAATTCCCAATCCTGGGAGGGTCAAGGAAGAGGCTGTTGTCCGGGATGCCAGTAGGTGTGTCAAAAGTGAACTTGAGGTTATCAGCCAGGTTCTTGGCCTGTTCCAGCAGGGGCTCAATCTTGCTCGTGTCATTCACGAAGGTTGAGAAAGGTCCCTTGAGAAGGTCATAGCCTTGGGTTTCCAGTCAGTCAATGCTTTGAGCCAATTCCCGTCTCTCACTCTAGTGGTGTTGGAGCCGGTTCTGTGGGCGCTCTTACCGGATAGGAGGCCACCAAGATACCTGATGGTAGTCTCAAACAAAGACACTTCAGTGTCGTTGAAGCTGACACTGAAGTCAATGGTGGGCACAAAGTCCAGGATCTGATTGACAACCTCAGTGTTGCCCTGAATCAGTGCTGTGCTGAGCGCATCAATCGCGCTGGCACCCCAGCCATTGCTGCTTGCCGGTTAGCGGGCTGGAACTTGAATATCGTGTTCGAGGTGCCTGTACTGACCGATCATTCTCGAACGTGTTTGAGACAGGCAGCAAAGAGTCACCAGGGAAGGCATATTGGTAGTATCCGTCCCAGGAGATCTGGAAAGTCTGCTTCACAGCATCGGCGCGAGTTTGGTTATAAACATAGGACGTTGGCGGGCCAAGGTATCTTTGGACCGGTGATGACGGGCTCTCACGGACACGGGAGACGCGAGGGACCGCAGCTACGTGGGACGCCGTCGCCAAGATGGCGAGAATACAGTCTAGAGAATGCATGGCGAGCAGACGCGGCGACTGACTAGGACAGACCAGGAACGAAGGGAAACCACCAGGTCAACGAGAGGCAGAGCTGAAGAGAAAAGGCCAGAGCAGCCTATCAGTCATGGCTTCTGGGGAAGGCTCACGACTTTTAAATCCGGGAGCTTCCTCTAGGGAATGCGCAGATCGCAAGCACGGGAAACTTAAATTAGACTGCATGTACGGTTGCTGTATGGACGAACAGGCATCATGAACCTTGTCCTGCTAATGTCCCCGAGCTCGGCTCTAGCTCTGTGCACTCGCAGGAGCAAGGAGGACCCACGTTACCAGGTTACCTGTAGGCAGTCAGGGGGACATCCTGCCGACATATGCGAAGAATCTTGGAAGTAACTGCACGCTTAGGACCAGCGAATGAGCTTGGTCAATAAAGCTTAGAGACGCCCGAAAGGAGTGTCGACGTCGGGACGTTCGCGAGTTGAGCCATGGCAGCCCTGAGGGATGGCTCACTCGGCTACTGTCACGAGTCTGAGATGGTACCGTGGGCTCGCCAGGTGATGCAAACTAACATGCTGACTGACAGCCAGATGCAGATAGATCTGGGAACGGTGCGTGCGAGTCGGCCAAGCGTGGGCAGAAGTTGTGTGGATGCTGCAAGGCATTGTTGTGATATTCTACTAGTAGAACAAGCGCTGGCTCCATGCAACCGTCCAGTCCAGCCAGTGTGATCATGGGAGATCTGCACCGGTTGTGTGGAGTGTGGAGGCGCCCGTTGCCGAGACTAGAGGACTGCTGGCTTAAATTGGCATGTCGCTTTGGGCAAATGTGCGTGCGAGATACTGCATGATGATGAATGAGGGGTTTGGAGAGTCAAGAGTCGTAACAATGCGTTGACAACAGGGGCTGGAAGGTTTGCGTACCCATGGCCTCTCCAACCTACCGACGTGGAAACTTTCGGCGTGGCATGGCCTTAAAGGAGATGAACGAGCCCCTTGCCGGGTCCTAAGGATGTCCGAGTGCGTCCGCCTTGGTCCTCAACACCTGCTATGCAGAATCGAGTCGTGCAAAGCCGAGGCAGTTCCTGGGAGTGAGAATGGCGTACAGATCCTACTCTTGGGGGCTTCACAAGGGGGGACAGCCCGTGCGTGGGGAAAGCGGCAGATTGTCGGCAGGTTGCTGGACTAGAGCGAATGAAAGCTAGCTGGGTTCAGGATGTTCGTCCAGGTGGTGAACTCTGCAGAGGCAATTGCTCTCGGTGTCTTTGACGCGTTTCTGGGTTCGAAGAAGCTGCTTTGCTTGTGTTGACGGCCGAGCGCCAAAGTTTGCCCGCAGACTGGATATGTACCCTTGCCGTCCGTTCCATGTCGGCGGTGATTAGATGGAGGCGACGGGAAGTATGGCTAGCTGGCGGCGGTGGTGGTGTGAGGCTGCTGAGCCAGTTGGAGAAGGCTTTGTGGTTACATGGGATGAACCTGCTGTCCCGTGGGCGACTGGGTAGCATTGCAGGTCAGGGGACAGAGAAAGCAACCCCACCAGGTACCAGCAACTCGTCTCTCGAAATGAGATGCATTCCAAAACAGGTCACCTGCCTCTGGTGATACAGACCTCAGCCCACGCAGACCTCAGGCCATGCTTCTTGGAACTTCGTCAAGGTGCAAGTGCTCGGATGATTTGACTGGGCACGCGCCCGCCCGAGTGCTCCGCTGCCAGGTGTATAAGCGGTCCCGAGCCGAAACCCGTGCCTGTCTTCTCAGGATGTGCGAGGCGATGCATGCCCCGGACGTCGGCTCCTGAGGGGTGCATCGGCTAGTCTGGGGGAGATGCTAGCTCTGCAATCAAGAAGCCGCATTTCGTAAGCAAGAACGGCCTGTCCATCCTGGCTTGCCCGACTGCGTGCCTGCTTCGTGTTGCAGCTCCACAAGTCGCCTCGCCTCACCTCGCGACGCGGTGAGACCGGCCGGACCGTCTTGCGCTTTTGAAAGACGATCATGGTCGACCTCGACGCAGCATCCGAGGGTCGAAGAAGACACGGCGACAGTCGGCAAAATGCATCCTCTGTGTCTGCATAGGAGATGATGCTGTAGTTTTGGGGGAATTGACCAACCAAGCTTGGAAGATCAGGCACTGCTGCTTCTTATCTGCTAAGAGAGCGTGCCACAGACAAGAAGAGGGCAGGAGCAAGAGGGCGGACGATAAGCGATAACAGATTAGATAGAGCCAGGGAGCTAGGGCCTGCACCGTTAGGACCTGGTCCCTCGCTCTCTCAGTTTTCTGTCTGGGCGTGGGCCCTTTATCTTTCTCCGCGGGAGGCTCAAATACGGTGGATAAGGCTAGGCAATGGCTTACACGCGATTGGCGGCGCGCTCCTTATCACTCCACCGTCGGCGTGATGGCCCTTGGTCATGACGGAGATGCTGGGAGCTCGGTGCACTTCGGAGATGCCATCCCGTGGAAATGCTGTCTCCGTCCACCCACGCAGCAAAAGCTGCGCTCGCGTTACTATGTGTCGCAGATATCGCACAGGCCAGAAAGTCATCCCATAGCATCCCATCCCATGGTCGGCTGAGCCTGCGCTTGTACCACCAGGCCAAGCATTGCTGGTTTCGGAGATGCTGTTTCTTGCTGCTTGTCAGGCTGATACGTAGAGTAGACCACAGCCAGTTCATGCCCGCCACCGTCTGAAACATCGCTGCATCCTCCCATTCCTCTCCCATACTTGCAAAGTGTTCTCTTAGTTATCGTGACATGGTCACACAAGACTTGCTTTGCTGCCCTTTCTTAGGTCATAACTGATACAAACAACCTGCAGCGTGCTGGCACTCGAGAGCCCGCACACTCGGGTGAGAGCTCCAACACATCCTGTTGCGCAACTTTCCACCCAGAATTCAGAACCATGGCGGCTGGTTCCAGGAAAAAGATTGCAGTTGTGGGCCTGGGTATGGTCGGGATTGCTTTCATGTAAGTCTCACTGCAGCACACTCCCACAAGGACGAAGCCCGCCTCTGACAACCACCAAGAGAAAAGCTCCTCAAACTCGACGCTCGCGCCCGGGAGTACGACATAACTGTCATTGGCGAGGAAAAGCACCTCGCCTACAACCGCGTCGGTCTGACCTCCTTCTTCGAGCACCGCAAGGTCGAGCAGCTCTACCTGAACCCCCTGTCCTGGTACGAGGGCCATGTCGGCCCAGACAATGCATTGGGGTGGCATCTCAACAAGACTGTCACAGACATCAACAAGGACCGGAAGACTGTCACTTGCGCGGATGGCTCCGAAGTCGCCTACGATATCCTGGTGCTAGCGACTGGTTCGAATGCCCTATTACCCCGTTTTATACCCGGCCACGATGCGAATGGCGTGTTCGTCTACAGAACCATTGATGACCTGGAGAAACTCATTGCCTTCTCCTCAACAAAAGAGGGAACGTATGGTGCTGTTATCGGTGGCGGACTGCTGGGCCTCGAGGCCGCCAAGGCCATGATGGATCTGAACACCCTGAAGCAGGTCAACGTTATCGAGCGCAGCCGCTGGGTCCTGTCCCGCCAACTCGACGAGGAGGCCGGCAGCATGGTCGTCGAGCAAGTCCGCAATCTCGGCGTAGATGTGCTGTTGAGCAAGCGCGTGGACAAGATCGAGGTCGACGACGACAACTTCGTCACGGGGGTGCGGTTCGAGGACGATGTACTCATGCCGTGCAGCATCGTCTGCTTCGCCATCGGGGTGCGGCCGCGGGACGAGCTGGCCCGCAAGGCAGGGATCAAGTGCGCGGACCGCGGTGGTGGCATCATCGTGGACAACGACCTGAGGACTAGCGAAGAGGACATCTACGCCATCGGGGAATGCGCCTCATGGCAGGGCGAGGCTTTCGGGCTGATCGCGCCCGGTGTGGAGATGGCCGATGTGCTGAGCTTCAACCTGACGCAGGCAAAACAACACACGCCGAGGGCATTCAAGAGGCCCGACCTGAGTACGAAGCTGAAACTGCTAGGCGTGGAGGTCGCCAGCTTTGGTGACTTTTTCGCGGACAGGGACGGGCCCCAGTCCCTACCTCCCAAAGTGGCCGCAAGGAAGAAGAAGCAGCAGGAGACGAACGGCGACACGAACGGCGACACGAACGGCAGGACAAAAGACGTGAGGCTCCTCACAGATGGGCTTCCGTCACCAGAAGTGAAGGCCCTGACGTATAAGGACCCCTTCCAGAATGTGTACAAGAAGTACATTTTCACCATGGACGGAAAATACCTCCTGGGAGGCATGATGATCGGCGACACCAAAGACTACATCAAGCTCCTGCCAATGGTCAAGAACCAGAAAGAGCTTGAGATGCCACCCTCAGAGCTCATCCTCGGGGCCAAGCAAGGCGACAACGACGGCGCAGACGACCTGGCCGACGACACGCAGATCTGCTCCTGTCACAACGTGACCAAGGGAGATATCGTCAACGTGGTAAAAGACGGCACGTGCAAGTCAATCGGAGAGGTCAAGTCGTGCACCAAGGCAGGTACGGGCTGCGGGGGCTGCATGCCACTGGTGCAGTCCATCTTCAACAAGACGATGGTGAGCATGGGCAACGAGGTCAAGAATAACGTGTGCCCTCACTTCAACTACAGCCGCGCGGACCTGTACAACATCATCATGGTCAAGCGCCTCAAGACGTTCCCGCAGGTCATGAAGGACTCGGGCATCGACGCCGACAGCGTCGGGTGCGAGGTGTGCAAGCCCACGGTGGCGAGCATCTTCGCCAGCCTGTGGAACAAGCACGTCATGGACAAGCCTCACCACGGCCTGCAGGAGACGAACGACCGGTTCTTGGGCAACATCCAGCGCAACGGCACGTTCAGCGTCGTCCCCAGGGTCTCGGCCGGCGAGATCACACCGGACAAGATGATCGTCATGGGCGAGGTTGCGAAGAAGTATGGCCTGTACACCAAGATCACGGGTGGCCAGCGGATAGATATGTTTGGCGCAAAGAAGCAAGACTTGCTCGACATCTGGAAGACGCTTGTTGATGCTGGCATGGAAAGTGGCCACGCATATGCCAAGTCCCTGCGGACGGTCAAGAGCTGTGTTGGCACGACATGGTGCCGATTCGGTATAGGCGACAGTGTCGGGATGGCAGTGCGGCTTGAGGAGCGTTACAAGAGTATCCGGGCTCCGCACAAGATCAAGGGAGGTGTGAGTGGCTGTGTGCGTGAATGTGCGGAGGCGCAGAACAAGGAGTGAGTGTTTCTTCTCTCGACAATATTGCCACACTGGAGACTAACCCATGGCATAGCTTCGGACTCATCGCCACAGAGAAAGGCTTCAACATCTTCGTTGGAGGCAACGGCGGCGCAAAACCCAAGCATTCCGAACTCCTCGCCAAGGACGTCCCACCATCAGAAGTCATCCCCATATTAGATCGATATCTCATGTTCTACATCCGCACAGCAGACAGGTTACAGCGCACAGCCAGGTGGCTCGAGGGCCTGCCCGGCGGTATCAAGTATCTCCGCGAGGTTGTCCTCGACGACAAGCTAGGCATCAACGAGTCCCTCGAGGCACAGATGGCCGAGCTGGTAGATTCGTTCTTTGACGAGTGGGCAGAGGCCATCAAGAACCCGGCGATAGCGGCCGAGTTCAAGCAGTTCAACAACACCGAGGAGAACATCGAGAACATGGAGATCGAGCGCGACCGGGACCAGCCGCGGCCCGTGTTCTGGGCCAAGGAGCCGGCCAGGGACGACTTCAAGGGCCTCAAGGAGAAGTGGTCGTCGACGACCTGGCAGCCCGTCATCGGCGCGTCGCACTTTGACGGCGCCGACAGCCTGCCCAACGGCATCTCGGCCACCATCAAGCGCGGGGACACGCAGCTGGCCGTGTGGCGCATCCGGGGGAAGTACTACGCCACCCAGCAGATGTGCCCGCACAAGCGCTCCTTCGTGCTGTCGGACGGCCTCATCGGCGACGAGAAGGCCGAAGGGGCGGCCGCCCCGTGGGTCTCGTGCCCCAACCACAAGCGCAACTTCGACCTCGCCGGCGGCGCGTGCAAGAACGACAGCGAGCTGTCCATCGCGACGTTCGGGGTCGAGGAGCGCGACGACGGGCTCGTCTACCTCAAGCTGCCGCCGGTGGAGGAGCTCGACGCCGCGCTCGGCACGGCCAAGTGGAGGGTCAAGAAGGGCGAGGGCGAGGGCCAGTTCGCCGAGCTGGACAAGAAGATACACTTTGTGGGCACCAGGGCCAAGAAGCCCGGCGTCAAGCCCCATGTCGAGCTGCCTATGAAGAGGCCGGTCGAGCTGATGTCTGGTGGCTGTGGAGGCGCTGGGCTGGATTGGTAATACTCACGGTGTATATACATGCCATTTTCAAGCACATGAAGAGAGTAGAAACATCCAAAGAAGACGATCTCCTCTGGACCTTATTTCTCTGCAATTCACCGGTCAAATGAAACCGAGACAAGTAGATTGTACTATGAAATAATTAGATCTACCAGCATCATGCCGTTCAAGTGCTTCCCACAGCCCAAAGGTGCAAACACCACACACGCGTCTCGAAGGCCGTCCACTGAGGTCTGAACAGAAAAATTAACCCAGTGTGCATCGCCTTCATTCCATGGTTATCGTCCAATCATCCGCTCGGAACTCCGTCCCTTTGCGCCTCCGTCCCAGGCATCTCAGATCCTGAAAAAGTTGTTGGCCTGTGTGCAAGTGCAGATAAAACATACCGGTCTGTGGTAGAAAGCATTGCCGGAGATAAACAGGTTTCTGGGTTTGTTTCGAGGTCGGGCAAGGTTTGGCACGAGCGAAATCTGTTGCCCACGCCGACGAGAACTTGTCCCACCCCACAAAGAATGAGGCCGCTGATCGCCCCAGCAAGCACACCGTGCAGTAGATCTCGAAAGTTTGTGCCAGCAAACATGATCAACCGCCTGCCTCTGGGTGAGCGTTCGGGTGTGCACTGGCGACTTACCTTCTCCGCCAAAGCCATCTCAACTCCGAGGCCGAGCCCGTGACGGAGTTAAAGTTGAGATGGCAGTGGCCATTGGCCAAGACTCCGCCTCCTGAACCACATTCGAGGAAGGTTTTGTCGCGACCGCCCGCCTAACCTTGACTCTTGACAATCAAACTTCGCGTGTAAGTCATTCGCCTTGCTGGCAGCCCGCGACAATGATCTTTCGAGACGACTGTCGATGGCCTCTCAGAGGGCGACCAGACGGGGTATATAGAGAGGCCACTCCAGCCCTTTCGGAGGCCAGAGTGTGAATCGCACCGATAAAAGTTATTTCCTAATATCTTCGCCTTCACTTCAAACACTCATTGATCGACTCTTTTCTCCCCCCAACCGCCTTGAAGGCGCCAGTCTTACCTCACGACGCTACAGAAGAAGCCATCCATCCACCAAAAATGCGTTTCGCTCTGGCCCTCGCTGCCCTGGTGGCAGCCGCCTCTGCCCTCCCCTCAGCCCCGCAGCCCGCGAGCAAGCACGGCCTGACGACACGCGAGGACTTCGTCGAGGACGACTTCGAGATCCAGGCCGAGCCCGACGACAACGCGAAGCGCCAGGCCGTGGCGGGGACCCGGTCCGTCGACTGGCCCGAGGTGAGTTCTCCGGGAGGAAGGCTTTAAATTCTATCCATCTATACATCCATGCATTAGTCCGCTCATCCACGCTGTCATCCACCACCCCCTCGAAACCCTTTGTGTTCGACATATTCCCATGTGGCCATCGATTGTGCTGACTCGCTCTCCTTTGCATGACATAGGACGACTTCGACATCGGCGTCCCGGCGCCGCTAAGGTTCAAGGACAGGAAGGCGCGTGACACGGACGGCTTCCCAGAGGACGACTTTGAGATCACCCCGGAGGCTGACGATTAAATGAACACGCGCCTACAGTGGAGGAGGGGCCTTGCTCTTGGTCTGCGTGCGTGACTTGCCTTTTTTGTGTGGGAATCTGTCGCTTTATCGCTATTTCGTTACCGGGACGATGCGGTGTGGTTGTTTGACGCAAGCTCGAAGCCTAGGTCACCAGCATTTATACATACATAGCTGGTTTGACTAGGTATGTGGGAAGAATGCTGGAGGAGCAGACTCTTGTCAATCGTTAATAGTGCGCCTGGGTATACACTTTGGCAGAAGAATGCAAAGAACCTGTACAACCCTTCGCACATGTCAGATTCTGGTGAGCTGTTCTGTGATTGTACTTGAGAGAGAACATCTCTACACGTACAGTCAGTGGACAAAAGTTCCGCCACACTACCATTTTCACACCAAAAATCAACAAAACTCACTAAATTTATTACCTTATATCTCAACCACCATAGCTTTAATTTATTTATAACTTTTAAATATATAGTATAAGATGAATAAAGTATATAATATATATTTCTTAGATTTTGAAAAAACTTTATTTTAAAAAATTATAATTTTTTAAATAATACCTTTATATTTTAATAATTATTTTAAAAATATTAAGTCCCTTTAAGAATTAAACTATTCATATTTTTATAAACTTTAATGATTAAAATAAATATGTGTTAAATCTTATAGTTAAATTTAAATGTTCAAATATTAAATTTGTGGAGTTCTCACTGTGGCGAAACTTTTGTCCACCCACTGTACCGGCTTGCTCGCGTTCTAATTCTGATGTAGCACATGTCTTCGGGAATCCAGCTGAACAAGAACAGAACGGGATGGGAAGAAGAGAGTATGAAATTATGTAGCAGCTACAATCCATATAATGTAAGACGAAGGAAATTTTTGCACACCAAGCACTCGTGTCTGGGCCTTGCCCCCGTTTTCAAACACCGTACGCACGTTGTTGTCGAAACCAGAAACACAAATAAAGCCTCCCAAGTAGCCAGCCCCCGTCATCTGCCCGGCCTTGGCCGGCGCCAGAGAGCAGACCCAAGCTCGCAATACAGTTTTGCCTCCCAACATGAGCCGTTCAGTCGATGCATCCCGGGGATTGATGTCCCGCTCTTAAATGCAGTATATATACAGTGAATTCCCATCACGCGTTTACGCATCGCAACCTGGACAAAGGAAACATGGTTATCAGTTTTGCAAAGCTGAATCTCACAGACCAACTGAATCGCACAAGCTGTCTTCGCTGTCGCACTCGCTCATCGTCGCATAGCCTTGATCCTCAGCCATGCCGACAACGCTCTTGGTCACGTTGAGACACCTCTCCACCAGCTTCTGCCGGAGTTTACGGTCCAGCCCTGGTCTGTCGCCTTCCTCACTGCCGATCCATATCCTCAGTGTTCCCGCCATGCGCTCGAGAGATGTGGCGCATGCCTCGGCAGCCACCGCGTGATTGTGTAGACGCTGCACCAGGTGGAAAGCCGCCGTGCAGCCCAGTAGCGAGAGGCCCTCGGTCGATCCAGGGAGAATTCCATCGATGATCGAGAGAGCGCTGTGGGGCGGAGTCTCGTAACGCTCCAGGTGTGCAATGGCCATGCTGCAGCGCAAGGCCATCTGGACGTCGGGATCTGGGACGATGAATGACATGGGAGAGTCGATCAGGGGTGGGACTCCTTGACTGTAGCGGGGGTGCTTGTCGGGGTTCAGGCTTGGGCCCATGGCCTTTAGAGTAGTGGCAATGTGCGCCCCTCGCTTCTCCTCTACGAGCACGGCCTTGGCGACAAGCGCGCGCACCTGGGCGTTCGAGCCGATAGGTGCTACCTTGACTGCCAGGTTGAGGTCATCACCCGTGACTGTGACCTGTGCGGCCTTGTCCTCGACCTCTACGAGGCTGGCTGACAGGAGTCGCTGCAGCATGAGGCTCGACCACCAGGCTGCGACAGCATCCATGGGGGACCGGACGGCTGGATCCTCCACAACGGCATTCATACCGTCAACGTCGGAGTCGATGTTGTGCATCGTTGGGCGGTTCCACGCGAGGTTGTTTGCACGCTGCACAATGTCGTCGTTGAGAACATCGTCACAGTCTTGCTCAAGTAGTACAGCCAGGTGCTCTGGAAGCTCATCATCTGACGAGGCGGGTTCGTTCCGACGAAGTGAGTTGTTCAGCCTGTATAGCTGTCTCGCTTCATTCCACCTGGACCTGGCCAACTTAGCAGCCAGAACATTGTGGAGGCCTTGCTTGCCCAGCTGCCAGAGCAAGACGCGCATGTGAAGAGCATTTAGCATCAGTCGCAGAGGCGTGTCTGGCAGGGTTTTGGCTGCAAGCAGTGTCAAAGTCAGGCGGCTCTTGTTTATCTCAACATCTCCTCCGGCCAATTGCGCGTCCAAGGCTATTGTCCAGGCCTTGACTCTGGCTGTCTCTTGTTCCTCTGTCAGCCCGGTCAACATCTGGTAGCCCTGTATGCCCATCATGTTGCGCAGGCTAAGCTTCATCGTCTTCAGGATCAAAGCCGCAGCCTCGAGGAAGAAATTGTGCCGAGGCACCCAGACGGTCTGGACAGCCGTGAGCCAGGCCTGCCTCCGGACATGAATGGGCGAGGCCAATGATGGCACCTTCTTTAGATTCGCATTGCTGATCTGGGCCGTCTTATCCGTCTTCGGCGGCCTAGGCGCGAAGAGAGAAGGAACGAAGACCCAGAGCAGGGCGCCGAGCAGGAGCAGAGATTTGATGGTAGATATTGTTTGGTATAGGGAGAACGAGTACCCTGCGATGCTGACGTGCGAGCTTCCCACCAGTGGACCCAGGAGCTGCAGGGGAATAGCGAAGAGCCCGCGGCCCTCGGGTGACTCGTTGCTCTGCTCGTTCTCGCGAGCGGCCTCGAGTATCATCAATCCTGCGAGCGAGCCGACCATGAATTTTCCAATGTAAGGGCTCGCGCCCTGCCAACGGTTGGCCTGCATCTGTTGTTGCTGCTGGATCTGTTGCTGTCGCATGATGGCAGGGTTCTGCTGGAACTGTTGCTGCGGGACGGGGTATGGTCGCCCAGATGCTAACTGCTGACTGATGATGCGCTTCATGTCGTCGGGCACCGGAATCATTCCTTGTGGATCCAGGCCTCTCGGAGTGCCCACCGGCGTGTTCATGAACTGAGAAGCGTCCTGGCCAAACTGCATGGGCGAGTTCTGATTCTGGACCGGGCTCATCGTGCCGTTCATAGCGCTTGCCATGAACAGCTTTTCGAAGGCTGAGATCCTCTGCTGCATGGCGCTGTTCTCGTCATTGAGGCGATTATTTCTCTTCTCGAGATGGCGTATGTACTCTGTCGCTTTGCTCAACACCTGTGAGTTGTCTGTTAGCCCGTGTCTCGCGACTCAATGCCGCTGTCACAATCTCACCGTAGCTTTATTCAGCTTGTGTGCGGGTGTCAGGCCGTGCAACTCCTCTCTGTCCTCGGTGGTGTCTTCTCCTCTCGCGCTCTTGGACAGCACTCGCAAGCTTGGAACGCTGTCGCGCAGTGCCGCAATCTTGTCGTTCAGATTAGTCCTGTACCGCTTCTCAATCATATTGTGTGCGGTCTTCTTGACCGGCTGCTGGCTCTCGTCGTCATCGTCGTCGTCCAGGTCGTCAAAGTCGGCGGAAGACTTGCGCTTGCGGCTGCCTGGCTTTGACGGGTCGGGAGAGCCCGCCTTGTGGCCGTCGCCATTGCTCGATTGGGGGCTTAGTTGGCTAGGCTCGCTCTTTGGGGACTGGTATTGCAGGTGAGGCGGCATGGCGATGTTCCTAAGCTGTTCCTCCTGAGCTGGTGTCAGGGTAGACATGCCGGCTACGACGGGGCCCTGAGGAGACGAGGAGTCGCCAGAGTTGGCGGCTGCGCTATTCATGAAGGCGGTGAAGAGTTCGCCGTTCTGAAGCTGTAGGGCCGGCGGATTACTGAAGTTGGGGAGGCCGTCCGTCCTGGGTCGGTACTGGAGGGACTGGTTTGGAAAGGTGGCAGTCGGAACGTTCCAGTTGTCCGGGAACAGGTTCAGGCCCTCGAAGGGCTCGCCGTCGCTGGGACCAAGTGGAGGGGTGAACTGGCTGGAGTCGGTCCAAGCGGCTGAGGCAGCGAAGTCGGAGAAGCCCGGATCGGGGGCTGAGGTGGTGACGGGATCGGGGCTGGGACCGACGGCGGCGGCGTTGTTGGTGAGAGAGTACTGTGAGGGGGATCCTGATGCTGATCGTGGACCAGGTCGGGATCCTGAAGCTGGCGCGGATGCGGATGCGGATGCAGGCGCGGGCGCGGGTGCAGCAGAGGTTGGGGCTGAGGAGGCCGGGTGGGGATTGCTGGACCGGTAGTCGAAGTTGTCGAGGCCAGCATTCCAGACTTGCTGGGGATCTTGGTGTTGATCTGCCATTTTGGGCAAAACGGAGGGCGTCAGGACCGACGGGCGAACCAGACCGAACGGATGGTAATGCTTAGACCGTTCCAGCTATGCAGAGGTGGTTCGACATGAACGCGTGACAAGACAGGCAAGGCCCAAATGAGAGATGGGGAGAGCAGCGATGGGTAAGATGGGCCGGGTGGAGGGGCCGCGCGGGAGATGGGAATGAGTGGCTCGGCGCCTCGCTTCGATGTCGCAGGAGAGCGTCCGTTCGCGCAAGAGGGGGCACCAGCAGGGCAGAGCTTTTCCTTCTACCCCTTGGCTCGCCGAATGATTGATCACTGACTGTCGCTCCCACGGAGACACGATGTGCTGCGGTGGGCTATCTGGGTGCGATTTGCTTCAATCACGACCCAGATCCATTCAATAGGTGGCAGCACAGCGTGAGCAGCTGGTTGTGCGCCGCGCCTGTGTCGCTGCGTGCGAAGCCCGTGCTCCCTGGGGGCTGCTGGACTGATTGATTGATTGAGAGATTGAGCTCGACTCAACCCAATTGACTATCTTGGTTACGGGGTGCGCCCTGCACGCTTGCTTCGGCCCAAGGGACCTCGGTGATGATGATGCTGGAGTGCGGCACCTTGATGCTCGGTGCTCGTTGCTCAGCAGGTCTGAGGACGTCTCAGGGCGTGCCCCAGGAGCATCAGAGGCAGGCGTCAAGCGTCAAGCGCAAGGTCGGCTTATGTCACCCGGATCGACTCGACTCGACTCGACTCGACGGGGCGGGATGGTGCGTGAGCTGTCCTCAAACCGGTGACCTCTGGCCTGGCCGTTCCTGATACGGTCGGTGGGAGATCGGGGGGGGGGGCTCAACGGAGTGGAATTGGGATGGGACGTCAACGGCACGGGACGGTGGGTTCCGTATCGTGGGATGTCGTAAGGTGTCTGGGTTTGTCTGGGCCGCAAGACGGACGCTGTAGCACGAGTAGGCCTGGCGAGAATGGATGGGCCGGGGGAAAAATGGGATTAGTGGTGGTGAGGGATGGAGAGAGAGATCGTAAGATGTCAAGGTCGGGAAGCAGAACGATAGGGAGCAGCGCAAGTTTCAGAGCAGCGCATCAGTCGATTTTCTTGTATAATGGCATGGAACACAAGAGGCCGGCCGGGGGGCGCCGGTAGTACCCATCCTACCGCACCGCACACCCAGACACCCTGGGCACTCTGCCTGGGAACCCAGCACAACACGTCCCTGGGCTGGCTGGGCTGGGCAACCTAACTGCGTAGGCACCGTACTGTGCTGCTAGTAGGGGCCCCCTCCTGGGTCCTGCCCAGCCTGGGCCAACAGGACTGAGCAGAAGAGGATCCAAGGTTCCTTGCTTCGTTGGCAGGGGCGATCGATGGAGGTGCCCAGCCTATGGGACGCCCGGCCCAGGTACGAGCGGACCCGCAGTTGCCAATCACGGCCGGCGAGCCACAGCCAGGCTGAGCCAGACCAGCCATACTACGGCCAGAGTGGCCAGTCCCCTCAACTGTCAACGGCAGGTGGGGTCCAGCGTCCGTCCTGTGGTGGGGAGACAGTAGGAACAGTGGGCGACCGCCCCTCTTCACACGGCCACCATCGCCATCACCCTTCACCATCGCCGTCGCCGTCGCCGTGCTCATACGCAAGTGAGCGAGACACCGACTATCGACTCGACTCCCGGCTCTCGACTCAACTCCAATTGACTGACTGGACTTGGCTGAGCTGGACTGGTCTGGATTGGATCTGGCTGGAGTTGGCCGACCTCGACCTCACCCGACTCGACCGCCTGTTTCCTTCCACCAAGCTCAAGCTTCCAGGATTGACTCAGTGGGGACGGGACAGTGGCTGCTCATCCCCCCAATCTTGGTCCCCGAGTTTATCAGACGACCCGATTCCGAGCCTCGACAAGTTCTGTCTGCGTCGCACACCGAACGCCGTCGCAGCCATCGCAGTGATCGCACCCTTGGACTGCCCATAGTCACAAGCTACTTGCTCACTTGTGGCCAGACGTGGCTACAGCAACCGTATTCTAGAACAGGCACAAATCTCCACATGGGACACTGCGCCCTCTCGGTCTCGGACCCTCTCGAAGCCATCGTCTGTCCGGCCGAGACAGTGTCTGGGACGACTCCAGAATCGGACGAGAGGCGTACTGACTATCAGGACCATTGGCCGTGTCTTCTCCGCACATGGCTTCAGCTCTCAGCTCCGGGCTCCTCGCCAGCCAGACCTCACAAGGATCCTCTAGGGTCATCAGGCATCCGTCAGGTCCGGGAAGGAACTAGGAAAATCTAACCCCCAAACTCGGGTCCTTTGGCCCTGTAGCATTCCACTGGCGGTTTTCGAACTCTGGGTAGCTTGGTTCTTTTACACTCAGACACCTCGGATCTTACAAGCTTCACTGCACGCACATCACGAACGGCCGCACATGGGTGTGGAGGAGCTGGCTAACAAAACTTTCCTACGCACACATCCTCAGCAGCTACCGCTCACGAGACCAATGGCTTATCGTCAACATTACGACAACTTCACATGTTACAGACTTCCCGAATAAGAACGGACGATGATCTGCGGGCTACCCTGGATTTCTCTCGAAAATTCAAAAAACATGAGTGTGGTATGTGGCAGGGACTCAGCCTTAAACCGTTGCCAGAGGTCTCGACTGTCGTCATTCCGCATCACGATAAGGTTTGGTCGTGCGCCCCCTCCGCGATCATGCAACTGCATGTGTCAGTCGCCCGCGTATTTGCCCCCCGGCAGTCGTTCTTCATGGACAGGATTGGGAGCTAGAACTCTTCTTTTCCTCGGACCAAGCAATCAAATACCAGAATTGTGTGACTGACTGCAGCACACACTTCTTCTAGAAGGAAACCCCTCGACCCATTCCTATACTACGGCGTGGTTCCAACACACTAGACTACGTGGTCGTCCGATCCGTCCGAGTCCAACGAATCGCGGGAGGAACCGCACTGCTTTCCGGTAGTATTCTTATCGAGTGTGTATGTGGTGGCGTGCCGCACCAGCTGGGTAACAGACACAGTGTCGAGCGAGCTCGAGCTTCGCGTGGTGGCCCTAGCAGTCAGGCAGTCAGCAGCCTGGCACACCCACTTGGCGGCGGTTTTGCCTTCGCTTGCCTGGTGTTTCAGATGTACGACACAAACATCAGCGCCAGCTTCACCCGGCCAAGCATTTTGCGAACATCCAAGCCATCTTGTCACGGTTAAATGACCCCGTGAACCGGGTCGGTGACGCCCTCTTGCTTGGTACTGATATGTCGTTGCTCAAAATGCAGGCCCGTAGAACTATTGTGGTCATCAAGGTATTATATTCCAAACGAGCCCAGCGCCCAGGATAACATATGCGACTCTACTGAAGATTAGAATAAAGAAACAAAAAAGGTTCCTGTCTGTGATCTGCCAAGGACCATCCAACCAAGAAGTCGCCGCCGCAACGGCTTGGGTGGGCTCGGCCTTTCCACCGATGCCCGTACCCGTACTGCGTACACCCTCCAAGAGCTAGGCCTCCTAAGTTTCCAGCTATCCACAAGTAATATCCAAAGAGCTTGTGTACCCAAACTTTGACAAAGGATCTGCGGCATGACTAGCTAAAATCCTGCCAACCTGGCTCGACATCCTGTCTATTCCACGGCCAATTGGCCCGAGCCAGCTGCTCACCAGATGTCCTCGCTGCTCTGAACCATCTCCATCGTTGGAGTCTTGGGCTCCATCCTCCTCATCCTCTTCCTGTCGGCCTTGGTGACGAGGCTGGGCGTGATGGGCACCACGGGCGAGAAGGGCTGGTACGGCGAGTACGGGACCGGCGCGCCGGTGTGGGGTGTGCGCGCGGTGCCCAGCCCGGGCGACAGCGGGCCGGCCCTCTCGAACACGGTCTGCTTGACGGTGCGGTCGTAGGTGTTGGGCGACATCAGCGGCGGCTCGTAGGCACGCAGTGGCAGCGCACCGCCCGTACGCACCGCCGAGGGCGCGTTGGGCCGCGAGAAGGTCGCGCCCGGCTTCGGGGACGACGGCAGCGAGTTCAGGCTCGGGAAGCGGTTGACCCCCGGCTTGGGGCTCGAGGGGAGCCCCGAGGCCTGGCTGTCGCGGACCCGCTCGCCCCGCCTGACCAGCGGCGTCGTGGATGTCTCCGACGTAGCGGAGATGGGGTCCGCCTCCGTCGCGGACGACTGCTGGCGTGAGTGGTAGTAGTGGTCTTGCGTCTGTCGCTCCTCCTCTTCCTCTTCCTCGTTGGATTCCTCCGGCATGTCCCTGTCCTTGCCCTTGGCGGCCATGGCGCGGAGCCGCTCGTCAATGCTCTGCGTGCTCTCTGGCGAGATGTCGTCCGGCGGCGTGAGAGGGGCCATGTGGACGTTCCGTCGCTGGCTGAACGTGCCGTTGCCCGCGGGGACTGGTGGCGGTGCAGCCGGTGCGTAGTGCCGTGGCGGGATGGCGTTCATCTCCTCGCCGGCGTACTGGGGCGGGAATGTGCCTGTCATGGGTGTCATGATCGGCGAGGAAATGCTGATTGCCTGCACCTTCTCTTTCTTCTTCCCCAGCGGGGACTTTAGGGCGGACAGGATTGAGGAGGTCCGGGACTGCGTCTTTTCCGACTTGGCGTCGGCGCTGAGGTTAAGGTTTGCGGGTTTGTTTCTCCCCTTCTTCTGAAGCATGCTCTGTGATGAGGCATTCTGCTGCTGCTGCTGCTGCTGCCCTGCACCAGGGAAAGTGGGCCCTTTGAACTCGACTCCCGCTTCCTTGGCAGCCTCCTGCTCCATCACATACTTGTACATATCTTCTAGCTGTGCCTGCGCCATGACTCTGTCTAGTTCGACGACGGACTGGTCGACGTTTGGATCCAAGCCTGGTCGTCCACGAAGACTGCCGTCTGGTGATGGGAGAATATACGGGGTTTGCTCCCGTGTTCCTGTTGAGAATTTCGCCGAGGTGGGCGAGGGGAGAGAGAAGTTGCGGACGTGGCCCTGGACGTGATCCTGGGTATGGATTTTTGGCAAGTCCTGGAAGCTGTGCTGTGGGGGACAATCCTGGCCTCGAAACTGGAAATCGTCCTGTGACCTGTAGGCAGAGAAGCGTTCGGCAACTTCGACTGGAACGTGTGAGTCCTCCCAGGTAGTGAAGTCCTCTCCTGCTCGGAGATGCTCTCGCCGCCTTTTGGATAAGCTCAGTAGGATGATGGCGACCAGCACCAGAGAGAAAGCGTAAGAGCCGACGATTCCGCCGATCTGAGCTGGTAGGTATGCTGGATCTCGGAGGGCGTATTTTGCTCCCGCGGGACCTTCGTCGGGCGGAGGGGCAGGGCTCCAGTCGATGCCGAGGGGGTTATTGTTATCCCTCTTTTCCACCAGGTGCGGCCTGGGTGTGTGTGGTGCAGCAGCAGCGGCTACCAAAACTGTGACGAAACTTGAAGTGAATGAAAGAGTGATAAGAGAAGTGGGAGGTTTGCAAAGACCAAGGGGCATTGTGAGGGTCAGACGAGAGAGTTCCGGGGCCAAGGCTTATTTCTAGTAGACCAGACGGTTGCCATCTACCTTCTCCACCGGAACTAAGGCGTGATGGGGTTTGGATTGTTTAGTTCTTAGTCAAGGTATGATGGGCCGAAACGCATTGTGATAGAGATGTAGCATGGGGACGCAGGAAAGATCAGCCTCCAGAACCGTTCAGAGGAGAGGCAGAAGGGTATATAGCGGCTGTTGATACCGGAGCGATGCAGAGGCGAGGGACGGGGCGGGCGTGGGGACAATGCAGCCACTCAAGAGCGCAATGCCGGCTTTTCTCTCTGCAACTTGTGCCAATGGGGCCGGCTCGCGCGTGGTGGACGCCCCCATCTCGGGCCCCAGGCACGCAGGCACAAATGCACACAGGTACAGGTGGGCAGGGCAGGGCACGGCGGCAGCTGCATGGCAGGCCTCTTCTGGGCTGGGACTCGTCGAACGAGGCCGCACATCGTCGTGATGTCGCGGTGGGCTTGCAGCACCGGGGGCAGGCCAGAGCCCTGTCGTGTAATGTGGTTGGCTGGAGCGCGGGTGGGTGCGCAGGGGGCCAGGGGTCTCTAAGCGCCCGACATGCGATGGCACCGGCGACGCCCTGCGTGATTGGGTGGCCGTGGTGTTCCCCGCCCATTTTGATATTGCATCCTGTCCTGCCCTCGAGCTGCCTTTCCCGCCTGTCCCATCTCAGCCCGTGTGAGGTCTGCTGGGGTGGGAGGTGATGGATTTGGATGGCGATCTGCAGGCGATCAGATCCTGCTCTTGTGCGATGCTGGCGGTGACGGGGCCAAAAGAGGGCAGTCGTCGCCTAACCTTAAGTCGCATCTTCGAGTCCCGGCATTGACGGATGCTTCGCCATGCTGCCCTGGCTGCATCCTCGTCTGATGAGATGGGAGCATTCCACCTCGGGTCGAGACGTATTTTGAAAGGACCCCTAGACATGGCATGAAGTCCACTCCCATCGCCCATGATGACACAGCATCAATGCACACAGTTTTGTACCCGCCCAGGTCAGGTGGGCCCGTACTCATAGCGTGAGATCAACGCTCAACACCCAGCAAGGCACATTGCAATCGATGTGCTGGTGGATGGAAGGAGGCGTGATAGCCGACTGGATTGGTGGCTCCCCAAAGCGAACCAGACTATCTGAATGGCCTCCTCGTGGGAACAAGATACTGTCGTCTCTGCTCCCTGCGTGGGACGAATGTGATGTGACTGAGCTTGTTTAGCGCTGACATCGTGAATCTGGTTGAGGGCCGTGGTCCGTGCGGGGGTGCTTACGTGATGCTCCTCGACTTGTGGGAGAGCTGTAATCCGCAGGAGGCAGGTGATCGCGCGGAGGCGGCGTGCGGTCGATGGACCCTCTCCCGTCACCGGCCGCTTCCCGAGACGCGTCTCAAGTCTGTTGTACACAGACAGTGACATTCAACTCGACGCATTGCGACGCGAATTTTGACACATCGTGGTCCCGCTCTTGTCACCGCAGGATGCTTGTTCTGTTTCTCGTTATCCATCATCATTAACCAAATCTTTCCACCGCGTTCATTGGAGTCTGGCGGCGCGTGAGGTTGTGTTTTCTGCCACGGTCATGATGGCTGCTGCACCACCAAACAATGCCTCGGTCCTCGGCCTCCTGAAACTGAACCATGCACAACGCAGGGCGGTGTGCTCAGAGGCGGCCACCGTTGCCATCATGGCTGGTCCAGGCAGCGGGAAGACACATACTCTCACCTCGCGTGTCGTCTGGCTCATTGACGCCATGGGCTACGAGCCACAGGATGTCATTGTTGCTACCTTCACCGTCAAAGCTGCCCGCGAGATGCGAGAGCGCATCGGCCGCGCCCTGGGGGACGGCCGCGAGAACAGGATGGTCCTCGGCACATTTCACAGCATTGCCCGCCGTTATCTGGCGGCGTACGGCAGGCACATCGGCCTGGATCAAAAGTTCGCCATTGCCGATGATGCCGACTCAAGGGCCATCATAAACCGCATCTGCAAACGCCTGCAGTTGAGCATAGACCCTGTCCAGGCACGTGCATGGATAAGCAAGAGAAAAGCCAAGGGCAAAGAGTGGAAGCCCACCCCTCTGCAGAGGAAACGCAGCGGCGAGGCCGCGGAGGGGGCCAGGTCCTTCGAGCTGTGCTACCGGGAGTACCAGCACCATCTTGAACGATCTAACCTTCTCGATTATGACGACCTCCTCACCCGCTGCGTTGAGCTTCTTCAGACCAACCCGGCCTGTGTGTCCAACGTGGATGCCGTGCTCATCGACGAGTACCAAGACACGAATGGCATTCAGTACGAGCTCATGCGCCTCCTGGCTCAAAAACGCAACAGGATCACCATTGTCGGCGATCCTGACCAGAGCATCTACGGATGGCGGTCGGCAGAGATCAAGAACCTCCAACGTCTCTTCGAAGACTTCCCCAACACAGACCAGATATCCCTAGAGCAGAACTATCGCTCATCGCAGGCCATTCTGGACACAGCTCTGAGTGTCATACAGCAGGACTCGAATCGCTATGAGAAGGTCCTGAAACCTTTCCACGATAAGGGAACACGGCCCACGCTGCGGCGGCTGAAAAGTTCAACAGTCGAGGCGCAGTGGATAGTGAAGGAGATTGGCCGCCTGCAGCTGCTGTCTGGCGGCATGCTCGGACATGGCGATGTTGCCATACTCCTCCGCTCGGCATCGCTCTCCAGGAGCATCGAGTCTGCCCTTGGCCAGGCTGGCGTTGCTTACAAGATGGTTGGCGGTGTCAAGTTCTACGACAGGGTAGAGATCAAGATCATTCTTGACTACTTGAGAGTGATCCATCTGCCGGAAAACAATGATGCCCTGGCGAGGATTCTCAATGTCCCCAAGCGAGGTGTGGGGGACCCTACAATTAAGGCGTTGGTCGAAGAAGCAGAGCAGTCGTCCCTGAGTCTGTGGGCTTTGCTGGTCAAACACTGCCGCGGCGATCGACTTGCCAAGACAAGCATCAAAAAGTCAACGGAACAGAAGATAAGTGGCGAAGTAATTCGTCTCGTCCTGGACATCCAGAAAAAGATGGGCAGTCCACAAGACGAGAAGCCGTACGGTCTGGTCGACATCATTGATGAGATCCTCGCGAGAATCAACCTCGAAAGGTACCTCAAAGAGACCTACAGCGACACTGAGAATTTCGAACAAAGGTGGGCCAACGTGCAGGAATTTCGCGCTCTTGGGAACGATTTCACCAAGGATCTTGACAAGGGTCAAGAGGAAGAGCTTCCTGATGTTGAGGGGCTAGAAAAGTCAGAAGATTCTGATGTCCTGGCCCGATTTCTGGCCAACGTGGCATTAGCCTCAGACACACAGAAGAAAGCTCAAGAACAAGAGGCCATTCCCATGGTCACTATCTCCACCATACATGCCGCGAAAGGGCTTGAATGGCCCATAGTCTTTGTTCCAGCGGCTTACAATGGTTCGATCCCACATATGCGCTCTGAAGATAGCGATGAGGAGCGCCGGCTACTCTATGTTGCCATGACTCGTGCAAAGGCTTTGCTTTATATCAGTTGTCCATTGTCTAGCTCATCCCACGGCGGTGGCCAGTCCGAAGTAGAGCTCTCGCCCTTTGTCGAGCCAGTAGCGAAGACATTCGCCAAGATTGGGCCAGACCTCGAAAGCCATAAGCTGAAGGCGATCGGTACTATCCTGGGGCGTAACGCCCCCACGCAGGAAGAAATCTATGGCGAGCTTCCAGAAGGCTTTAGCCCTAACGACGACCTTTTCCCTGAAGACCCTAATCAGCAACAAGCAGCCGCAGACGCCAACTCAAAGTGGGACGGGCTTTCAACCGAGTCCTTCGGACGGAAGCGTCCTCGACTCGCCGTCCAGAGTGGCAACCATCGAGGCAACAAGGAGCCGCAATGGGCAAGAGGATACTCGACCACGATGAACCAGGCATCCACCTTCACGATGGCTTCGCAGCTCGGTTCCATGGTACCAGGGGGTCGTCAGGCCGAAAGGCTCTCGGACGGAATGGTGGGTAACACAACAGCTGGTCCTCCCTCAAAACAAGGGAGGACGGTGCGCTCAGCCGGTCAGGGCAGCCTTCTTAGCTTTGTCAAGAAGGATTCAAACTCAGCCTCGAACGATGCCGAGGTGATTGCACCCTGTTTCGCAGCTCTGCCGCATCCAAAGACGTCTCGTGTACAGCGAGATGAAGAGCGTGAGACATTCGCAAATAATCCTCCACGGGGTAGCAAACGCCCATTGATAGACCCTGGTTTTCTTCGTCACAAGGTAGGCAGTTCGAAGGTAGTGGGTCACATACTACCCAAGAAGCAAGAGACCAAATCCGGGAAGCACTACCCCCAATTTTCCAGTTCTCCACCTCGGCCACCAACACCAGACAAAGAGGTCGAATCCGGTAATTCTGGGGCGAACAACGAGAACATTCCTGAGCCAACGTCTATTCCCGCAAAGCGTCCTGCTGTCAGCTTCCACAACACCACCATGCAGAAGACAACAAGTGGTGTGCGCAGACCTCCAGGGTTGGCGGCCCCTCGGGACGAAGCTGCGGCATTGCAAAAACTTCGAAAGCCATTCAGGCCCCTGACAATGAATCGACCATAAAAGGCCGGGCCCAGCCCCCACAAAGCCACCCATGAACTGGCACTGCTGAGAGGCGAGTTCTCATTCATGATCAGGAATAGACTTTGGGCACGAATTGTGACGATCTTGCAGTAGAATGAGCGATCACGGGCACGAAAATCACCGGGCTCACTGAATGCCCTTCAGGGTAGTTATGCAGGCGACTCAAAGTCTGTCTGCTCTCTCCGTCCCTGAATACATATTTTGCCACCATGTTTGCTTCCTTGATCATTCACACAAAGTGCAGGAGACACAGGTCCATGGGCATCCCGAACATTTCGCCCCTGCGTGTTTCCTTTCAAGGTTCGAATGTCCCCGGATGTGACTCGCAGGGCATATCTCTGGCATCACATGATAAGTCCTAGGTGGCCTATTCAAGTTGGTGTCTCAACTTGCGAGAAGAAGAAGAAGGGGGGGGGGTTAATGGAATTGCAAACTGGGACAAACGGCAGCTTTGTGAACGCTCCTCGAGTTCCGGAAGCGGGCTCAGCCTTTGTCGGGCATGACAGCCGAATGACTGGGCGGGGAGTAGAGTTGGGTATTGTTACAGATGCTCATGGGTGTCATTGTAGACCTGATACCGTAGGCTGTGAAGCATGATTGATTGTTTTCTCCGCCACCTCCGCAAGAGCTGTGTCGCGTTCTTTCTTCTTTTCCACTTTCCCGTTGGCGACTGCCGTTGCACATCGCTTGCAACAGATGCCAATTGTTTACCTGCACAGGATTGAGGAAAACCCCTCAGACACAGCATGGCGGAACCTATGGACCGTCCGACATCACCATGGGCCGAACGCTTTTTGGTGAGCCAGTCTTGTATGTGCCTATTTCTTGTCCTGTTGCTGTTCCCGAGTCCACCAGTTGACCTTTATACTGCATATCTTGTTAACATGTTGTGTAGATCCTTGGAAGGAAGAAAATAAATCAGGATTACACCCCAAGTTCCCAGATATCGATGTGAAGTATCCTGACACGCTGTCCCCCGAGGCGAGGATCTATCTGAGGCTGGGAACCGGGTTGCCGCTGCCTAGTGACCCCGAGCTGGATCGATTGTTTCTCGATGAAAATTACCAGCAATATGACCTGAGCGGGTACTTCACCTGTGTGTAGTTTCTCTCCTAACCTGATAGTGGAATTTCTGACCCAGGATGGTAGGGCAAGCCCTGATTTTCGATACTCTGCAGCAGACTCAGCCGATGGACATGAGCGTAGATGAAACCTATTGGCTTCCACTTTTCGCTAAGAAGAGGTGGTATAATCTCGACCGCCCCCTGACCGATGGGTGGCGGGGGACACTGGATAGTCGTCTCGCAGCAAATGCAACTTTCAGCGTGGATGAGCCTGTGTTCTGGGAGAAGCTGTCGCCAGCAATCGAACTCGCGGATAGACTTATGCGGGCTACCGTCTACCACCCCTTGTACGTGGACTGCCCAGCAGTTACTCCCTGGACAAGTCTATTATCATCACCTTATTAACGTTGCCCATTGTAGCCTGGACGCGATCTTGGGAGTAAAGGCCACAGACTATTATCGTACGCAGATACTGCAAACCTTCCCCTTCTCAGTCTTCGTTCTTCATAAGCTCCATATCCATACCACATGTCCTGGTCTTTGCAACTGATTATTGGCATCTGCAGCAAATAACATGCAAGCTGAGGGCTTGGAATCGCCACCAGTCTTGGCAAAAAATAACACACCCCCACGGCTCAGCCAACAGGAATTGCTCGACACACTTGAACGATATGCGGAAAAGATTGTCATCACTTTCATGTCGCCTACAATGTCTGGAAACAGCCTAGGTAGTTCCCTTGGCATAACTACATCATTACCAGACCCCCACCTCCGCGGAGCAAACAACGGTGTCGACTTTGCGCTTCTGATGTTGAACCCTGTTTTCATCTGGCGGCTGCTGGATCCGAACGAATCGGTTAGTTCGAAGATGCAGGCCACCTTCATCTTGGCGATAACTATGGCCCACGAGATGGTGCACGCAATCTACAGAGTAAGAAACATGTTTGTTCCAGCAGCCGAGGTGCTTCAGGATGAGCCATTTTATGCGCCGCCTGGCACCAGACCGGAGGATTCAGCTTGGATAAGCGAGCTCGGGGTCTCGTGGGAACAGTCCATGATCAACGGCAGCGTGGTCGAGCGCCCAATCGATCGAGACTCAATAGGGGGGCTCTTCATGTTGTCGGGCGACGTTCCCAATAACGGCGTGGCCCAAGCATACGGCAGGGGCATAGATTTGGCCAGCCACGAGAACGAAAGATGGCACGCATATGCGCTTCCAGCCTTTGTGGCGCAAGCATACGGCTCGGATGAATTTTGGCAGACCCACGTCGTAAAGTACGGACTACCCGCTCTCTACTTTCCCAAATTGTTCAGAACTGAGTTGGACCTCTACGACGCTGGCGATCCGGCAATATGCCAGCTCGAATATGCCCTGAAGGAATTCCATCCGAAGCTGCAAGAATACGCTGAGAGGGCCAACACGCGTCAGAATCAATGGAGCCTTCTTCGCCCTTGGATCGTTGATAAAGGGAAAGAATGGCACAATAGTGTGTATTCCCAGCGGTGGCTGAGGGACCGCGCCGTGCGGTTCCGTGTCGCTCACAGACAAGGTGACGAATGGGTAGGTCAACAGTGCTTCAGAAATCTCGGCGCTACGACGAAATGGGGAGACGTCTTCACCACAAATGGCTACCTGCTGGATCAAGACGAGGACTGGACGGACCAAGCAATTGGGTACTTGATGATGGTAATCATGCCCATACGCCCGACGAGATTCAGGAGGCGGATCCCCTACTTCACACAGGATGAGCATTCACCAAGCGCTGCGGCCGCTGCCGACGCTGCCGCCAGAAATGCAAGACCATTCGAACTCAAGCTTGCAGGAGTCGAGGAAGACTGCGATGAGAGTGACCTAGAGGCGCGCAACATTAGCTTCGCTCCCAATGACCCCAACAATCTCATGGGCACTCGGGCGAGTCTCATGGCAATTCTGAAGGACGAAATCCCAAACCGTCAGAAGCTACACCCGGTTCCGGATCCCGTCTATCAAGCGCTTAAGGCAATGTTTGACAATGTCGACCGGGAGGAACCCCGGTATCAGGTCAAAGACAAATGGCTGTCTAACCAGATTGCTTTCGTTCTGCCTCCTTGGCAGACTGAGCAGGCAAAGAAAAATGTCGGATACTCACCCTCTTCTCAGTACGTCCCGTACAACCCCAGTGCCCAACCGCAGCAACATGTTCCCGGCGCCGCACAGCCGCCTCAGCAAGGTCCTGCCAGTGGACCTGGCCCGAGGACACCGGATTCGAGCTCGAGCTCGAGCTCATCCCAAAGCTCACCGTATCCCACCGTCTCCCGTCTGGGTACACCGGCCGGAGAAGGGAGCCCAGACTCAGCACGGTCTAGTCGTGGGCGTGTCGCACGCAGAGCGGGAGGGGCCGCGAAGGGCCTTGACGAAGTTTATTACACAGTGGGCGAGGTCGGGGACCATCTTTCGAGTGGCGACCTGTGGATCATCGCCGACGACGGAGTACATGGCTACGTTGTCTACGACGCGACGGACGTCATCGAGGAGATGCGGGTCGGCGACAATGTGACTTTCACCCTGAATGACCACTGCGAGAGGACCCTCCTGGGCCTAAAGGCTCTACCCCATCTCCAACGAAACCTCGAGGAGCAAGCTGAACCTCTGGGCAAGCTCATCCTGCCGATGAGGCGGCACGAAATTGCAGAGAGAGACGGAAGGCATGGGAAGCCTCTCTGGATTTCAGTCGGCAATGACGTGTTTGACATATCGAATTTCCCCTTCGAGGATGACAAGCAGCGAAACCTCATGACAAAAGTACCCGGGGGCAACCCCTGGAAGGCTGTTGTCAAGGATGGAACGATCGACTACGACCAGCTCAACATAGACCTTCAGCCATACCGATGCGCCGTGGTTGCTTCACAGGTACCCGACAAGGGACCAGGCCCCGCACATGAGTTCCACTTCACGCTACAAGAGGTAGCCTGCCACGTATATCCGGAGACGACAATGTATGCGATCATCCGGGGGCAAGTGTACAACCTGACCGGTTATATGGACTTCCACCCTGGCGGAAGGACCATCCTGCGGCAGTGGGCGGGCAGGGACTCGACCCAGGAGTTCGAGAGGTTCCACGCCGACGCCGACCGGTGCCTCGCGGACTTCGACTACCTCCGGGTCGGCCGCGTGGTCGCGGAGAAGGCAATGGACCAGCTCACACACAACGAGGTCGCGCTGAACGGGTACGTCTACGACCTCGGCAGGATCGGAAACGGGGAGCCCGAGAGGCAGTTCATCATGGAGCTCGACAGCCGCCGGCTCAGGGGCAAGGACATGACCTCGGTGCTGAACGACGGGTTCATGCTGCCACCAGAGAGCCTGAAGCTCCTGCCGGAGAGGCCCGACCTCATCACGGCGAAGCTGGCCGTGCCTCTGAGGGAGATCGACCTGGCCACGCTGCGCGCCAACAACGGCAGCCACATGACGCTACCTGAAGGCATGAAGGTACCCCGCAACCGCGTCGAGGCCGACCTCCAGATGCCGCTGTGGGTGGCCTACGACGATAGGGATGGCCGCGCCCACCAGAGGCGTCGCTTGTATTAGTGTCGGCCTCAACAAGTGCAGACAGGCAGGTATGGAGCGTCGTGGAGTGGTACGGATTTGGACGGGGAGAGTTGGCGGATTATGCTTGATGACGAATATCATACGAGGAACACTACCCGAAATCATGGTGCTGCAAGGGGATTGACCATTCCACATAGTCTTGGAGAACTTTTTCACAAGCAGACAAGGGAGGTTCACATGAGTCTTCGGAAGCGATGAAGGGGGCTTGGGAGTTGCTAATTTGTATAGATATGTATTTTCATTTGCGTTTCTTTTTATTTTTCGATATGTAAATGTTGCATAGCTGCTTCCACTTTAATGAAGCAAGATCCCGCCCTTTAGGCTTTCCCATGCGCAGCGAATATGCTCAAAACCTGTCTCGCAAACCCCTCTGGTTCCGAGACATATCCCAAGTGTCCACCAGGCGTGACATACAGGTCCACACCCACCTCGAAAGCCAGGATGGCGCTGATATCGCAGCTGGGAATATTGCACGTCTCGCCTATATCCATGACAAACTTGTCCTCCAAGCCCACCAGCTCAGGTATGCTCTCATTGACGGCAGTGTACGCGGCAGTCTCGTGCCCGAAGAACAGCTCCGCGTTGCCCCTGTTGGCAGGGTCCACCAGGGCATGATATGCAGCCTGCGTCTCGACGTCCGTCGAGTTGGCCGCGCCGGGGCCCAGGAACCCCAGCGTCGCAGCATCGATGCCATCGGCCAGGAACTTCTGGTAGATGCCCTCGAACACGGAGTAAGTCTCCTCGGCCCAGGCGCCGCCAAGGACATAGGCCAGCGGCGGCTCGTGGGCGATGAGGAAGTCGACCAGGCCGGCGTGCCGCTGCAGCAGCTCCAGGGCGACGACGGCGGTCGTAGGTGCAGACGGTGAAGTCCTGGGCGAGGTAGGGCGCCACCTCGTTGAAGATGGCGGCGTCGCCGTTGGCGCCTGGGATTGTGAGGAGGAAGGGCCCCGTGCCGAGGCACTGGTAGGCTAGGAGCGCCCCCTGGACTGGGAGGAAGGAGAGGACCATGGTCAGAATTTGACAGAAAGGTGGCCCGGCCCGTCCCTGGCCGGTACCAAGTAGGGTAATGAGTGGCAGGAGGTGCGTGCTGGTGACGAGGCCAGACCAACGGACTTGGTTCTCAGCGGACGCTCTGCATCTCATCCACCCGCCAGAATTCCAGGCGTTGTGAGCATTCGGTCCATCGAACGATTCTTGCGCATCTTCCACCGTCGGGATCCTGCTGTGGAGCTGTTGCCGACTCATGATGGACGTCCAATTTAACTACCTGGTCCTCGGCAGTTGCATCCGTCACGTCACATCACAATCGGAGAACTTTCGTCCGCATCGATCAATAAAAATGGAGACAGTTCATGACAGAAAAGTGAAAGGTTTCGACTGTTGGGATGGCCGAATAGGCTTCGAGATTACTCGCCTTCGTCAGCAAATAGATAAACAAGTTCGAGTTGGCTGATGGGCAAGGGCAGACCAAAAGTGAAGGGTCTTCCTAGAGGGAAACACACTCCTGAGCTTATTATTCGGGAGCACCCGCAGGATCGACGCAGTTTCCATTCAAACTCTGCTGGCAAAAGATCTCCATACATTTCTGAGGGGCGTAGAGCCCACATGTTCCATGCTGCCCTTGTTCAACCGCGGCCTCGGCGACTGGCGGTGAGATTGCTGAAATCCGAGAGCAGGTCCCGCCGTCCGTCGCCGTGAAGGATGTTTGCCTCTGATGGTCCTTGTCGCCGTCACCATGCGATGCTGCATGGCCTCATGTGTGTTTCCCAGTACGAGAACCCACCGTCATACCCTTGACACGAGATGAACTGATCTCATCTTAGGGGGCCCATGACGGTGAGTCAAAGTTCAGCCCAAGATCCGCAGGCAGCGAGGCTTCTCGCACTTAGCCTGGCCCGCACCGTTGTCAGTCCTTTCTGCGTACTGCCACCGACGCCACCGAGCAAAGTTGAGGCAACAGACTTGAGTCCTGAGCAGCCATGAGGCATATGGCACTCGGAGATGTGACTTGACATCCTCGATGGGGAGCACTTTGGCAAGGGCACACAGGCAGAATAGACCCTGGCGACAGGCTCGCCGCCGGTTGCCTGAGGTATTCGAGGACGGACTGTAAGAGCGGGATGGGATAGAATAGAGGCCGAGCATGGTGGAGCATTAGACCAGTCAACGTCTGGCCCGCGGGAGGCCGACGAAGATAGAGCTGCGCATTGCCCGTGGCTTGTTTGCCCTCTCTGCCCTTCTAATCCGTCCGTCACACCCTGCCGTCACTAGGCCACTTGGCCTGAGATAGCTATGCAGTGGTATCTTGCCGCCGCGTCATGGCCAGTCTCGCCCTAGGGACTCATGGTTCATCCCGCCATCTCGGGAGAGGCGGCCGAATAGATTGGCGAGCCTGCATAGGAAAGAGCATGGGCTGCCTGGGCGCACACCAGGGGAGAGAGGGACAGGCGAGCCACGGCGTCTTCTGCCGTTTCTTGCCGCTGGCGTTCGAGCCGCGAAGAGGATACCGCAAGGAGGGCAAGGTAAAGGCGGGGTATTCCCGTATTTCGTAACAAGTCAGAGTCTGCTCAAAGTCCGCATCAGATGGAAAGACGGCGTGTCAGGTCGCGGTGACGGTGAGTGTTACTGTACCCAGATAACCCTAGTAGGCATTTTGACCAAGACACAGATATCGATCTGCATTGTGACTGTGTCGGATAAGCAATCTGGAAATTCCGGTGGCACTGCCCATGGGAGACTGTCCCACTCAACAAAGGCTCAATCCAGTTACCGTCGTCCATCTGCTGCAACCTGATACGGAAGTCGGAGACCGCGCTGTGCCTGCGCAGATACGCAGACAGAGGTGATGGATATCTGCAGTCTGGCAGTGAATCAAACAGGTACTTGGAGTATTATTACAGCATAGTATGCAGCTAGTCGCGTGGCGCGTATGCAGGCCGAGGATGAAGAGCCGAATCTATCGACGGAGACAAGGTCAGCTGGACCATGCACACGCCCGAAGGCAAGCACAGGGGCGCATCCGCCTCCCCCCCCTCTCAACCCCCCACCCCCTTCCACAGCAACATGACAGTTCAGGGGGGGTCGCCTTCTCCTCCGTTCACGCGCCCGCGGCTCCCGTCCGGCTGTCAATGAGACAAGCTTGTTTTGGCCCCACAGCCGTGGATCCTGTCGATCTCCAAAGTAGGCTTCATCATTGTGCATTGGCTGAACTATTGCATGTGCATGTGCATGTGCATGTGTGCATATGTGCGTGTGTGCGTGTGTCTGCCCTGTCGCCTGTCTGTCTTTTTGCCCCCTTGGCGTGCCTGTGTGTCGCTCGCTAATTTGTTCATAGGTGCAATTGCCAGGCCATGGTGACGATATCGAATGCTCATGGCCAAGATACAGCACCGCTATGTGACGGGCAGCCTGTGTGAGTGCCGCCGAGTGGTCTTGTTTCGTTATCGCTCGCCCAGAGAAGCACCCTGATGGACGGCCTGGACGGTATAGAATCTGGGGAAGCCGGACGAGCAGGATGAGAGACAGGGTGTCACCTGCCACCGTCGACACTTGCTCGCAGGGACTCCCCGCTTGCTCTGCCCGGCACTGCCATCGCATAACCATGGTCTCGTCCGCGCTTCGACGACGTCGACGAGCTTCTGCCAGTGGCTCGCGCTCGACCCCGACACCACCTTCTCTTTCCTGACAGGCACCGTGGTTTCATTGGTGGCTGCCGGCTTTGTGAAATCTAAACTAGCTTCAGCTAAGCACCGTTTCCGCCCTCTTATCGACCCAGGAACACCCACCACCACCACCACCACCACCACCACGCAGCCCCAATGCAACGCCCCAGATTCACAGCCACCCCAACGCGGATCATGGGAATTCCTGCCCTCCTGGGCCCTGTTTGCCCCTGTGCGGAGACGGAATCACAAAGAGGGTGACACCGAGGGCCACGGGGAGGGAGGGCCACGGGGGAGTGACCTCTCGTCTCCAAGCCCGTCGGGTCCCATACTACAGTATGTAGCATGATGCAGCCCTCGAGAGAGAGATACTTCGTACACCGACCCGCGTGAGGGCCACCCTCTCCAATCTCAACGTCACGCAGGCCCACCTGTAAGGCAGGTCGACCAAGATACCTACTCTGCACAAGCCACTGGTGGAGACGAGTGACCAGGGACCACAGAGCATGTATACATGGCAGAGGTATTCTCGCCTGCCACTCTCTTGACGATCATAAGAACGACCGGCCATCCCGCATCGCAGCTACCCCCTTCTCTGATGACCCACCCCAGGGACGCTCACTTCTAGCTCTGTCACATCAAAGCTTGGCCTCCTTGGTCGCACAGGGTACGACGTGAACGCCATCGGACTGGGCGAACTGGCAACCTCATTCTTGTTGCTCTGGAACACCATCCACGGCCTCTCTTGCCCCAGCTTATCGAGATATCATGGCCCAACCCCTGTTTACGGACCGCAACGGGCAGCGGAGGGGTGTCTTCAGCATCTTCGCCATATTCTCGTTCCTTGCCCTGCTCCTGCTCTCTATTTCCGTGCTGAGCAGTAATCAGAAGCCAAGGTATCCTGCGGCCAACTTCGAGGAGCTTGGCCATGTCGACCTGGACGATGCACAGGAGGTCAAGAAACTACTCACTTCCAAGGTCAGAGCCTCGGCAGTAGGCGACCAGTACCTGTAAGCAACATGCCTTCCATGTCTCTTCGTCGGACCGACTGCTGACCACTCTGTGACTTGCACAGCATCGGAGTGGGCAAGGCTGACATCACTGGACCTGTCGTCGAGGTAGAGTTTGCTGGATATGCGGACCTGGCCCAGATCGGTACTGGTCTCCGCCAGCGCCTCTATTCTCGTGCCTTCATCGTCGGTGACGCAAGCAACCCCAATGACCGCTTCGTCTATCTCGTCTTGGACGTGGCAGCCGGTGACACGGCCCAGAGATATGCCATCCTTGAACGTATCGCTGCTCTCGGCGGGGAGTATTCTGTCTACGGCCGGACCAACATCGCCGTGACCGGAACTCACTCACACAATGGCCCCGGTGCCTGGTGGAACTACCTGCTTCCTCAAATCACCAGCGTTGGGTTTGACGCCCAGTCCCTGAATGCCATTGCTGATGGCGCTGTCCTTTCGATCAAGAGAGCCCACGTAAGCCTCACCACTGGCTACCTGGATGTCGGTACCGTCAACATTACCGACGGCAATGCGTCCCGAAGCCCTTCCGCCTACAACAACAACCCAGCTGCGGAACGCGCCCTCTACAACAGTCCCACAGACACGACACTGACCATGCTCCGCTTCCAGCGTGCATCAGATGGCCTTGATATGGGCGTACTTACCTGGTACCCCGTCCATGGGACCTCCATGTATGGAAACAACACCCATGTGGCTGGAGACAACAAGGGCGTGGCCGCCTATCTGCTCGAGCAGGCTGTGCAATCCGGTGGTACTGCGGCCGATGGGTTTGTCGCTGGCTTTTCCCAGGCCAACGTTGGAGACACCACGCCGAACGTGCTAGGAGCCTTCTGCGATGATGGATCAGGCCAGATGTGTAGCTATGAGAACAGCACCTGCGCCGATGGCAAGTCACAGTCGTGCCATGGTCGCGGTCCCAGGTTCGAAGCTCTCGACCTCGGCGTGTCTTCCTGCTACGAGATTGGCCGGCGTCAGTTCCAGGGTGCAAAGGATCTATACGATTCCTTTGATGCCAAATCTACGCCTGTTGTCGGCACTACCGTCAAGTCGTTCCATTTCTACCAGGACATGAGCACCTTCAACTTCCAACTCCCCAACGGCACTGCTGCAAAGACCTGTCCTGCCGCTCTTGGCTATTCCTTCGCGGCCGGAACGACGGACTGGCCAGGCGCCTTTGACTTCACCCAGGGTGACTCGGGTGCGCCCAACAACCCCGTGTGGAGTGCCGTCGCCGCCCTGCTCAAGGCCCCGGGGCCCGAGCAAGTAAAGTGTCAATCGCCAAAACCTGTTCTTCTGGATGTCGGCGAGCAGACCGAGCCCTACGCCTGGTCCCCGAACATCGTCGACGTCCAGTCCTTCCGCGCAGGCCAGCTCCACATCATCGTCTCGCCCTCCGAGGCAACCACCATGGCCGGCCGCCGCTGGCGCAACGCCGTCAAGGCCGAGGCCGCTGCGACATACTCGGGCAACACCGAGCCACTCGTCGTGATCGGGGGCCCGGCCAACACGTACGCTCACTACGTCACCACCGAGGAGGAGTACGCCATCCAGCGGTACGAGGGCGCCAGCACGCTCTACGGGCCCAACGAGCTGAACGCCTACATCAACCTCACGCTCAGCAACCTGCACTACCTCGCGCCGACGGCCACCGGCTCGCCCGCGGCCGGCCCCTCGCCCCCGGACAACCGCGCCAAGTCCTTCGACTTCATCGCGGGCGTCGTGTACGACGGGGTGCCGATCGGCAAGAAGTACGGCGACGTGGTCACGCAGCCGGCCGCCTCGTACGCGAAAGGCGCCGTCGTCAACACCACCTTCGTCGGCGCCAACCCGCGCAACAACCTGCGGCTCGAGGGCACCTTCGCGGCGGTCGAGAAGCTGGGCGCGGACGGCACCTCGTGGTCGCAGGTGCGCAGCGACTACGACTGGTTCCTGGTCTACACGTGGGAGCGGACCAACGGCCTGCTGGGGTACTCGGAGGTCACCATCAGCTGGGAGACGGAGGACTACGCCCAGCCGGGGACGTACCGCGTGAGGTACTATGGTGACTCGAAGGACATTGGCGGGAAGATCACCGCCTTCAATGGGACTAGCAATAATTTCACTCTGACTTAGTTTGTGATGTACATACGTAGCCGGGCATCGGGCTGAGGCTTATAATCGACCATAATTGGTCTACTGCAAATACTACGGGCCGACAATGACTAGTTCGCCAAGTTTCCGAGTTCTTGTTCCCTTTGTTGAGCAACGTCTCTATTCTATTCCTGAGGCACGGCAGTCGACGTAACAATGTCTTTGAGGTTGGAGAATGCCTTGGCAAATCGCTTATCATGTTCCAGGCAACCTTTCGTCTATTACACGGCGATTGCCAGTCCAAGGAGGCTGGCAGTGAGCCTTACGACGGCTTCTTGGCAGTGGAACGGAGACGAGAGAAATATCTCGAAGCCTGGCCTAGGCAGTGTATTTTGGTCGTGCTCCAAATAGAAAATGTCGTCTTGGCCGTGCTGCTCGATCCCGCGGTGCCGCGCGGCCCGTGTCAGCATGTGTGCAGAATCTAGAGGGCTGCCCCTTGGTGGGCATACTTTTTGTGCTACAGGCAACGAGATTCCGGATTAGGTCGATGGTCACTTCGGACTGTCTGCCTTACTGCACAAAATGCTGCCCGAATTCGGTTTGGATAAGTTCGGCCATTTGTTCACCCATTTATTTATCTCGCGTCTATTACAGTGTCGCGTATCTTTTTGATTTGTGAATCGGCAGCAATCATTCATTTTCATAATTCCTCGACACACGAATTTCAACTGTTCCATTTCCACCAATACACGAGTAAATCTAAGTCACAATGCAAGGTTTGTGGACCCCTTTTATAAAAGCAAACTGCAGCATACAGTCTAGACGGGATGTCCGGTTCCAAAGGCCTCGCCAACCTTGCCCATTCTCCTAGCCCTCGTCAAAGCCATCACTGAATTTGAGTGTTGATCTGGTTCGGACATTCAGACGAAGTCGCCGCTCTCGTTATTGACAATGGGTATGTGCCGACGCGAATTCGAGAAAATGGGACCATGATTCTAATGAAACCAGCTCCGGCATGTGCAAGGCCGGCTTTGCTGGTGACGATGCCCCTCGGGCCGTATTCCGTGAGTTCAACTTGCGAAGGTCCTGTTGCTGGCCGGTCTGTTGTTGATTTTACTCTCAATCAGCTTCCATAGTCGGACGTCCTCGCCACCACGGGTATGTTTATTGTCCCTCATGGTCTTCCCGCCTTCACAAGAAACTCGTCCCAAGGACCTACTATTTGCTGCACCGTGACTGATAATATTCATGTCTTAGGATCATGGTCGGCATGGGCCAGAAAGACTCGTACGTTGGCGATGAAGCCCAGTCCAAGCGAGGCGTTCTCAGTCTGCAATATCCGATCGAACACGGCATCGTCACCAACTGGGATGAGATGGAGAAAATCTGGCATCACACGTTCTACAATGAACTGCGAGTCGCCCCGGAAGAGCACCCAGTCCTTCTGACGGAAGCCCCTATAAATCCCAAGTCAAACAGGGAGAAGATGACGCAAATCATGTTCGAGACGTTCAACTCACCGGCTTTCTATGTCTCTATCCAGGTGAGCCCTCCTCCGCCCCATGACGCCCCAAGAGATTCAGCAAGACTGAAGCAGCAAATGACTAGGCCGTTCTCTCCCTTTACAGCTCCGGGAGGACGACGGGCGTCGTCGTCGACTCGGGCGACGGAGTGACGCACATTGTGCCGATCTACGAGGGCTTCTCGATGCCGCACGCCATCTCGCGCATCGACATGGCCGGGCGCGACCTCACAGACTACCTGATGAAGCTCCTCTCACAGCGCGGCTACCCCTTCTCGACCTCTGCCGAGCGCGAGATCGTCCGCGACATCAAGGAGAAGCTGTGCTACGTCGCCCTCGACTTCGACAAGGAGCTGCAGACCGCGGCGCACAGCTCCAGCGTCGAGAAGACCTACGAGCTGCCTGACGGCCAGGTGAGAATAGTCGTCGGGAAGGAGGTTTTTTTTTTTTCTTCCAAGAAAGCATGTGCTGACTCTCGCAAAAGGTTATTACCATCGGCGACGAGCGTTTCCGTGCGCCAGAGGCGCTGTTCGACCCTAGTGTCCTCGGTCTGGAGGGAGGAGGGGTCCACCAGACGCTGTACAACTCCATCAACAAGTGCGACATTGACGTCCGGAAGGAATTGTACGGTAACATGGTCATTGTGAGTTACCCTGACTTATCATTCATCTCTTCCTATTTTTTTTTTTCCTTCGCGCCGAGCATTGTTAACCACTCCGTCGCAATAGTCCGGTGGCACGACCATGTTCCCGGGCATAACCGATCGCTTGCAGCAGGAGCTCACAAACATGGCGCCTTCATCGATGAGGGCAAAGGTGATTGCGCCTCCTGAGCGCAAGTACTCAGTCTGGATCGGAGGCTCTATCCTCGCGTCCCTGTCGACATTCCAGCAGATGTGGATCTCGAAGCAGGAGTACGACGAAAGCGGGCCGTCCATCGTGCATCGTAAATGCTTCTAGAGGTTGCATGTCGAGGCGCTGAGTGGTACTGTGGAGGGCAAGAAAGTCTTGCGTCCAGTGGACGGCTTGATAAATCACGATCGTTGAGAAGGCTATGAGACGAGCCTTTGTATTCCAATTCTGAACATTTACATGTTATGACGCATTCGGACCAATGGCGGAGATTCAGAACAATGGGGTTTCTTTTCATCATACGGAGCAGTCAGCCAACAACCCGAGACAGCTGGTGATGATTCTGTAGCTCGATAGGTGAGACAGACCAGCAGTTATCCGTGGATCATTCTAGCTGTGAGCTCATCTCATAGTCGCACATGTAGAATTCAGAGAGGGCTTGGTTCGCAAAAGGGCCTTTGTAGGCTGAATTAGTATTTTGTTGCCCGTACTAATTCGTGTATACTATCGGACACTGTCTATTCAGGCCACCGTCAACGTAGCGTTCACAGGCAAGTTGCCACTGGAACTGCCAACGAGTATGGTGAAGTTGCCAGGCTCAACGACATAGTTCATCTTCATGTCCCAAAGCCCTAGATTTGCCACGTCCAAGTCAACGCTGACTGTCTCCGTGGCACCTGCCGCGATGGGGACCTTGGCGAAGCCCTTGAGCTCCTTGTTCGGGACCACGACCGAGGAGACGACGTCCTTGACGTAGACCTGCACGACTTCTGTCCCATCGACGGTGCTATTGTTGGTCACGTCTACCGAGACCGTGATCTTGTCGGTTGCGGACGCAGTGGTTGAAGACAGAGTGACAGGCGAGTACGAGAAGTTGGAGTACGAGAGGCCATAGCCGAACTGTGGAAATCGTTTTTAGCGACTACCACAGACGAGATAGAGAGATGACAAGAGAATCGGGTCCAACTCACATCGTATAGCGCCAAGGGCGACTGCAGCACATAATTGTTACCATAGACCAATGTCCCATTGGGGAAGACTTGCCCAGGGTTGGGATAAGCACGAGCCGAGTTGAGATAGTCGTAGTAGATAGGGGTCGTTCCCACGTCGTACGGGAAGGAAACGCTCAGGCGTCCGCTGGGGTTGTAGTTTCCGTACAGCACGTCAGCGAGAGCATGGCCTCCCTGCTCGGAGGGGTAGAACTGCTGCACGAGTGCCGAGGCATTCTTGCTGATCCAAGGCTCGGTGATTGGCTTCCCGGAGCTGAAAACCACTACAGTCGGCTTTCCCGTGTTGATGATGGCCTGTACGAGCTTCGGCATAGCGCCCACGAGCTTGAGGTCTGAGACATCAATGTGCTCGCCCGTGGTGGCGTTCAGTCCAGTCCAAAGCTCGCCTTGGTCGCGGGACCAGGTCCCCACCACAACGACGGCGACGTCAGCTGCCTCGGCGGCGGCGATGGCCTCAGGGAATCCGGACTCGTCGGTCGACCAGCGCTCGCACCCCTGGGCGAAGGTAACGGTGCCCTCGCTGACTTCGTTGATACCGTCGAGTGGCGTAACGCCACGGTAGTTAGATTTATATACGACATAGTCGCCATCTACTCAGAAATTCGCTCAGTAGCTGCACAAACAAAGGGAGGCGGGTTGCCGTGTCGTAGGAAGAGTCTGCCATAGGAAGTTACTCACAGTTCATTAGACCGTGGGCCATGGGTCCGATTACAGCCACGTTAGCAGTCTTGCTCAGCGGGAGAACATTATCGTGGTTCTCAAGCAGGACAATGGACTCGGTATCGAGCTGGCGTGCGAGCTGCTGCGTTTCGTTGGTGTTGATGTAGTTCCCGTACTCATCCTCTGGAACTCCAGTGGAGGGGTTCTCGAACAGGCCCATTTTGAACTTGGCCCGGAGCACTCGTGAGACGGCAAGGTCAACAATTGCCTCATCGAGCGTGCCGGCTTCGATCATATCGGGGATCTTTTGGAAGTTGTAAGACCCACCGCCCATCTCCATGTCGTTACCAGATGGGAGAACGAGAGACACGACAGCCTCGGAGTCGATGGGTGAGGCTTGACAAAGCCCGAAAGCCGTGCAAACACGGTCCGTACCTCCTGCGTCGCTCATAACAAAGTATTCGTAGCCCCTGTTTATTATCAGTAAGATGTCAAATACTCAAGCATCATCAACAGAGCACGTCTTGTGGCTTATTGGGCCACCTTAACCAACATGACCGCAGACGAGGTCCTCGAAAACGGCACACTAAGGATTATACCGGGCTAAGAGGTTTTCATAGGATCGAACCAGTCCTTTTGAAGGCTGTGGCATGGTTGATAGGGAGGAAAGCATAGAGGAAAACCCACCAGGTGTCCCGAAGAATCTCTGTCAGAATGTGGTAGTCAGCCACCGCTGGCACACCATCATAGCAATGATATGCCGACATGATGCTCACGGCTTCGGCGTCGATGATGGCGCGTTTGAAAGGCGGCAGGTATGTCGTCCGGAGCTCCCGCTCTCCTCCGTGCACGGGCGCGGTGTTGATGCCTTGTTCTGGCGTGGCAAAGGCGGCAAAGTGCTTCACCATGGCCGCGACCCTGCCGGACTGCAGCCCCTTGACGTAGCTATATCCTAGTTCTCCTGAGAGATACGGGTCCTCTCCGTACGTCTCCTCGACTCGGCCGAACCTCAGCTCACGGGCGAGATCCACCACGGGAGCGAAGATGTTGTTCACGCCGAGGGCAAGGGCCTCCTGCGCAACGGCCTTGCCCATCTTCTCGACCAAGCCCGGGTTCCAAGAACAGGCGAGCGCGATAGGCGAGTTGAAGATGGTGGCATTGACGGCCAGAAAGCCGTGGATGCCCTCGGACTGGACCCAGGCGGGAATACCAAGGGTGGTGTTCTGGGTCAGGTAGTCCTGAGCAACCTTGATGCCGTCGGCAAGGGTCGTCCAGTTGGTGTAGTAGCCAACGTAGAAGGCGGCCGCCCGGTACTGCATGTTCCATTCCAGGCCGCTGGCGTTGAAGCTGCCATCTGTGACGTTGATCCAGTTGGAGAAGTCTCCCTGGAGCAGCTGTGACGCCTTGTCCTCTATTGTCATGCGGCTCAGCAGGTCGGCCACTCGGTCATTTATGGTGGCATTGGGGTTCTTGTAGAGCGGTGATGTCCCATTCCACAAGGACCCTTGTGCACAGGCGGTGCTGGCGAGTGCCAGGGTGGCGAGGACGGGGGTGAAATTCCTCATCTTCGGATGCGAGCTGACTGCTGAGGAGGGAAAGCCTGGTCGAGCTCAGGGTGACACTTGTCATCGGATGCTGGACGAGGTCGTTGATATATACGCGTAGTCGACCTACCCTTGGCGCCGGCATGACGGGAAGCCAGGCGAGATTTGCTGTCCTGGCACACCCACATTCGATATAGATGATGCCTTTCTGGGCGAGCTTACCATGCCTGTGGGTAGCAGAACTTGGCCTCTCTCGAGCCCAGGAGGCGGTGATTGCGACTCGTCGAGCCTCCGTACAATCTTAGATGCAGGGTGGTATTTGGGGAAACCATGTCTCTGCGTAGATCAGGACATGGGGACTGCATTCCCTTCTCCAGTCTACCGCACAACAGTCAAGCCTCGACGGCCCGGGCTGACCGGCCCCAAGATTCTTGATGGGATCAAGAGAGGGTAGCGCGCCTGGATCGTAGCGTCCTCATCCAGACGAGGTCGGAGATGACAGCCACGCCTGGCCCCTTAATCCACGACTTCAAGGTTTGTTCCACGGATCTCTACCCACAAGGCCTCCAAAAAGAAGAAAACGGGCAACAGACGGTGAAGTGGCTCCGAGCGGGAGTCGGGATGAGAAAGAAGCTCCAACACGGCATGGCCCGAACCCCTCAGCAGCCGACGTCGAAGCATGGGGTTCGAGTGGGGTGTGCGCCTTTCCCCTTGGAGGCGACGTCGAATTTGACTCGTGGAAAAAGGGAGGCTCAAGATGAGGGGATCGTGGTGCCGCTGGTGGCCGTTGGAGAAGCCCAAGAAGCCTGGTCCAAGCGAATTGGAGCTGTGGCGGCCAAACACTGTCCCGGGCCACCGAGCTGCCGCCCATTTCAGGCTAGAATTCTCCTGAGAGAGAGCCCCTGGTTCCTGGGAGCGGGCAAACACACCCGTCGGGTATCAAGACCAACCTAATGAGCTCGGGAATAGAGCATTCAACACCGTGCACGCCAACTCGTCCCGCAACGGCCCAGTCACCCATATGCACGGCACCTCGTGCGCTGAGGTCCTCAAGACCTGCTGCCGAAGATCTGCCATTGCTAGAACCCACTGTAAACCGTCCTGAACTGACCGTCGCCTGCACCGGCCCGTCGTGCCGTCTCGTTCAAATGCTCGTGGTTGTTTGTTGAGATCCAACATGCCACCTCCATACCCCTCTCATCTTATTGCACCAAACCCCTTCAAAGTTGAAGGGTGTTTCTTTCTCGTGTTGTTGTACCAGGCCTGTTCTGGACTAAATATACAGACCCATCCCAGTCCCACTGTGTAGCCAAGCGCGAAGAAACACCACACATTCTCATAATGAAGTTCCGCGATGGCATGTGGCTGACAGCCGAGGGGGTGAGAGTCGAGTACGCGGAGGAGGTATACAACATCAAAAAGACAGGCCGGGGCTTGAGCCTGCTATGCCCCACCAAGAAGATCAAGTCTCGCGGGGATACTCTCAACCTGAGCACCTTGACAATCGTATGTCTCCAAAGACATACGGGCCAGCCCAAAGAGGAAGAATACATCAGCTGAAATCCACACAGGACGTTGAAGCCCAGAGCGACGGCATCATCTCCGTCGAGACCACCCACTGGGATGGGGCCATCAACAGAGGACCACACTTTGACCTGTATCCCGGAGGCAAGCCCGATGTCGAATTACAGGTTGCCCAAGGGGACAAAGGCACGACCTTGACCTCGGGCTCACTGGCTGCTACCATCAAGCCCGGGACGTTCGACATCAGCTTCGATGCGGCAGATGGCTCCAAACATCTCACCTCTCTCCTGAACAGGAGTGTTGGCCTGGCCTATAACCCGGCTCCCAGCAACCCCTTACAGACCGGCGACATGCGGGACTTTAAGCACTACCTCTTCACCCAGACGTCCCTATCCGTGGGGGAGTCTGTCCACGGCCTCGGCGAGAGGTTTGGGGCCTTCAACAAGCTGGGCCAGTCCATCACGCTGTGGAATGCCGACGGCGGCACGTCCAGCGACCAGGCCTACAAGAACATCTCCTTCTGGCTGAGCAACCGCGGGTATGGCGTCTTCATCGACCACTCGGGCAAGGTCGAGCTTGAGGTCGGCAGCGAGCGTTGTGCCCGCGTCCAGACGAGCGTCGAGGGCCAGAGGCTCAAGTGGTGCATCATCCACGGCAGGACGCCCAAGGAGGTCCTCCACCGGTATTCCACACTGACGGGTCGCCCGGGCAGGGTCCCGTCGTGGAGCTTCGGGCTGTGGCTGAGCACGAGCTTCACGACCAACTACGACGAGGCGACGGTCAACTCGTTCCTCGAGGGCATGAAGGAGCGCGACATTACCGTCGACGTCTTCCACTACGACTGCTTCTGGATGCCCGCCTTCAAGTGGACCGACTTCGTCTTCGACTCGGAGCGGTTCCCGGACCCCAAGGCCCAGATCGGCCGGCTCAAGGCCTCGGGCCTGGTCAAGAAGGTGTGCGTGTGGATCAACCCGTACATCGCGCAGCACGGCGAGGCGTTCCGCGAGGGCGCCGAGAAGGGCTACTTCCTGCGGCGCAAGAACGGCGACATCTGGCAGTGGGACCTATGGCAGGCCGGCATGGCCCTCGTCGACTTCACCAACCCGGCCGCCTGCGAGTGGTACGTCGGCTGCCTGAACAAGCTCTTCGACCAGGGCGTCGACGCCATCAAGACCGACTTTGGCGAGCGCATCCCCTCGCGCGACGTCGCGTGGCACGACGCCTCCGTGGACCCGGAGAAGATGCACAACTTCTACGCCTTCCTGTACAACAAGGTCGTCTACGAGGCGCTGCAGGCGCGCTACGGCGCCGACCAGGCGGTGCTGTTCGCGCGCGCCGCCACCGCGGGGACGCAGCGATTCCCTCTGCAGTGGGGCGGCGACTGCGAGTCGACGCCCGAGGCCATGGCCGAGTCGGTGCGCGGTGGCCTGGGCCTGGGGCTGGGCGGGTTCGCCTTCTGGAGCGTCGACATCGGCGGCTTCGAGGGCTACCCGCCCGCCTGGGTGTACAAGCGCTGGGTCGCCTTCGGCCTGCTGTGCAGCCACTCGCGCCTGCACGGAAGCAGCTCCTACCGCGTGCCGTGGACCATCGACGGCGACGACAAGAGCGACGAGGGCTGCACGAGGACCCTCGCCAGATGGACCGCCCTGAAGAACAGGCTGATGCCGTACCTCTTCGCCCAGGCCGCCAAGGCCATCGACGGCGGCCTGCCCCTGAGCCTGAGGGCCATGTGTCTCGAGTTCCCTGACGACCCGACGTCTTGGTACCTTGACAGGCAGTTCATGGTTGGCGAGAACTTGCTGGCGGCGCCCATCTTTGACGAGAGCGGCGAGGTTGAATTCTACCTACCCAAGGGCAAGTGGACGTCGTTTTTCACCAATGAGGTGCGCACTGGGCCCGGTTGGTTCAGGGAGAAGCATGGCTTTGGGACCTTGCCACTGTACGTCAGGGAGAACTCTATCCTGCTGCTCGGCAAGCAGGGCGTGAGAGGTGCGGTCTACGACTACGCCGAGGACTTGGAGGTCTGCTTGTATGGAGTCAGTGAGGGTACCAAGGCCACGCTGTTGGACAATGAGGGCAAGGAGCTTGGTACGATAGGAGTGGCGGCTGATGGGAAGTTGCAGGGTGAGGAAATCCTCAAGGGGAAACCGACTGTGAGCAAGGACGGGAGGCAAATCGACGAGTCTGTGAGCAGGGGTATCAAGCTACTCACATAGAAGACATCCATGTAGACCAAAATCAAGTAGAATGAAATCTAAATCCCTCGCCATTTATCCAAGGCGTGCTGCGCATCTATGGACGGAGCCAGCATAGTGTGGGTGTTTTCTTATTTTTCGTAATCTAACAATCCTTTTGGCGCATCCCATCGTACAAGAGAACCTATCTCGTAAATCTTTGCAGATATCATCCCGTGTCTCTAAACGATTGTGTCCACACTGGCTGAGTCCTGTAACGATCGACTGTGCAACTAAATCCAGCAAGAGACTCCAGCGTGACATGTCAGTCTTGAATCCTCCGCCTCAACGCCTTGGGTGTTCTAATGCTGCCTCCCCCAAATTCAAAGAAAGCATATAGAGATATGCTACATAACCGTCTCATCTAGTAAACTCCAACCTGCCTAGCATTCTGCGCTTCAGGGTTGGGGGTCAATCGCATGTTTGCGAAGCCCGGATCTGGGAGGCGGTCTGCCATCCTGTCTGGGACCAGATCGAAGTCTGGGGACACAGACCGCACAGGGTACTCGTTCGCTGGCGACGTAGCACGCAGGAGCCTCGATGTTGTGGGCTGAGGGCTGAGGATCGTCGGGGACGATTCTTTGGGCGACAGAGGGGGTGAGACCTCGTCGATGACGGTAGTGGGGACTGGCTGGGCGGAGATAGGCTTGAAGCTCTTAACATTGGGGCCGGTGCGGATCGAGGATGGCAGGATCTGCTCGAAGCCTTGGCTGGTGGCCACTTTCTCTATAGATTTGAAGTACTGCATGTGACCGTGGATATTAGCCGCAAGCCCAGCCAGGGGTTGGGTACGTGATGGGAAATTGGGGCTGAAGGGCAGGCAGGGGTCCAGATGCAGGCACAAAGCTTACCTTCACGGTCTTGACTTGTAACTCCAATGTAGCATCCTCGTCACACACAATCATGGGGTGAGGGTGCAGTTGCAGGCTCGAAAGCGTCCACATATGGTTCACCCCTTGCTCGATGCACTTCTGCAGCGCCAGGGCCTTTCTTGCGCCGAGGATGATAGCAACGACCTCGCGCGCCTCGAGCACCGTCTGCACGCCCACAGTCAGAGCCATCTTAGGCACCTTCTCCAGGTCGTTCCCGAAGAAGCGCGAATTGGCCAGGATCGTGTCGTAGGCCAGTGTCTTGACGCGCGTGCGGGATGCCAAGCTGGAGCCGGGCTCATTGAAGGCGATGTGGCCGTCCTCGCCTATGCCTGCGAGGAAGAGGTCGATCCCGCCCACGCTCTTGATCTTGGCCTCGTAGTCGATGCACTCGGCCTCAAGGTTGGGAGCATTCCCGTTGAGGATGTTGACGTTGCCGGGCTTGATGTTCACGTGCTGGAAGAAGTTTTTCCACATGAAGGAGTGGTAGCTTTCTGGGTGGTCACGGGGGATACCGATATATTCGTCCATGTTGAAGGTTACGATATTCTCAAAGGATATCTGTAGTCATCTCATGAGTCTCGATGCAGGTGTACATTTTTGCACGAATCATCGCGGATATTCAGTATGCTTACCTCGCCAGCCTTGTACTTTTCAACCAGGACCTTGTAGACACCGAGAGGGCTGGAGCCGGTAGGCAGACCAAGGACGAAGGGGTGAGATGGGGTTGGGTTGAAGTGCTTGATGCGATCAACAACATAATTCGCCACGTAGACGCTGGCCTGCTCGGCGTCGTCGCGGATGATGAATCTCATCTTGAAGGCACAGATATGATGACAGGGGAATCAACGAGACTCAGCCAGGAATCTCAGTCTCGTAGCCAGCTGAAGTTGGTGCTGCTGGAGTAGTGGTTTATTTTTTATTTTTTTATCGATGACTTGGAGGCTGTGTCTGGAGAGCTTGCTTCACTTGAATTCGGGAGTGCTTGGTAATGACAGAAAGGAAACATGAGAGAGAATGTACTGCCACCTACTATCGGGGCCAGACTTGATAAGTCCTCTGGAAAGAGACCAGCAATGACCTCAGCGTGCACTGGGGTAGCCTGACGGGTCGCCGGCCGGCACATCACCGGAGTGGTGTACACTGCCAACGCCAGGAAGGCATCAGAGAAGTGGCCGACTGCCGGCAACGAGGACCATGAAGCGAAAGCAACATGATGGAACGTTCACTGTGGTGATGGAGCAAGAGCCCCCACTGTGTGAAGTATATCAGACGGGAACGGTGTGGTGCCCGGTGGTGCCAAATCCCATCCAGGCCTAGCCTCACGTTGGAGCCTCCCACATGGATGGGAGCATGTGCCACCGTTTCGGGATGGGAATGGCCCTGGGTACATCAAGTGACGTCCTCGGTTCTGTGCCGGCCGATGTCAGACGGTTAGCCTTGTGTCCAAGGAGCTAGGCAGCTTTGACTCGCGCAGGCCCTGGAGACGAAGACACCCTCGAGAGACCAGCCTCGACGGAGGATGTGCGAACGGCATTGCAGCATTGACCTCGACACCACCAAGGAGGCCCGGGAAAGCAGGAGATACACAACACATGTATCGGAGACCATGTGGGAGATGCGATCGCTTGGCATGAATGAGTCCGGGTCGGGCTGTGGGAGCCGCTTGAGTGTGGGAGTTGGGTGTTGGGCGTTGGGTGTGATTGGGACCGTCGGTTGCCGTTAGCTGTGACATGGTAGCAGCCGGGAGATAACAGCGACAGGAGCATGCTATCGAGAGCTCCGATCGACGGGCCGATAGTCTGATGCCGCAATCTGTAACGACCACCAGGTGAGAGCATGTACCGTGTATATGGTGCTGGGTAGGCATGGAGTAGAGGTAACGAGTGATCGGCCAGGGTTGCAGTGCTGGAACTCTGGCTGGACTGGAAGGGGACAACAGAGCCTGAGAATGCTAAGTACTGCAGCCCGCTGACCCATAAAATTGTGTGCCGTTACTTCTTGACGAGTTCGCCTTGGTCGGCCATTAAGCATGTCAAGTTGGCCGGCACAATCTTGAACAGGGAGCCATATCGAGACACCAGGGGGGGGGAAGGAGGATGACGTTGTGGGGGTTAGGGCAGGTATTGGCCTTGGGGTGGAGCTTTTGGGGGGCTGCTTGTGCAGGGGGCTAAATGGCTTGGGTCGCTGCAACGTCAGATGTGGCCTAGGTACAGTGGACAGCAATCTTTATTATTAAAGTTACTCTTCTGCATTGAACACTCAATTTGTATACATATCTGACCGTGCTTTGCTTTGCTTTGCTTTGCTTTGGCTTGATGCGACATCGGTCAACCATGATAGCTCAACAGTGACGACAGGGCCTGCTGGTGGTGCTCGAGCAGTCAGTCCATCTCATGCCGAGACGCCGATCAAGCTTGACCACTGGGTTCTGGAATCTGGACTCTGGAATCTGGACTCTGGAATCTGGACTCTGCACTCTGGACCCTCAACCCTCGGGCAACGTTACGTTACGTTCCAGTTGCCTTCACAACACAACACCACTCGCAACACGCAACCCGTCCATATCCACATCCTGCCACTCCTGCGGGCCGGCCTTCGAGCGGGATGGGGCTGCCAGGCACTGCCCTCCCCCTCCCCAGTCGCTGGTCGTGTGCTCTTTCCCCCTCGTAATTCTTGTTACACCAGCACCCGAGCAACAACGAGTCCACTGTGACTCTGCTGTGATCCTGTTGGCCCACCGCACTTGCCCAAGGAGCCCGGGAGGAGATTGTCCACGGGCAAGCCATCACACAACCCGACCAATCCACCAACCCACACAACCGCAACAACCACCACAACCGCAACAACCACCACAACCACAACCACAACCACAACCACAACCACAACCATCCATCCATTCAGCCAGCCATCCGTCCATCGATTGTTTCATCAGCCTGCACCCGTCTCTGCCTCCCTGCAGCTTTGCACTTGCAATCGCCTTTAGCCATCCGCCCTCGCACGCCACGCCACGAGAACCTCCCCTGCTCCTGATTGGGCCCGCCTCTCGTCTTCCTCTGTTTCGTTTCACCAGTTCCAGTCCCAGTCCCAGTCCCAGAGAGTCCCCCCGGGCGCGTGGTGGGCTACATTTGCCGTTTTCCCATATCACTTACGTACGGCCTAGCCTGCCCTGCTATACCCTGCCCGACCCTCCCTTTCTATTTACTACGTTCTGGGTCGATACGAAGTGACCGCAACTGCAACCGTCTCCGCTGTCAGCCTTTTCCACTCCTGCCGGGCCCCTCTCCCGCGAGTGTGTTTGTGTGCATGCCGTGTGTAGTGTGGTAGCGGTGACACCGAGGACGTGCGTGTCTGTTGCATATAATAGTTGTTGTGCCTGATAAGGCGACTCGACTCAACCAGCTTTGGATCCCTTCGACGCCCCCCTTTGGTTCCAATGACTTGATGTACACGTCTCGACGAACCCCTCTCTACCCTCCCCCTCTATACTGTCAGGGTTAGCCGCTCGTTTTTTCTATTCCCGCTGCAATGCCAACACTGCGAGAGGTTTTTGTCGCGGCGCTCAAGTCTTTGCTACGAGGCAAGACTTTCCTCCAGGCCCTGCTCGCCTTCTGGATCAGCCCTGCCACAATCAAGGACGCCGGGCCCGCGTCCCCGATACCCAACGGAGACGAGGTGGCCTCCAAACCGCGCAGGTGTCCCGAGGACTTCCTCAGGGAGGCCGAGGAGGAGTTGCTGCAACCAGTCCGTCCCGACGGCCTGGGCGAGTTCTCAAGGGCGCTCAAGGCGCAGTTCAGGGATGGCCTTCTGAACAACCCGGCCTGCATGCTGCCGTCATACAACCACCAGCTGCCGAGCCGCTTAGAAAACGGTCAGTATCTCGCCCTCGACGTCGGCGGCTCGACACTGCGGGTGGCCCTGGTCCAGCTGCGGGGCCGGGAGGCCCGCGGCAGTGAGAGCCGCATCGCCCGGCTGGACTCGTTCAAGATCGACCCGTCCATCAAGAAGCTCAAGGGCACTGCTTTCTTCGACTGGATGGCGCAGAGGATAGTGGACACAGTTTCCCAGGCCCTGGGTACGGAGAACAGCCCCGAGAAGCCGCTGCTCATGGGGCTGGCCTGGAGTTTCCCGATCGAGCAGACCTCCCACAAGGGCGGCAAGCTGCAGGGCATGGGCAAGGGCTTCCTGGCCGCCGATGGCCTCCTCGGCCACGACCTTGGGGACATCATCAGGACGGCCTGCGAGACCAAGGGCCTCCACGTGGAGCTAGCCGCCATCGTGAACGACTCGTCCGCCTGCCTCCTGTCCGAGGCCTACCTGAACTCGTCGACGCGTTTCGGCCTGATACTGGGCACCGGCGTTAACATCGCCGTCCATCTACCCGTGCCCACCATCGGCCGGGAAAAGTTCGGCAGCCGGCCCGACTTCTGGTTCGACAAGGCAAGTCACGTCATCGTCAACACGGAGCTGGGCATGTTCGGCAAGGGGATATTGCCCGTGACCCGATGGGACAAGTCCCTCAACGCCGCGCACCCCAAGCCCGACTTCCAGCCGCTGGAACACATGGTCAGCGGGTTCTACCTGGGCGAGATGTGCAGGCTGGCGCTCATCGAGGCCATCAGCACGACGGGTGTGCTGGGTGGCGTTGTGCCCCCATCGTTGCACCTTCCCTACTCACTCGACTCGGAAACAATATCCTTGATAGAAGCGTACGTACAACCCCATTGAGCCCAGCTACCGACTTAGGAGGAAAGAACATGGCAAGATTTACTGACAAGGCCTGCAGAGACACATCATCATCACTAAAACCCTCACTCACCGTCTTCCAATCCCGCCACCCGTCACCCGTCGAGCCCACCACAGCAGACATCACCTTCATCCGCTCCCTTGCATCATACATATCGCGGCGCTCAGCCGCCATCGTAGCAGCGTCCCTCTTCGCCCTCTGGCAATTCAAAAACGAGGCCGAGGCCGACCTCCTGGCTTCCGCGCAGTCAGGCCCCTCCCACTTCGCCGCCACCGCCGCGCAGGGCGAGCTGAACCTCGAGGGCCACGTGGTCGCCTTCAACGGCTCCGTCATCGAGCACTACCCCCGCTACCTCGAGAGCTGCCAGGGCTACATCGACGGGCTCCTCTTGTCCTCCGGTGCCAGGGCCGGCACAATCAGCCTCGCGGGGGCCAAGGAGAGCTCGCTGCTCGGGGCAGCGGTCGCGCTGGCTTGTCTGGAGGAGGGAAAGGCAAACTGAAGGATGCTTGCGGCAGGGGCAAGACATAATTACATGAAACTTGAGTCGGTATTGGAGAAGCAAGCATCTGGACATTCAGGAGTTAGCGATTCGCCACGACAGCCAGCCGTGTCACCCGGGGCTGTTTACGGCTTGCATACATCTAGCATAGTACAAGGGGTTTTTGCGGGTCGCATTTTGGATTTGAAATATGCCACGGTAGCATTGAAGGCGTGAAGGCATCATCAGGTACTGGACACAAGCACAAGAGAGCGCGCGCGCGCGCACACACACACACACACACACACACACACATATTTATATATATATAATAATTTGATGACGATCTGAAGACGACGCTCGATGTCACAAATCCTCCCAGATGCTGATGTTTGTGCCGCATACCATGCAACGAGGGACCACAAGCTCATGAGTATGGCGCCCCTTCCCAGCTCCAAGCAACCAGCAGGTGCTAAAACAAGAAAGCGTTATCAAGAGTGACAAGACGAGGCCCTCCCCGCCCCCCGTTATATATGTATCCAGACCGAGTAGGGGTATAATTCTCAACAACAATCAGTACTTCTTACCATCAGCAAAAACGATTAATCTGCCACCATCGCCTGGTCATAGCCATCCGAGTTCCCGCAATCTCATGACAAGCGAATTACACACAACAGGGCCCTCCACGACCACAGACACACGCACACACAGCAGGTAAAATATGAACGCCTCCTCATCATGGTCTCGTCCAGGAAATGCCCCATGCCGTGAACACAGTATAGTACAACAAAATTTGACGTAGATGAAAGGTTATCAATCACACCAAGACTAAAATCAGTCAGATGAAAAATATCGCTTGGTTTTGTTCCGGACCTGCTGCGCCTTCAGTTCCGGGGGTACAAATACGTGGTGGACGACGTGAGGGCGGTAGATGGCGTCTACGGGTTGTTGCCTACAGATTGGGTTAATGCTGGCTCTGGCTCACATGCCAGTATAGCAAGGGAGGGGGGTTTCGCGAGGGATGTTCAAGAGCAGGGACGAGTCGGGACTCACCAATCGTCGAGGCTCAGAGGGAAATACTCGTAGAGCTGTTCCTCGTCGTCCTCGGGGCTCTTTTGCAGGTTCTGGGCGGCCGCCATCGACTTGGCGTGGCGCGGTGACGTGCAGTCCGAGCTGGAGCGGTTGGGGCTGCGCTCGTCCTCGGAGAGGGACAGGTTGATGGGCAAGCTCGAGGGCACCCCGCGCTGGAAGGAGTTGCTCCGCGGCGTTGTCGGCTGTCCTGGCTTGGAGATTGATGGTTCCGAGGACCACGGCGGCACGGGTGGTCGGCTGAGGTTTGGCGATAGTGCGAGTTTCTTGGAAGACGACTGTCCCGGCTGGACGTACGGATGTGGTGATGCCCATTCTCCAGACTGCTGTGACGAGGGTTAGCCTCCGCCCTGAGGCGTTACCATACAAAACCAGGGTGACAGATCATCATACCTGCACATTCCCTAGGGAATGATACTTCTGTAAGTTCTGCGCCAGATCTCCCGTCCGCTCCACCTTGGGAATGGGCGCTGTATCTGAAGGCGTCAAGGTGGCCCTTCTTTCGGCCTTCTTGTCACCGGACAGGGGCACGTCCTTGCGACTGTCAAAGTTTCTCGGGCTACGGCCCCTAACAATGACGGGCCCGGACTGCATGTCTGCGAGCTTGAGGTATTCACCACTCTTGGCCTTGCCCAGGAGGCTGATCTGGACCACATAATGCTGCTGCAACCCCTTGCGTCGGCCATTGTTGGCTGTCGCGTGCTTGAACTGTAGTCGCTTCCACGACACCGGCAGGGAGACGCGATTGTGGTCCAGCTCTTGGCCGGTGGACAGGTCCAGGGCTATGTTTGGGGGAGCAGCTGGCGACTTGGAACCCTCGTCGCCGGCAGACTTCCAGGGTATTGATATGATCTCTGTGGCTTTCCCCTCGATGGATTCTATGGCAGTGATGGAGGCTGCGAGGTCAAAAATCTGGACTTGGTGCGACTGCTCGTCTACGATATGACTTATATTCCGTGGCAGGGTGATCTGGCCGGAGCACTGCCACAGGTTTCTCCGGTAACAGGTCAGCTCCAGGGGGCGCCCGGAAGTGTCGCCGCCAAAGACGTCCTCGGCGACGAAGAACATGCCATAGAGCTCGGCTGTCATGTTGGGGTCTGTCAGGACGCCCGCGCCGTCGATGATCTGGGCCCTGGGGATCGGGGCGGAGAAGCTGAGGAGCTTGTTGTCGAGCTCCTGGGAGGGTGACTCCTCGTTGAAGGGCTCGGTGCTGTCGGCGGGGACATCGTAGGCTGGGCGGGCCGAGTAGGAGGAGAATGGGTCCTCGAAGGTGTTGAAGTTCTCGAACTCGTACGAGGGCGTGAACGGGAGGGGCGCGAGGCCGTTGACGCCGTCACTGGTGGGTGTACAATCTGATTAGCCATAAGGGCCTTTCTCTAGGTACTCGACGTAGTTGACATGTCCAGGCGATGGCGCATTCGCCCGCCATGCCATGTGCCTGGCACGTGGAACGTGCGATGTGGAATGTGGATAGTCTAGTATCACAGGAAGGGGGGAGGGGAGGGGAAGAGAGGAAACACGGGAAAATGTTCAACAAGATGACCAGACATACAGCAGCGACTCGTCAAAGTTGAGGTCCTGGTCAAAGACATTCATGTCCACGGCGGCGCTGCTCATGTTGGTGGGCATGGGCAGGCTGTGAGGGTGGTGGACGTTGGCATGGGCGGCAGTCGGCGGAGTGGGATTGTGGGCTGGACCGGCTCCGTGAGCAGCAGGTCCAGCAGCAGCATGGCCCGAGTTGGAGGTGAACATCTGGGGGCAGGAGCGGGAGCGGGCGTGGGCGTGGGCACCCTATTCTGTCTTATCGGCCATGCGACCACGACGGCGGCAGCGGGCGCATTCCCAGGCTCGTCCGAGTGGAGACAGGCGTCGGTCCCGAGGCTGCTTGCTTTGGCCTGCTGTCGCTGCCCGCTTCTCTCGGGAATGACGCCGGAGGTAGCGTGGGCGAGAGGGGTGGAGAGGCGGCGAGGCGAGGCGGCGAGGCGCGAGAGACGATGCAGACGCAAGCGGGCGAGGGCATTCGCTGGCTTGGGCGCGACATGGAGACTCGGGACCCGCCCGCCTCGATGCCCACAAGCGCCTGTGCTGCTCGTCTTAAAAGCTTCAATCTCCCCAATCTGTGGGGCCTGGGCCGCTGCCTGCGCTGCTCCTGCGGGGAAATTGTGTGTATGGAGTTACCCCAGGTCGACAGGTGTGAGGGTCCCCTGCCTTGGGCCGGTAGTCTAGACTATCTAAACTACAGGGGACCGAGGTAGGCTGTCCGCGGATGCGCGCATCTAGACTAGACTACATGCCCAGGTGGTAGGCAAGCTTCAAAATTACACCAGCACGATCAGGACAGAATGATCAAGTATTCAGCCTCTCGATAAGCGTGTGTGTGTGTGTGTGTGCTGTTCTGCCCACAACGAAGGCATCTCATACAGACAAGACCGTGTCATTGTCGTCTGGGTGTCGCCTCCTGACCGCCCCTCGCCCTTATCATAAGCGCACCCACCACATGCTGTGTCTGAGACATGGCCTTCTTCTCTCATAATACCACGAGCAGAACACCGCCCGCAGTTCCAAATAAATAGATAAAACAAATCTAAGCTGACGTCGATAGCTGTAGTCAGCCGAGCCCGAAGCTACACGAGCGCGTCTTGTCCAAAAACGACAGACACCTGCGACTGCGACGCCCTTTGTAGATTCCAGATCAAGATATGTCGGACCACTGTGAGCTGTTAGCACTCATTCTCCCGTCGATGTTCCAGGACGGGGCTGCAACGGAACTCACGTTCTCGGGCGAGTTGGTCACCTCCTCAAACACCTGCAGCACCTGGAACCCCATCGACAGCAGCGGCTCGTATAGCTCGTCCGTCACCCAGCTGAGCACGCTCCTCGCCGTCTTGTGCGCCTTGTTCTGCCGCACCCCCATCACCACCAGGCCCTGCAGCACCAGCGTCGCCTGTGCCGTCGGCTCCACCAGCGGCGCCACGATCCCGCCCACCGCCTCTGCCCCGGACCCCGGCTGCAGGCACGGCATCAGGTGTGACAGCGAGCTGCCCGGGCTGCAGATGATCACCGTCCCCAGGATCTTGCCCCCGCCGTTCTTGGCCCGCACCACCCCGCACGTCTTGACCTCCTGCAGCGCCGACTTGTACAGCTCCAGCACCTCGCCGTTGGCGTGCGCCCGCACGTGCTCTACCACGTTGTCCGCGTTGTCCAGCCCGTGGATCAGGTCGAAGCTGATGCCCGCCCGCGAGATGCTCTGGAGCAAGCCCTCGGGCACCGTCCAGCTGCCCAGCTCCGGGATCACCATGTTGGTGAGGCGCCGCGGGAACTGCGTGTCCCAGCCGCTGTTGATGAACCAGCTCCTCAGCCCCGTGCTGTCATCGACCGGGATGCCCAGGAACACCCCGGGGAACGAGATGCCAAGCCGGACCTTCTTGATCCCGCGCTTTTGGATGAGATGCCTGAGGGCGCGGCGATGAAGCGAGCGCCCAATCGAGACGTTGCGCTTCGTCGGGTCCACAAACAGAGCACCGATTATGCCAATGCCTTGTGTGTAGTATGTCGCGCAGAAGCCATACAGCGCTTTAGTGCTGCTGTTTCGCACGACAAAGTGCGCCTCTTCAATCTTGGCGTTGTAGAGATCGAACGACGCCGAAGAAGTCGCCCTCAGGAACTCGAGCTTCGGGGCGCTGGCCCTGGCGAGGCCCCTGATCAGGTCGTCCAGGGGCCGCGCATCTCGTGCTTTTTCATAGTTCTCGACAAGCCATTGCTGCCTCGACTTCAGCACCTTCTTGCTCTTCCTGAGCGTCCCTGGCAGCGACCCCTGTGGCGTGAACTCGCCAAACAGTGCGCGCACGAGTGCTTGCATCGCCGTCTCGGTAAAGTCAAAAGTGCAGATATACGTCCCGATGGTCTTGTCCATGGCAAAGTCATATCTGTTATCTCGTTCGTTAGTCTTGACTGGCAAAGTATAGTCGTCGCCACCGCAAAAGAGATAGGGCCAATTTCCCAAGAAACAGTGCCTAGAGGACGGACTCACGGTGAGCTCACGGCAACAACTATCAGTGACTTCTTCTGGCCGCTGGCCCGAAGCATCGAGCACATCATGGCCACGTGCTTCGTAAAACCGGACTGGTAGAGGTTCCGGTTCGCGTCTGCTGTCACAATGATGATCCCCGAGGCCCTATTGATGAGATTTTCATGCACCGGACGGACACCATTGGCGGTGTATGACGTGTGTAGGAGCTTGCCGTTTCTTGCGCGCGCGATCGCCCTTCCCATTTCCCGGAAGACACCCTCGCCGCTCATTATAGCACCCCTCTCTCGATGAGTCCACTTGTCGTGCATGGTGGAAGCGCTGGCCCCCTTCTTTGCTTCGATCGCTTTTGTCGCAGCCGACGCCGGTAGCGGCTTGACGAGCGGTGTCAGGAGCAACAGTTCCTCTCCCTGATCCAGGGACTGGGACAGAGGCAGCAGCCTGTCCTTATCGCGCATGACCGCAATGGAGTTCTCGTAAGCCTGTCTGGACAGGGTGAGATGGGACGGGTGCATCTGGGAAAGTAGAGAGGCACCCGAGGGGTTGAGTGCCTGGGCCCAAGAAGTGCAGCCTGACTTGAGGCGAAGGATCCTCCTCAGGGAGGTCATGACCCTGTTCCTGGTGATGATGCCGTTCTCTATGCCCAACTTGAGCCCCGCAATGCCTTCCAGCTGGATATTGTAGTCCTTGCACAGGAGTATCAGGTCGCATCCCGCCTCGACTGCCATCACGGTGCCTCCCTTAACCCCGATCTCCTGATACAGGGCTTCCATCTCTAGACACTCGGAGATGGCGACCCCCTTGAAACCCAGCTCTTGCCGTAGCAGGTCATCGACTACTTGGTCAGAGAGGCAAGCATGCGACACATTCATGCTGGCTGAAGCGATGCCACAGCCGCCGATGAAGACTGCGTCCAAGTTGCCCGTTGCAATGGCGTTCCTATAGGGCACAAGGGCACTGAGGCCAAGCTCTTCAAGGGTCTGTGTGATGATTGGGACATCGAGGCTGGAGCCCCTGAAGTCCAAGTTGCCATAGGTTGGAAAATGTTTGCCACAGGTCGCCAGGCCGGCATCCTTGTAGCCGTTCAGCGCGGTAATGCTGTACTGGGAGACCTCCTGGGGATCGTCACCACTGGCTCTGACGCTCATGGGTTGGTAGCGGGCGTTGGTCAGAACATCCAATACTGGGCCGAGAATGAGGTTGACACCGACGGCCGAGAGCTCCTTCGCAGTCGCCTTGGCTACGTTGTATGCCATGTCGAGGCTGCCCGTTGCTGCCACGCCCATGGCGCTGGGAAACTGACAGATGTAGTCCTCATCGAAGAGGCTGTTGACGCCGCCATTTTCCTGGTCCACGGCGATCAGTAAGGGATAAGGATGGCCTGCACCACGAGCAATTGTTTGCAACTCCTGGACGAGCTTGGCCGCCTGTTGAGCCGCTTTGTGGAGGAATCTGGTCAGCATGCATGGCGGAGCGGGCGAGACTCAGTGTGATGGGGGTTTGTTACACTTCAAGTTCTTGGCCGTGAGGATGATGGACCCCAGGTGGTGATCCTCGATAAGACTACGGATTTGAGGTGTCTGTAGAGGGTCAGCTTCAGAAATGAAGGGAGAATAGTATAATACTCACAACTTCGGTGCCGTCCCAGCCCATCAAGAGCATCTGGCCGATGGCCCTGCATCAACATCATGCCGTCAGCTCATGATGCAATAAAGGGGCCAGCCGCCAAAGGCTGAGCCATGGCGCATCGACTTCCCGCATATGAGACCGTCAAGAACCAAGTCGGAAAGTAAGTGATGCCGTAACGTAATGCCCGTTGACCTACCAATCAAAGTCCTGCCATAGTGGGTCCAAGTCACCGTCTGGCATAGCCATTGCTGTTGGCTACTTGGGAAACACTCTCTCCGGACAAAGAACATAACAGCTCTACCTCTAACAATGATAATCCGGGGCGGATCCGGATCCTATGTAGCTGTCACGTGGAGAAGGAGCGTGGGTGGCATTGTACTCGCGCTCCCTACCACACCAGAAACTCGGGACGGGCAGTCGACTAGGCGGTGCAAATGAGATTGTGCACAAAAGAGTGATAGAGTGATGGCAGCCCGTGGTGTGCCGTGCAGCGCTCTGTGAGTTGTCGGGGTTACTGTTGCAGGCAACACCGGTATGCCGATTCAACCGTGACGGAGTGCAAGTGCGTTGACACGGACGGGCGGTGCAGAGTGATCTAGAGTCTAGCGCTTGCTTCCTCTCGGGACTGACTACCATGAGGCTGAACGCTAGACCATCCCCCTTCCCCGTGCCCCTGCCCTCCCTCCGTTCTCAGCCGCGACGAAGCCTCAGGGTTAGGGTTCAGGTTCCAAGGGACAAAGACGGCGCTAGGCTGCAATGGGAACGATAGTCTCCTCTACATCATGTACGGAGTACCCACGTACCCTGTCTATCAAGACCACCTCACAAATGTAACGTCACTGTCGCCGACTTCATCCTCCCATCCCGCCTCCACATAGCACATCGTCCATGTGACGGCGGGGTTTCGAGACATCCCACCACCAACGACCACACGTATCTCTGAGACAGCTTCAACGTCGCCTTGCCCCTCCTTGATCCCATATCAGTGACAACGGCTAGGAGCACCTAGGCAGACGCGGACCAGGCCCGGATCCATTGCGGAGCCACATCCAACCCTCGCAACATGGGCGTGACGGCCGGAGATCATCACCACATTAGCACCCGTTGGTTGGATGTTGTGGTCCGTCAGGGCTCTCTGCTTGGCGGGGGCTTACCAATGGTCCTTCTGTCGTCCATCCCTCCATCATGTCGAAGGAGGCAAGGCCACGCCTATCTATCGACCGTGGCGGATTCCAGGTTCCAGACTTCGGCCTCTGGGACTCGGGCTTGCGCTCCCACCCACGATGACGCTTGACCGAGGAAGTGCATTCAGTCTGACAGTCGGGATTCGGAGCCTATCTCGAGGCTTGTGGACGGGAGCCAGTAACGGTGGCCATGTGGACTGTCGCCCTGCGACGACTGGCTTACTGTGCTGCACTGTGCCCATGCTGATCGATGTGCTGCCGCCGCCTCGATTCAGTTCATCTTATTACTATGACCAGTTTCATCACCATGCATCCAACCAGGTGCCCCCCAATGACTAAGTGGGTTTGCATGAAGGGTTCGTAGCCTCCATCCCTAGCGGCTCCTCTCCGGAGCTGTGTGAGCCTGACGGGACACCCGATCTGTTTGTGCCGGCAACGTGATACCTACCTTGTATCCACTTCCCTCTCTGGGCTTCCCGGGGTCTATCAGTCAGTCAGTCAGTCAGTCAGTGCGATGTACTGCAAGTCCTATCGTCACGACCGGAGTGCTACCGGGGTGCTACCGGAGTGCAACCTGCTACCTTGGGTGGCCGTAAACCTAGTTGGTATGTTGGTTAAGTATAGACTCTCATACGCCCTGTCATCACTTCTTCCTCCCCGTTCATGGAGTCCCTTCACCACCAAAGAGAAACCTGCAGGCTCAGGACACACCAGGAATACACGATATATCCCCCATAGATTGCAATTACCACCTCAGACGATACGTCCTTGAGCCCGAGAATGCCAGCCCTCGTCACAGAAAACCGCCAGCATGGCATCACCAAGTTTACAACTGCCGGCTCGTCAAGGGCGACAACCTAGTCAACGAGGACCTCTGGGTCAGCTCGGTGACGGGGAAGATTGTCGAGACCCAGCAGGCCTTCTACGACGACTTCGTCCTCCCTGACCAGACCATTGACCTGGGCGGCCGCATCCTCTCGCCGGGCCTGATCGACGTGCAGCTCAATGGCGCCTTCGGCCTTAACTTCTCCACCGTCGTGCCGGACATGTCACTGTACGGCAAGGCGGTGCGGGACCTGAACCGGAGGCTGGTCCAGACGGGCGTCACCTCGTACGTGCCCACCGTCACGACCCAGACGAGCGATCTGTACCGCAAGGTCTTGCCTCACCTGGCGCCCTCGGGCTCCAAGAGGATTGCTGACGACGGCGCTGAGTCCCTCGGCGCGCACTGCGAGGGGCCCTTTCTTAACCCGGGCAAGAACGGCATTCACAACGTCGAGGTCATGCGGCAGGCGCACGCCTTCAAGGATCTCGAGGACATGTACGGCCCCGAGAACATCAACCCGCACCTGGCGCGAGGACCCCTGCCCATAAGAATGATCACGTCGGCGCCGGAGCTAGGCAACATGACGCAGCTCATCCCCGAGCTGCAGTCCCGCGGCATCATCTTCTCCATCGGCCACTCCGAGGCCACCTACGAGGAGGCCTCTGCCGCCGTCGCGAGCGGCGCCACAATGATCACCCACCTCTTCAACGCCATGCGGCCGTTGCACCACCGGAACCCGGGCATCTTCGGCGTGCTGGGCATCGCCGAGAGCCTGCCGCGCCCCTACTTTGGCATCATCGCGGACGGCATCCATCTGCACCCCACCACCATCAAGATCGCCCACAACGCGCACCCGGACGGGTTCATCCTCGTCACTGACGCCATGCACATGGTGGGCCTGCCGGATGGGAGATACAAGTGGACCAACGGCGAGGGCGAGCACCACATCGTCAAGAAGGGCTACGTCCTAACACTCGAAGGGACGGACAGCATAGCAGGAAGGTGAGTTCACTCGAGACGGGCCTTCCGACGTCCCACAGCCCCCCTGAAATGTTAGAATAACGACCGTGCTGACTTCTCACGCCCCTTCCTTCCCAACAGCTCCATCACCCTCATCGAATGCGTCAACAACTTCCTTAAGTGGTCCGGAACCAGCATCCCCAACGTCCTGAGGGCGGTGACATCTACCCCGGCCGAGATGCTGGGCCTGACGGGCGTCAAAGGCTCCCTGGAGGCCGGCGCCGACGCCGACCTCGTCATCTTCTCGGAGGAGGTGACAGCCGACGGCGCCGTCCAGCTGGTTGCCGACGAGGTGTGGAAGTTTGGAAGCCGCGTCTTCCACAAGAGCGACCCCTTCTCGCCCGTCTACTCGCCCATCGATAGCTCGCCCCTCCCGTCCTCTCCCGAGCCTGACTTCGCTCTCTGATGTGTGTGAGAGAGAGAGAGAGAGAAACAGAGCAGGGAGAAGAAAGCCCAGATTGTGGTGTGGTCGAAGTATTCAGGCATTGGTGTGATTTGTGGTAACTATCAGTGAAAACGCGATTGTTTATTTCAGACATGTAACATTGAAAGGATTCAAGCAAGTAAGGTTGAGCGTCTCATATAGCCATAGATTGGAACGAACGGCGCGCTCATTATCTTAGAAAGAAACTTGAAGAGCAAAGCAGTTAAATCGACAGACGGGATGTCATAAAGGCAAGGAGTTCAGGCCGCAATGCTTCCATTTCACACATGTTCTTTCTGGAGGGCGCCTTGTAAGATGATACTCATTAACATGAATTGAAATTTGATTAAGCAAGTGTGTGTAGTTGGAAGCAAAAGATTGTAAGATCATGCTAATTTTACAGGTCCGAGGTATCATTTCTGTGGATCGTTCGATCGAGTCACACAGTTTAAACTACAAAACAAATCTGAAATGCCCCAAGCTTTTCCGACTCTTCTTCCCTCCCATTCTCGTCCCTCCTTCCCCTACACTCTCAGTAGATGAATTTGATACTGGATCCCGCAGGCTTCCTTTCCGTAGGAGTATCCAAGCTCACGAGGCTATCCCTCAGTCTGACTACCGACGACTCGGCCTCACTCATCTCGGACACAGACTGGAAAGTGTCTGCGCGCTTGAGGCGCTGAACCACGGGTGACTCCAACGCGGAGCCAATTGGTGCCGCGGCAGGCTCCTGGGCGGCGTGTGGCATCGTCAAAGGGGCGAGTGGGACGGTCGGCGTGACATCGACGGGCTCGAACTCAAAGTCGAAGGCCTGCTGAGGCACCTCCAGTGCTTCCTCCCTGGGAGGGACTACTGAAGCCTGTGGCGTTCTGGGGGTGACATCAACAGGTGCAAAAGAGTTCCTCGCCCACTGCTCCGCGAACTGACGCTCCTGCTCAAGTGCCTCGATTCGTGCAAGCAGTGCTGGGTCCATCATCACCTCACTCTCTGCGTAGTACTCTTCCTCCTCATCCACTGCGTGATCGGCAGAGGTAGGAATCAAGGCTGTGCTCCCGGTTGTGGTTTCGCCAGATGATTCAATGTCGGTTGTGGTCCACGAACGGCCCATGGCTGGGTGAAAGTTGTCGTCCGGGCACGTGGCAATGCCTGAGCCGAAGAAGACAGGATGCACAGCAGCAACATCATACGTGTAGCCAGCAGCAGCAGGGTGTGTCACCATAGCACTGGAGGTCAACGATGACGCGGCGAATACGGGATGGCGTCTTGAGACATCAAAAGGCTTGCCATAGCTCTTTGACACAGCTTCAGCCAAAGCACTGGCCCAGTCCGCAGCACTCGCCTGGCCAGTCATCTTGCGGCTTGGAACAGAGGGGGCAGGGTAGCTGGCAGCTATAGCCTGGTCGAGTGCGGCATCCCACTGCTGGGAAGTCGTCGCCTTACGCGATGGCACCGGGTAGCTGGCTGCAAGTGCTTGTCGGAGAGCAGCGTCCCAGTCCACTTGCGAAGCGGCAACTGATCGATGCTGCCGTCTAGCCAGAGTTGCTGACCTCAGAATGGGGGCTGGGATCCTGGAAGCTTTCTCCTTGGGGCTGGGCATCGGTGAGATCCAGTTGCGTTCAATCTGAGGCGCGACATCGGCGACCCAAAGCGTTGTCGAGTTCAGCTTGTCAACCGGCCTCCGGTCTGCTGCGCGGGGCTTGCGGCCCATGTGAACAGCGGCGGGAGCTTGAGAAGACCTTCTGAAGTCTGCGCGACTGGCATCGGGATTGAATAGGCCAGAGTCAGCCAGCAGCTTGGGTGACACTGGTGCCGACCAGAGTAGCTTAGGTGCCTCGGGCTGGTTGAAAGTATCCACGACAGGGGATGCAGCACGCGTCACAGGAGCGGACTGCGTCCTCGGTGCCCACAACTTGGAAGGCGAAGTAGTTGCCTCGCCTGACGAAGCTTGCCAAAGGTCGGTGCTCTCAATAACAGCAGGCTCGGACTGTCGAGGCTTTGCCCGGGCAGTCGTCTTTACACCATCGTAGCTTTCCCACTCCTGAGGCTGAGGCAGACCGACGGCGTGGTCACCTCTCTTTGGTCGCGAAGTTGCCTGCCAGAGACGCTGGCTTGGTAGCTTCAGCCAATTCCTCGGTACAGACTTCTCAATTGGAGAAGCGTGCCACAGGTTGACGCTCTCGATAGTGGCGGGACCAGATTGTCGAGGCTTCGCCCTGATTGTTGCCGTTACATTGTCGTAGCTATCCCAGCTTTGGGGATGAGGCAGACCGACAGAGTGGTCCCCTCTCTTCGGGCGTGCAGTCACTTGCCATAGATTGTGGCTGGTAGCAATTGCTCTTGGTAGCTTCAACCAGTTCCTCGGACCGGGCTGCTCGACCGGAGGAGCCTGCCACAGGTTGACGCTCTCGATGACGGCGGGACCAGACTGTCTCGGCTTGGAACGCAGAGTAGGCTTGGCACCATCATACTCATCCCAGTTGTCAGGATGAGGCAGCCCGATAGCATGCTCGCCGCGCTTCGGCTTCTCGACCACTTCCCACAGAGGTTTGCTAGGCTCAATTGGCGTCGGTGCTTCTAGCCAATTTTTGGAACGACGAGTATCGGAGGAAGTCTGCCACAGATTGCCGCTCTCAATGATAGCAGGCTCGGCTTGACGAGGCTTTGCACGGACGGTAGACTTGGTGTTGTCTAGTGCCTCCCAGTTGTCCGGGTGCGGCAGGCCGACACCATGATCGCCTTTCTGGGGTTGCTCTTCCACTTTCCAGAGCGAGTCTGTCGTCGAAATAGACCTCGACAGCTCCTTCAGGCCAGGAAGCTCCGTCGATAGCCCCCGTGCTAGGGGCACTTCTAGCGTCTCCTTCGGCGAGGCTGGTTGGGAGGACTCCACACTGCTTGGTAAGGACCACATTGGCGACTTTGATTCCACAGCCTCGACCTGCGACGGGATCCAAAGATTGTCGCTCTCGATCAGCGCAGGTTGCACAGGCATCCGAGGCTTAGCACGGGAGGTCTCTGTTGGTGCATCATAGCTGTGCCAGTCCACGGGTTGAGGAAGACCCTTCGCGGACAACGCCCGTTCCGTACCCCGCGTGGCCTGCCATAGGGCCGACTGCGTCCTCTTGGGCGAGTCCTGTGGGGGAAGTGGGGATGGCATCTCCTGGAGACCATCTGGTTCTTCGATGCCAACAAGGATCGTCTGACGAGCAATCCGAGCAGCCTCCTCGTCATCCGCGTAGTCATCGACCACATAGCTTGTGGCATCATCCGGCGGCGGGAACAGGCTGTTGGTGGATGGGATTTGATCAGTCTTGAGCAAGCTTGCGATTTCCCACAACGTGGATTCATCAAATCCGTCGTCACTGTCCGATCCCATGTCGCTCGAGGAGTCGCTTCGATCTTCTGCGTCTTCGTCATAGTCATCAAAGAAGGATGAAGAGTACTCATCCGACTCGATTTGCCTGGCCCTCGCGTCTAGAGCCATGTTGACGTTCCTGCCACCGGTGGACATGGTGCCTGGCATCGCCATGAAGAGTGACGGGCGAGGTTGCACGGAGGCAATGTCAGACTTCTCTCCCCAGGGAAACTGGAAGATACCAAGAGTTCCTCGCTTGTCCGGGAGTGGCTGAGGATCCTCGACAATGTCTGGCAGCGCTGTGATCCGCTTGCTTCGACGCGGTGGTCGTTGCGTCAGCGGGCGGGATCCGGAGGCGGACCGGGAGCGCTGAATGCCGGGGTTGTAGTAGCTGGGAGCCTGACGCCTTGCAGAACTGGTCGCTTGAGATGTTTCTTTCAGCGCCTGCACTTCGGCTGGAGACCTCCAGAGGCCGGAAAGGTCGGTCCCGCCGAGTGAAGTCGGCTTCTGCCAAAGCTGTGAGGACTCGATGGGCAGCGTGGAACTCTCTTTCCTCTGAGCTGGGCGGACGGAGAGTCCAGGCAGGGGGGGCTCCTGACACGGCAAATGTTGCTCGTACGGTCGCTGTGGCCGAACCCACATAAAGCCGCTCTCAGCCTTGGGCTCCCGACGAGGTGTCCAGAGAAGTTGTGCGGCCCCAGCAGACCGCTCCTTCTCGACCGCCTGATGCTTAGCACGGGCCTCGAGGAGAGCTGCCAGATTGCGCCTGGATTCGATCTCTCCTTCCGACTCATCCGAGTCCGGGGGCGTCGGACTGCCCAAGTCGGCCTTGGCCACGGAGAGGAAGTTCAGACTACGCTTGCGAATGAGCTCGTTAGCGTTCTCCATGTACTCCATCTGTGCCTCTGCCAGCCTCCGCTGCCAAAGACTCGCTCGATTCCTGCTGTCGTCGCTCTCACGCGACGAAGAGCGCGTCGACGAGATGCTACCCATACGTGCCCGGCGTGATGCTCTTCGGTCTGCAGCGATGCTCTCCTTGGATTTGGTTGAAGAGTTCCTGGATAGAGCCTCAGCCGGCGACGTGGGGGCAGCTTCAGAATTGCGGCGGGACTGCGCGGTGGGCGAGACGGTGGAGAACGAATCTCGCGAAAGGTCGTGCTGCATGCCATGCCACCTCGTCTCTTGCTGGCCCATCTCTGCCTCCAAGTCATTCAAAAGCGCTAGTCGACCGTGCCCGGGGCTGTCGGCCGCGCCCGGGCCAGGCTGCTCGTACTTCTTCAGCTGTGCTTGAATCATCAAGAGGGCCTCCTCCGGGGACGGGAGAGGCGATGGTTCGGCAGCTTTGACGAGGACCGCTTGCTTGGCTGTCGTCGGTCGGTCGCTCAGCACCAGAGGAACTGGTGGTGGGCCTCTTCTCGACCGCGTCTTATCGGGTCGCGAAGAGAAACTGAGGGTCTCGTCTCCAACCCGCCGATAGAATTGACCAGAAGACGCTCTTGACGCCACCGGGCTTTCCTCCTCTACATTTGCAGGCGCCTTGCCCTTAGGCTGCAAGTCCCTCGCCACGGACGCGTCGAGCATAAAAACCATCTCCTCGCTATTGGTCATCGCCGAAACGGCCCTCTGGTCTTGGCCAGGGGTTTTGTCCGCCTTCCCAACCTCGATGGCCCGGGCTTGGTGAACTGTCAAGCCTATCTGCTGAACTGGTGCCGGAGAATGGACCGTGCCCCATTCCGTAGTTGCATCGTCCGTGGTGGTGTTATCCGTCGTTGTCGCTGTCTTGATACTAAATCGGGCGGGCAAAATCGGCGACGAAGCTCGCTTGCCATTTCCTGTCGTTGCCATGGACTGCTTCTTCTCATCCACCGGGTACTCCTCGCCCATAACGTCTTGGCCAGCCTCTGATAGAAGACTGTGATATGCCGTGGCACTCGGTCGGTCACGGCCCGCCTCCATGGACACTTCTCGTTGGGATGCCTCCTCTGGCTCCTCAAACAGGCTCCTTGTCTGCACCGACGTCGTTGTCCTCTTGGAATCTCGATATTGGTTATTGTAGCCAAGGTTATCTGTGAGTGTCGGTGAGCTACTTATGAACGAGACAGGCATCCCAGGCAATGATGGCACTGATGATCTTCTGCGTGCACTCCCCTCTGCGTTCGGTGGCTGTGGGAAAAGCAGGGTCATTTTCTCATCGTACGTCATGCTCTTCGTGTCATTGGGCTTCGGCCGAGTAGCGTAGCTTGGGATTTGTTGCGAAGGAGGCAGAGGTAGGGGAGGAAGATTTGTCGGGCTGCCTGGCACAGTCTGCAGCATAGATTTCACGGTGCGGATAGACCCAGCAGACTTCGATTTCCTGTGGCCCTTTGGCGGCGCGATTGGAGGGAAGTACGTATCCATGCCTGATGTATTGCTTCTTCTTGGGATTGGTCTCGGGCGGTGAACAATTGACCCTGAGGTGCCAGGTGTCTCCGGAATCACAGGCGTTGTTGGCGGGCTCGCAGATGCTGTGTTGATAGGCGGCGGGACAGCCGTCTTCGGGCCGCGCTCCTTGGCATCTCCTATGACGCTTTCGACGTAATTCGGGTCGTCATATATGATGTTGTTGACGAACATGACAGTTTGTTGCCTCTGAGGTCCAGATTCACCTTGAGGCCCAGATTCACCTGGCGGCCTCCTTACAGACATTGCCCTCGGGTTCCCAGGGAGGCCATTCGTTGGTCGTCTCTGCAGAGGCGTCTTTGCTGGTTCAGGGGCTGTGGTCTCGGGGGACGGAGGTAGTTGCCGAGACGGAGGGATATCTGTCCTGATAATAACATCTTGATTCTTAGGCAGAGCCCGGGCTGCCGACTTTTGTGGGGGAGAAGGTGGCCGGCTGGTCGCTGAGATGGCCACCGATTGTGCCGAGGTCTGCGAAGTCGATGGCGCATGCCTCGGCGATCTTCTCCGGAGTTCCTCACCGCCGGGCGAAAGTTGAGAACCGGTCGTGACGCCTGTCGCTGATGTGGCGCCATCGGGCAAAGCGGGCAAAGACGCCTGCCCAACCACTTCCTTTCGAACGGTACTCGTGGCCCGCAAAACGCCCTGCGCCGGCTCGATGGCCGTAGCAGCGGCCTCGTTCCGAACAGCCGACGAGCTTTGGCTCTGGCTCGCCAGGAGTGCTCTCCTCTCTTTCTCTTTCCTTGCTGCCGTGTCAAGATCGGTTGTGGCTACCTTGTCCAATGGATTCGAGCCGCCCTCCTGAAGGACAGGAGCTGATATAGCCAGTTTCCCGACCGTGATCGTCTTCGCTGGCCCCGCACCAGCGTTCGAAAACAGCGTCCTGGGCTTGTTCGGTAGCCTCTCCTGCTGCTTTCCCTCACGAGGGTTGACGGGTGCCGGGACCGACCGCATCGGAGGGAACAACTGGCCCTGAACTGGAACTCCACCCATGCCCTGTCCTGACATCCCGGGGTTTGTGATGCTCGGCAAGCCCTGGTTTGGAAACGGTACTTCCCTCGGCTGGACGAATGCGGTGCTGGAAGTAATCTGCTCGTTTTTGAGGTCTTCGTATCGACTCGGCGGGTACTCGTTGGAGGCTGAAGTGGAGATGGACCGTGCAGTTACAATCTGTCTCGGTGACGGTGCCTCTGGTACGTTCCGGTCTCTATCCCTCGGCTTCTGGTCTCCGAACGCGCTTGTGCTCGCAGTTACAATAACTATCACGGTCAGGGGACGGTCCGGAAGGCATGTCTAAGTGTAAGAAGGCTTACTTAGCAGGATGGTGAGACCACCAGCCGGGACGGTGCTTCTGAATATGTAGTCGGTAGTGAATATGCCAAGCAGCATGGCTACACTCGTCTGTATGCCTGTCAGTATACACCATGATGACAGGCCTGGTGGGTCGTGGTAAGACTGACCGCCATCCATATTGTCAGACCAATGAGCGACGCAACAACAGCCTTGCTTCGGGCCGAGTCAGGGCCACCGTCTTGCATTTTCTTGATCAGCCCGACAGAAATGGCCCGGCCGGCCAAAATCGCGACAATCACCGCATCCACCACTACTAATGCGATGGCAAGGGCGAGAACAGATGAGACCGGCACACAAACGGTGTTGAACTGCGGTCTTGAAAGGCCGACGAAAACGGCCCCCAGGACGAACCGGACGCCCAGCAAGACCTGCGGGATGATCTGGCCGGCCGACGCCTGAGTCCCATCGTTTATAACCCAGAGAGAATGTTGTTCAATCGAATATCGGGCGAGTTGGTCAAAAATAGTGGTGAAGATGATGGCGATCTGGCACGAATTCTCGGCGGACGGATCTATTAGAGTTGTAATGAAGCCAACTTGGGCCCAAGTGGCGGCGCTGAATAGAAAAATAGCGAGGACCAGCCTCTTGCCGTCCCGAAAGATCGACGAGCCATGGCCCCTGACATTGAGAAATAGGGCCGCCGATGCCGCGTTGACAACGATGCCACTGTCGATGCCCATCAGCTTTGTTCCGACACCACAACCGCCATCTCGTGCCGTCGGGGAGAAGGGGCGAAAACTCACAAGGCGAAGGCGGCGACGAGGGCCGAGGTGGTTCCAGATATCGCCATATTGGCGACGCCAGCTGGCGAAAGGGGGTTTGAAGAAAAGCCAGCCCAGTCAATGGGGAATTCGAAGCGAACGAAAAGGGTATCAAGAAAAGCATCAACACTTCATCATTTCGTGATCCTCCGCACAATCAACATATCGACGACACTCTCACGTACTCGCGCCTGTCATTCTCGTCACTTCCCGTTGTGAGTGATGCAGTAGAGAAGTGAGTAAAGGGAGAAGAGACGGCGAAACTGGGATCACACAGGACCGGACGGGCAGTGTCAAGCAGCAGTCACGACAAAGTGGGGACGCTGGATCTGAAGCATGCGAAACTAGGAGCGGAGTGGATGCTGCAGATGGCAGGGAAACATTGGCAGCCGGATCTCGACATTGAGGGTGCTATCAGGGAGTGGCTCCGACGATGGTGTGGGTATGTTAGGGAGGCCCCATCTCGCACGTCGGACTGGTACCTGGAATAGACTGGCCAGCCATCCCGGTAGCGAGGATAGTGTGAGGCTCAAACCCGTGGGACAGGGACAAGGCTCGAGACGAGGCATGCCTCGTTGATCATGCTGGGCGAGGGAAGCGCCACGGCAGGCTTGGGTGACTGGGTGAATGGTGGTGGGCGCCAAAGATGGGGCAGGCGCCTGTGGCAGACAGCAGCGATGCGGCGGCGCCAAGTCTCTCAGAATGGAAGGTGGATGGCGCCACCGGTGTGGCATCGTGACCCATGTTCTCTGTGTTTCACTTGAAACCCTAGACGTCAGAAGCGAGCCGGCCCAAAGCTCGTCGTCCGGTCAGGGACGAGGTTTAGCCGGATTTGGAACGATCTCCATTGCATCAGCGCCATTCAGACCAGATTGACTTTGGTGGCCCTGGCCCTGGAGAGTCGATGTGGGTGTGGATGGACTGTATCCGGGCGATCCTGAGGCCGACGGGTTCTGCGCAGCGCCAGTGTATATGTGTGCAGAATCGCAATGGGGGCCAGTGCGTTGTAGATAATCAGAGGGAGGGAAAGAGAGGGCGAGAGGTCCGTGTGGCCAGGCAAGGGTCCAAGGAGCAGCCGGCAGCCGAAACTGACAGGACTGGTGAACCATGTCTCGCTTGCACACCTGCAAGAGTAGAACGCTACCGGACGGTCGTCGCGAACCACGCGGCAAACAGGCCAAGGTTCGTTCTGCATTGGAACAGCCGGCTGCAGGAACGGAACAACGGGATCCAAAGAGAAGCTGTTGTTCAAATAACCCAGAGGGAGGCAGCCGCAGCGAAGCTACGAGACCGGACGACACTTGGCCTCGTGGATGGTGGTTCCGAGCGAGAAATGGCCTAAGTTGATGGTGATGACACTTTAATTGACTGTTCACGGTTCACGACCTCGTCATCCGTCGCCAATCCGATCGAGCAAGGCAGTCGGTCAATCTTGGGTCGTTGCTTGGAATGGACTCGGGCGTGCCCGTTGTTGTTGCAACAGTAGATAGGGTTTTGGCCCAGGATGATCAGAGGAGACAGTTGAATTCTGCTGACCACGCCGTCCGGCGATTGAGTTTCGGCTGGGCTTTGGGGCGGAACAAAGCACACACACACAGGACCCGGGCTCGCGGACCGTTGCACCTGCAAAGTTCCTCAAGGCTTCCAGGCTCCTTCCACAGCTGTTGTCAGTTTGCGTGCTGTCTAGGCGTGCAGTAGTGTATGGCAACGGACTGAAACGTACGGCCGGGCCGCTGGGAGCCCCGTGCACAGCTCTGTTTCAGTTCGCGGCTAGTACCAAGGTACAAGAGAATCGCCTCCGTCCGCCATGCCGCTTTGGGTATTTGATTTTCAATGCTTTGGCTGGAATCCTTCGGCTCCGGCGGGGTCTTGAGGCTCAATATTCTATGATTTAATCTCCGTTACACAGGAATATGGTGTAGACACTGCTTCCCTGGCACAATAAGTCAACCTTGGTACAGAGGCAGGCTCAATCTCACATTTCTTACCTCGGCTACCCTCCCCCCTTCCTTTTCTGGTCTAGGAACCAGCCCCCTTGAGGCCATCACACACTTGGCCACACCTCATCAGCATCCACACTTCTCAAGCGAGCAGGGCCCAGACCAATGGCTCTTTTCTACTTGTCTGTTAACACACGGGCGTCGGTTGATCTACCCCCTAGACACCAGCTGTCATGTTTGATCCACAATGAATCTCGAGCTCATGCTGCAACGAGGAGACATGATTTGCAGACTCCGGTTGTTGCTGCACTCAGTTAAGAGCTCAATGCTTATAAAGAGTCACGGCACCCGGAAGATTCGTCAGGAAATGCATGAGGCCAGCATGACTAGTGAGCTGCTTGAAGGTCTGCCCCTACTATTCCCCAAATCGACGGCGGGTTGAATTGATAGTCGACACTTGAACACAATCAATCCCTGCCAAACCGACCAAGTGTATGATTTCCGGGAAACCGACCCAAGCTAGGAATACAGACGTTGAGTCGCGTTGAGAACCGGCTTAAGGTAAGACATTGTTGTGAAACGGAACATTAGCCTCATGTCAGCTACTCCCTCATGACATCAAGCATGAGCAGGGCTTGGCTTTAAATTGTGTCAAGACCATGTAGCTAGCATATCCACCTGCTGACTCGACTTGATCTAATTGTTCATGATCAGCTAAGAATGAAATGTTCATTCGCGCTACCCCATGATTCACCAATACAAGCTCTCCAGGCCGGGTTGACAGCACATCTGGCCGGCCTTCTGTACCATTCTGAGGACCGAGCCCACGCTACAATCTCCAGAAACGCGCCCGAATGGTGCAAGGAACATTCCTAATATACATGTATTGAAAACATATCTCCAGCTTCCTGTCATTCCCTGCCTCGAAATTATTCTGTCGCCATCGGTTGCCTCCTCGGCCACACCGCGGCTCAAAATACTACCATACCCAGTAAACCTGTGTGGCATGTTGATATCGTTCCCAGGCAAGTTGTCACTTCCAGAAAGCTGATCGAGGCCGGTAATGCGCAGTGGTCTTGAGATTGCTGAGATTGACACATTTCCTCGCCGCGGTGTGATCAGTTCCTTCGTAGGTAACGATACTTATCCCTTACTTCTTCCACATTGATGATGGAAACCCCGATATTTGAAAAGCTTGAGCGATGGCCACAGATCTTGTCAAAACTTCCATGGATGGCTGTTGGTGTATCCCCTCGAAGCATTCTAGTCCAGATCGACTCCGGCCTCAAGAGATAAGTTGCGGTCGATGAATGACTAGAGGCAGAGGAATTTTCGAAAAGGTGCTGGGCAAATCTGAGTTTCCTGTCCTGTAGAAAGAAAATTAAACGTTAAGACTTGATGAGTCCATTAGGCGGTGTAATAAGGCATGTTTTTAGCAAACAAAATGGCATGGCTTGGGCGAAAGATATGCAGCAGAACAGCAGCTACCCGAGCCAACAACATGTCACTGACATTGCTCTACCAATGGGAAGCAACATACTGCAGCTAGTTAGCAAAGGAAATCCTTGTTGATGGATGGCCCTGTAAGAAGAATCGATCTTGTACCATATCTTCTATGCTGATGAATGCCGCCCCACCCCACCAGCATCGCTCTATGTCCCTTGAGGAGCGATACATGTATGCCATGTGCTGCCACTCCTCTGCCGGATTTTTCTTGACATCTGCATATGCTTGTAGGCACTGCTTTCTAGGATTTATTTTCAAAGTATGGTAGATGTCCTTATGAGGTATTGCAATTGTCGCTACCCATTCAGCCTTGCAAACTCAGAGCCACATCCCAGCTCGTGGCTTCCCTTCAACGGGAAAATTCACCCTAGAATTCACTCGTCATTCACTGTCAACACTCCTTGGGGCCGTTCCAGCCTGCCAGGCTGTGCTGTTGTCCTAGTGAACGAGAGATTTGTGCTGGTAGTGTCAACGCCGTTTGGCCTTATCCTGCAGCAATGCTGACGGGCACCAACAACAACACGAAAGAATAGCTACATCTCAATTTGATTACTGCCATCCAGAACAAACCTTACAACCGCTTCTACTACGGTTTCTACGAAAATGTTGAGCCCCTCGCCGAAGCCCAACGAGGCAAAGCAATCCGGCAAGCCTTACTTGAGCGCCCGAGCTGCCGAGCTGAAGCAGAAGCTGATGCAGAGCCGACTGCAGGCTGCAAGTGCGCAACCTGCAGACATGAGCTCCTCAGAAGGCGTGCCAGGCCAATGCAAACAGCAAAAGCAGCCAATTTCAGACGGGGCCGAACCCGTCCAGACCAAGACATCTGCCCTTGATCAAGCACAATCCATCCCAGGCCTGTCCCAGGGGACTTCACAATCCAAGAAACCGTCCAATTTGAATGCTCCTGACCAACTTAACGGCAATGACAAGGTACAGGGCTCTCCAGATATTTATGAGAAATTGATGGAAAAGCTATCATCTCCAACTCCATCCAAGACCACTGGCAAGGATGCAAACGACATCACGATGACCGTCAACGAGGTCGGACGCGATATAAAGGCGCCCCCGGGCACAAACGCCCACGCGGCCGCAAAAGCCAATGAGAAACCCGACAATCGTGCCCGCAGCAAGGCCCAGCGAGGAGGCGACAGCACCGCCAGAAAGGAAACACCTGCATCGCGCAGTGGTACCAAGAGCCCGGTGGTCCCAAAGGAGAAAGCCAGCACGCTGTCGTCGACTGAAGAGGGCGAGATCACTAGCAAGCCCCCGGCCCCCACGCGCAAGATTCCCGTCCAGGAGTCGACGCCCAAGCCTGCCTCGCGCAAGACGACGCCTCCCACCCGTGCCCCGACGGCCACAACCATTGTGCCAACTGAGCCGCGTGCTGAGCGCAATGTGTCCAGGTCTCGCGAGACCAAGCCTGTGCCAAAACAAAGAGAAGAAGACAAGGGTGACACCGGCCCTGCTCATCCATCCGCGTCCCAGCCCGACGGCAAGCGCGGACATGGCCGTCGAGGTTCACCTCACGCCCGCCAGGGCAGACAAGGCGACGACAACACCACCAGGGGGGGCCTACATGGCGCCACCGCCGCCGTTCCCCCACCATGTATATGCGAGGCCCGGCCGCGAGCAGCGTCCCCACCCGACCTCCCCAGTGGCGTCGCTGCCGATCGAGGACCGCGACTGGGAGATACAGAGTTTCGACTTCCGGGACCGAGACCTCCGAGACTGGCTGCGTCTGACCGGCTGGGACAGCCGTGGGTTCCGCCTGGGCGAGCTGGCCCGTCTCCGCCGCCAGGAGCAGATCGACCGCGAGAGTGCCGAGCTGAAAGCGGAAGGCGAGCGAGAGAAGGCCCGGCTGAAGGAGGAATTCGCCGAGGGTAGCAAGGCGAGCCACCCGAGCGGCGCTAGACCGCGCCCACTGCTGCTGCCTCCTGCGCCGCCCCGGCGTGCCGAATGTTAAGCCGGCTGAGCATAGGATGCTTGGCCGGTACCCGGTGACAGGCGGAATCAAGAGAGAGCGCGGCGAAGAGAGTGATGGCGACGCAGATGGCGACTCCTCCGCCAAGTATTACCGTACCAACCGTAGTCACCGTGGATCTCGCGCCGGCTACCACGGCTACCACCACCGCGGCCGCGAGAACTCCAGACAGCGGCAGGCCCGAGAAGGTACCCCGACTTGCTTCCCCTAATCTCCTTCTCATTTCCCTCGGCATACCACTCAACGTTTCTTCCCCCTTCCCTTCACAATCTTCATGATGCCCCCTCATCCATGCTCAGGCCCCTCTGCCTCGCGCCAAGTGCGCAGCACACTGGCACCACATGCCCAAACACACTCCTTTGTCCCACTGCTAACTTGCTCTCCCCAGACCGCCAACGAAGTGACAGGTTCTCTCCTTCCCGTGATTTTGCCGATAGTCCGCCCTCGCAGTCCCATCCTCAGCGTCACCCGCGCCAACGCTTCCTGAGCCCGGTCGGTCACCCGCTGCCCCGCGATGAGTTCGATGCCCAGCGCGCGATCGACCGGTACGTGACGCGCGACAGGCAGCCGCCGCGTCACCACTCGCCCAGACCCAGCAGCTCTACGCCCTGGGGTCGCGGCCACAAGTCCTCCTGTTTCCACGAGTCCGAGTATGGACGTCTCTCAGGGCCCCCCAATTAGACTGAGAGAGCCGGAAGATGTTCACTGGGACGCTGGTGAGACATTATCCAGCATGGACAAAATCCAACAGATTGCAATCATATTGGCCCTCGGCGAGAAGTCAATGCCCCCGGGTTGGCCCCCGGGTTGCGGACGGGGGCCGGATGGACGGCCCACTTCTGCGAGTGTACGATACATTCACGAGAAACAGACTTCTTAGATAGCATGCGCCACTTCAAAGCAATGGCTTCGTCAGGCCTATATGTGAGATGCTGGAAGAGTAGTTTGACGCAATGAAATCCTTTTCTTTCAAATGAATGGAAGACCCCTTGGTGGGCCTCGAGGTGAGAATTCTCACATGTGAATCATTTGTTCGATTGGAAGAGGAACTTGTCTTGAAGGATTGAAGGGGTAGACTGAGAATGGTGCGGCCCCAATATTTAATATCACAGCACTGGGATACTTGGAGAGTTGAGGCTGCAAGAATAGCTGGGGCATGATGTGATAGATCACTGGGCGCTGATAGCCGCCTGCTGTGATTTTCAAGGCAAGGTCAATGCTGCAGCAACGCAGGACAACTATTGTCAGGATGTCTCAAGCTGGAGGCAAGAAGGAAGCAAACAACACGGCCTGTATGGAAGCATACATGATCATGAAGACCACAAGCCCGCTGCCCATGTTCCTCGTCTTAGGGCTCCTAAGGCAGGCCGCAAGCCACCAATACCAGGCCGGGTAGCCTGAGGACAGGCGGGTGATGATCTGGACGTGATAGCTCGTAAAGGCCAGGGCGACGAGCGAGACCTGAGCAAAGACCATGGACCTCACCACCAAGACAAGGCGGGAGCTGTCAAGGCCCGAGGCCGACCCGTGGCCCCTGGAGATCCTGGAGCCCTGGAAGAAAAGATCTTTCCCGCCTTTGCCCATGACGAAGAGCATGGGAGCTGCAAGGGCGAAGAGTGGGGCATTGGACAGCGTCCAGTAGCGGAAAAAACCGGTGTTCCTGTTCTGCGGTGTGAGCGAGCGGACGTTGCTGATGTCCGAGGCCACCGTCATGTGGCCCGCAGCCTGTGGGTTACTCAGGAGATTCTTACCAATACTGGCTTTGGACATAGTTGAAGATGCTGGGCACGAGGTGGGTACACCATGGCCTCGCTTCGGAAGGCGCGGAAGCGGTGGAGCAGTAAGTCTGGTAAGCAAGATACTGAGGGACGACGGAGCCGGCAGCGACAGACAGGCCGGCGATGCCGAGGACAACCAGCCTCCGGAGGTAATCGGGGGTCTTGCTGTGATCGAGATCCTCCGTCAGTTGATAGAAGGTCGAGAGAAAGTCGAAGGCCAGCGGGGCGCCGTTGAGTAGGCCATTGGTACGGAAATAGGTGGCGAGGCCAAAGATAAGGCCGGCGAGTAGGGTCAAGGCGTCTCGAGGAAGCGATGAAACAGATGTGCCAGTCCTGATGCAGCTCTTGACCAGGAGCAGCCAGCCGGTGAAGGACAGCAGGGAGCAGGCGCTCTCAGCGTAGGGGGCGGACAGGAACAGGCCGGCCGGGGACAGCACGTGCAGCAGGGCAGCAGCAAGTGCCCATCTCGAATCCCTCCAGATGTGCAAGCCCAGCTGGTAGAGGACCAGTACGGACAGCAGGTGGCAGGCGTTGGAGAAGATGACGGCGACCAGAGCCTCAACGTGAGTGCTAGGGTCGGGGGCAGTGAGCAGGCCGAACCGAGGGATCCGTAGGGCTGAGGCTTCTAAGTGATTAGAAGCTTGGACTTGGTTTTAAAACTTGGGCGGACCATAGGCAGGAGGAGCGAGCGTTATTTACCTCGGATGATGAGGGAGATGCAGTTGGGCAAGGCGGACCCAAAGGCCCACTCCTGCTCGAAAAGGTAGCCTCTCTGGGCGGCCTTGAGGAAGTAGATGGCATCCCAAGAGGACAGCCGCGTGAGCAAGGTTGGCGGGCTGCCGGGGACGAGGAGGCTCGAGGAGGTGTCGTAGGTCGGGCCCACGCGGCTGCCGGCAGCGATGGCGAACAGGACGGCCTTCCACGAGAGGAACGTGGCCGTCAGGGTGGTGTAGGGAGAGCCACTGTTGATGCTTGTGGCGGCCATGGCGGCGAACGTGGTGGAAAGGACCAGAATGCTGCGTGGCTCATAGCAGTTAAGCCCTACTTGCTGTACACAAGATACTGTAGACAGACAGACAGACAGACACAAATAGAGGATAGCATGGGGCACGACCCCCCTGAGAAGATCGGGCCCACAGGCTGTCCGTTATGCCAGGCATGCCCAGCGCGTCTGTGGGTCTCCACCACCCCTGCTGTGGCTTGGGTGCAGGCCTCGGCATGTGCCGAGATTTGGGCAATCAAAAAGTCGACGAAAAGAGCACCAACACCTGACGCCAAAAATATCAGTCGGCGCCACGAGGCTGCCGATTAGGAGGCCGGCTGTTGGAGATTCCACCGGCGCGGGATTTGGGCCCCTGAAGCCTCTGGCACCTGCAGATGCTCATCTTGTGCCGACCTACCAGTCCAGTCCGCCTGTCTGTGCCAGCTACTGTACTTCAAGTACGCACGTAGCACAGGATTGACCGTGGACTGGTGGCAAACATGTGGGGATCTGAGCACATGGGGATCCGTCTGATGTCTGATGAGGGAAGAAGAGGCCCAGGATGGGGCAGGATGGACAGCTGAAACACACAGGTGCACACTCACTCTCTCTTGTTCCATTTGTTCCCGTTTCGAGGTCTCGTCAAGGGCCCGGAGGCGACTTCAATCTCCACGGCTATATCCGCAGCTCCCCCCACCCCCATCGATGGCCCTGCGGTTGTGTGGTGTGTCCAAGAACTGCCGTGCCACCTGCTACACACCTGACTGACTAGTCTGGCAGTGTCTGGTCAATATCCCCAGATTGCTAGATTGCACTACTACGGTAGACCACCACTAGGCTTATTAGTCCAATTGACCGGCTGCTGCATGTGCTGCCGGGCTGCACGGTGCAGTAAAACAGACCAGACGAGAAGAAGTCCGTCACCGCCCCTGACGGATGGATGATGGATGGAGTGACGGATTGTATCGTCAGCCATCGGCCAAGAGCCAACACACAGCAGCCAACATCCGAAGTCCACAACGAGAGTAAGAAGCGGGCATCTTGACAAGTCAAATCAGGCCAGATCAAGGACTCTTGTGCTGTCAGGTCATGTCAGCCAAGCAAGCAGGCAAGCGAGGGAGCACAAGCAGGCCAGGCAGGCGGCACACAGTGACAGTTGGGGAAATGCCCTCGCGTGCCCACCGTGCCCGACGCCCAATTTAGCTCAACTGACCCCCTTTTCCCCCTTCTCATTGGAACGGGCGCAGCACAGCCGAGTGGGCACAGTGGCATGCCGACAGGGACATGCTCGGGATACATTAGGAAAGTAGCTGCCTACACGCACATGACGGATCTTGCGCGCCCTCAAGCTCAGCTCACCAACTTCCCCTGCCACTGCCGCGGTCCTGCACCTCGGGAGGCTTGTCCCACCCGCTGCGACTGCGTGCTGCACTCCCACGCCATAATCCCTGGTGGATTGGTGTCTTGTATTCGTCTTCGTTTCCGCACTCCGTTTCTTCAACTCCTCTTCTCTGCCTCCCTCCTGCGAGAACAACTCAGCAAGCTCCTCATCCTTCTCCTGATCAGACACACCGACGCCAGCCTTTCTCAGCCCATCACCAGCTCTGTGTGCCCTTGTTACCATTTTCGTGTACGCCTGGAGCTCACCCGCCCGCCTTGCACCCCTGACCTGCCTCCTGTCCAGCCTTCCCGCCCTCTTCCTGGAGAGCCCACATTCTGTGCAGGGACGACGCGTCTTCCCGCTACAAGGCATCCCGGTCAATATCTGCCACCCTGCTGTGCAGCACTCTGTCTTTCCAACGCACTGGACGGGGTAAGATCGACCTGCCACCGGGTACCTGATGACCGATGACAGGAAGGCCTCGACAATTGGGAAGCTTAACTTTGACAACCAACCTCCGACCCCGTCTTGCTGATCTCAGTTTCTGTCGTTCGATCTCATACAAAAACCACACGCGCCGGCCTCCCATAGATGCCCGACTGTGACGCCACACCTTGAACGCTTTTTTTCCACCCGGATCCACTTCACACGCTGTCCAGCAACTCGATTCTCCGAAGAGCCCAAATCGATATCTAGACCGCCATCGGCCTCGCAATACCGTCCTGCCTACACAGTACCTGGCTAGTAGCTATTGTGCTGGACGGACGCCTTTGCCTTGGTATCCGCCAATTCCGGCACCAATTACCAGCCAGCCCTACCAACAGTGCGCCCCATGATCGCGGTTGACGGCGCCCGGCCCTGGGAACGAGTGACGGAATCTCTGGGACCAGGACGCAGACCGGGACGGACCAGCTCCGCAGAATTTTGCACTCGCACTTTCGTTGCACCCGAGTTTCGCTTTGGATTTGGATTTCGAAGCTGGACTTCCGGGAGTCACGGAGTGGAAGGGGCCTCAGTCACTCCTTCTACTTCTAGGACGTGAGCAACCGCCGGTCGCTCCTGCCCATCCTGCCCATTTCACACTCGTCTTGCCAGCCCGTTGCGTGTTCATGTGTACTTCTATGTGTATGAGTTCCTAGTACGGTGTATCGACTGCCGCCAGCAAAATGTTTCTCCACGCTGGTGCCTCCCTTCACGGCCACGAGTTCTCAGGCTCGGGAAACGGCCACCCTCCACAATCACCTACACACGCGCCCCTGCAACGGAAAAGACCATATCTACGATCAGCATTTCCAGCCCCCATACTCCGCTCCACGACAACGCCGCCTCACGCAAGCACATGGCCTCTGCCTCAAACGCCCAAAGCGACGAGACCCGTGTCTGAAGTCTACGTGCGACCCGTCACCGATGTGCTCGGAGACCGTGCCGCCGCCCGGAGATCTGTCCCTGCCGCCCCCGTCGTTCGTTTCAAGGAGCCCGAGCCGCTTGAGACCCCCAAGTCCTCCATGACAGAAGATGAGCCATCCTTCTACGACTCCGATACTTCACAGACGTCCTCGGCCGCCCGGCCTAAGCGGAGGAGAGCCACCCCTCGCAAGAGCAGCCACTACCTCCTTGCCCTGCCGGCTCCCAAGCGGGGCTCCAAGAAGCACCTGTTCAAGAACATCCGCCCGAGGCTGCTCTTCCAGCTTCAGGAGCTCCCCGGAAACCAACGGCGGCCACGGCCGGCGATCGATGTGTTTCCCGCGTCCGTCATAGCCGGGCCCATAGTCACCGCTCGCTATATCAACCTCTTCCCTCGCATATTCGGGGTCAAGGGCGAGCTGGGCCCTCGTGATCTGATCTTGCTCAAGTCCGAGGACTATGACACCGGTCTCAGTGACTCGGAAGAGGAGGATGAGCATGTCGGCGGCCGCCGCGAGCCCCTTGCCATATTGAGCCCAGTAAGGGGCCAGGACTGTGACGAGATTGTGATGGAGGACGGCACTGTTTGGAGGGCAACTCCGGGTCCCAAAGGCAACTACGAGTTTGTCCACATTGACAAGCACGGAATCACGCAGACTGCACGGTGGGCCAAGCGGAACTCCACCAGGAGCGTCTCGAACCAGAAGAGCGCAAACAGGCTCTCGTCATCGGCTGCTACAGTGGCCAGCGACGCCACGTCTGCCGCGGAGCCGACCGATTACAAGTACACATTCAGCCTCATCAACCCGCAGTCCAGGCGCCACCCGATCCTGGCGAACTTGACACCCAGATCGCTCGAGGTATTCGAGGACTACACGACGGTGTCGACATCACAGGGCCGCTTCCCGCCCTCTCGCCCTATGAGCTACAACTTCGATTCAGCGAGCGCCAGGGACCCGCCGCCGTCCCCTTTCTCTGCTGATGAACCCTCCGCCGAGCGCCAGACCCACGCAGTGGATGATGAGACCAAGAAGCTCATCACTGTCACGGGCCTCTGGCTAGCCCTGCGACTCGGCGGAGCGGCGCCCGACTCGGCCGAGACGAGCGATGCGGGCGCCGCTCACCCGCGGGAACCGTCCGTTAGCATATCATGCGCATCCCATACGCTCAAATTGCCCAGGCGGTCGACTACGAGCAACATCAGCAGCAATACGCCACCGCCGGCGCAGTCTGGCCTCAGGAGGGCAGTCAGCACGGGCGCGGCCTTTATGCAGCGGCGGATGCTGAAGCAGTCTCACTCCCAATCGACCGAGATGGGCGGCAACACGGTGGTGTTACCAGAGAAGCAGGCCGGTGTACACAGTGTAGCGGGCGATCACAGAGATAGTGAGAGGGAGACGAGTGCTGGCACAGGATGTACACCTGTACAAAAGCAGACACGGAGGGTGAGCTGGCTTAAGAAGCTTAAACACTAGGTGTGTCTATGCATGCAGCCTGCTAAACCCTAGGGAAAGGGAAGGAAAGAAAATTATGATACCAATACCCAATTGAATTCTATACATACGACTTAGCTGCATGATTTGTCACGATCCTTGCACTGCAGTGGACTTTCACCAAACAATATGTGATTTTTATGACTGGATATGGACGGCACGTTGTCAGATGTGTGCAGTCAATTCCTGATCTAGAGTACTGTACAAATGCACACGGTGACACCAAGATGAGAGCGGAGAGACAACCTCTCCATATCCCCCTGGTTTGCTGCCAACTTTGTCATGGCTCAGTCCCATGAGCCAGCTGCCCTGCCAGTCCGGAAGACATGCATAAACCACCTACAGGAACATGATGCAGTGATAAACAGAGCCTTGGTATCAAGGACAAGAGCCCTTGCCTCCGTCCCCTGAGAAGGCCATACTGTAACAACCCCAATTTTCCAACGCCGCAAACTGGGAGGTTCTCCGACTCCTGAGGACCATGAGATGCAAAACAAACAAACAAGGTGTGGATATGAAAAGATGTCGATGCCTGCTTGGGGGAATTGGGGAGGGACGGTAGGCTAAGGGGCCAATGCGGGTTTGTGGTGCTCATGTAATTGACGAGATGGTCTCGAAGCAGCTTTTGACAATGTCCGTCGGGGGTTTCGCAGACAGATTCGAAGAAGAAAAAGAGACAATACAAAAGGCAATTCAAAATCAACAATTAAAGCCATATCTTCGGCTATGCAAACCGCGTGGGTGAAGACGGTGGCAATGGTGAAGCCAAGGGTGTGAACTGCTTCGACTCCCCGATCGCAACTTCCGCAAGGTCCCGCATCTCTTCAGCCTGTCCGTCGAGGGTCCACCCTGAATCAGTGCCGGTGCGTGACTCCGGGGCGGCGGCGGCGGGGACTTGGATCCCATGAAATCCGGTGCACGGAGACGCGAGGAAGTTGGTGCGGATGCCCCAGTGGTCCTGCCCGGCTTCTTCCTCATCTTCACCCCCTGGAGAAGACAGCTTCGATGGCTTCCAAACGGGCGACAGGTTCCAAACGTCAGCCCCCACCACTTCCGTCTGGACGTCTGGCCCCCTTCAGGCGCCCCCCGGGCTCTCCGCCGCAGCCGTGTCCTTCGTCTCCTTGGGCCCGGCCTCCTGCCGCGCCCTGAGCTCCGCGTCCGAGGGGGGTATGAAGGTCGGGGGCACGTCGGGCACCTGGATGACGGGCTTGAGGTCTCGAGGGGTCAGGTCGGTGGGGTTGCCGGTGGCAACATCGATGAGATCGTCGCCCTCGACCACGACCTCGCGGTTGACGATGCGGCGCATGAGGTCGGTAAAGGAAGAGCCTCTGAACTTCTCATTGTCGCTTGATACCATGGTGTTCAGGATGCGTGCAGCATATGATTGAAGTTCCATGTCCTCCCGCCTCTTGAGGTTAAAGCGGTTCCTGGGTTCCAGCTGCGACATGACTTTCGGGTCACCCTCCCAGCGCTTAGCATCTAACTTCTTGGCATGTTCGGTCATGATAGCGTCGTGATCCTCGCGGTCCTCGGGTCCGTGAGCAGCCACCCACTGATCCATCTCCTGCTCAAATTCCTGGTCGTATGCAGCGAACGCCGCACCGAGAGCCTCCTCTGTATTGGCTGCCAAGGCAAGGTTCTGAGGGTAGTGGCTGAAAGGGAGGCCGTTCGGGCCAGTCTGAGCGGTGCCCGGAGCAGCATAACCATATGGGGCAATATTCTCCTGCTGCGCTGGCTGGTCCCTCATGAGGTGCTGGCCACCTTGCGCTGCGATGCCGGCTTGACCAAAGCCTGGAACCAAGCCTGGAGCATGGGCGGGCATCATGTGGGAATGGCCATAGGGAGAAGCGATAGTTCCTTGCATCATGGGCTGACGGTTGGAGTAGGGGTAGCCACTTTGTGCTGCAAAGTTGGGTGGACCATAGCCTGGAGTGTTGATGGGCACCGCGCGCATGGCAGGTGTGTACAGGTTGGCTGGGCAGTGAGGTCCTGCGTTGCAAGTAGGATTCAAGCGCAAGACTTCCATCTCTTTCCTCAAAGAGTCTTCCTCTTGAGCACGTCGAAAGTCATTGACCCAGGACGTATTGGCTGCCTGCAGAGCTGCACTTGGGCGCTGATGGTCGATTCCGCCACGGCGGTCAGGAATGGGCGGGTTGACATGTTTCTCCAAATCGATTTGGTCCCTGCCATCCAAGGGGATGTCGACATGGCCACGATAGCGTGACTGGTACTGCATCCAAAGGAATGGGTTATGATTGGGGTTTCCTCGGGGCCTGACAAGGGCTGGAGCAGTGGCAGTGGGTTGAGGATTGGGCTGAGGCGAGGCACCAGTGAACTTGGCGAAAGACACATCTCCAGCAGCTGCATTGGCCGTCTCTTGGGTAGTTGACCGGAAAGACTGTACAGGTCAGCTTCATTCCCCAAATAAAAGGAGTCCTGAGGTGCAACTTACCCCATCGGCAGAGGCGGGAGAGCCTGCAACACGGTCCTGCTGAAGGGTACGGTCGCGGTCGAGATGTCCAACCAAGCCCTTGGTAGGGGCAGATGGTCCACAGAGGTTGTCCGCCATGCTGATGATGGTGACTGGGACTTGAGTGGTCGACGTGTCTTTAAGTGACGATAGCCTCAGACCGTTAATCAGACCCAGTGGTCGTTGGTCGTGATTTCGTGCTTGCGATTTGATGCTTGTGATTCGGTGATCACGATGCCTGGAGGTGCCAACAATGTTGTAATGAGTGCCAATACACACACAGTGAGAAGCGACCACACTGTGTGGTTGAAAAAGAGAAGATTGCAGCTCTTCCCGTAGGAAGTTCAAAGTTGCTCGAAGACAACTTATGGAGGTCCTGGGTTGAAGGAGGGGCGATCTTTGGACAATAACAATGTGTCTATTGTTTGTTTCCCACACAAATTTTCCCACTCAGGAACATCGGACGAAGAAACTCAGATACCGCAGCTTTTATGGCATCAGCTTTCATGTGTAAATGCGTCTGATTTATGAGAAGGGTGTTCATCCACGGTAAGTGAGGGCACTCGAGGGAACCGGTCTCAACCCTGAGACTGACCGACCGACCGACTGACTGGCTCTGAGAGCAGAGCCCATGGATGCTCCGTGTGTCCCAGTCAAGTTTCCGGGGAGACTGCTAAAAACATAGAAGATAACGATCGTTTTATGTCCGGAATATCAGTCATGGCAGTGTATGTGGTAGAAAGAAGAAGTCAAGCCCATGTGGACAGTCGCTGGAGGCAAATACCGAAAGCCAGGAGCCGAGGCAAAGGCAGTCAGTCCGTTCCGTCAGCCGGCCGTTGGCCTACCGCATTAGACGCATGGGAGAGGTACCTCAGTACCTACCCGCAGCAGACACTCAGGCACTTTGCAATGGCAGGGGGCTGATGCTTACATACACACAAAGCAGGCGGAACCCTCCAGTTGACGTCGCCCTGCCCTGCAGGGGATACCTAGGTACCTAGGTACCTACCACCTTGTCTGGCCCCTAGCAGTACATAGCTAGAAGATTACTGTGGTGGATTGAGAGTTAAGTAACTGCTTGGTTTAATGGACAGGACAGCACGTCGCGAAACCGCCCACCTCCCCAAGACTGCCACCGCGAAAACCAACTTGTTGTCATCCTCTCCAGTCCCTGTGCCAACCTCAAACCCTCATTGAGTTACTTAGACCTTCCTTTTTATTCTCCTTGAAAGACCACTTGATCGGCCTGTCCTCGACCGTGCCGTCTCCCCGCCACCATGGTGTGTATTGCTGCGCCCACGATGCCCCGGACCTGCATCGAGTTGCGATTCTGACCATTGCTACTACAGGCGACTCAGGTCATTTCAAACCCCGGCCACGATGACATGATAGTAGGTTCCATCTCGAACTTCCAAGGGGACAACCACGACCTCTCTGCCGAGCTCAACCTGACCGTCTCGCCTCCTAGCACGATGCCGTCCTCGATTACTACGGACGCCGACTCGCGACATGTTCCTCGGACCGGACAATCAAGATCTTTGAAATCGAGGGCGAGTCTCAGCGATTGACGGAGACACTCAAGGGGTGAGTATGACAGTTTCCCGTGCCCAGTCAAAAGACACTAGCCGCGCACATCACAGACAACTGACGCGCCCGGGCAACAGACACGAGGGCGCAGTGTGGTGTGTTTCCTGGGCCCACCCCAAATACGGCAACATCCTCGCCTCCTCGGGCTACGACGGCAAGGTCTTCATCTGGCGGGAGCAGCAGGGCGCGTGGCAGAAGATCTTCGACTTTGCCCTGCACAAGGCCTCGGTCAACATCGTCTCGTGGTCGCCCCACGAGTCCGGCTGCCTGCTGGCCTGCGCCTCCTCGGACGGCAACGTCTCGGTTCTCGAGTTCAAGGACAACAGCTTCGAGCACAACACCTTCCCCGCCCACGGCCTGGGCGTCAACTCCGTCTCCTGGGCGCCGGCCACCACCCCAGGCTCCATCGTGTCGAGCGCCCCCGGCCCCGGCGCCACGGGCAACCGCCGCTTCGTCTCTGGCGGCTGCGATAACCTCCTCAAGATCTGGGTCTTCGACCCCGCCAACAACAGCTACAAGCCCGAGCGGGAGCCGCTCTCGGGCCACACGGACTGGGTCAGGGACGTGGCGTGGAGCCCCACGGTGCTGCAGAAGAGCTACATTGCGAGCGCGTCGCAGGACAAGACGGTGCGCATCTGGACGTCGGACCCCGCGAGCCCCGGCCAGTGGAACTCCAAGGTGCTCAGCTTCGACGCCCCCGTCTGGCGCGTGAGCTGGTCCCTCAGCGGAAACGTCCTCGCTGTTAGTGGAAGCGACAACAAGGTCACGCTGTGGAAGGAGAACCTGCGGGGCGAGTGGGACATTGTGAAGACACTCGAGGAGTGAGTCGAGGGGTCGCGAGGCGTTTGGGGTCCACCGGACGGGAATTGATAAGTAAAAAAAGAACAGGGACAAGCCAGTCATAATTTCAGCCTGTTAAGCTCCGCGGCCGTGCTTCAATACTATTTTCCCACATGAAGCTCCGCCTTGATTTCTGTCTACCAAGAACATTCAGTCCTATCGTCTCCTGGAAATCCATCTCCAAGCCACTTTTGCCCTTCGACGAGGGTAGTGCAAGCCGGCAAGTTAGCATTATGAGCAGTTGGTTGTACATTTAGGCCACGGTAAAGAACACCCCACAGACCACCGACAACGCAACAGCCAGGCCCGTGAGGAAGATGGCTTCACCACCCGGCCGATTCCTACCCGACCGCGGCGCAAGGTTCGGGCTGGTGCTCGACGTCGGCGTGACCAGCGTACCGGTTCCCGTGGCCGTCCCCGTCTCCGTGCCCCCACCCGTCGCGGACATCTCGGACCGCTGCAGCACGTAGATCTCGCCCGTCGAGTCCGAGCTCATAAAGAGGCGGCCCTGGCTGTCCCATGCGAGCCCGACGGGGCGGAAGCACGAGTCCGGGCATTTCGACAGGTCCGCGTTGCTAAGCACGTCGGCCGTGGCGCCACTACTATCGGCCCGGGCGGCGGGCGCCCCGGTGGTGCCGTCGAACTGCACGCTCGACAGCACGTAGCCCGTGGGGTCTGTGCGGTCCCACGAGCCGTGGAATGTGATATATGCCGTGGTGCCGTTGCTGTCGAATACCATGTCCAGGGGGGCTGTGTGAGCCTGCGTTCACCCGTCAGTCTTGGTTTTTCCATATGCTCGAGAGAGAGAGAGGCTTACTTGGAACGTCAACCGGGGCGGGACATGTTCCCGCGCGCAAGTCGTGTCGTTGAGTGTGTCGCTGGGGTTGAGCGCAAATTGACTCCCGACGGTCAGGTTCCCTTTGTCTGGGAAGTTATCGGTACCCCAGAGGGCAAAGCAGTCCGGATACCCGTAATTGCCGCCCTGGTCCTCCGTAGAGTCGTTCAAGAATCCGTGATAATTCATCTCTTCGCCGGGGTTGTCCTGGTGGATATCAGTGCCGCTCCTCTCGATCTGATCCGCCGAGTTCTCGACTGATTCTCTGTCAGAATTGCCCCATGAATTCAAAGGAGCGAGTAATCGAGTGTAGCATACCGCTGTAGATTCCACCCGTGACTGGGTGCTCGGCAACTCCAACGCTGTTCCTCAGGCCCCAGCCCATCAGTCTACCCTCGGATGGGTAGTTGTAAGGTCTCCCATCAGGCAGGTTGCCAATGTCAAAGGCCCGGATCTGTGAGATCCCGGAGTCCAGCTGGGCGGCACCGAAGTCCAAGTTCTCGGCACTTCCTCGAGACACCAACAGAGTGTTGTCGGCCTTTCGGGACAGCAACAACGTCCGTGAGACATGCTGAGGCTGATTAGCCACTGACAGGGGAAAATCACACACGGGCGGCTTACATCTGAGTTGCTCATGTTGGTTACAAGCGTCTCGCTGTCTCCCACAGTGCCAGCAGCAGCGTCGTACGGCCAACGATACACCTCGTTCGAGGTGGAAGCATACAAGGTGCGTCCGTCGGCCGACAGCTGGACGGCATGATTCAGCTAGACAGGCAAAAATTGTCAGCAAATTTGATCTGACCTCTCACGATACCGAAGTGCAAAGACACCCACGTCCGAGTTCTCAACCACAGTGGAGGTCTCGTTGACAGCCAGGCAGGTCCCGCCGTTGTCAGACAGCGTCAGGCGCACGATGCCAGACCCCTGCTGGACGACGAGCAGCGCGCCATTCTGGTCGAAGGTGAGGCTCCGCGGCTTCTTCAGGCCGGTGACGATGAGCTGGGCCGTCCATCCCGAGCCGACGACGGGGGCTTCGTACGAGGGGGTGAGGACCGTCGGACAGGCACCTGCAGCAGAAGTTGTGGACTGGGCGGAACAGAAGGTGGTGTTGCCGAACAGGGCTGCGAATGCGGCGAGTAGGCTGAGAGGCTTCATGGTTCTTTCTTGGGAGATGGCAAGGGCGCGGGAAAGCCAATGCCAGATGGTTGAACAACCAGGGCAGCCCTCGCAAGTAAGATGCTTCCCTTTGATGGAGTTGGTCTGGGCGGGGGACGCTTCTCCAGTTGACTTCCAGAAGATCAGTCGCCGGGAACTTCCAAAGAAGTAGCAATTGATTGCTGGGTAGTTGCTCGAGAAGGAGGAGATCAGGGTTGGTCGAAATATCTCAGGCTCCCCTCTCTTAATAGTTCGTCCCTATGTGACAGGAACCTGGGTTGACATCGGCAATCGCCAGATACGCAGTATCCAAAATGATGTTGTCGTTCTTGCGAGCAAGTCCCTCACACTTGGTGACCTGATGTGTTATGTATGTGCCCAACACCCCCTCCCATTATATAGAGCCGGGTGAGGTATACAGCCGCCCAGTGCTGAGCAGCCAGAAAAGATCTAGCTCTGCTTAGTAGCGTCATGCCTTGGGATCCCGGACGCGTACACTCCCACATGCTGTAGTGGTCGGCGCAGATCTTGAAACTCATGCCAAGTGAGGTTGCCGTCGATCCCAAGCCCGCGGTAAGACTTGGGGAACTCGACGCCCTAACTGGTCTCTTGAAGTCTATAGAGATTCATCTCGCTTATTCATCTGTGGTATGATTGCGAGAATGTAAAAGCACTCATTCATACAAACGGCTTCAGAAATATCGCAGGAGGATATCCCGACTGCCCGAACATCAGTATCTGCGGAGTACGTCTCTCATCATAGTTGCCCGGTTTTTTACAGCGACCAGTTTCAATCGCCCAGGTGTGGACCGGCTGTGCTCTCTTTGGATGCACCGTCCTGTGTCTGTAGGCTTAGCCCCCAGGCCACCAAGCCATTAACCAGTCACCCTACCCCAGCTTTGACAACGAGGCTTGGTAGTTGATGTCATCGCCCGATCTGGGGTGGGTTTTCGACAGCCGCGAGCCGAATTACTCCGCCTTGGAGGCGAGCCGTATGCAAGCACTATAGCTGCGAGCTCGCTGACCAAGGTTTCACTCACCCCATGATTTGGCTACCCAGCCTTGGCCTCATCGCCGGCTTGGGGATTATCCGACGGCTGTCACGGTAGCACATGCGCAAAGAAATATGCGAAGAACAGAATATGGTATCCGTGTTATGCTCTTGACCATGACTTTAGAAGAAAGAAAAGGAACAGTCCGCCACTCCCACACAGGCTGTCGAGCCCAATTATATACGTTGTTGGTATCTGAAAAGCAAAGGCTCGCCAGGCCCCTGCATGCTCCCCCACCCCCCCGTGCTATTCCACAAACGATCAGAACGCTTCATGCTCTTCTTTTGAACGCTCACTCTCACAGTCCAGAAATCACCGCAGACCGATGACACTCATCTCCAGCGTCCAGACTCGTCGGATCCACACCTTGAGCTTCCCCTCCACACCCTCGACGTTGTCGAGCTCCACGCCTTCCCACCAACATCTCCTGGCCGGCTTCCGCCAGAAAAGCAACAGCTTCTGTGCCATGCCCACGGCGTTGTTGCCCATTTCGTTACCACGGATGTCACTGCGGAGCCTTGCTAGAGCGAGACTGCAGACAACGGCCTTGTTAGGCTCGCCTGCTCGGTGTCCCCATTGGTCATCGTGATTAAAACCACTGTATCACGCTGTCAGTCGGGGAATGCTGCTAAAGGGAAGTTGAGCGCGAAGGAATCCGTAAAGGCTCCAGACACATACCCCGCTGTCAACATCTCAATCAAATGAGCCTCTGTAGTCCCGGGTTCGTCGCTTCGCTTCAGCCCGGAGAAGATGCCGTCCTGCTTCAAGAGCGCCCTGGCCGCGGCCCTTTTCACTTCGATCATCTCCGGCTGCTGGATATCTGCCTTGGGCGGGATGACATAGAAGTCGAGGTCCTCGCGCAGTACAATGATGCCTGCCCTCTTTGACGAGTCATCACGCCCTGCGCCACCCAGCGGCTCGATGGGCAGCGCATCGCCATCTTGCGATGGTGGTGGTGACGACTCAGCTGGGATCGACGAGGCAACCTTGCGGAAAAACTCAAGCATGTACTGTAGAGATTCCGGGTCATACTGGGGGACGTGGCAACGGCGTCAGTTTCACACTATCTCCCGAAGTCATCGCGAAAGGGGCTGAGTGTAGCAACAACTAACATCGACTTGAATGGCGTCGCCGTCGGTCGAGCCGCCCATGTGCCCTTCAGGGAAGAGCCCGTTGGGGAAAAGGGACAGCAGGACAAACTCGGGGAGCGTCAGGAGCTCATCGCGGGAGAGAACAAACCGTGTACCCCTGATACTGCGCATTAGCCTCGACTTCCTGACGCGTCTAAAGACCACACAAAAAGCGGGGCTGAACGTACCTAAGGTCCATGGTTATAGTCTCGTCGGCGCCGACATCTTTCGTTTGTCACGTCAGTGATTGTGCCCCAGCAAGCCAGTCCAACGTTTTCTCACCTCCAATGGTATTGATGGGCGGTCCGCCCTGTTGCACCTGAGTAATGATACTCGAGGCTCCTCCTGCAGCAGCCATCAGGTATGTGAAGGACTGGAGGGGGCTGTAACCCTCCGCGTAGGCTGGTGGTGGTTCGGCGTCGTCGTCCTTTGGGCGCGAGCTACTCTCGCCCTTGGTGTCTTGGGGGAGGGCGCGTTTGGTCTCGGCGAGGGTCTCCTGGTAGGTGTTGGGCGGTTCCGAGGAGCTTGATGCAGCCGGCGGCTCGTAGGCAGGGGCAGGGGATTTGTCGCCCTGGGCGGGTTCCGGGTCGAAGAGGTCGGAAGGAGCTACGGCAGAGCCAGAGGGATCGTCGGTCTCGAGCACAGAAGCAGGGCTGTGTTGGTCCGGCGGCGGAAAGCTGGCAAAGAGGGAGGAGAAAGGCGGAGGTGCGGTCCGGTGAGAAACGAGCGACGTAGCAGTCGGGCGAGATGCCTCAGAGGCAGGGTACTGGGGCGGCGGAGGCTGCGGTCTTGCCCCTGGGCCGTGGGTGGAGCGGACGATGCTGTCGGCGGCGGCAGCTGGTGGTGTTGATGGTGCAGGAGGATCGAGTGGTGCTGGGCCTGGGCCGCAGAGGCTCTCCTGGCTGCGTCTGGCTGTGGGATCGTCGTGTCCTAGCAGGGCTTCGTCGACGACTCGTCTCGAATGGCTTGACCCAGCAGACACGGAACGTCCCCGACTGGGTTCCTGTGGTGCTGACAATTTGGCTGATGTGGAGACGGTACTGGGCTCCGTCTTGTGCTGTTGATCTGGGGATATTGGCAGCTTCGTCGTCGGTCGGCGGCGGGTGCTGGACAGCAGGGTGCGCGGCTAGAGCATCAGGAGGTGACTGATTGATTGACGAGACGGGCTGGCCGGTCGGCGGGGTCTGCTTGGTGAGGAGGGAGGATTGGGCGATAGAGGATGAGGCACCACGGCGAGACAAGACTGCTAGCAAACGACACCGGCGACCTTTGGTGTACACGATCAAACGACGGCACGCATCGGACGGAGGACTGACGAGGGCAGATTGAAGACTGGTGTGGTCGAATTGCGCTTAAGTCGGATCGAAATGAACGAGAGATGAAGGTCCAAAGTTGCAGTAAGCGAGTGCCAAATCAGGCAAGACGCCCCAGCTCTGCATCTTCGCATGCCACGGCCCTGGCGAGCGAGCCCGGCTGCCCCCTGGCGGCAATGGTAGCCCTGGAGAGGGGCCTCCCCGGCTCAGGCACGATACCTAGATACCTAGGTACCTGCTGCTCAGGCTCTACGGCTCAGCACCACCCTGGCACGAAGCACGTGTACTGTCCAATCCTATGGAGTATTGCCGGCGGACCTGGACAGAGACTACAACGCTGAAAAGGCTGCAGGTCATTCTGGTGGTTTATTTGTCTCTAATGATGTTGTCGTAATTGTCAGCAAGTCAGAGTTCCAAGCCTGCAGCAAACGAACGTTGAGCACCTGGGGTTTGGTGCGTTTGCCAGCAACATGTATCCAGTGCATGTCGTGGCCCAACAGCTCTCAGACCGTGCCGCGAGAAGACGGCTAGAGGATAGTAGCTCTTTTCTAGCATCACGCGATGGACGAGAAGCCACATGTGGTGATTTGTTTTTGTTTTATTTCTGAGGGGCCGTCCTAGCCTTCTTCGTCGCTGCTGTCGCCAAAGACAGCCTTGAACACCTCCTCGCCGGCCCGATTAGCCTCCAATGCCTCATTCCTGTTACTATCTACCACAACCTCCTGCTTCCACGGCCCGGTGGGTTGTGCTTGGTGGTCGCCCGGCGCCGTCGTGGGAGCCTTTACCAAGCTGCCTTGGATCATTCCACGCATAGGTGTAGGTCCGGCAGGTCTCTGCACTTCTGTGGCGTCCGCGTCTGCTTCAGCTTGGACGTGTGCCGGCGGCTTGACATTGAATCGCTTGCACAGCAGCCGTGTCGGATAGAAATCACGAATGGATCGCGTCATATGTCCGTACATGCCCATCTTGGCTGCCGCCTCAGCTGGGTCCTCTGGTTTGGATGGCGGCTTGGAGAGCAGGCCAGTGTCTCCAGCCTTTCCGTCGGTGCCGCTTGCCAGGGTGGAAGACGACGAAGTGGTAAACCTGGAGGCCATGGACCCAGTCATTGGCCGAAATATCCTGGCAACGTTGTAGAACTCATGGAACTCTTGTATCCACTCATCATCCGTCATCTTGGCCGTCTTGCTGGGCGGCTCGCCCCTCAAGCCAGCTTGCAGCTCGAGATAGCCCCTGTAGCGAGATCGCTTCTCCTCGTTGTCTCCATACGGCCCGCCGCCCGCCGCCCCCCTCATCATGGCGCCCAAGGCACTCTGCTTGTCCAGTTCTGGTATTCGCTCCAACACATTGCGTCGCTTCTCCTCCTCCGACAGTGCGTAGCCTTCCGGGATCTCACCTTTGGCTGCCGGCAGGTCCGTCTTCCCGGTCGCCGCCGCTAGGCGGTCTCTAGCAGACACGGACAAGAAATCAAAGACAGACTTTCCCGGTAGTTGCTTCTCTCCCAGTATATCGGCTCGGCTCAACGGGTTCAGTTGAGAGGCCTTTGCAGCATCGGTCGTTGATTTGTAGTGCGACGCGTCTTGGGTGGCCTCGGGATCTTTGCTCGACTTCCAATCTGCCGGTATCTCTGGTGGTAGATACTTGCCGTCGGCGTTGATCATAGATATCAGAGGATCCGGCTCTTGACCCAGAACAAATCCTTCCAAAGGTGGCCAACCATCGTGACACTTCCGTACGCTGCCGAGGGCCGCTTTTACCACGGCCTTTCGTCTTGGCACGAAAACTGGTTTGGATTTCAGAGCTGGGTTCGCTGGGGTGGAGTTCGTATCCTTCTTTTTCTTGAGGTTCTTGCTACCTCCAATGACCCTGTTGTACGATATCTGCGGCCCCATCTCGTACGGGTCTTCGTCGTCAGAGCCAGTCTCGTTCAGCACCCCCATGCCAATCCCTCCGCGGGCTTTGGATTCCTTCGTCTTGTTGCTCTTGGAGGCTGACAGCCTAGGGCGGCTGAGGCTGAGGCCTTGGTCGTCGTTATCTTCGTCGTCGGACTGTGCAGGCAGGCCCAGCCGCGATGATGCCAGTGGCGTAAGCCTTGATTCCCCGTCATATCCAAGCCCCATGCGGTCGGTCTTGCGGACAAGTTGTATCATGGGAGCATTCTCCGGCGCAAACAGGTAAGTCTCTCCCGTGCCCTCCGATCCCGGGTTGGTCGCCATACCAAGCTCTGCCTTCCTACGGATCTTGGGCCCAACTCCCTGGCCATCTTTCCAGCCCATCTTCTTGAGCAATTTCGTGCCCATGGTCTCGCCCTGTACGTGCAACAGACCGGCCAGCCCTCCTGAGCGGCTGGCGTCGGTGTCTGCTGCGCCCAGGCCAGCAAAGGCGTGCGAAGTGTGTAGCTTCTCGGATTCCTGGGCATCGGCGAGGTCCTCTTCATCCATGAAGTCCTCAGGTCGCTGGCTGGCGACAGACTTGTCGTCCTTGCGGCGGCTGGATCGCGACGAGACAAAGGTTGAGGGCGCCCATCCCTCCTTGGACCCTACGGTGTTGAAGTAGCTATCGCGCACACGAGGATCAGCAATGCGACTCGGTGCTTTGGTGGTGAGTCGGCTTACCCAGCGCTCCAGCCGCCAGTAAAGGCGCCATGCAGGCGCTTCCTGCCCCTCTCGTCCCTCACCTCCTGCTTCCAGACGGGGACGTAGGAGCCATCGTCACGGACGTCAGGGTCCAAGGGCGGCAGCGGCGTACCAAAGGCGACGTAGGGGGACTGTAATTTTTGGAGATCGGCCTCGTATTGCGCGCGCGTCCGCTTGTAGGACATGTGGAGAGCCTTGTGGGAGCTCGCCGGGGAGGGGATCTCTGGGCGGCGGGGGCCTGTTGGTGAGCGCGTAGACCCGGTCCGGGAAAGAAGAGGTGGGTGTGCGCGATAGAAGGTGGGCAAGCAGTGTCTGGTATTGGGATAGGTAGATCGGGGTCTGGTGAAGCTCAACCGCAGGCCTGAACGAGCGCGGATGGAGCAGCTCCCACTGACAACCGGGTCTGCATGTGTTAAGCCCCGAGGTTGTCAGGGTTCGGGGCCTGGCCCGTCCAGGACCTAGGTAGCTGATTGGGACGTGCGGGGCGGCCTTCGTGCTTGTTCATGTCTGTGTGCTCTGGGCATGTATCAGTACTTGTGCAGTTCTGTCCCCCCGTTCCCCCGCAGGCAAGGCTGATCAACCGCGCAGTCAGCGTTCGATCGGCCCTGTCAGGCGTCCAGCCGGCCAGCCAGCTCTCAGGAAGGGTCACAGCAGCCAAGCCAAACTGGGCCAAGCTCAGCATAGCGGGTTCATCCGAAAATATGGAAACATGCTTAACTCCAACGAGGTACTGCAGATACCCATTGCGGATGCATGTCCACTGTAGAAACACGTATGCTGCAGTGTATTCAAAGGCCTCCAAAAATATAATTACAGCGTGTACTTCAAGTAGATATTCTACCCTTTCATGCCCGGTGTCTTCTCAACTGCATGCACGACTTGGCCTCACCACCTGTACGCTACTAACATCTACGTACTGGAGGGCACACGTGGAGGCACAAGTACTTGTACATGTACATTCATCCTGGTGTTAGACATCGTGAGCGCGCGGGATCAGACCTGCCCACCAATCCCTTCTTTACTATATTCTAGTGCTGTGCCGTGGCGTACTTGGTAATTGTGCGGTGAGATCGAGGGAGGATCGTGGGAGATGATGTGGCAACGTCAGCAGACGCAGGAGGGAGGGACCTGGTGCTGTCTGATGAGCACAAGTCAACTGTGTGTAGGCTGCATTTTGAGTAGGGAAAATCTCGAGGCAACCGTTTGCTACAACAATCCAGTGATAAGGACCATGCAAAACCTGCCGTGATGGGTTCCCGGTTGTCAGGTTTGACCCCAGCCGTCCCGTACACAGCGTAATGCAGTCAGATTGCAATGGCGAGCCCAACAATCGGCCTGACAGACTAATAAAACACAGCATCGATGCTCCGGAATTACCTAGGTCGTGTGTACAACCTATAGCATCGCACTGCCAGCTGTCCGGGCCCAGCACGCTGTGCCTGGAATGACACGGAGTAGGGGTGACAAGCAGGACAACCAGAACAACCAGAGCAAAAGGACCGAGACAAGAGACCGCCACAGGGTTCTGCTGAACTTTCTTTTTGCTGCGTGCCTCCCCAACCTGGAACCGGATCCCCCACCGTTTCCTCCCGTCCCAGTTCAGTTCCATTAAGCTCCCGCAACCTGCTCCCGCAGCCCTGTCACAGTACCAGACCAGCCTCCCTCCCTTCCATTGTTTCCCCCATTCCCCCATAGTGTCTCCACCCACGCGGCCTGCTTTCACGCCGCGCCCGACTCATTTGCTTGCTTGCTGCTCTGTTCTGCGCTGCACTGCATTTTTTCACAGTACCCGGACCACTTCAGAGTACCTAGTAATTGCTAGACTAGGTACAGAGCAGGCGTACCTAGACCATCTATCTGCCTACCTAGGTACCTACCTGCTAGTTTCCATCTGTCGTGCATATGTGGTCGACCTGACCGGAACACAATCCTGCCCTGCGAGGACCTGGGCTACCCTGGACTACCTACAGGCTGCACCACCGCATGTGCGGCACGAGTAGGCGAGCACCGTGACGTTGACAGCAGCAAGCCGACGGTGACAGCGACGGTGACCTTGCAATTCGACGGCGACAGGCACAGCGAGGGCGACAGCGTGTCGCAACGCACAAAGAAACAAAGTCCCTGCGCTGCTCACATTCATACAACCTGCTTAGGTATACAATTGCTCTGGCCCTCGCTTGCTGTCCATGGGCTGCCCTGCCCATCACAGTACAACTCAACACCACGCTATTCCAGGATAGGTCCCTGTACAGCTGCTCTGCGCTCTCTCCTGTCAGTCGCCAAGTTCCCCATCGCCGGCAGCCCAGCCCGTTCTTGTACGGATCCCCTTAACGCCCCCAAATGATAGCAGCAATTTCGCCCGGCTCCAACGCTCCTCTCCCTGATCCACAACGGCCTCAACTCGACCCCAACCGCCACGCCTACGCCCATCCAAAAGACCCTTCATCTCCATCTCGCAACCAGTCCACAGCAGCCTCCACCTCCACCACCTTCCAGCCCAGCCGCTCCCGCCACGGTACCTCCGTGCCTGTCCCTGTCCCTGGCCCTGCTTTTGGCCCTGTCGTTGCTGTTGTTGCTGCTGCTGCTGCTGCCGTAACCCCCCCCCCCGGGCGGCCCAGGCCCAGAACCACAACTCCTCTGCCACTCCCAATCGCGCCCCCTCGGCCACCCATTCCCATTCCTACCCGAGCAAGCACAGAGAACCTCCCGTCTTGCCCAATTCACAACACGAGCATGAGCATGAGCGGACACGCCTAGCCCACCAACACCCGAGAAGCACCAGCAGAGAGAGGGACAGAGCCCTCTCCGCCACCAGGGCCGACCCGTCACTGTCATCCTCTCGTCCGCACCCTCGCGCCAGCCAGCATCCGCCCTCTCACCCCCCACAACCTCGCCCTGCAGCAGCCATGGCGACCACCGTTGCACACAACACCGGCCCTGCTGCCGTTCCCTCCTCTGCCGACCCTCGGTCTTCAGGCCAGCCCAAGGCCAGGTCTCGCACCACAATACCGACACAATCGGGGAAATGGATCCTGGGCAAGACAATCGGCGCTGGCAGCATGGGCAAGGTCAAGCTGGCAAAAAAGGAGGACAGCAACGAGCAGGTAAGTGTGCCAACCACCCCGCGACACAACCCGTCTTGGAAGCCCGTGCTAACATTTGCCGACAACCCTCCAGGTCGCGTGCAAGATCATCCCCAGGGGTGTTACCGACGATGGACACCACAGCCGGGCAGACAAGGAGCGTAACGAGCAGGGCAAGGAGATCCGCACCGCGCGAGAGGCTGCCATAGTCACCCTACTCAACCACCCTTACGTGTGCGGCTTGCGGGATGTTGTCAGGACCAACTACCACTGGTACATGCTGTTCGAATATGTCAACGGCGGCCAGATGCTGGACTATATCATCTCCCACGGGAAGCTCAAGGAGAAACAGGCTCGCAAGTTCAGCCGTCAGATCGCTAGTGCCCTCGACTATTGCCACCGGAACAGTATTGTCCATCGAGACCTAAAGATCGAGAACATCCTCATCAGCAAGATCGGTGACATCAAAATCATCGACTTTGGCCTGAGCAACCTGTTCTCTCCGCGTGGCCACCTCAAGACCTTTTGCGGTAGCTTGTACTTCGCCGCCCCAGAGCTCCTCCAGGCCAGGGCATACACCGGCCCCGAGGTCGACGTGTGGAGCTTTGGTATTGTCTTGTATGTTCTCGTTTGCGGGAAGGTCCCCTTTGACGACCAGAGCATGCCCGCGCTCCACGCCAAGATCAAGAAAGGTCTCGTGGATTATCCCAACTGGCTGTCAAGCGGTAAGATTTCCCAATATCGACACCCCACGCTGATACACCCGGCTGACACAATTCGTGCCTACAGAGTGTAAGAACTTGCTTTCCCGGATGCTGGTCACGGATCCCAAACAACGAGCCACCATGGCTGAGGTCATGGCACACCCTTGGATAAACAAGGGCTACAGCAGCCCGCCCGACAATTTCCTGCCTCGCCGTGAGCCTCTCACCCTGCCACTGGACCCGGAAGTCATAAACGCCATGACTGGTTTCAACTTTGGACCGCCCGAAGTCATCAAGGCGCAGCTTACGCGCTTGATCGAGTCGGAGGAATACCAACGCGGTGTCCGTCTCTACCAGCAGGAAAAGGACCTGCCCCAACCGTCCAAGGATGGTGACAAGAAGAGGGGCATGTTCGACTTCTATAAGCGGCGCAATTCCATCACCAGCAGGGACACGTTGACTGCACCGAGCAGCGAGGCCCTCGCACTTGGGAACGATCCCCTTAACGCCTTCAGCCCGCTGCTCTCCATCTACTACTTGGTCAGGGAGAAGCAGGACCGGGAGAGGGTTGATGTCGTGCCGACCATGGCAACGCAACAACCTCCGGCTCAAAGGGAAAAAGACCCCGTCCCAGAGATAGCGCCGCCACAGGAGGCCCACACAAATGCCTCGGCATACGAGATGCCGGGCGAGAAGGCTACCGGCGGGAGATCAAGGCCGCGAGCGCGGACACATGGAGAAGACGATGTGCCTGACAAGGCGCTTCTGTCGCCAAAGGCTGCCCTCGGCCCAGAGGCACAAGCACCAGCGGACAGGCCTGAAAAGAAGGAGAGCGCAGCAGCTGGCATCCTCAGGAGGTTCTCCACGAGGAGACGGCCAAGGGATGGCGAAAGGCCGGAGAAGGATCGGTCGCACCCGCCACAAGTCCACGTCCATTCCCCATCCGAACAGCCGCCCGTGCCGGGTATACCACCTCGGAAATCCTTCAGCATCAGGCGTTCGAGGCGTGACAAGGAAGATGGATCAAGCTCCCGGCTGCGCTCGGGCAGCAGCCAGCCCCAACACAGCGAGTTGCTGAGCCCGCCGCTGTCTGCGGGTGCTAATGTGCAAGGCCAGAAGAAGGTCCTCGGGCGATCTACCAGTGTCAACTCTGCAGAATTCCGCAGAAGGCGGGCCATGGCATCGCATGGATCGACGACAGACACCGAGGGCAAAGAGCCACCACCCACGAGCGGCTCGGACCAGTCCATGGAAAGGCCGAAACCACAAGCTGAGGGCAGGGGCAACGCCGCCTCGCGGTCTGTCTCCATGAGGGCCAAGTCTCTGGGCCACGCGAGGCGCGAGAGCATTCAAGCGCGGCGCGCCCGTCGTGAGGAGCAGCGGGAGCTGAACGTGCCGGAGGAAACGGACGCTGAGCTCGGCGACCAGAGCGGCCTGTCCAACGACGAACGCCACGACAACCCAAGCCTCGCAAAGCCTGTTTTCTTGAAGGGTCTGTTCAGCGTCAGCACGACCTCGACAAGGCCCGTACCTGAGATACGGGCAGACATCAAACGGGTGCTTAAGCAACTTGGCGTAGACTATAGCGAGATTCGGGGCGGCTTCCGTTGTATTCACTCACCCAGCATAGACCTGAAGAAGGTCGACCCGCCCAACAGTCCCAATCAACTCCCCGGCCACAGGAGACGCTTTAGTTTCGGTCTCCGGGGCGAGCGGGCAGATGACGTGCGCGACGTACTAGAAGGGGGCCAGCCCAACACGCCTAGGACTCCAGGCAGGGCCCGGGAGGACCGGAGCAGCAGCAACTCGGATGTCTCAGACATTGATAATTCGCGGGACACCGGGGGCCCGTCAAGAGCCCCTCCGGGAGAGACGACGACGCGAGTACAGGACGACCTAGGCGGAAACATGGTTCTCGAGTTTGAGATTTTCATTGTCAAGGTACCAATGATCAGCTTGCATGGTATCCAGTTCAAGCGCATGACTGGCAACACGTGGCAATTCAAGAACATGGCAGATCAGATACTAAGGGAACTCCGGCTATGATAGAGAGGCGGCATAGGCCGTAGCGATCAGGCAACGCACCGCGGTCGCTGTAAAGAGGCGGGACAGACAGGCAGGGAGGGGCGCTTTATGACGAACCAGCAAACGCAATGTGTTATAGAAAGAAGGGAAGCGGTACGATTTGGCAACGACTCATGCATCCAGCAGCACTCGCTCGGGGTCTTCTTCTTTTTTTCCCTTTCTTCCCCACCGGGCCCGAAAATGGCGCGGTAGATATTCAACTTCAGATACAATAAGAGGGTGGTCTCCTGCTCCTTGCATGCCACCGGGCGTCAGGAGGGTTGGTGCAAACGAGAGCAGGAGCGGCACGGCATAGCACAGCTTGGCACAACGCAGCACGGCACCAGCAGTGCTTTGTTTTGTTTTGCTTGCACATGGGCATGTAGTACTTTTAATAGGCATCTCCCGAGAGGACAGTAGAGGGATCACTAATGCAATTCAGAGTGGCGATGCATCTACACCTTTGGATCTATTTGTCCTTTGCCCACAAGCAAGCACAGCCTCCTATGGGGGCCATCTCCTGTGGGATAACCTCCTGTGGGACACCATCTTGATCTCTGGCAGGATACTCTCCTTTGGGATGCGAGGATACCTCTGCGTTGTCACAAAGCTGTAGGATTAATATGTAATCACGTAATTTCAGGTTTTTCTTCCTCATTCTTGAAGTGGTATCTTTGTAACCTGAAGCGCCCATGCCGTCTTCACATAGCCAGTGCTAATAAATGATGCATACCCCTCTCATGAGGTCTCCAAGCCATGTGCGGTCTGTCATACATGACTTCGACTTTGTCTGCAAGGACGTAGGAAGCAACACCCACGACGCGCAGGGAAGGAGGTCTGGGCACACTGTCCATTTTTTTTCCAGCTGAGGAAGCCCCGTCTTCCAGGAAAAATACAAACCCTACCGGTAGTCCAGCTGGGCGGCGGCCTGTGCCTCATCCCAACGGTACTTCCATCTGAGGTGCGGCGAGATCCCGACCCGGCCGACCATGCACCTGGAGTCCTGGCCGTGGATCGCTTGGGGCATCAGCTGCGGATGCAGCCGGGCTATGTTGTGGAATGCCCCTGGAATCACCTTCTCGAGCCGCGGGCGCCCGACGTAGCGAGCATACCTTTGCGGGAATGCCACCTTCTGCTCTGGGAACTTTTCAAAGCATTGGTGGATCAGATGACCCTTGTGCCAACAGTGGACACAAAGCAAATTTTCAAATGCCGCTGGCCTCTTCTTGCTCTGCTTCTCTCTTCGAACCTTCGGCTGGGGGGACAGTGGTGGTGGTTGGGGTATGGGTCCCTTGGCCTCTCCATATTCTGGGATAATCTCCTCTGGGACAACCTCCTCTGGGATACCCTCCTCTGAGACAACCTCCAGTGGGACAACCTCCAGTGGGACAACCTCCAGTGGGACAACCTCCAGTGGGACAACCTCCAGTGGGATATCCTCCAATGGGATACTCTCCTCTGGGACAACCTCCTCTGGGACAATATCCTCTGGGATAATCTCCTGTGCGATACTCTCTTGTGAGATACCCTCCAGTGGGATAACCTTCTGTGGGATTCCCTCCTGTGGGAAGGGGTGAGCAGAGGGAGGCTGGAAAAGCCGGCAAGTGCTCTTGGATGCGGGCTGTAGGGCCAAACCATCTGGACCAACAATTGCCGTGTTGCGGGTTGCGGGTCCGATAGCCTTGGTCGAAATGACAACATGCAAATTCTTGGTTTCCTCGAGGAGCTGCAGTGCCATGTACGTGCTGTATTGCGGCTGCCCCTTGTGGGGGCAGTATCTCGTCCACGGCTCGTCGAAGGTCAGCACCTTCAACGGCATCACCAAGCCAGTGCCCTGTGCAGGGCGAGGGGCCACCTTTGCGAGCCACCAGCGCGACAGCATGGCCACTCTGTCAGCGATCTCGTTTCCTGGCACCCCAGAATGGGCCGGGACCCAATGGAGTTCGACCCAAGCTCCGAGCCTGCGCAACTCGTAGTATTGCTTCAGGATCCTCCTGCCGATCTCGGCCGCCAGGTTCTTCTCTGGGCGGTGGTAATCGCTGAAGCGGGAGACTTCCCACCGATCGAGCTGCTCAGAGAGCCGGATTAGGCCCTTTTCTATATACTGCAGGGAGAAGTCACTGTCACTGCATATGTAGACCGTGCCTTCCCCGAGTGTGCCTGATCCCTTTTCCTGGGCGGCCATCTGAAGGGCCATGAGGATGGCGAGCGACTCGAGCTGCATGCTGTCTGTGACCCCGCTGGTGTATGCGGAATGCACCGTCCACCGCTGGTCAAGCTTCTGGGCCACTGCGATTCCTCCATGATGCTCGGGGTCGCAGCTTTTAAGCCCCACCGGCCTGTGAGAAGCATCTGTCCATAGTGCAGGCTCGCTGCTCAGCGTTCTCTGGGCAAAGTCAGAGGCCCCCTTCCTGTCTCGTCTGAAGACGATGCCCTTGGGTTTGAGGTTCCCGTCGCGTGGGGCCAGGTCCGGCAACACTAATGAGCTGTAGATGGGTGGAGGCGGTGGGAGCGTTATGGACGTCTGTGGAAGGGTCTCCTCCTTCCCTGACTGGGTCTGACGCTCAATTGCCTTTGATGTGACATGCTCCCTTGCGCTTTGTCTCACGGCGACCTCCTCATGAATTATCTCGCATGGCAACTTTTCGTCCGGAGCTTCCCTCCGCCACGCCTCGCTTGCCTCGGGGGCGTGGTCCCCTAACCGGTTGACCAGTTCGTCCTCGTCTGAGAAATCCTCGTCCTCGAATGATCCCTCCGGCAGGCTCGCCTCAGACGACGAAAAGCTCTTTCCTTCCAGGGCAAACGATGTTCTTTGCTGTGTGTCTCCGCGCAACCTCTTCCTTTTTGATCTCCATTCTCGGATTCCACGGCCAATCCTCCTCAGCTTGCTGTCCTTCTTGCCACTGATCGAAGACCTTTGAGATCTGCCGTCGTCGTCGATACTGTGGGTTGAGGCGGAATCATTCGGGAACCCGTGGTCCTTGGTTGATGAGATGCGAATGGTGGCATGCTTGAAGAAGGCCTTCAGCCTTCCCTTTGGTTGCGTGGTGTCCATTATGACTTCATTGATTGAGGTTGAAACTTGGGTTGACTGTTGCCGCTTTGGCGTGGGACCGGGTTCATGCCGCAGTCATAAGATGAAAATGAGTGTCGGTGTGTACTCTACTCCGATGGCCTCTGGCTATAGCGAAACCTGGAAAGAGAGGCTGACTATTTGCTTGATTGAGGGATCAAGTGAGTGAGTGAGTGATTGATCGATATCAGGAAGAGGGTCGATCAGCGGTGTAAAGCTGGGGAAGCGAAGGCTTTAAACCCGCAGGCCTTCAAGGTATCCATTCGGCTCACTAAGTAGTCGAAACGGTACTGGCTAGCCCCGAGAAACTGCTGAAAAAAGCATCATTGGCCTTAATCTTGTGGTTTTGGTGTGGTCCGGTCGTCCAGAGTTGGGCTAAAGGCGGCCGCGAATTTTCAGAAATGGGGAGAATTGGGAGCTCACTGAACGGACGGACAGCTTTGGCACCTGGCCCCTCCCTGCGAGAATTCTTTTTTGGAGCTTAATCCACATACCAAGCCAAATTCGTCACCGGAATCTTGTATTCAATCTTGAGAGCCGCAGTGCTGTGATGCAGGTAGAGCCTGAGACCTACAGGTCACATATGTCCGCATCTGGGACTGGACCTGTTCCCATCCACTCTATGGGCAGCAACCTTTGGATGGTCTTGTTCCTCGTGCCACAGGCAGCGAATCACACGGTCGCGTTGCTTGGGCCCGGAGACTATACTATGGAGCAGTGCCAAGTCGCGGAATGGACAGCGAAGAAGGCACACAGTAATGGTCAGCAAAGCAAGAGTGGTTTGCCAACGGTGCCGAGTGAGGCTGCGCAGTATCCATACACGCTGCAAAAAATGCCTCAGATCTGTACCTACGCATGCAGGTACAGCCGATGCAGGAGCAAAAACATTGCATCAAATACTCTGGCAGAGCCGACCCTGGCCGGCCGCCTGAACACTGCCGTCGTCGCTCGTCCGCCCTACAGCCATGGCAGCCATGGTAGTAACGGCAGCCATGATAACTCGACCATGGCCCATCATGCTAGCCGTCCATGGCGGCTATCAACCCGCCGAGTATGGCCCAACAAGCCCGGTATTGAATGCCCCGGGCCCCCACGAGCAATGCTGGGCGGTTGCCAACCCGGCTGTGCCCTGCTGTCTGCCGCAAAGATCCCGGGAACCGCCGCGTGGAGAGATGGGAAGAGGTAGAAGCCGGGTCCGTACTGGCGCGAAAACTTCCGACCAGGGGCGACTAAGGCTCTGCCGTGATCCAACCGGTGGAGTCGTGGCCACGGACGGCCGGGGCAGAGGACCCGCCAGCAGGGTGAGGCACCTGCAGGCTGGGGCGGTCTCGCGTGTGGGGCCAGACGGATCCCCTACGTGGCCTCGCTCCTGCTGAGGAAAGGTCGTTCGTCCATCGGCCGGAACCTGGAGGCCGAGAAGCCGGGGAGCTTGTGGGCATGCCTGGTACCTGTGGACGCCGCGTGCTGGATGAGCGTGCAGACTGGCAGTAGCGACGGCCTTGCGGCGTCGAATCGGTGGCTCTCGATGCCGACTGACGGGAGTGCACGGGCGCTATACGTCTTTGTTCCTGCTATTCCGAGGGTTAACAATTATATTCATAGTAGAGTTCAGGAGAGGCACGCGCGACTGTTTGTGGGGCCGGCGAGTAATTGTCCCATATTGCAGTGGCCGGCACGACGAACTCCCAGCAGATGCTCCAGTGTGCGACGAGGAAGAGCGGCGCCGACATGGACGCAAGCTGATTCGAGACGGTGCGGGAGGGTACGAGGCAGCCATTGAGGCTTTCTTCCTCCCCATTGAACCCGTTTCTGAACATGCTGGGGAACGCTCGGCTTGCCCGTGAGTCCCTGGACTGTTCTGGGGATGAGTAACAATCAAATGTTCTGGTGTAGCGTCAATATGAATCGCAGGGGACAGTTCCTCTCTGACTGTGGCAGAGTTTGTGTGTGATGTGAAGAGTTCGGTTGTTCCATGGGAGGGTATCTCATAAAGAGGGTATCTCATGGGAGGGTATCCCACAGGATGCTATCCCAGAGGAAGATAGATACATCCGTACGCCTCGGGATACACCAGGGCGCTTATCAGAGCACCACACACAGTCCAGTCTAGATATCTAGATTCAGTCTGGATCTACCTGCCGACTGCCAAATTGGTATGCATCTAGAGGTACTGGGTACCTAGGTAGACTGCTTTGTGTGGTCGACCATCCCACAGCCGGCGGCAGCCTCTAGTCTGTGCGCACGGGCCACATCTTGCTCCCCACCGCCGCAGTGATCTGGGCCCTGGCCTGGAGCTTTGCCTCGCTCGCTCCTGTTGCTCACTTCGAGGGCTCTTGACATTGACAGCAACCAACCTTGACCAGCCCAAGCCAGCCCTTTGCATCCTCACTATCCTCCCGCAGAACTCTCATCGCATCATCTTCGGCCCTCACACGCGCTCAACACGCCGTACTCCATACTCTCACTAGTGATCCATCCGTACCTATTCGCCAGTCGTCCTCTGCCCTGCGCGACGACGCCCCTCCTGCCGCTCTTTTCCACCACACAGTATTCTCCTACCGAGTATCGACACACTCACCACACTCAATCGCCCTCGTTCCCACAGCACGGCGTCGCGGGGCGCGACGACGGAAGACCACCCACAAGTCAAGATGATGCCCAACCACCCCATGTACGGCCATCAGCACTTCCCACAGGACGCTCCCTGGATGCACCCGGCCCAGTCCCACCACCAGCATGCCCAAGCTCAACAAGCAGCAGCAGCAGCCGCCGCCGCCCAGCAGGCCCACTACAGTCGCATCAACTCCTCCTCAAACCATGCGAACGCCCTGAATCCTGTCCACCAGGACGCCTCTGCAGACAACCCCAACATGACCGAGGACAACCGTCGCACCATGCAGTACATTGCCGACCTGCTCAACGAGAACTCGCGCGAGCAGGCCCTCCTTGAGCTCAGCAAGAAGCGGGAACAGGTCCCGGAGCTCGCGCTGATCCTGTGGCATTCCTTCGGCGTCATGACCTCTCTGGTCCAGGAGATCATATCTGTCTACACCCTCCTCAACCCCTCCCAGCTCACCGCTGCCGCCTCCAACAGGGTCTGCAACGCCCTGGCCCTTCTCCAGTGCGTGGCCTCCCACAACGAGACCCGCACACTGTTCCTCAACGGTATGTTGCCACACCTTGGCCCCCCGCGCCAACCTATGCGCAATAGCGACTGACCAGTCCCCCCTCAGCTCACATTCCCCTCTATCTCTATCCCTTCCTGAACACGACGTCCAAATCGCGCCCGTTCGAGTACCTCCGCCTGACCAGCCTCGGTGTCATTGGCGCCCTTGTCAAGAATGACTCGTCAGAGGTCATCAACTTCCTGTTGACCACCGAGATCATCCCTCTCTGTCTGCGCATCATGGAGACGGGCTCCGAGCTCAGCAAGACAGTCGCCATCTTCATCGTGCAGAAGATCCTTCTTGACGACAATGGCCTGAACTACATCTGCGCCACCTATGAGAGATTCTACGCTGTCGGCACCGTCCTTAGCAACATGGTTGGCCAGCTGGTCGAGCAGCAGACTGCCCGGCTGCTAAAGCATGTCGTCAGGTGCTTCTTGCGGTATGTAGCCAGTCCTACTTTTGCGGGGCGGTGACACTCTCTCTACAATCCTGTGGACACACATAGCTAACAAGGCGCAGGCTCAGTGACAACGCGAGAGCGCGCGAGGCACTCCGTCAGTGTCTGCCAGAGCCTCTCCGCGATGCGACGTTCTCGTCTGTCCTTCGGGACGACGCAGCCACCAAGAGATGTCTGACTCAGCTGCTGGTTGCTCTCTCTGACAACGCGATGCCGGATAATGGGAACCCCGGTTTCTCCTAGGAGGACTCACCGCCCGAGACCAATATCATGGCATACAAATCATCAGGCCCTTTGCCCTCATCCGACTAGGAACCTCGTATCAGAGGCCGCGGGGGTGATGAGCCGCCCGAGACGGCAAGACCGGGCAAGACGCTTATTACTGATCCTAGAAGAATTCTGCGTGACAAATAGTACTCTGCAGCAGACGACTACTGGCGCGCAGAGAAGCCGCCGCCGCCGCAATCACGATTTAAGTCTTTTTTTGAGGAATTTGAAAGACGAAAGGACAACAGAAGTAAGCAGGAGGAGATTTTAAAACCCAAGGAGGACGTTGAACTGCAAAAAGATCGCCAGGCCAAGGACTGCGGGGCGGAAGAGGAGGTCGAAGTGAAAAGGGAACCCACCATCTCCACTGGTGCAAATGATTTCCATGACGAGGACAACGAATCCCTCAACGGTAGCCAAGGGAGCACTGTCCGTAGCACGTGTGAGGAGCCTACCAATGGATCACGTGAGGAAGCCATGAAAGGCGCGCATAGGAAATCCGGCGATGGCAACTGCGAAAACCAATTCCTCGATGGTACGCACGAGGAACCTGTCAACGCATCCCACGGCGGAGCACCTGACGGCACACAAAGACTACCAGTCGACAGTAACCTCGATAATCAATTCCTCGACGGCACACACGAGGAACATGCCGACGGCAACCGTGACAATCATTTCGATAGCACGCATGCGGAACCTGTCGACGGGAATCATGGTAATCATTCCAATGGCGCATATAAGGAACCTGTCGGCGGAAATCCCAGTGATCAGTTCTTTGATGACACACGTGGTGATCCTGTCGCGGGTACACACGAGAAGACCGATGAGGACTCGCGCGAAGAAACAGTCGGTAGCATGTGCGAGGAGCTTGGTGGCGGTACGCGGGAAGAAACTGTCTCCAGCACGCACGGGGAACCCGTTCCCGGCAGCCACGATGAACCTCTCTACAACGACAACCACGAGGCACCCGTCACTGGCACACTTCAAGACTCTAGCAGCCATCATGAACATCAGAGCCCCAACGAACCGCAACCAGACCCTCCAAGGTACCGTGGGAAGCCCAAATACAAGCGGCTTCTAGAGTTCGACAATCTGCGTCCCAGCCTATGACGGCACGAGTATATGCATATCACAGCGATGCGGCAGTTTTATGGTTTTTTTTTTTTTTTTTTTTGGTTTTGTTTTTGGTTTTCTGTTGGATGTCACATGGAAGAGGGGCAAAATCTTTTCGGCTTTCTTTCAGCGATGATACCCATCAAAATCCCACTCAACTTCGAGACACCCCATTGATTACTCCAAACGAAAATGAGAGGCACGTCTTGTCAGTTATTTGTGGAATACCGATTGGGCTTTACACCCCAAGAATGATGCCTTTTCCCTCTTTCTCTTCTCCGGTGTATTTCTTTTGCCTTGTTTGCCTTGTTCGCATTGGTGGCTGCCTGAATCAGCTTAGAGAATGGTGGTCTGGAAGGGAAATGACCTATCCCGTAAGTTAAACTCTTATTGCGCTTGCATGACGGTCCCGGGGAAAGGACCAATAGATGGGAATACCCGCGGCGTTCGATTCTGCGTTTCGGTGTTACAAGGGGGTCGGAGATTACAGTCTTGTAAGTGAACGAGCACAGAAATGACGCTGTGTGAAGGTTGGTGTCGGCTTGCTCGGCAGGTGAAGAAGGACTGGGTTACTCTATTCTCTAACTGTAACTTTAAAACTCATGTACGAAAACAACAGCGGTATCAATGACAGCGCGACGGCTCCAAGAATCCAGACTTGCTGTGCTGGATGAGGCAAAGCTGCCTCACAATACCCCTTCGTGACTCCTGCGACGATAATAACGTCACCAGACAAGATGAAGCGACCAAAAAATCAACCGAACGCCATAATACACCCACTTCCCTGAGGAGTGGACTATCACACTAACATTAACACAAGCAACGAAACAGAGGCCAGACCAAAGACGCGGAGCCCCGAGGATGGGCAGACGGTCGAGGACAGGCTCGTCGAGGCCGAGGCAGCACTCGAGGCTGACGCCGTGGCAGCGGCCGGTGCACCCTTACTGGAGGACGTCGTCGTCGTCGTCGTCATGGTGGACAAGCCAGTCTCAAGTGCCGGGTTGCTCGCCGACACGGCGGTGGCTTGCATCAGGCCGCCCAGAGCGAGCCTCGCGTCCGTCTTGAGCGTCATGGTCCAGCCGCCCTCCTGCGCGGCGGCGGTACGGCGGGCGGCCCGGAACGGCAGCTCGGCGGTGATGGTCGTCCCGAACTTGCCGTCGACGTCGAACCCGATCGTGAAGAGGTCGTCGTCTTCCTCGTCACCCATGCCCGCCGCCGCCGTCATCTCGGGCGCTGAAGCGGAGTCCATCTTGCCGCCGGCCGAGGAGGCCATAGCCATGCCTGCTGGGCTCGCCGCCCCGGTGCCCATGAGCGGGAGGCCGTTCTTGTTCCCTTCACCTGACATGCCGCCTCCTCCGCCCGTTGCGGACGCCATGGTGCTGTTGCTGCCGGATGCCGCGGCAGACGGGCTCGCGCCGGCTTCGCCTGCCGCCCCGGAACCCTGTTCGTCTTCCGCGTCACATCCGTCTTCACCGTCGGCGCCGTCGGCGCCTGCCCCTCCAGCTGCGCCTTTTCCTCCGTCTTTATTACCCCCAGCGCCACCTCCTTCTCCCTTCTCGGCATCGCCTTGTCCTCCTGCCTGAGCGCCCTCTCCGTAGGAGCCCTCGCCCTGAGAGCCCTCGCCCTTACCTTTTCCTTCGCCCTTATTAGATCCCGCCGCGGCGCCACTGCCGTCTTTTCCTTCCTCTGCAGCGCCGCTCCCTTCTCCCTTGTTATCATCACCCTGTTGTCCCGCCCCGGCGCCGCCTGCTCCCGACTTCTCAGTATCGCCTCCTTGTCCGTTTTCAGCGCCGCTCCCTTCCCCGCCTTGCTCGGTATCACTCCCTTCTCCTCCTGCCCCGGCGCCACTGCCCTCGCCGTTCTTGGCACCCCCAGCACCCTCGGCCCCATCGGCCCCGTTTCCTCCTGCTGCGGAGGCGCTTGGGCTGGCGCCATCACCGTTACTGGCGTTCGACTCGGAGCCAGACTGACCTGCCGAGTCAGCCGCAGCTGCACCTGTCCCACTTGCCCCAGCGGCTGAACTACTCGGACTGGATCCGCCAGCGCCGCCCGTCGCCATGCCGCCGGGACCCATCATACCGAGACCAGAAGGGCTGCCATTGGCCGCACCGGATGCGGCAGCACCAGTGACGGCCGCCGCCGCGCCCGACTGCCCAGCACTTGTGGCACCGGCGGCGCCAGCCCCCGTGGCACTCGCGCTGGCACTCGCGCTGGCGCTGGCGCTGGCACCAGACTCCGCCTGCCCATTGGCTGGGATAATGGTGCTGACAGGGACCAGGCTCTGCGAGTTATCGTCCGGGTTGTCGGTGGGGGTAGTAACCTCGTCCTGGACGACCAGCACCTCGGCGGCGACGGGCTCGCCGAGCCCCGAGCGGCTCGCAAAGTCCTGGACGTCAAAATCCATGCGCAACGATGGGTTGGCGCTCATGTCCGCGGCCCAGGCGGTCCAGTTGAAGGCGGGTGTTCCAGGCTGGGCAGTGGGCGGGCTGTAGAGCAGGACTGCGAGGAGGCGCATGTCTGATGAGGATGAGCCTGAGGACGAGCCCGACGTGGCGGATGAGATGGAGGAGAAGAGCCCGGTCGGCTCCTCGAACGAGACGAAGGGGTCGGCGGCGGAGCTCAGCAGGCCGCCGCTCATGTTCAGCTGGGTGGAGCCGTCCAGCGTCATGCCCTGCTGGACGAAAAGCAGATAGGACTCTGGCGAGACGAAGATGAGCTCTGCGCTGTCGGTGGAGCCAGCGCCTGCGGTGGCTATTATGGGCATCTCCATGCCCAGGGCGAGATACGACTGATTACTGCTGGCCCCTGGATAGCTCAACGCGGGCGGGCTGGACATGACTTGGGAGACTATGTTAGTCCGTTGCCCGTGTGAGAAACTAGGAGAGGGTGGACTTGCCTTGGGCCGATGATTGAGCTACTGGTAGGACCGGGAAAGGAGGGCTGGCGGCTGGGGCATCTCCCTCGCCAGCATGGTTTGTAGCTCTGCCGCGGGCGAGCAGACAGGCTAGAGCTGTGATGGCGGCTTGCCGCCTGGCCGTGAAGGACCTCATGTTGTGATTTCTAGGGGTTCAGCGAGTGTCATAGACGAGTGGGCGAAGAGAAGGACGCTTGTCTGTCAGATGTGGAGTTTCGACGGAAGCTCTGGAGTGGTGACACAGCACAACACGGTTGTCTGCGCGGAAGTGATAGGCAAATAGGAAGAAAAAAAATGAAGAAGTGAAAGAAGAAAAGAACGATAGGCAGCAGTTCTGACGCTTGTAGCAGAGAGCCATGCGGCGGAAAGAGGGCCAGGTCAAGTTTTAAGACATGACGACACAAGACAGAGGCGGCACAGCAGGAGGGCAGAGACGAGCCTAGACCTCGAGGTGAGATTTTGCAGCTCGCAGCCAGAAGGAGAAGCGGCCGACAAGAGACTGTTCCTGTTTCATTGGCGGCCGGTTCTCGACACGGCTGGAGAGGAACGGCAAGGGTGGAGCCATCGAGGCGTCGCCCTTCCAGACAGGCAGGGCTGGAGAAGCAGGCGGTATCTGGGGGGAGACTCGGGGCTGTGGTTGGGCATGGAGTGTTTCTGGACATGGCCGGGCCACGAGGTGAGGCCCGGGCCAGAAGCGGACGGAGCGGGGCCAGCGCCGGGACTGTGAGCCGGAGGTTGGAGGTTTATGTGATTACACGCCAACAGACGATACCCACACTTGTGAGTGTGTGAGTGAAGTGTGAGTGTAATAAGTATGGCCCGGGGCTGGCCGGGGCGTTGGGAGTGGGGCCGGTCTATGCCCATGTGGTGGGTCCCTGCCCCAGGCGGGCGAGTAACCAAGGAAGGGTGGGTGGGAGAAAGAGAGAAAGAGCGAAGCTGATGAGGGTGCGATGATGTTGGTTTGAGAGGTGTGCCGACTGCCGGTGTGCGGGCTCCGTATCTGCAGGCCGGGACCCGGGACGAAACGGGGGGCCCGAATTGGTGAAACACGGTGCTGGCAGGTGGTGAGGTCTGCCAGTCGGGCCGGGCTGGGCTGGTCAGGCAGGGGCGCCCACGGGTGAGGCAGAGCCACGTTGGCGGCTGTCCTCGTGCTGTCTGTCTGTTCTTCGTGGTGAGGATGTTTTCAAACACTTTTCAAATACGCATAGGTATGCAGCCATCCACCTGGCAGTGAGGAAGGAAGGAGGTACGTTGCGGTGCTGCACTTTCCGTCCCCCTCTGCACGTTCCTTCCCCATCAGCACCATCCCAACCCAGCACCATGCAGCTGGGGAGCTGCCTACCCAGGTAAGGTACCTGGCTCTCCGAGTCAGTCTAGGTCATTCAGTCATCCGGTTCATGCAGGCCACTCGAAGCCAGCCATGTAAGCGTGGTGCATTCGGGTTAGATGCTGGTCTGGAATAGAACCGACACAGGCTTTTATCAGATCATCTGACTGTCCCGTGGCCCATGCATGATATGCCTTTGCCTGTGTAATGAGCACTGCACGGTGGTGTGTAGTCTAGGCCAAGATCTGGTGTGGTGTGCCCAAGATGCGGGGCGCGTGGAATGTGGAGTGTAGGCTACCACAGCAGTGGGCCCCCATTCTCATCGCAGGGTCCAGTCACCCACGTGCTTAATGCTTTGCTAGCAGCAACACAACAGGAGCAGCCATCAAACTGTTCTAGTGCCTAGTCGCCCGCCACGCACCAGCACCAACACCAGCACCAGCACATTTACTCAGCTGGGCACAATCACAATCACAATCACAAGCAGCACAAGCACGAGCACATGCACATGGTGGCCGACCTCATGCGGCTGAGTCTTTGGTGTGCGACGGTTGCCAAGTACCTAGTCTCTCTTGCTGCTGCCGTCGCCTCCCTTTGTCTTGTCACCCGTCCATGGCATGTGGCAGCCAGCCTGCCCAGTCCAGCCAGCCTGCACCCGCCGCCGTACATGCGGTGTGTGAGAGAGGAAGGAGACCCAAGAAAGTACCAAGCCTTTTGTTTTATCTGCTCACTGGACGTTCATTCCCCTTCTCTCCTGCCGCGCCGACCCTGCAGGGCTCTCCGTTGTAGGATCACCTCTGCTGACCCAGTCTGTTGACCGCTCCCCTCGTCCTCGTCTCGTACATTACATTACATACACCACAGGGTGCCGGCGCCACTGCCAATACCGATGCCAATGTCCGTGGTGTATTGTGCCATGCCACGCCCATTCCAGTCCCGAACCGTCGTAGTTGGCGCCGGCAGCGAGTCTCGACCACCTGACTGAATCCTTATTGTTATGTCTGCATTTCTATTTCTCACACCCTCTCTCCGCGCCCTCGGTTCTCCCGCCGCCCTACCTGACCCACACTCTTGATTCCTCATCCAAGTGCCGTGCGACAGCGAGGTGTGTTTGCTACAAGAGTCCAGAGCACCCCTGTCCCTCACCGGCGCCTGCATCTCCCATGCGAACCTTGATGAGTCGAGTTGAGCCGAGTGAGATCTTGATGCAGTCGTAATTGGCCTCGCAGTGGGTCTGTTTCCCTGCCCGTGCCACCCTCTCACCTGCTGCTCTCTCTCTCTCTCTCTCTCTCTCTCTCTATCTTCTCTCTCACCCCGTTCGCCTGCTGGACGAGGCCGCCCAGACACTGTCAGCATCCCCCTCACATGGGGGGCCATCCATCCGCCCAAAGACTTGCTTCTTTCTCCTCCCAAACAGCTGCGAGTCCACCTGGACAGGACACGCGCCTGCCCTGCTTGTTGCTTCTGCTGCTGCTGCTGCTGCTGCTGCTGCTGAACGCACTGCACACGCGCCGGTCTGCTCCGTGGTCTCGAGGCTCCCGGCCCAGACTCCCGGGTCCAGCTTCGACACACGCTCCCAAACACCCAGCCCAAAACACCCACCCAGCCAATCTGCGGCCTCTCCGCCCCCGCGGGTCCGTCACCACCGTCGCAGCGTCGCACCGTCGCAGCGTCGCAGCCCTACTGCCCGTCCCGCACACCCCGTGTCGCCGTGGGCAGTCAGTCAGTCGGGGTCGCACGGCTGGTTGCACAGCATGGCTGACTCTCTCTCCGCGCTCCTCGTCCTGGCCTCCACCCTCGCCGGTGTCGATGCCGCCGGCGCAGGAAACAGTAGCGATGGCAAGGTCACGCCCCAGGCCGGCGTGCTCGAGGGCGCCAACCCCATCAAGTACAGCGCCTCAAACCCCATCACCCTCTTCATCATCCAGGCCATGATCATCATCATCTTCTGCCGCCTCCTCCACTACCCCCTGTCCTACTTTGGCCAGCCCCGCGTCATCGCGGAGGTCATCGGCGGCATCCTGCTGGGGCCCTCGGTCATGATGCGCATCCCCGGCTTCAAGGCCAACATCTTCCCCACAGAGTCCATGCCAGTCCTCAACAACGTCGCCAACCTCGGCCTGATCATCTTCCTCTTCCTCGTCGCCCTCGAGGTCGACGTCCGACTGTTCACAAGCAACTGGCGCGTCGCCCTGTCAGTCGGCCTCGCAGGCATGATCCTGCCCTTCGGCCTGGGCTGCGCCATCGCCTGGGGCCTCTACCACCAGTTCCGCGACGAGGCCGACACAGTCGCCATAAACTTCGGCGTCTTCGCCCTGTTCATCGGCACCGCCCTGGCCATCACGGCCTTCCCCGTCCTCTGCCGCATCCTGACCGAGCTCAAGCTGCTGCGCTCATCCGTCGGCGTCACCGTCCTCGCCGCCGGAATCGGTAACGATGTCACTGGTTGGATCCTGCTGGCCCTGTGCGTCGCCCTCGTCAACAACGCCAACGGCCTGGCTGCCCTCTACGCCCTGCTCTGCACCATCGGCTGGGCCCTCTTCCTGTGCTTCGCCGTCCGTCCCGGCTTCATGTGGTGCCTTAGGAAGACCGGCAGCCTCCAGAACGGCCCTACCCAGGGCATGGTCTCGCTGACCCTGCTAATTGTTCTGTTTTCGTCCTGGTTCACTGGTGCGTTGCCCCGATGACCTTGTCCCCTTCACCCTGCCCCCCCCCCCCTTTGGCCAACGCGTGTGGTCATCTCACGTCCAGCAACTCCTCTCCAAGCTAACACGCAGTGCACAGGCATCATCGGTGTGCACCCCATCTTCGGTGCCTTCCTCGCTGGTCTGATCTGTCCCCACGAGGGAGGCTTTGCTATAAAGCTGACCGAAAAAATCGAGGATCTGATTTCCGTGCTCTTCCTGCCCTTGTACTTTGCGCTGTCGGGCCTCAGTACTGATCTTGGTCTGCTCGACAATGGCATCACCTGGGCCTATGTGATCGGTGTCATTGCCATTGCCTTCTCTGGTAAGATCGTTGGAGGCACCCTGGCAGCAAGACTGAACAAGCTCGAGTGGCGCGAGAGTTGGACCATCGGTGTCCTCATGAGCTGCAAGGGTCTCGTGGAGCTCATCGTGCTTGTGAGTCTCAACCCCGACGTCCAACCTCCTCGGAGACGCCGGCGCCTCGGACGGGTATGAGGACTTGTTTGCTGATAATCACAACGACAGAACATTGGGCTGCAGGCTAGGATCCTCTCCCGGCGTACTTTCACTATTTTCGTCGTCATGGCTGTTGTAACGACCGTGGCCACCACGCCATTGGTCAAGTGGCTTTACCCGCCGTGGTACCAAGACAAGATGGAGAAATATCGGCGCGGAGAGACCGACAAGGACGGTAACCCCATCTCGTCCACCTCCAGTGGGGATGAACCTGGGGCGCAGCAGCTCAACACGGCGCAGATCCGCCGCCTGCTCGTCTACCTGCGGCTTGATAGTCTCCCCAGCCTCTTCACCTTCATCGCCCTACTGGGAGGCGACAAGGTGGTGAAGAGGCCAATCACGGAGGACGAGGAGGGGCCCTCTGAGAAGGGCGAGGCCCAGGTCAGCTCCCAGCCAGCCGCAAAGCGGCCCTTGGAGGTCCATGGGCTGCGCATCCTGGCGCTCACGGAGCGGACGTCGTCGGTGATGCAGGTCACGGAGGGTGGTGAATATTACTCCGAGATCGACCCGGTCGTGAACGCCTTCCGCACCTTCTCGCGGCTGAACGACGTGGCCGTGTCCGGCAAGGTTGCCATTGTGCCTGAGGCTTCCTACTCCGAGACCCTCATGAAGCAGGCCTCGGACGTCTCGTCAGACTTCGTGCTTGTGCCATGGAGCGAGTACGGCAGCATTACCGAGGACACGTCGGTGCCCTTCGTCACATCCGCGCAGGACCGCTACAATGGCCGCGGTCACCTGGACTTCATCAACAAGACCCTCGAGAAGCCCGTGTGCAACATTGGCATCTTCATCAACCAGAACTTCGGCGGCATGGGCCCGGCGGAGCGGCCCATGCCCAACCTCACAAAGTCAAAAAGCGCCATGTCAATACACAGCCAGCGCGACGCTGCCACCCTGCCCGTCAAGGACAAGAGCCACCAGGTCTTCTTCCCCTTCTTCGGCGGCGTGGACGACCGGGTCGCCCTGCGCTTCGCGCTGCAGCTCGCAAAGAGCCCGCACGTGACCCTCACCATCGCCCACTTCAGCTGGGCGGCCTACGACTCGGGCGACGAGGTTGAGGTACCCTCCACGGCCGCCGGCGGGACCAAGGATGCCGTCAAGGTCGTGGAGGAGGCGTCGCCCCAGGATCTCGCGTTGCTCTCCTCGCTGCGGTCCATGCTGCCCAAGGAACTGGCCGGGCGCGTGACCCTCGCCGAGGTCAATGTCACCAAAGGGACCGCGGTGGCCGAGGCCGTATCCAAGGCCAGGTCCACCGTCGGCAACATGCCCAAGAACGCCGGCGACATCGTCGTCGTCGGCCGCTCGCACCCTGAGCTGGGCGACAGCCAGGTCGAGCTTGGCGCGCTCGACCTGAGGAAGACGGTCGGCAGCGTTGCCGAGCAGCTTGTCAACGGCGGCGTAAAGGCTAGCGTGCTTGTCATCAAGGCCGGCGGCGCGGGCCTTCAGTGGTAGTCTATGAGCCGCACGCGCCCTTTCTTCTATCTGTATACATCAACTCGTTCACCCGCATCACATTGCCCTTTTGAGAATTTCTCATCGGCAGGAAGGTCTCCTTTTGCATGATACCACCCCTCGACCCCCTTTGGAGATGGCCCTGGCATACCGGGGCCTGGTACCCCCGGATTTAGAATGGTCCTCGTTGATATAGCAGGCGGAGCGGATATTTTGGGCCGTCTCATGTCGTGATACAGATAACGGGCAGAATGAAACCTAAATAGCAGCCGCATATTTTATACCTGGTCCATTTGAGAATGCCTTTGACGGGCATCGGATAGTAAATGTCAGCTATACATCATGGGCCATTGATCCCTTGGGTCCAATCATCCTCGTCCTTCATTCGATATACAACCCACCACTCGCATTCAAGTGCAACCCGTTGATCCAGCTCGCCCGTGGCTCGCACAAGAAGCCAACTCCGAAGGCGATCTCCTCGGGCAGTGCCATGCGGTGGCCCACAGGGGTCTGGGCCATGACGGGGGCCATCTCCTTCATGAACTCGTCGCCGGCGGCGGCGAACCCGGGCGTCATGGTGGGGCCGGGCGACACGGCGTTCACGGTGCAGCCGTACCGGGGCGGGAGCTCCTTGGCCCAGACCTTGGTCATGCTGTCGACCATGCCCTTGGTGCCGCCGTAGATGGTCTGCGGCGGGGGCGCCGCGCGGGACGAGATGGATACGATGTTGACGATGCGGCCGCCGTCGGTCTGGGGCCGGTCCTGGGTCGACGGCGACGGGGCAGGCAGGTGCGGCAGGATGCCCTGGACGAGGAGGAAGACGGCCCTTGCGTTCAGGCCGACCAGCTTGTTCCAGTCGTCGAGTCTGCTGGGCCAAGGGCTTGTTGACAGCCAGTCCGGCATTGTTCACGAGGATGTGGATGGTCTTGTACCTCGCCACGGCGGCGTCTATGAGCCTCTGGGGGCCGTCCTCTGTCGACAGGTCTGCCTCGACGGCTATTGAGGTCGACGCTGTGGGCAGGCCCGAGGCCACCCCCTGGGTCTCCTCGGCGAGGGCGGGGAAGGGGTAATTGATGACCACGCTTGCGCCTCGGGACGACAGCTCCTGGGCGATGGCAACGCCTATTCCTGCGTTGGAGCCCGTCACGATGGCAACCTTGCCCGCAAGCGTCTGGCCAGGCATGACGGGGTATTGACGTGCCTGGTGACAACAGTACGTGGCGTTCTGCTTGTTATCCTTACTTGCAAGCACCGAGATGTTGGAAATTGGACTCCAGGAAATGTGTTTGTAGTAGTAAATATTACCGTGCCGCGCTGCCTGGTGAATTGGTACTGTTTGTCCCTCGATGCCAGCAAGGAGAGCGGCAGCATGCTGCATTGTTATTAGTCTGAGCACTTATCGTCAACTACCGCAGTGAACCTGAGTCCCGATGTGGGGGGTGGGGAGACGTGCTATCCGCCCGCGGATCCGGTGCCCAGGACCACATCGGCGGTCTCATCCCGGTCATGGTCGCGTCCGCAGCTGAACATCAGTCGAGTCTCAACCACTTCCCAGGCAGTAATCGATTCGCCGTGACCACTGTCCTATTGCACAGCCAGCGGAGCATACTCACCGGGTATGATTCTCCGGCTTTGCTCGTTGGTCGCGTAGGATTGAGCACGCTGGAGCAGCCTTTGGAGTCCGTATTTGGTAGGCTTCTGTGGCAAGGCCGTGTGTATCTTGCGGTGTTGGCTGATGTCGTAGACTTGTCGGTCCGAAGAAAGACTCATCCCTTTCTCAGCTTCGCCAAAGCCGCAGCAACGCCACCTGCGAGCTCATCGTCCCCTTTGCTCCTTGACGGGGCCCGCTCTGATGTAGATGGCCCGGCTCCTGCACCAGCCCGCGCCCTGGCTTCTAGCTCAGCCGTCTGCCTTGATTCCGCGATCACAGCAGCAAGCTCTGCGTCCTCGTCCTCGTCATCTTCGCCGGCAATTTGAAACTGCCTCGCTCTTTTCGCCTGCTGTTGGCCCTGCTCACTGGCACTTGTTTCACCGTGGCTTCTCGAAGCCGCCAACTCGGCCACCTCCCTTTGGGGCACCCTACCTAAGGGCCTGGCCACGTCCAGGTTCCTCCTCCTCTGGACCTCGGCCTCTGTGCTTTCCTCGGTCTCCAGCCTCCTCCTGGCGGACTTCTTCACCCTGAAGGGCTCCTCGACGGCCTTTGTCCACGCCTTGACCTTCTTTTCTCCCCAGCCGCCAATGACACCGATGGTCTCTGGGTCGGCGTTGATGGCGGCCTTGAGGCTGCCAAAGGTACTGACCAGGGCGACGGCGTCGGTCTTGTTGACGGACCTCGGGACAGTGACGAACTCGACGAGCTTGTCCGCGTACGAGGTTGCCTGGGCGGCCTTGATGGCGGCGAAGTTTGCATGCTCGTAGGACTTGTACAGCTCGAGGTAGCGGGCGGCCTCGGCGGCAGACCAGCACAGGACCAGGGTGACGTTGTTGACGAGGCTGGTCTTTGAGAGCTCGCGAAGCGAGTCTTCATGGTTGGGAATGTCGACGATGGCGAGCAAGATGCGAAGGTTGTAGCGGCCCTGGAGGTTTCGGATCCGCGTGTATATATACTCGGGGTGGAGGCGGTGATATTTCAGACTGCAGTGGCGGCAATGGCATGCTTGCGTTAGACTTGGACCCAGACCTGGCGCAGAAGGCAGGCGAGAGCAGTGCAGCACCTTTCAGACGGACAGTGACACACCTCAGGAACAGGGCACATGTTGTCAGGCCCAGCCCGTAGTCGGCGGGGATGTCGCTATACTCCCAAGGGAGGGACTTGAGGCATGCGAGCACGGGATTGCCCTTCTGGCGGGGCGAGACCAGGATAGAAGAGCCGGCGGCGCGCTGAGGGAGGGCCTGCGGGGTGGGCTGCTTGACGCCAGGTGCCGAGGCGGCATTGCTGGGCGGAGGTCTGTCGAGCCTCTGGGGGGTGGGCTGTTGGATCCTCTGTGGGACAGGCTGCCGCGGATTCACGCGACTGGGGCCTGGTGAGTCGGACGCGGCGAGGGCGGCGAGGAAGTCTCGGTCGGCTCCGAAGTCGTCGTCCATTGTGAAGAGAGCAATGTTCAGAGCTCAGCAGCAACAGCATGCATGGCGAGTGCGTGAGAGGGGTAGAGGGGTCCGGTCGGGCGGGAGAGGGAGTGGGGTGAGGGTCAGGAAGAGAATTGAGGATTGAAGATTGAGACGCGATCTGCATCAGCACACAATACACTAGACAAGCACCCCCGTACCTATGACGGAGCCGCTGCACTCACTTGCACGGACTGTGGGGGAAGGAAGCAGGGGTAGGTAGCGAGTACCCACTCTGCCGCATCTACATGTGCTCGGATTTCAGTTATGATTATGGGATGTTATTGTGCTACAGGACAGAATATCAAAGTCTAGGTAGTTAAACAGATAGATCTATATGCCAAGTCAGCCAGCAGCTGCTCAGTCCAGGTCCTCGGCCTGCATGGCCTCGACATCGCTGTCGCTAGGCCCGCTGGTCTCCCTGGCGAGGCCGTCGTGGACCTGGTACAGAGCCCTCAACCACATATCGAAGGCGCCCCCCAGCGCCTCGGTCTCGCCAGCTGGCAGCCCCATCTGTAGCACCTGGTCGCGGAGGGCCTCGTACGCCTCGATCATCACCCACGTCTGTAGCTGCCGCACGTCCGTCGGCGCCCTCAGCGCCTCGTTGCTCACCGCGCACGACAGCTCCCTGGAGAGCAGGTTCGTGGCGATCTGCAGGCTGAGCACCCCCGGCTGCGGCAGAGGCCGTTCTGACCGCCCCAGCCCGACGTTTCTGCTATTGTCGCTGTCTTGGTCGCCATCCTGGCCGCCGCCCTCACGAATCGGTGATAGCGGCTCCGGCCAGAACGACACGGGCTTGAAAAAAATGGTGTCCTCCTCGAACGCCACAAGAGTGCCGTCCGAAGTTGGCGACCCCCTCGGCTCCGGCCCCGTGTCCGGCTCCGGCTGCGCTTCCGGTTCCCGTTCCGGCTCGCCAGTCCCCAGCGTCGATGACGGCGAGGGCGCCGGCAACAGCGGTGACCGCCGGCGCGTGGCCCCACGGATAGCCTCTATGCTGGTCTGCCTCGTGTCCGCGTCGTTGACGTCGGCCCCGTCTCCCGCACTGCCACACCGCAGGTCATCGTGACTGCGGGACTTGAGCAGGGCGCGGTACTGTTCCGCGATGGACTCGGCACCCGGAGCCGTGGCCACGTTGGCCTCCAGCTGCCCAACCCGTAGCACCGGTGTCTTTGCGTACCGCCTCAGGCTCGATGACGCGGACTTTGGTGACGCTGTGGTCCGCTGCGTCTCGAGGGACCGGCGGGGGCTCTTGGCGGGGATGTCGATGGCCAGGTGGGCGAGCTCGGGCACGATGTTGCTGTTGGCGTGGTGCGTAAGCGAGCGGGACCTCGTGTGTTGCAGGTGAGGCGACGACTCCATGGGGCACAGGTAGCCGCTCTTCCGTATGTACTCGAGCCACTTCTGGCTGCTCAGATCGGGGGACGGCGGCATGGACCCGCGCCTGGGCGACTGTGGGCTCCGGATCTGCCCAGGTGCCCTACCCGAATCGGACGAGGCCCGCGGCGAGACATTGTTGTTGGTGGTGGTAGAAGCTGCCGGGCCATGGCGGAGCTTGGTTAGCTTTCGAAGCCTGTTCCTCGGCCTCGGCTTACTGGCGGGCGCGTCGAGGGCTGGCGACATGTGTGACACGAGTGGTGCGGGTCAACTGACACGGCACGCTTCGGACATAAATAAATATCTAAGATGGAAGCTTTAGTTGCAGACACGGCGAGATTTCACATGAGTACAGGTCAGTTGAGGTCAGGGAACCGGGCGGGTCGGAAAAGGACAAAAGGACAGGAGATGACGAGGCGAGGGAGCAAGAACATATGCAGACAGATAGATGCTGATGTTTGGTCTGGTATGCGCGTGCCCACACACACACATGCACACACGCACACACACAGAGAGAGAGAGAGGCTGGCAAGGTGTGTTCAGCAGCAGCAATCAGAGCTGCTGCCATCCGATGAGCACAGCCTGCGAGGATGACGTTGGAAGTTGGGGCAGTCAGGGGCATCCATGGCTGCCAGGCACAGAACAGTCAGATGGGAAACCGAGGTGTGGGTGGCCAGCCCTGCTGCCACTCCCAGGCTTGTCTGCACAAACAGGATTCCCCCAACCTCCAACCCGACTGGCTGCGTCCCGCCCAAGTGCCGGGCAGGGCTTCCTGAAAGCTTAGCTTTCCTCTTCCAAGGTTGCCCTGCCCGCCGTGTCGTCCTGTGCTTGCTGGCAGCTTGGATGGTGACGCAGAAACAACCCAAATCGAGTTTACCGCGCAGACCACTTGCGCGCCGCCGCCCGATTGACTTTGACCGGTTCGTCCAGCTAGACAACGGACAGGGCCAGCCAACCTCGACCCTCGAGCGGGAACACGGCGTGATGCAGGCCAGCGGCATATCTGGTTACTTGCCATCGGCAAAAGACCCATCGTAGCCCGGCCAAGGGATCGCCCTCTTCGTTCAACGCCCAACAGCCAGGCGGCGGGAACAAGCCCGGTCGGCGCAACACAGAAACAATACACCCGTATGTGTACATCAAGTACATTTATTCCAGCAGATCTACCTAGGTAGCCGTTTGCCACACTCTGATCGAGCATGGAGGTGCCCGCTGGGGGCTAAGGTGACAAACCCTGCGCGTCCCTTGTCTCCCGTACGGCTGCCAAGTTCTGCCTCTTCCTAGTCCTCGTCCTCGAGCTTGAGCTCAAGCTTCAGGTTGATTGCTAAGTGATATGGCAATTGATGCAGGCACATCTTCTCCCGTGTGGGTGTGTCACCCCGAGATTTGGGGAACGGGCACTTGCATCATTTCAAACAGCATGCCCGATCTCGTCCTCGACTCACCAGGTCTTGGGCGGAAGTGGATATGCAGGTACATGCGTATCTAACACGTGTATTATGCTAGTACACATGTGTACTCAAACATGCAACAACATACACAAGACTTACCTAGCAAAAAGTTCAGGATAGGGTGACGACGCACAAAGAGTCGAAAGCAAGAGAAGGACTCGAATTAGAACCGTGCCCACGAGACCGCTGGTGGGCAATTCTAAAACCTCAACTCCAAAAGAGCAACCTGAGACCTCTTCTTTTTCTTGACCTCTATGATGGGTTCGCAATGCTCAGAAATCCCCTTTTGCAGCCCCAAAGGCACCAACCATGTCGTCAAATTCATCCATCACCCAGTTTTATGCTGATCATGACTTCCGTCACCAGAGGCTGCTCTTCCCTTCCCCTCCCACCTCTCACCAACCACTGCCATCTCCATGGAATCGAATAAATAAGAAGGAAGAAGAGGAAAAGCTTGGTCATGCGAAACATGTCTCGAGGTGAAATTCGGAACAGCCTGTGAGAGTGATCAAGATGGCAAACCATGTGCCGCATATCCGACGCCGGGCCATAATTCAAATGCACATGTTCGGCACCCCGGGTCTCATGATTGCCCAGCAGCGCGGGCGTGGACCGAAAAGGAAAAATAGAGGGGAGTGGATCACTTGGGAATTCACCGATTACATGGTATCCATACAGAAAAAGGGTTCCTTTGCGTGGGAAGGGGAGAAAAAAGGGGGTATAAAAGTGAAACAGGGGTTCCCGCGTGCTGGTGGCCCGCTTTCCCCCCCAGCGCTGCCGCTTACTTGCTGCTTGCTTGCTTGTTTTGTTCATGAATCGCCGCCGCCGCCGCCATCACGAACAGGTCCCAAAACGGCGGGTTTACATGATGATGGCGGGGACGTCCACGTTGGCCTTGATGGACTTGTGGGGCAGGACGCTGCCTCCGTTGACGTAGATCTCATCGCCGACCGTGACGTCGTCGCCCAGGACGGTCACGTTCTCGAGGCGCGCCCACTTGCCGACGGTGCTGTTCCAGCCCACGATGGTCTTCTTAACCCAAGCATGGTCCTTGACCTTGGACCCCTTCAGGAGGACGCACTGCTGCAGGCGGACGCCGTCCCCGATGACCACGTTGGGCCCGATGGTGACATGTGGTCCTATCTTGCAGTTGTTGCCGATCTTGGCCGAAGGGTCGATCATGACGTTGCCGTGGACGTACGGCTCGGTGTGCGGGGCGAGGAGCTTGGACTTCCTCTTCTCCAGGGACCTCAGGTAGAGCTCGGTGCCGGCGATGAAGTCCTTGGGCTGGCCGACGTCCATCCAGAAGCCCTCGAGATCGAAAGAGTGCAGCTCGCTGTCCCTGACCATGGCAGGGAAGGTCTCCTGCTCGATGGAGGTGGGGCGCAGGTCGATGCGGTCGAGGACCGAGGTGTTGAGGATGTAGATGCCGGCGTTGATGCGGTTGCCGACGAACTCGACAGGCTTCTCGACGAAGCGCTCGATGCGGGACGGGTGGCCGGGCTGGTGCACAATGACACCATACTTGGAGGGCTCCTCGACCTTTGTGACACAGATGGTGCCCTCGTTGCCGTGCTTCTTGTGGAATTCTATGAGCTCCTTGAACGGGTACTCGCAAGTGACATCCGAGTTGAGGACGAAGAATGGAGAGTCGTCCTTGAGGAGGGTATCGGCAGCCAGCTTCAGGGGGCCGGCAGTGCCCAGGGGCTCTGTCTCGACCGAGAAGGTGATGTTGATTCCGAAGCGCTTGGAGTACTGGGAGGGCAGGAGACGGTCAGAGCAGTTCCAAAGAGAGGGTATGTTGGTGCGGCGCAGACACGCGTTCAAGGAAGGAAGAAGATCGGCTGGTATAACTTGTGGGCAGAGTGGGATTGGGGAGGATATGATATGACAGGAGGGGACAGTTGCCGGGGACTAACCTCTGACAGTGCGTTTTCCATGATCTCTGGGCGGTAGTTGACGGCAAGGACGACATCGGTGACACCAGCCTCAGCAAGGGCCTCTATCTGGTGCTCGATCATGGGCTTGTTGGCAAACTCGACGAGGGGCTTGGGCATTGTCAAGGTCTGGTAACATAACACAGGGTCAGTGACTGCGACATCCAGTTAAGCTGATGCATGGCCCGGATGCCACATGGACCGGGCAGGTAACTGTAGGAAGGAATGGCCGGCCGGGCAGGAGGGTTGTTCGTACAAGAGGTCGGAGGCGGGTGCCAAAGCCGCCGACGAGAATAAGAGCTGTAGCAAGAAGACATGTCAGCTCCCTGGGCCAGAGTCGCGAGTATGTGGCCTGCGCGCCGGGGGGTTGTCTTGGAGTCGCTCACCCTTCATGATTGTGGTTGGAAAGTGGACTGCACGAGGCTGCCTTGAAGGAGCGTTGTGAAGGGATAAAGAGCGACGGGAAGGCTGCTGCTATGCGACGGCGAAGACGGAAGACAACGGCGAGGGTCAGGAGGTTCCTGGAAGAAGGGGCGCGCAAGCTTGCTGGTAGGGACTTGGCGTGATAAGTGAGTGATGGAGACTGGTGGGTGTCACACAGTATGGCAGATCAGATCTGGGGCCAGGAAAAGAGGGAAGGCTGTTGGGTTGGTGTTGAGATATGTGGAAGGGAGGTTGCAGCGTTATGGACGGCAGATGGTGACAGATGTGCCTCGAGTTGTTGCATGTACCAGACGCGCCATACCGTACGGCCAGTACCCATGGCCCGTACCTACGGAGAGTCCCAGGCTGGCCAGGCACGCCAGGTTCCCAGGTTTAGCGCAGAAAAGGGGGCAGAGGAGGGAGGGACAGGGGGTGGGGGTGGGGTAATGAGGATCAATTGACGGGCATGGGCTGGGCGTGAACATGGATTGGGCGATCCGGTGTCTAGTCTGTGAGATTGAGGAGAGGCCTTTCGAGACCGTGAGACTGAGATCGTGGCCTGCATACATTGGTAGGCCTGTTGCGATACGTGTGGGCTGATGCTGCCGCTCACCTCAGCTGCTCGTTCAACCGACTCGTTTGCCAATTAGACAGACCGCCTGGTTCTTGATTTATCTCTGGGTCTTTCTGCACCTGTATGCATAGGTAGGTATGTTGTATTTGCGCCAATGCTGCCACCGTCGACTGCAGTCCAGAACATAGCCCAGGCAGGTAGGTATGTGTATGAGTTGGACACAGTAACATACCAGCACACCTACCTAGGTACGGCCGCACACAGCACCAGCCAGCGTATGCTGTACACGCGTTTGTTTCCACATCTCCTTCCTCATCCTCCCCTCGGTGGGGCGGTGCAGGGCCGGCGCAACCCCCCCCCCCCCCCCCCCCCGGAACAGAAAGAAGCAGCCCGCTTTTGCCCATCATACGGCGCTGACAGGCGTTGTGCCCTGGCTGAGACAACCGCCTGCCTGTGGCATCGAGGACACATGTCCTCTAAGCATGGTGTCTAGTGTGTCTCGTGCCTCGTGTCTCGTATGCAGCTCTCACCTCGACTCTCACTCTCCTTTCTAGTCTACACTAATTCGTGGCATGGCATGGCAGGCAAGGAAACACAAATACGAGGGAGCACACACGCCACCGTCACCCTAGCATCTAGACCAAATCTGTCCTGCAGCGCCACAGGCACACAGGCAAGCAAACGTCACCTGATTTTGGCTGATCTCAACCCACAGCCGACGTCCATTGTCGTCCACCTTCACCACAAACGCTCTGATTACTCCCTGTCTCGACTGCATCTTATAACCTACTGACGCCAATGCCCTAACGTGGCCCCGGCAGAACAAGAACGAGACACGCCAGAATCGACTATCACGTACGCAGCACGCTATTCCCGGTCTTTTCCAGTATCGGAATCAGAATTTTGATATGCATTGAAATCTTGTGTCCCCTAGATATCTCTCCCACCTCCCCCCACCCTTTGTGGTTGTCATTATCATCAGCTCTAGAAGTCTGTAAATCTGGAATAGTCATAAGGTCGTCACGTCGCTTTTGTCTTCTCGAGGTTCACCCTCTCCTGCCACCGACTTCAGCACAACCACCGCGTCAGTCAGTCAGTCAGTCAGTCAGTCAGTCAGTCAGTCAGTCAGTCATCGAGGGCCCCTCCTTGGCCCTCGCTTATCTCGACGCAAGGCACATTTGAGACACTCCTTGCCCTGTGGGGTTCTCTTGTTTTGCTTTTTGTACCTCAATTCGCATCGGCGGTCACCTTGCCCGTTCCCGTCCCAGTTTTGTCTCTGTAAAACCACGGTGCTGTGCTGCCCCTTTTCCATTTTCACAGTCCCTCCCGCCCCTTTCCTCTGCCACTCCTCCGTGGTGATATGGCTGGTCCCCATCATAGCTAGGCTGTGCTCGATCGCACCTTGGGGTTCGTGTCTGACCCGACTCTGTGAGCCCCCAGCTGGGGACCTTGCCAAGCCACCGGCTGTGCCATGTCCTTTATTGTCAAGGAAACGTGACGCAATGGTAGCCAAGTCGCTTCTCAGGTGGTGAAATCAGAAATGCCGCGATGGTTGGTTTCGAATGTTCGAATTTTCATCTCTTTAGGTCGTAAAATCATCATGTCGTTAATAGCCAGGGGCTGATGCAGGGTTTTGTCATGTCTCTCTTCACCCAAGATATCTTGGTCGTTATGAGGCAGGTCATGTAAAAGAGGGAAAGGAGGAGAGAATAAGAAAGTAAGAAATAGCAGTCCATGATCTTCTCGGGTGCGCCCCGATGTAGTAGGGCGCAGTTGCTGTGAAGCCTTCGTCATGTTTTATATCGACAGGGTCGTGGTTCATCCTCATCTTTCTCTCGCTCGTCGTTTCGGGTCGCGCCTGGTCGTACCTGGCCATCCAAATCACGGTTCATCAGGGCTTGGGTTATCGGGGGGGAAACAACGCGTCAGTCGGCCTCGGAGCAGGGGCGCAGCCCGCCTGGAACAGGCGCTCCGTCTGACAGCTCAGCTACTCGCCGCCATCACCTGCGACACAACGGTCCCTGGCCAAGTCGGCGCCGGGGACTCATCGCTTGTGGCTTGTGCCCCTCGGGCCCTCGGCCCTGCTCACTCGTAGGAAGCAGTGGAGCTGCCGCTCGAGTGCTGGCCAGAGCGGCGGCTGCGGCTGTGGTGGCCGTGCGAATGCGACGAGTGGGAGTGCGAAGACGCCGAGGACGTGTGGCGGCTGCTGCTCTTCCGGTGCTTGCGGTTGGACTCGTCTGCGGGAAGCCCCTGGACGATGCCGTTGCGGGCCAGCATGCCACCATTGACGCTGAAGTTCCTGCAAACCATAAAGGCGCGCATGGCCGCATTTTCGCGCGCCAGCTCATCCGATTCGTAAGCCAGATCGGTCTGGTACTCGCGCCCGTTGACCAGGACCAGGCATGTGTAGCCACCGGGTTCGCGGTAGCACTCGTATGTGGGCTGCTCCCAGCCACGCCGCTGGCAGAGGCCTGTAGACGCGTTTTGTTAGCCAAAGGCCGCCACTGAATACCGCGGCGCCGGTGGTGGGGGAGAGAATGCGGATTGGGCTGTCTTTGGCAGTTCAGACCAACCAACCCCTCCGCCGTCGCCTCCACGCGCTCCCTGCGTCGGCACGACAGTATTGCATGCAGATAGCTGCCCAGGGGCGGGATCCAACGCAGGCGAATGGCGGAAGGCAGTCTGCATGCCGACCCAACCATGCAAAACACCCACCAGGCCAGCCCTACGACGGGAAACGCAGATGAAATGGTGCACGACTTCTGGCATGCGCTGGATCGATAGGCGAACGCAACTGAAGGCTCCGATCCCGAGCTCCGGGTTTGGGGTCTTGTCCGACCCCCTTATGTGGAGCAACAGAAGCGCACGAGAGTAGCAGAAGGGGTGGTGTTGCACAGGTACTTCCTCTGTCTGGTGTTGCAAGGGATCTGAGATAAGATGGATGCATCATGCTTCCCGGGGTCACTTACCCCCCACCCCTGCCACAACCGGGCCGGGCAAGAACGCATGAGATCGTGCTCGTGAAGTGCCAATGGGTGTCTGCAAGGTGCCAATTGAATCCGCCTGTCACTTACTGTCAAGATATTGCATATAAAATCCGCGCATTTTGGGTACTGGGGCCTCAATGGCTGGTGAGGCAGGGCGCAGGTCGTGGATGGATCCCCGAGCCGGCAGGCTAGAGGTGAGAATGTCCAAGAACGTCGTCCGGTGCCCCGGCGAGGTGTTCCAAAGGCAGTGCCGGTGGCGGTGCCAACGGCCCAAGACGAGTTCCTCCTCTGACGGCGGTGGGTGAGCACGAGGGGCTAGGTCTGGATTCCTGGCGATGCAGTCAAGCCCAAGCTAATGGCAGAGTGTAGCTGGGCGGCCGAGAAGTGCCGAGGTGGTGAGTGCGTAGGGCAGCAATGCTGATTGCCGGACGAGGGCGGGGGACAAGCTGTACTGTCTGCCGTGCCCTGGACTCGGGACGTTCTGGATTCCTGGACAGGAAAGGGCGAAATCGATCAAAGGGAGGAGAGAGGATGCGGTGTTGGTGGTGTTCTTGGTGGCGGCGGCGGCGGTGGTGGCAGGGCTACTATGCTGCTACGTATTCCGGCCTTGAGATGCAGGAGAAGATGGGCCAGCAACGGCGAGACATGTGTGCTTTATTGCAGAAATTCTGAATGTGGTGCGGGGCTCCCTCGAGAACCGGTCCAATTCCCACCTGGAAAAGGAATGACGGCGGGAAACAGGCTAGGAAATAGCATGGGGTTTGAGGGCAAGGAAGGGGAAGGGTTCGAAAGATGCAAGTCGAGATGCGGCTCTCAAAGTGTGACCCATCTTGATGTGTTGGCGTGCGCCGTTGCCAGTTGATAGGAAGCGCTGGGAACTAGAGAGCTCCACCAAGACACAAGGGGGTGGCCATCGGATGCAGACAAGGACTAGACACAGAAAGGAAGGGACACGGTGGGTACAAGAGGCACGACACCGGGCCAGCAAAGTGTACAGCACGCACAAGAGCGAGCATGTGGGATGGGAGTCTAGGGTGGTGACGAAGGGGACTGAGGTCGAGAACAGACAACGGCCACGAGCTTGGCGATGGGGGCATCTCTCCAGTGAGCCCAGTCTCTCGGTTAATTCTGTCAAGGTACGTATCCCCCGATGACAGGGAGAGCCGGGCCTCTGGAGGTGACCGCAACTCTCCCCCACGACCGCAACCTTGACCGTGGTCTGACGGCACCTCCTAGGAGGCGTGTAGCGCCGGAGGTATCTGGACCAGCAGAGTCACAAGCGCGGTACGGATATGTCGAGGACCCTTGGGCCTCGCGAGCCCCGGGGAGGGCTCGGGGGCGCATGTCTCTGCTGGGTAGAAGGCCGGTGCGATGCACAAAGAGACTGGCCGAGTGATGTGGCAAATGGCACCGTCCTTGGGTTTGACCAATCTCTGCACCTCATTCGACTGCAAGAGAGATGCAAACCGAGGGGCCGACGACGTGAGAGAAATTTGCAACAGAGAAAAGGACTCGACATGGCCCATCTTCCGGCCTGCCACTTAGATTGGCCGCCATAGGGAATCCGGACCAAGAGCAGGGAAGGGATATGCCTGGTTCCTGGGGCTCGCCGTGGTTCGGTTACGGGACAAGGTACGGATCTGTACATACATGCACACCTCCAGCCTCAGGAATAATACCCCAAGACAGGCGCTTCCCACTCGCGCGACATGCCTCGCGTTCTGGAAGGATTTGTTGTGCCATGCCCATAGCTTGCCATGCGGCGAGACGCTGCGTCTGCGTCTGCGTCTCCGGAAACGGCTCGAGATTAAGCTCCGGCCAGGGGGCGGGAGCTATCACCCCGGGGGGGGGGGTCTCCAGCCCTCTCAATGGAGCAGGTGCTGCAGAATCTATGTACGATCTATCTCGACTGGCGCAGGCGCTTGGCTGCGAACCCCTCGGGCCCTTGGGCCTCTCGCTTTTTTGTTTTTCGCCCTGGGCCTCTGGGAGCTGCTTGCTACACAGTACATGGGGCACATGTTGGGGTCTGCCAGATGCTTCGCATAGAGAGTGATGTGACTGGAAAAGACTGACCGAGACGTCGCAATTGGATGCGGTGTGCCTACCCAACGCATTCATACAAGTGAAACGGGCGCTGGCTATGACAGCTAGTTTGTGAAGGGCCCGCCCCTCTCGGAGGCACTGAACCGTTGAATGAATTGGACCAGAGTCCCGGAAGTAAGAAAGGTAGGAGGACCTTGGATGAGCGGACGGCGGCTGGCAAATTACAAGCCCGGTGGCGGGAGGAGAATCAGCGCTTGTTTGATGATGGGCCCGGGTTGTGGCAGCCAATCTCATGGGTCGGAGGGGCCACAGTAGGGGTCGCCAGAAACGAGGAAGAGCCTTGCTTGCGACAGAAGAATCGTGCTGTGTCTGTACCACAGCCCATGAAGGCCGGACCGTGGACTGCGACAAGGAGGAGAGGGGATGGGGACAGAAGATGAGGGACCCAGTGGGAGAGCGGCAAACAGGCCAGGCCAGGCCGTGCCAGACTGCCGTGGAGGAAGTCGGTGAGGCGAAAAGAAATCAGAGGAAACGGCCGCGAGCTGGCAGACCCTTGCATAGGCCTGCAGCTGCTGGGACCGCGGTGATTGAGCAAGGGCACACGGCTACTGCGCGGTATAACGCAATCGAACGGTCCAGCAGTCCGGGTCCGATTGATTGTAAGCAGTGTGGCGTGAGAGGGGAGGAGTGGCCGAACAGGACAGAACGGGGAGGGTGAGGGAGGCATATCGCTCGAGTCCGCTGGCGGACCGCAGGCATTGGCCATTGGCCACTGGCCATTGACCATTGACGCGACCAAACCATTGACTGACGCCTACCGTAACCGTTGGCATCTGCTGTGATGGTTCGTTCGGTAGAGTCGAGAAATCAAGCGTCGTGGGTCGCGCGCAGCGAAGGCAACGGCGCTCGCTCACTGCACTCGTTTCGGTGGTAGCGCGCCTCGTGCATGTGTGTACCGTGGTGTACATGTACTATAGATGTCGCAGCAGAGCAGAGCAGAGCAGGCCTTAGCAATGCCACTCATGCAGTGATGAGTTGGCAATGCGGCTTTGAAATTAATCGAGATATCAGAATGTAGCGCACAACGGCTCCAAGTACCCCCGGATTCCATGGGGCAAGGGGCCATCGTATCCGTGCGGTACCGTCTGTGCTGCACCACGCAGCCGAGTACCTTGGCAGTACATGGGGTGAGAGGGGCAACTGCACTTCGGAGACCACTGTGTACCCAGCCCCAGCAGCGAGGAGGGGCAGCGGCAGCAGCAGCAGCAGCAGCAGCAGCAGCAGCAGCAGCAAAAACAACAACAGGACGGCAGAAGCAGCCGATGCTCTCCGCCGGTGTGGTTCTGGTGGGTGGTGTGGGGCTGTTTGGAGACGCCCTGTTTTTGAGTGCTAGACCTTCAGCCTTGAGTCTTGAGCCGCGAGTCTTGGAGTGCCGAGTCGAGGGTTGGGAGTCTTGAGTCGGGACCCGGGTTCTGAGAGTCCTGGCACTGACGACAAGTGATTTTTGTGTACTGTGTAGATCTGGATCCGATCGGCCATGGGGAGGGGGCCCTGTGGTCCTGTGGAGCGAGACGCCGCGGCTGTTGACGGGCGTACTTTCAATGATTCGAAAGGAGGGGCGCAGGCTGGAGGCAGAGCAAAACAGAGCTCGAGGTCTGAGGTCAGTCAGGCAGGGCACGGACCCGGGTCGAGGGGTCAATCGCAGAGCCGACTGAGGGCCGGCTGTGCTTGTGATTGGCCAATTGCGCTGAGCTCCCGTTCGCTCGCAGGTACTGTCAGGTCGTGAGCTAGTCTACCTACCCACCTAGGTAAGTACCGACCAATCTGCCTGGGCAAGTATGTAGGTAGGTCCGGGGTCCCGAGCTGACGAAGAAGATGACCACCGGGGCTGGCGGGGACGTGTCGAGTCAAGCGAAAATAGGGCAGAGCAGAGCAGAGAAGTAAATCTATGCCAAATGGGAAAAGGAATGTCGTCCTCTGTCGGCCCAGATGGTGTCGATGCGTGGTGGTCTAACGGATGACCGGGTACATGGTACATTGTTGACCACACAGGAACCTGCTTCCATGTGGCCCAAGCGCCAGCTCGCCCTTCTGTTCTACCACATGGGAATATCTCGACAACATGGTCTGCCAGTCTCGTGTGTTTCAGCACGTTCGATCGCCGGCTGCTTCGATTCCACGTCCTTCCAGATGTATGTGCGGCGGACCCGGGGTTGGCCAGGTCGGTGAGGTCCCGTGCAATGTGACGAGAGCTGCCACCAGCCGTCCGTCACCATGCAACCAACCCGTGACCAACGACACCACAAACTGGACTCGACCTCGTCGGACTCGAGGACGTGGCCAGGCAGACAGCGCCCAGATCCACCACTGACTACTGCCGTTGTTGGCCTGCCAGTTGCATCATCCCTCCTGGTCTCGACGCAGGCTCTCCTCCCTGGTGGCGCGCGAGCCTGCTCCTCGTGCAGCCTGCAGTCCGAGTCCAGTCCTCCACGTCAATCGCGTCCAGCCCACCAACGTCATACTGCATTGCATCAGACTCGACTCGAGCTTGACAAGGCGACTCCGGACGCCTTCTGGGGCGATATGTGTGTCCTCGCACGTGCAAAGCCTATGTGCTGTGTGTGAGTGCGTGTGTGTGTGCCAGTGGCACGATGCCCCGGAAGCTGCCACGAGGTGTCCCACAAAGATCGAAACATCCCTTGCACGGCATCCTGTGCTCCCTATCTTCCCAGTGGTGGACTCCTCTTGCAGTCCGTCTCAGATGCATCTGAGTCAACCACTGCGGTATGCAGCCCTCTCCAGCTCCAGCTCCAACTCCATCCAGTCCAGCCTGGCCTGCCCCTACACCAGCCCCCCCCTCTCCCTCTTAATCTCACAGAGATATCTTCTCCTTCTATCCATGCATACCTCTCATACATGTAGACTACCCAGCACCCGCGCCCACCATCGGGAGCAGCCATTTAGGTGATCATCTGATATCTGACTGCATAGTACGTACATGAACAACACCAGGCGGACACGTCAACTCAAGGGGCCCGTTTTCGAGGCCCAGGAGGGTGTGCCGTGTATCGCCAGAGGCGTCGTTCCCGTCATCTCTTCGGCATCGGTCTCCAGCGCCCCACGATGATCCCAAGCAGTCTCTCTGGGCCCGGTCCCTGCATACTACTCTCCGCTTTCCTGGTTCTTCATCATCCCAGCCAGGTCGTCGGTCAACTGAAATGCAATCTGCAATGCATCGTCAGAAAATCTGCAAGAGGCCCAAAAGGACAGCAGCAGCACTTCGCCTCCTGCTTGGCCTGCCTCTGGCACGGCCTTGATTCGCAAGAGCTCCTCAGACTTCTCTCATCGTGCATCCCCATGGGATCTGTATTTCCCATGTGCCGCGATTCGGAGCTCCCTCAGGCGTCCCTCTTCTGAGTGGCGTTCTAAACCACGCCCGATGCAGCTCTCTGTGTACAGGTCCTGACCCCGGGCCTCGACCCCCGGGCATAGTTCATGCGCATACGTTGTACTGTTGGCGAGGAGGCTGTCCTTTGAAGGCAGGGTTTACGGGATTGGCAGCTACTAGTCTCCCCTCTCTCACCTCGGTCGAACCGAACTTGACCGGGATCCCAGGGAAATCAACTTGATTACATAGCATTGGATCTAGAGACAGGCACATAGGAGACCGTGCCGACCAATCCCATGGTCCTGCGAACCACACGCTGCTGAATATCCAGAACATCACATCCTCAGGTCCCTGACCGCTCTGCCTTGTGTACAGTTCATTGACATGCAACCCGTGCTTCAACCCGATCAATGTTACTCCCGAGGGAGATAGGTTAGACAGGACGGGGGCACATGCTCACTCGCACTGCGTCTGATGTCGTCGTTCACCATCGCCACGTGACATCCGGGCCTACATGCTGTGCCATGGGCAAACGTGGCCGTTGAACTGTGCGATCTGGAGCAGGCTTCAGACGGTTCCTCCGATTCGCCCTACACGAGAACATTATGTGCGTGCGAGTCGCCAGTGTGTGCTGCAGGACAAGGACAGATGAGCGGAGCGCGCGTGCCTTGGCCCGCAGCGGGTGAGAGATTCTAGAACCCTGGCTTCGCGTCGAAGTACCGCTTTATATCCGCGACGCGACCGACCGGAAGTGCGTAGAGCGGGTGCAACGGAACGAGGCGATCCTGCTCGTCAAAGACCTGCGCTTCGTCGAGGTAAGGCGTGACCGACCACGAGGTGTTAAGGTAAGGCTGCCCGCCAGCGCTGAGCATCGTACTGCCCATGTCCCCTGCACCGCACTGGGTGGCGTCAACGCCAGGAACACCCGTTTCGACCAGCTCCGACTTGTGCTGTGCGGAGCTCAGGCCCGCAAGGACGTAGCATGTGTGGTACCCATGAGGTGCTATAAGATCGAGAAGATCGAGTTAGAAAGGTCTTCGACACGTCGCAACAGGAGTTTTGGCAGCAAGGCCGATCCACCACGTACCGGCCGGGCTTGTCTCGCAGGCCACCGCGTTTGCTCTGATCCTGACAGCAGCACATGATGTAGCGAGTTAATCCCTCTCGGCTGTACAAGCCCCTGCTGGTGAGAGGGAGCTTGTGTTTGTGGCCAGGCCGGTCGTCTCCCAGCGGAGGTGCGTAGCCGCCGCCTCCTGCCGCTGTTGCTACTGCCCCTCCTGCGAGAGCGGCCTCGATCAGCGGCCAGCACCCGCCGACCCAGTGGCTGTAGCATCCATCCACAAGCTTGTTAGTGCGACCAGAAAACCCACCCTCGGGGGCATACTGGCGCGAGGACAGCCAAGAGATGAGTCGTGGAACATCAAGGTATCTGAGCAGCACCCGCGGCGAGTGTCAGTCAGCATGCGCAGCTTCTTGTCATCGTTTGACTGGCCGGGCAGAGGAAGGGGGACCGGCGTGACCACCATCCCAAAGCTCCTGCCTGCCTGTTTGGAGGTTGCTTACCTCGGAATGATGCGGTCGGGAGAGTCCAGAATGGCAAGACAGCCTAGCGCGCAAAAGGCATATGCACCATGTGCTTCAGCACCCGGGTGGGCCGATATCCCTCCCTCGAATGTTTGGCCTTGGACCAAGGGGGGTTAGCAAGAATCGCCCGCGGACCAGAGAGAGGGGCAGACGGCGGAGGGACCTTTGTGTACCTACATCTCTGAACGTACTCTGGCAGCTTCGTGAATAGTGTGGGATGATCGGGGGTCCATGCCAGGGACTCGGGGGTCAAATTCGTTGGGAGGTTCAACAGGGAGATCACCACCGCTGCGCAATACGCGCCCCTACGCCCGGGTCTTAGAGATTGGAGCGCGCGACGATAGAGTGGGAACAACAAGGAGGCGGGTGGGCGAAGCCCTTACCTGACGTCCACTTCTCCTCCAACAGCCATCTGAAACCCGCCGTTTGGCTGCTTCAGGGCACAAAGCCATTTCCACATTGCTCGCCTGTCCACGACTTCATAGACGCTGTCCCCTCCCACGAGAGTCAGGGCCAGGACCATGGCGTAGGTGGTCGCCAGGTGTGACATTTGACCGTTGCCGCCGCCAAAGCCGCCCGTGTCGTTCTGCATGGAACGAGCGGTGTCGATCAAGGAGGGCCGATAGGAGGACACGTCCTCGCCCAGCATACTCAGCCCATTCAGAGACCAGAAGAGGAACCAGGGCCGACTGGCATCTGCAGCGACGAAGGGGGCTGGGAAACCACCCATCTGCTTGTGTAGAAACCTGATGTGCCTCTCCCGGTCGAGACGGGGCACGCCGTAGCCATTGCAGCCGTCGTTCTTCTCCCCCGACAGGAACGGTAGGCAGAGGTCCACCGTGTCATCCTGGGACACGGTCGTCGCGGACTGCAGCTCATCCCTCACGGGCGGCGGCGACGTGAAGAGGTCGGGGATCATGGCGGACGTGCGGACGTCTGTTGATGTGTCGACGACTCGGTCGGGTGCGGTGCTCGTGGCCGTCCTGCGCTGGCTGTTTTTGGCCTGCAAGATGGATGCAACAACAGCTCTGCCAGGGAATACGACACGGTTTCGAGTGCCTTGGTTCCTTGTCCTAGCTCTCATTACTTGAGACGACAAGAGAGCACAGAAATCGAGGTGCGAGCCGGTTGGGCGGAGGCGCCACAGGCAGAGCCCGGGGAGGGACCAACGTTCTAGTGCTGGGCCGAGCCTCGCTCACGACTTCGGCTGCCTTGGTATTGTCGCCCTGTGAACAATATCAACCGGCGTCAAAGAGCACACTGCTGCTGCTGCTCCCGGCGACGGCTCGATTGGCTAGGTCACGCAGGCCACGGCTGGTGGTTGGTGCTGGCTTGATGAACGGATGATCGAGTCAAATTCCCGAGCTTCATCGAGGTGATTCGAGTCCCGCTGATCTGACGGCAGACAGGCAGAAACCCTTCCGATCCACGTCCCTGAGGAAGCCGCAACAGCTCATCGCCCACTCGGGCGCCGACTTGCTCATTTCATTTCAACCCAAATTCAATTCGACGCACATGGGAACTATCGTCACCGAACCTGGCAATTGCTACTGGGGTACATGCTCATGGCATACTTGTCAGGTGCATTTTCTCGTCTACAAGTACTTTGATCCTCCACTCCCTCCCGTCAGACTGCTGTCGGCTCTCAAGGTCTGGCACGGCCAACTCGACACCCACAGGCCGCCTGCTGTCCGAACCCGCCGGCCCAACCTTCGAGCATGGCATCGTCATGGGCAGCAGCACGGCCTGACAGCCCGTGCCAATGATCCTCATCGCTCGTCCTAGAAATGGACCGAGCATGGACCTGTACGAGGGGCGAACAGCCCCTGGAATCCGGGGTGCCCGAGAACCAGCACGATCGCAACGCGGCCCGGCACCGGTTGCAGGCAGCCCAACTAGCATCACAGGATCCTCCTCCAGCATAAAATACGAAGACTCAGAGTGGTCTTGTTGTCACGCGCGGAGAACGGGGCCCAGTCATGACAGTGTCAACGTCGATGTGACGACGCTTGGATTGGTGCTCTGGACGAGCGACCGCAGCAGCAGCAGCAGCAACATCAACAACCGAGCCTCTAGAGACGACACGTCGGACGAGAGCCTCTCACTGTGTGCCAGCTGTTGAGGCGCTTCTGGTGACCATCGCAGTGATGCTCATCGCAGTGATGCTATCTTCCCACCCAGGCACACGCCCTGCTGACCTGAGCCTCGACAGACGCATGTGCGACCTTTCTGGCCCTTCAGTAATCATCTTGCTGGGCCCCAGCAAGCCAGAAACAAGCCTGGCAGTTCGCAGATGCCGAGAGGGCTCCTCAATGGACCCGGAAAAAGCCCGAAACGGATCGGCGCAAAGCGGGCACCCTCAGCGCCCGCCTACCGTTGTGCTTAGGTCGAGCCCCGAACGGTTTCCAAGGCGAGAGGCAATGCGTAGGGTAGGCTAGGACCGGCCCCGTTGGTGTCCCTCGGCGAGCACCGAGGTATCATACTGTAGGTGAGCGCCACAGCAGCATGACTAGCAAGGACCGGAATAATGTCTTTCCTGCTTGATATCAAAACTCATTCGCGGTCGACGGCACACGGCCCCGATAGAGCACCAGTCGGTGCCTCAACAATTCTGTTTGCAACTCTATCAGGCGGTGGCCCCGATGCAGGCAAGCAGGCTAGCAGGCAAGGCAGATTCACTGGGCAGCAAGGGCCCTTGCGTCTCTCGCTGCTACTGCCCAAAACTACGTGTGTGCCTCCTAGCCGTTGGCGATGCTGGCAGCCGCCAGTCTGCCATGGGTGCATGAGCATGAGCATCGCGCTGGCTGACCGCCGTTCGGCCTGAAGTCTTGGGGCAATTTTGACTTTTACAAGCCACCGACAGATGTGAAGGGGCCGCCAGCAACAAGTTTCCCACGCCAGGAATTCCCAGTGCCGCCCTGAAATGCGCCTACAATCTGGTCTTGTACCATCTCGACGACGGGAATCTCATGGTCTGCCTTTGTGCTTGTGTGCGTTTGAAGCAGGCGTACCGCACCACCCACAGTAGCCGGAACTCACCATTCGTCAAGCGCTGGGCCGACGTCGAGACCCCAACCAGGCCAGGCACAGGAACAGGCCTCGGGAACGATGAGACGATCTGGATCACCAGATCAATCAAGATCACGCAAGAAGCTGCGACCATGCCATGGCCCATGGGCCAGTGGCGGCCGTGGCCAGCAGGCCCAGCATGGGCGTCACGCCGGACCCGCGCAGGCGCAGACTAGGAAGAGGGGGGAGGCAAAAAATTCTCCCTCACCCCTGAGACTGCACCTGCAGATGCTCATCATGGCCTGCAGAGAGACATGCAGCAGAGAGGGTCCAATGTTCAATGCCTTGGCTGCACGATATCAAAAACAGGCACGCTATCGCAGCCTGCCAGCAGCCGACGTTGTCGTCGAGGCACGAGGCAGCATCAGTTCGGCACCATGATAGTCTCAGCAACAGGGACCAACCTGTCCAGCGAGTCGTCCGGCCCAGCTTGTCCCGCTCCGGCACGTATTTTGTAGTCACCGTGCATGCAACTAGTAGATCGCCCATGGATGGGGAGAGGATGGCCCGCAGGTGCTCAGACCTCGAGACCCTCGCCTTGTTCCTTGTCCCAGACCAATTGATGAGACGTGCGCGGCAAGCGAGGACGGAACACAGTTCTTTGTGGTCTCGAGGGTTGCAATCCCCAAAACTCAATGGCAACTACAGCAGTGTCGTGACCTACACAGTGCCGCTCTGAAATACCATATCCCATCCACCAGGGGTTCCCTGGGAAATCCCAAGTGCGTACGTCTGTGATGTACCCTACCAGGCGTGCCTTGCCAGCCGTGGTACTCACTCCGACTAGCAATGCTCTATTGACAGCAGAGTGTGAGCCCGGTGGCATGGCCCCTTTTTGCGTGCTTTATCACTGCATGCGTGAAGGCGAGCTCCTCGACAGGCCTGCCTAGCAAACAAGCCGTTGGCCTTGTCTTGATCTCCCGCGACGGCGGGGCCCCTTGGCCTCCGCCGACGAGCCCAGTATCTACTATGTACGGATCCGTACCTAGGCAACCAAAGAGCTACCGGTAGGCAGCGGGTAAACGGCGGTCAGTTACAACGATGGCCTCCAGTGCGCAGCGCGAATCAAGAGCCCGGGCCAGCACGGTGTTTCGTCGCCTGCAGACGATCAAGAATGGATCGATCTCCGGGCCCAAGGATTGAGGCTCATCTTGCCAGCAGCCGCAGTCGATTGCAGACGGGGCAACACGACGCGACGATGCCCCTCATGCATCGCCAGCATCGCAACCCCACCGCCCCATGGAGCAGGATGCATCCCAAGACCCTGAGCCTCATCGTCCGATTCAATTGCTCCGTGCCCACCGGGCCCGCGAAGACGGACTGCCGAACCAAGGCAGCTGAGTCGACCTGACAGCCTGATCGGGGCTACGTGACAGGACGGTACGGGCTGTAGGTACGGCGCCTTAGCCTGCAGGCTGGCAGGTAGTGAAGGAGAGCGCGCACCCGGGCAGGCTCCATTGCTGTCGTGGTATCTGGAGGTATAATGCCACAGTAGCGCCTCGGTGCCCCCTCTCGAGCTCCCGGGTGAGAGCCAACGTCAGGGAGGAAAGAGGGGACCCGGAAGCAGGGTCCTCGCTGAACTTAATAAAGGGACGTGGGTCAGGGTTGTTTGGCCGTGGGCCTGCGGCTGGTTTTCTCAGAGCCGTCTGGACGCCAACGCACGGCACGGTGATGCGCACGGGTTTTACCTGATGTGGCCTGGTACCCAGTACGGCAGCGTCGTGGGCGTGGGGAAGAATACTGTAGGATGGCTGACGGGCTGCAGGGGCAGCAGGGCTTGCCGTCGCCGTCCAACGAATAGCTGCCACGCAGCATGCGTGTCCAGGCCTCGGGCCACTCAACAAGCAAGACGAACCGTCATGGTCGCCATGCAGGCCAGCAGGCCGGCAGGCCAATCTGGACCGGGCAATGATACGATGCGATGGAGCGAATGCACTGGCCCTGCCCACCCGAGACTTGCCGTCTGTACCTGGCCCGGCCGTCCCTCTCACTGTGTCGATACTTGCACATCGCTTCCCAGTTTTTGGGCGGGGACTGCTCCAAGAGGGCCTACATACGGTTGTGCTAGCAGTGTACAGTTGTACTTCATACCTAGTACAGTACTGCCCACTGCACCGGACCCAGCCTCGGACCCAGCCTCGGAGCCATGGAAGACCAGATTTGGCAAGGAGATGCTGCCCCGGTTGTCGACCAGGCCCACCTCCCGAAGGGTGGCTTCCTGATGCTTGCCACCAGTATCACAATGCCCATTGTGCCGTGCCGTTCTGCAGGAGCAGGACAACACCATGCTTCACCCCACAGCTCCACCCTCGGACGGAGACCTGCGCAAGGCAAGAACCCGCATGGCCTGTTCTACACTACTCTCTCCAATCTATGGAGCTCTCAGCCAGCAACGAGAATGGGAGCGACGCAAGACGCCCACACTCACCTCACCACTTAAGCAGGATCACTGACGCAATGATGCCGCGATGTGTGTTGGCCGAGCACGGACATGCCTCTGTCCCGTTAGACGAGGGGAGAGGCGTGGGCTGGGCTGTCGGCGGGCGAGTGGCCTACCTGAGCCGTCCGGCCAATGTCCCATTTGTGGTCTTCCATGTTGGAAACATGATCGACTCTGGGCAACCCCAACATCGTCAAATGATCTGCCGGCATCGGCTGGCGCCGCGATCTGAACTCGCCAGTGTCAGACCTCAAATAACCACGGCGCCTTTCCCTCTCGAGGCTCCAAGGTGGTTCTTGTGTCTTGTGCATTCATCCTCATCCTCGCCCGCAGGGTGGCACAGGGTGGCAACAGAATGCGAGACGGCCAGCCTCTGGTTTGGATGTAGGGTGGTTGTGCCGACAGTGTCTCACAGGATCAGCACTATCAACGCGGGTGGGATGGCAGCATTACTAAGATCAGAGACCGTGAACACCAACCCCCTCCCCGCCCAGGAGAAGGGCCTCGTGGGCAGCGTGGCAGATGAGACGTTGACGTCGAATTGCTCTGTGACCTGCTGCATCCATCTACCTACTGTGCTGGTACTATCCTGCTATGTGGTCTGCTGCCTACATAGTACATGTAGGCGATTGTTGTGGACCACGAACACATAGATGGGCTGGGCCAACGCACCCTCTCTTGCAACGTCGGGTCCAAGTCTCCAACAGAGGTCGTCGTCGGGGTTTCAGAAGACCTGATCCGCTGGCTCAGATGACCCGTGGGTGGCATGTGTTGACATGTTCATGCTGCTCAGATCCTGTTTCGGCGGCAGGCAAGACACTTGGGAGTCGGGCCCAGGCTGGGGGTTGTGACGGCCCTGCTCGTCTGCCCGTCTGCCCGTCTGGCCTCGTCGTCCTCGTGAAGAGAGCGACAGATGTGTGCTGTAGGGAAAGAAAGGTCTCGAGGACAGTGCGAAGAGGATGGCCGCGATGTCCCTCTCCGCGCTCCACGGATCCGTACGTGGCTTGGTGCTGTGGGCGTCCCGGCCTCCGATTTTGGGTGGAGCCGGGAACCAGGTCGTGTAAGTCTACTGCGGGTACCAGTCCATACTGCGTGCGTATGGGTGAGGAGCAGGCCGGACTCTGGGCTCTGCAACGGGCACCAATCAGTCCGTCGCTGGGGCCAGCAGACCCCGGCAAAGGTGGCCCCAAGTCCCTTCTGCCCCAGAGAATGCGAGAAGAGACTTTCTCGAAGCTGTGGAGACGGCACCCTGGTCTGATTCATGTCGAGGCTGGGATTGGCCGTGCTACTAGTGCTGCATGCTCACCGCTTCTTCAACGACCAGAGACGAGAGTGATGTGCGGGACTTGAGCGTCCCCATTGCAACAGAGACCAGCGCCAGAACGAACCACAGCAGGCGCAGGCGCAGGCCCAAGACGCAGACACGGCAACACTGCAGCAGGGAGGGGACGCGAGAAAGAGAATCAGTCTTGTTCTGGCCTTCTCGGCTCCATCTTCTGTCCTGGTCTCTCTCTTTTTCTCCTGTCACGTTGTCTTGTCTTGCTCTTTTCCACAACCCTACCAAAAAGACCGAAGACATCGCAGGTTGCGTAGAGCTCGGCATTGTTGTGTGTCTCGACGTCGACAGACAGACAAGAGCGCAGCGCAGCACAGCACAGCACAGCACAGCACAGCACAACCTTGACTTGAGAGACCTCTCCCATTCCCGCCCTCCCCTCCTCGGCTCCTCCCTCCTCTCTCGCAGTCCGCCCGGGGTCTACCGAGTTTCTCCCACCTTAGCCGCTCTGCTTTAATCCCTCCTCCTGCCCAGGTCCAGGTTCCAGGTCCAGGTCCAGGTCCAGGTCCAGGTCAACGGTTGCTCGCGCAGCTCATGACCCTTCTCTGACATCCCTCCGGTCTCTCCTCGAGGCCTTGTTGAAAGAGCGGTGTCCTGACTCCCGCGCTCGCAACACACCACAATACAATACTATCGGGCATCGCAGTCCCTCTCCCCCCAGCCCGTCTGCCCTCCTCCTCCGCCTTCTTGACTCTTGAACTCGGGCAGCCATGACATTTGACTTCAGCGCCGGCCAGGCAGGAGAGGCTGCCTTGCTGGAACAGCTCGGGTACGACCCACGCGAACGATACGCAACCTTCACCACCACCGGGGTCTCGCAGAACTCGATACCGGCCACCACGTCGACCGCCATGGTCCAGCAGCACAGCCGCCAGAGCCCCTCGGGCAACTGGCAGATGCCTCTAGACATGGCCGCCGCCGCCGGCGTGTCTCCCGTCTCAATGCACTCTCCCAACACCCACACAGTCGCCGCCTCGTCTCCGGAAGAGCAACAGGCGCAGTCCCCGCACGGGCAGTCCCCGATAGGCCATCACAGCTCGACGGCGTCAAGTCCCCATCAACAGCAGCTGTCGCCCCAGGCCCCTTACACCACCGCTGCCCTCCCACACGCACCGCCCATGATTGCGGACTGGACCTTCCAGCAGCAGCAGATGCAGGCCCAGCCCCAGCCCCAGCCGCAGGACCTGTCCCACTTCATCCAGGACTCGTCCGCCATGATCAGCTTCAACCCCTTCTTGGCGAACCTGCAGCCCTCGCCCATAGGCTATCTCCCCGCGAACGCGCAAGCTGCCCTGGGTGCCGGCATGCAGCAGGCCGACCCGTCCACATTCCAGATGTCCCCCGTCGAGGAGGGCGCGCAGCAGATGCCGTGGGACATGGGCACCACCAACATGAGCACGGGCATGGCCAACTGGCAGGATTTCGAGGCGGCCATGCACATGCCTGCGGACGGTCTCCCTCGGGTGGGCAGCATGGGCAGCAACTCGCCTACCGGCACTTACCTTGAGGTCTTGTCCCTTGGCTCTGGAAGCGACAACGGATGGGCAATGGTCGATATGTATCACCCTAACTTCGACTCCTTCTCCCAGACCCAACAGGCCCAGAATGTCTTCAACCCCGGACAGACCTTGCACTTGCGCACCAACTCGGACTCGTCCCAGTCAGATGGCACTTCGCTGGAGTTTGGCAGTTACGAGGAGGTGCCTTTCCCCTACTCCCCATTCTCGCCCGGTTCCGACTCGTACGCCGAGAACTCCAACAACCATCGCAACTGCTTCCACGGAGACAGCCACCACCATCATTCACATGACCTTATCAGCCCCGCTGCTGCTGTCACACCTGTCCCCATCAAGACCACGCCTAGCAGTCGATCGAGCCCGTCCAGTGGCTCTGGAGTCGGCTCAACCAGCGCTCAGCCGTCTTCTGTCTCGCCGCCGGCGAGGAGAACCACAGCTCCCAGGAAGAGCCCCATTGCCAAGCCGAGCCAAGCCAAGGCGGTCATTCGGAGGACGTCCAACGGCAAGAAGGACGGCAGCGGCGAGAAGAAGGTCGGCAGGCGTAGGGGACCTCTGTTGCCTGAACAGCGCAAGCAAGCGAGCGAGATACGGAAGCTGCGGGCGTGCCTGCGGTGCAAGTTCCTCAAGAAGACTTGTGACAAGGGAGAGCCCTGCGCTGGGTGCCAGCCTTCTCACGCCCGCCTCTGGCAGGTGCCTTGCACCCGTATTGACATCAAGGACATCGGCTTCTTCATGAAGGACTGGAAGGCCGACTACGAGAGGCACCTTGACCGCGGGGTGTCAGTCTACAACGTCAAGGGCTTTGCACAAAAGGAGACTCTGATGTGGATCACGCACGGCTACGGGTTCTGCCTTCCCGTCATGGTCCGCGAGGTCTTCGTTGCGGACGAGAGCTGCTTCCAGGTCGACTGGGTCGAGTCCCATCTTGAGGACCAGGAGCCGATCGACTTCGAGATAAGGACCGAGAAGCTGGATGTTGGCCGGGATGGCGTGTCCATGGAGGCGCTGTCTGAGTACCTCGACAAACACATTGACCAGTCGTTCGAGACCTTCATCGACGACCACTTTGAGGGTACGCCGTTCATCACCGAAATCCTCAAGACCGCTCACCGCTTCTACATGAAGGAGAGGATGCCGGTCATCCGCAAGGCACTGAAGCTTGTGCTGGCCTACAACCTGACACTGCACATCACCATGGTCGAGCAGCAGGGCTCCGAGGAGCAGCTGGACGGCACCATCGATGACGAGGACTCCAAGTACTTCGGCAAGGTCGTCGCGCCTGTCATGATCAACTTCCAGATCAAGTGTGCCATGGCCGACATGTGGCGGGACCTGCAGAAGGACATCCTGGAAGAGCTCTCGGCGCTTTACTCGAGTGTCTACAGCGGAGACCGTCTCAAGAACTGGCCCACGATATTCATGTTGGCGTCCATACTCCTGGCTGTCTGGGAGGAGATGCAGTTCGACTGCCACTACCGCGTCCCAGACCCCGTCGCCGTCAACAAGTTCTGCAGTGACATGGAGACGATCCCCGTCGGCGTCATTGTTGGTCTCTTCCACGCCATCTCCCAGAAGCTGCCTGCCTTCACCGAGTGGGACACGCGGAGACACGGCCAGCTGCTCAACAACAACCAAGCAGTCTGTGAGGCCATGACTGAAGTCCGACAGCATGTTATGAAGCATGGTAAGTCCACAACCGCCTCCGCCTCCTGTCTAATTCCCTCAACATTCCCCGAATAACTGAAAAGTCGTTCCGACGTGGTCGCTAATGTCATTCACAGAGGCGTATTTGAGAACACGGCCAGATACCAAGTTTGACAGGGATGACTTTGACTCGTTGTCGAACAAGTTTCTGTCGAAGCTGGTCATTCGTTCCAACTAGGCGGTCTCGGTGCTTTTTCCTGTAGAGCCACCACAGCATTCTGCGCAGAAGCTGTGACGGGCGAAAGGTTTTTGGGGGCGGCGAGGCAGTGTTTTTCCCTTGGGTGGTTGTGTGGTTTCATTTTCGTGTTGGGCATTACAAGCGAGGGCGTTTCTGCGATTTACTACTGATTTACTTGATTTTCTGCAACTCCTTCACTCGGCCGGTCACCGCCACAATTGCGACGACATGACGCTCAGCTCACGCGCCGGAAGCACACGCTTACGACCACTTGACGACACGAACGACTTTGTACGACTGAATCTCTGTTCCCCACCATCGGGGGTCGGACCAAAACTTTATGATGAAGAGGGAGGGCTCGTCGGCGCGACCTCAAACGGCATAGATATGTGCACAGCAGCATCGGAAAAAATGGCGTTCGTTATGACAGGCTCGTGCCTCGAACGACATGATGACAATATTATTTACAGTACAGCAAACTTCTCACCCTCGCGGCTTCCTCTGCGCAAACAGGGACGGCAGGGGACGACACGCTCAGCCCAAGGCTGCCTGCCTGTAGCTGGTTCCTCGCGGGACAGCACTTTTTCTGTCCGGCCCATGGTGTCGAATTAAAACGATGTGTAGCTATCTACTAGAGAACAACAAGAGTCTTTCCATAATTGAACCCTGCAGAACTGAACAAGGCCAGCAGCGACCGACGTGGTAGCGCAAGGGCAGGCGAAGAGCACGCCAATCTGTCCCTTTCGTCCGCTCCTCCGTGGGCTGCCGGCTACTGGGCTCTCACCGCCACTGGGCCCGGGCGTGATCGTAGCCCGTTCTGGGTGACTTGCAGCACACCTGCAGGACGGACGGCTCACAGCTCCCCGGGTGGGGTGCGCAAAGCACAGCATGTAGCAGGTGGTGTGTGGGCTTGGAGACACGATTCATGGGTCATTCTGACTACATGATGTAGAACATGATGGCGATGATGGTGCTGCTGCTGTTGTCCCCTTTTTCCAGGCATCATGGACGATGGGGGAGGGGGCGGTTCAAGCTTGCTTCATGCACCGTCATCTTTGTGCAGATTGGTAAGCTTACTTCGCTGCAGTCAGTAAGCTTGTCCAGAATTTCGTTTCCACAACGGGAGGGCACGGTCCAGGGGGTCGCCGTCCTCTACGTCCGTCCTGAGATAAGACCGGACAGGATCTCGGGAGAGCTGGGTTGGAGGACGGCGGTTGCCGACATTGATGAGCACGAAAGGACGCGGTGTATTACCTGCCTCCGTGGTCCTGTCTATCTCCTACAACGTTGTACTCTGATTTCGAGGCTCGTCCTTGTTGAGGCATGCCAGGCAGCATTCTTTGGCGCGTTCCTCCCGGATGAGATCTGGTGGTGGTGAGGATAGTCGGTCAGTGTTCCAAGGTCGTTGGTGTGAGGATGCTCGGGCGGACCCTCTCGCTCTCGGCAGTCAAGCTCGGAAGCAGCGCCGGGACTGATTGCCCCAGACTGTGAAGGACGTGATGAAGTTGAGTTCGGTGCCCCTCAGCCTACGAAGCACTGTCCTGTCAGGACTGGACTACCAAGTAGACGCGCAGGATGGCGTGCAGTGTTGCACAGCACATCACAGCACGCAATGACAGCAGTTGCCTTCCCACTGTGATGAGGCCGCTCACGATGACGAGTGGAGCCAGGGGTGCGTCTCAATCCCGGCCCAGGGGGCGCGCGACGTCGGTCGGGTTTGCCGGGGCTGCCCTGTTACCCCACGCTCATGTTGACGTCCCAACGACCGACGCCGTCCAGCGTGTTTACTCGAACAAGACCTTCGCACGAAAGTGTGGCTGCAGTACGGCACTTGACGCTCAAGGGTGTCTCATAAATCACAAGCCCCCAGGAGGTTGGAGGCAGGAGGGAGGCTGGGTGCCAATGTGGCTGATGAAGCAAGCAACACCGTACCTAGGTACTGAGCGGGCCTCCCATGTGACGGATGGCAGTGACGCAATGCGTGGTCTGTCCCGTTTGCGGTGCACTTGCGCTCTTCAGAGCAGTCAACCGCCTTCAACTTGCAAGCAGCAAAGCAAATAATGCCACCATCTACTGAGACGGCTGAGGAAGCAACTACCACGTTCTAGATCCCCGTGGCTGCCTCTGGTAAGATTCACTTCCTTCGCCTCCAGCCTCCAGCCACCTGCTGCCTTCCCACCATCGCCTGCGGCCCCTGGCCAAGCTTTCGCTGATGAATCACGCGGGCGAAACCGCCGCTGTCGTGCCTGCCCTTTGATTGGCCCTTTCTTCCCTTTGTCTGCCTGCCAGACCCACTAATCTGCTCAGTTTGGCCTGGTCTGTCCTGTATCTGGCCTGTCTTGCCCCCCCACCACTTTAAGGCAAGAGGAACCAGTGACAGGGGCTCCTTCCTCCGCCTTCCACCAACGTCGGTCTGCTCTGCTCGCAACAGCAAAGCACAGGCACAGCACAGCCGTTTGCCCCGCCATCCTATTTAAACCATCCATCCCCAACGCCACCCTACAAGTCGTCCTTCCACCCTTCCTACAACAACATCTCTCGCATCGACCGGCAGCCAACCATCGTCCTTGTCAGCCAAGCTCATCAACATCAACTCAAGATCTATCTCACCCACATCAAGTCATCTCCATTTCATCACCACGGTCACCATGCAGATCTTCGTCAAGACCCTCACTGGCAAGACCATCACCCTCGAGGTCGAGTCCTCCGATACCATCGACAACGTCAAGTCCAAGATCCAGGACAAGGAGGGCATTCCCCCTGACCAGCAGCGCCTGATCTTTGCTGGCAAGCAACTCGAGGACGGTCGCACCCTCTCCGACTACAACATCCAAAAGGAATCCACCCTCCATCTCGTGCTCCGTCTGCGTGGCGGTATGCAGATCTTCGTCAAGACTCTCACCGGCAAGACAATCACCCTTGAGGTTGAGTCTTCGGACACCATCGACAACGTCAAGTCAAAGATTCAGGATAAGGAGGGTATCCCTCCAGACCAGCAGCGCCTGATCTTCGCCGGAAAGCAGCTCGAGGATGGGCGAACTCTCTCTGACTACAACATTCAGAAGGAGTCGACTCTGCACCTTGTTCTCCGCCTCCGTGGTGGCATGCAAATCTTTGTGAAGACCCTCACCGGCAAGACAATCACCCTTGAGGTCGAGTCATCGGACACGATTGACAACGTCAAGTCGAAGATTCAGGACAAGGAGGGTATCCCTCCAGACCAGCAACGTCTCATCTTTGCTGGCAAGCAGTTGGAAGATGGCCGGACTCTATCTGACTACAACATTCAGAAGGAGTCGACACTGCACTTGGTGCTCCGTCTCCGTGGTGGCGAGTAGGCGGATGCGTGGTTTGGAAACGCATGCGGAATATCGAGGCGCAGCGTGATGGTCGGCGGGCGGTGACGGACTCGTGTAACAGAGAGAGGGGCGGCTAGCGCTTCTCGCTTCGTCGTTCAGCGGGGTGGGAGTAGCCCCTACCTCCGCATTGGGACGAAACGGAATACCATACTCCATTTACGTCTCCACCCATAAAAGTTGAGTGCTTGCAGCTTCTTGTGATAAGTATGACGCCTGTGAGCGTGTTGCAACGTGCTTGCTTCAGTTGCGAGATATTCTCGTGTGCGAACCGGGAGAACAGCCCCAAAAGGTAGACCGGTACTCGTTACTGTCTGTTCACATCCACCGGCACTGCCCGACCGAGTCCCGCCCCTACCGTGCCACCTAGAACTCCTCGAGACCACACGCCAGCTAGAAACTTCCAGTCATCGCGTGCTCCATAGTAGACCGCGTTTGGCCAATTTTCTCTTGACAAATGCAGAGCCGTCACAGGATGACTCAACCCCGTGTCGCCTCGCTTTGTTCCTGTCCAACGAAGCAGTCCTTGCCACCCTGAGAACACGAGGCTCTTTCCTTCGAGAAGCGGCACGCCGTCGCGACGATTTCCTCGGCGAGAGGCTCGGTCGTAGCCCGGACGGAGCATGCATTCCTATTCCTACCATCTCAAACTCGAGCTCTACCCAAGCCCCGACCCTTTGTCGACCCACATCACGCTCGGTGACGCACACAGCGGCAGCTCGAGCGGACCCGTCTGGCAACCGGACGTCGGGAGCAGCATCTTCGACATCCTACCAGCCCACCCCGACCGCCGCGGCGATCCTGCGGTCTCCGCTTCCTTGAAGAAGCGCGAGAAGCAGAGGAGCATCGACCAACTCGAACAGTACCTGCCTCCAGAGGACCGCCGCTTCCTCCGCCAGACCCCTGCGAGAGTGATCGACTGCGGCCCTTCGAGACCGATTCCTCCGGCAGCCGGGGAGGAGGACGACGGTGATATCGAGCTTTTGAGCACGGCTACGCGCAAGGAAAGGTCAAGAAGCTCTCCGGCCCCGGGCCATTTTCTTGCCGGGATCGGGCCTCGGTCAGCAGCCAAAGACTGGCGTTTTGGATCTATCAGAATAGAAAGCTTTGACGTGCCCGACGGCTTTCAGGGCGAAGGCTCTGAACAACATCGTCTCACCATGGCAAGCAGTGCTCACCCTTCCCCGGCTGCCTCGCTGGGCCCAAATCTTGGAGGCCCAGGAACGGACACCAAGGGCGAGTTTGTGCCCCTGGCCGGCAAGAAAACAGAGGCTGGGTGGGGGATAGTGCACCTCTACCGCGAGCCCAACGAGCTAGGGGTCGTGAGCACATCGACCGAAAGCCTGAGCGGCGGCGACGGCACGATCCTCTGCATCCCTGCTGTCCCGGGGTACCTCTCAACGGTTGGGTTTCTGAATTTCGTGGGACGCAAGTGGATGGCGCAGGTGGCACACTATCGCATGCTCATGACCAGCGCCCTGGGCACTTACATGGTTTTGATCAAGTGCCGAGATCACGAGTCCGCCGAAGCCTGGAAGAGGGAATTCGATGGCAAGACGTTCGGCCCCATGCGGGTAAGTTTCGTCTCCTCGACTGGGCCTGATCTTGCGCAACATTGCTGACGCTTTTTTTTTTTAATAAAAAAAAAAGGAGGAGGGCATCTGTCACGTCACCTTCATCAAATCTATCACGATCGAGACACCGTCCCAGCCGAAGGCGAGCTCGTCCAAGGGCTCCGCAGTCGGTCAGCTCAGCTCGCTCAAGCCTTTCCCACCGCCAACCCCCGATCTCGTTGAGCTCCCGACGTGCACGGTATGCCTCGAGCGCATGGACGACACCTCGGGACTCATCACTATCCCGTGCCAGCATGTTTTTCACTGTACCTGCCTCCAGTCGTGGACAGGGTCTGGCTGCCCCGTCTGCAGAGCCACGAATGCGGCTCCGCAGTCGTTGGATCCCAGCGACCCGTACTCGCACCCATTCGGTCACGGCATCTCGAACATCTGCGTCACGTGCGACACCACCGACGACTTGTGGATATGCCTGATATGCGGCAACGTCGGTTGTGGCCGATATAAAGGGGGGCATGCTAAGGAACACTGGAAGGAGACGGCGCACTGCTTCAGCCTTGAGCTGGAGACACAGCACGTTTGGGACTACGCGGGCGACATGTGGGTCCACCGGCTGATCCGCGAGAAGGGCGAGGGCAAGGTGGTCGAGTTCCCCAGCACCGACATGGCGGCGCGGGACGGGAACAGGCAGACGGGGCCTGACATGGACGTAGTGCCGCGCGAAAAGCTGGACAACATCGGCATGGAGTACACTAATCTCCTATCTAGCCAGCTGGAGAGCCAGCGTGTTTACTTCGAGGAGATCATCAGCAAGGCGGCGGACAAGGCGGCGAAGGCGTCTGCTGCGGCCGAGGCGGCCGCATCCCGGGCCGCGGAGGCGCTGAGCAGACTCCAACTCGTGGAGGAGGAGCACAATAGGCTGAAGAGCGAGGTCATCCCGCAGCTAGAGCGGGACCTGGAGCGTGAGCGCAAGCGAGGGGACAGGTCGACTGAGCTTGCCAGAAAGCTCGGGCAGTCACTTCAGGAAGAGAAGAAGATCAACGAGGGCCTGCTGGAGAAGGTCCAGCACGTGAACAGGGAGATGGAGGCCTGCAAGGCGCAGAACGAGGAGCTGGGCAGAGAAGTTGCAGAGCAGAAGGACATGAACCACGACTTGACGCTGTTTATCTCGGGGCAGGAGAAGCTCAGGGAGATGGAGCAGGAGGGCAAGATAACGCAGGAGGAGCTCGAGGAGGGCGAGGCGAGTGTGCCTGAGAAGAAGGGGCGCGGCAAGGGGAAGAGCAAAGGAAAGGGGAAGGCAAAGCAGTGAGGCTCGTGGTGGCCTCTGAAGGGAGGGGGGAGAAGACGTGAGTGGTCAATTCATGGCGATACGGGTCAGCGTTTTCAGGCAGGTTTGCTTGAGCAGTCCCAGTACATAGATTCGAGATGCGACGCAGCGAAGACGCCGCCCCAGGGACAAGCGGTCACACTTCCAGGCCTCGTGCTGAGTTCAAATCATGCGGATGTAGTCGAGTCTCTCTCCTCGACAGGCTCACCACCGCTCGCCCGCCCTGTGCGCTCAAACTTGTTGAGAGCAGATGGATAGACACACACGGATCTGCTGTTGGAGAGCACGTCGTCCTTGATTTAGGAAGTCTTGTGGGCCAAGCCCACCATGAAGACTACAGAACGGTGGCAATACTATCTAGCTGGGCGTGCGATGCGCAAGGGGTGCAACACACATTGAAAGCTATGCAGCGCGGCAAGGGGGAGATGGGGTAGGGTGCCGATTGTTGGACGCATCGCATGGCGGGCGGCGTCGAATCGTAGCCTGCCATCATCCTGGCAGCGGTTGTAGTTGGGCAGGTGGGTACCCTAGGTGCCCAGGAAGACAGCTCGGTCCCGGAGCTTTTGTTGGGAATAGGCATGGATAGGTAGCTGCCTAGCTGCCTAGGTTCCTAGTATGTGCCAGGACTGAGCTTGGTCGAAGGGAGGTTGCAGAGTCCTGGGTGGGAGGCGACGACGCGGAGAGAAGGGCCCCCCACCTGGACGGACGGAGGGCCTGTCACGTCACTTGGGGCCAGGACCTTGGCCCTGCCAAAGAATCCCGCCCGACCCACACGGCTCGAGTATCATGACGGCGAGCCTCTCCTCACACCACGGTGCTCTACATTTATACAACATATACGCATAGTAGTGCAGACCGTGCCGCAGGCTGTGGACACTCAAAGCCCTGTTCCAGCATCCGACGCCCAACGTCCACCAACATCCAGCATTCCCACCGTGGCCTTGCCCGCATGCTGCCCTATCGACGCTCAGCCCATCCTCGCCTCGCGTCCCTGGTCAGAGCCTGCTCGCATTCCAACCGCAGGTGAGCTCCGTCCTGCTGGGACCGGATCATGGCCGTCAAGCCCACCTGAGGACACTGCACCTCCGACCTCGTATCGTCGCATGCCCTACCGGGCTGCCCGCGCCCACTCCATCGTGAGCCTCGGTCTCGGCCTCGGTCAGTCAGTCCACTGCCGGATTGGTTCAGCACCCCACCACACCACAAAATAAATCTTCCGCCCGGCGCCAGCGTCACATCTCCCTCGTCTCTTCCACCAGAACGCACACCAGCGCCGCTGTTCCGTGTGCCCGCCAGAGCAGCTGCAGACATGTCTTCCGACAATGCCTCGGCGCCAGGCTCGAGTTTGCCCGTGCCGGCCCAGAGCGCGGGCTCTCCGAAGCCTGCCACCGAGCTCTACCCCATGAGCAACAGGAAATATGACACTTTCCTGTGGTTCATGTCCATCTTTGTCGATCTCTTCTTCCGCGAGGTCCATCCCAGGGGCTCCTGGAAGGTCCCCAGGCAGGGCCCTGTCTTGTTTGTTGCCGCGCCCCATGCCAACCAGGTGAGCTGCCCGCTCCTCGCCCCATCCAGCCTCCAACCGACTGGCTGACTGACCTCTGTGCCTAGTTTGTCGACGCCCTGATCCTCCAGCGAACCCTGAAGAAGGAAGCCAAGCGGCGTGTCTCTCTCCTTGTCGCGCAAAAGTCCGTCCACGGCTTCATCGGCTGGGCCTCCCGCCAGACCGGTGCTGTCCCCGTTGGCCGTGCACAGGATGCTGCCATACCTAAGAAAGGCACCGTATACCTCCCCGACCCCATAGGCGACCCGACGCTGGTCCGGGGAATCGGTACGAATTTTGAAAGGGACGCGGAGATCGGCGGCATGATCTTCCTGCCCGCCGGCAAGGGCCAGGCAAGCACGAGCGTCGACATAGCAGAGATTCACGGGCCCGAGGAGATACGCATCAAGAGGCCGTTCAAAACAAAGCTGTCCGTGTTCCAGCTGACAGCGCGCGACGACATCGACGACTCCGGCAACTTCACCAACAAGGAGCTCAAGGGTATCAAGGATGGCTATAATGGCACCCCGTACAAGCTGGCACCTCACATTGACCAGACTAAGGTATACGAGGCAGTGTTTGACCGGCTGCGATCCGGCGGATGCGTAGGCATCTTCCCCGAGGGCGGTAGTCATGACCGCACCGGGCTCCTTCCTCTGAAGGCTGGTGTTGCCATCATGGCGCTTGGGGCCCTTGCGGACTCGCCCGAAGTCAACCTCAAGATAGTACCTGTCGGCATGAACTACTTCCACGCCCACAAGTTCCGGTCGAGGGCGGTAGTCGAGTTCGGCCAGCCCATGGATATCCCCACGGAGCTCGTTGAGATGTACAAGAACGGGCAAAGGCGAGACGCCATCGGCCAGCTCTTGGACACGGTATATCAGGGTCTGACTGCTGTCACCGTGCAGACGCCCGACTACGACACCCTGATGCTCATCCAAGCCGCCCGGCGTCTTTACAAGCCGACCGGCAAGAAGCTACCGCTCCCTTATGTTGTCGAGCTGAACCGGAGGCTAGCAATGGGCTACGAGAAGTACAAGGACGACGAGCGCATCGTCCAGCTGTCGGAGGCGGTCAAGGACTACAATAAGCAGCTCCGGTACCTCAACATGCGCGACCACCAAGTCCAATACGCCAGGATGCCCATACACACTGTCCTGCTGACCACCTTCTACAGGGTGGTCAAGCTCTTGGTACTCCTGGTCGGCACCCTGCCCGGCCTCCTCCTTTTCACGCCCGTCTTTGTGTTGACAAAGTTTATCAGCGTGAAGAAAGCCAGGGAGGCATTGGCGGGCTCCTCTGTCAAGATCCAAGGCCGCGACGTTATGGCGACATGGAAGATAATGACGGCTCTGGGATTTGCCCCGATACTCTACAACACGTACATCTGCATCTTTGTCTGGAGAGTCTACGCAGACCGCCTTTGGGGCTACTGGGACTACGTTCCGAGATGGATTCCCCTGTGGACGGCCTTCCCGATCGGCTGGATGGTGTTCCCGCTGATCACCTTTGCGGCGCTGCGGCTGGGGGAGGTGGGGATGGACATTTTCAAGTCGCTGCGCCCACTCGCCATGTGCCTCAACCCTGCGTCCAGCTACAACATCTACCAGCTGAGGGAGCGGCGCGCGGAGCTGAGTGAGCGGGTGACCGAGGTGATCAACGAGCTGGGGCCCGAGATGTTCCCAGACTTTGACAAGACGCGGATCGTAGCTGACCCATCCAAGGATGGCCGGCCGAGGACGCCGGGCAAGCCGCCAACCGCGAGACGCGACAGTGACATGTCGAGCACAGGGCTCGAGGCGGAGAGCCCGACGCGGCCTCTTACCAGGCGCGACACGACGTCGTCAAGCCGGGGCCTGCCCAAGAACGAGTCCTACAGCAACATCGGCAAGGTGGGCATCTTCTCGACACGACCGCCGTCCCGGTCAAGGAGCAGGAGTAGCAGCTCGGGCGGGGCGTTCGGCTCGACGGGGTTCCCCGTCAGTGCCTTCACCACGCTGGACTCGAAGGAGGGGCTGGACGAGGTCAGCCGGAAGATCCGGCAGGAAATGAAGGAGCGAGGCGAGCTGAGGAGACGAAAGAGCGCGGGCAAGAAGGCGTTCGAGCTGCAGAGTAACGACGGCGAGAGCGATGAGGAGGAGGACGAAGCGGGGGACAAGCAGCAAGCGTGAAGGGCACAGCGAAAGCGAAATAAGGTTAATTGATAGATAATTGGACATGGTAATTCAACGCGTTTCTATTTGCCCTGGTCGCTTGCAAGGAGGCACACTTTGCCCGTCCCAGGTCCGCCCGCTGGTTGGATGTACTATTGTGCAGAAGTTTGTCATGGCCACAGGCACACACACGAGCACAAATTGCCTGTCCGTACGGGCTGTACGTTGAGCATAAGTAGGTATCTCGTATCTCCGTCCAAGCGGCTGGGCAAGCCACGCGGCTGGGCGGAATGCTGTACATTGAAGCGACTGGGCAAACAAAGTTTCTGAGGAGCCTTCAAGCCTTGACACCCTTAATTTCCAAGCCAGTGCTAAAGAACTATTCATCACTGATCTGGCGATTCTCTACTAATTTCATAGCATTTATCGCTTGATCTTCGGTGTGTCCGGTAAAAATTTGTCCATCCTGACAGCGCATAGCAACAAAGGGTAAAGATTTGACGCGTCCGGAGCTCATTTGAGCACCTCAATGATATATTATATAAAAGTATATAATCTTAATAGCTTACTTATTAATGAGCAACTCTTAAAATGTAATATGAACTTTATTAAAGATTAGACATCTCTTAGCTCTAGCTTATTAACAACATGGGCGTCTTCTCAGGCCACAACTCCTAAGACAAGCTATTGCCAAAATGTTAAACAATGCACTTGCTGCTTTAATTGCTAACTCTAAATGCTGTAGTTCTCCTTAAGCTAGGGTTATTAAAACTAGTGTATTGCATTAATTATCATTCTTTAATAAACTTAAGTTTAATAATAATATTATAAAAGAAAAAAAGAAATTTATAAGGCTTAAATTAAAGAATATAAAGGTATATATTACCTTTAATATATTAATAATATATATTATTTAAATTAATATATAAAGCATTAATTTTATTATTTAATTATTGTAATATAGTTTATTAAAAAGTAATATATATTAAAAAATAACGTATTTCTATAACTTTAGCTAACTTTTATTAATTTTAATATTTATTTAATATAAAGAAATTAATAAAAGTTAATATTAATTAATAATATTTATATTTAACTCTTTATTTTTATTTAATTTAATTAATTTAAAGTAATATAAATAATTATAACTTAAATAAAAGTAATTAAATTTTAATAAGGAAATTATTTTTTAATAAAAATTATATTAATGCTTTTTATATTAATTTTTTATTAATTTATTTATATAAATATTTAATATATTAAGAATTAATAATTATAATATTAAAATTTTTTAAAGGAAATAAAATATTCTTAGCTATTTAAGTAATTAAAAATTTTAAAAAATATTATATTAAATCTTTTAAGTTATATAAAGCTATATAAATCTTTAATATTTTTAAAACTATATTTTATTATAAGATAAATTAATAATACTTTTATAAAGAATTATATATTAATAAGTATAAACTTAATTAAATTAAAAAAATAAATATTTATTTAATATATTATTAATTAAAATATATAAAAAACTTTTTTATAACTTTTTAATATAAAAAATATAATTAATTTCTTATTAATATTATATAATATTAAACTTATAAGTAAGTATTAAGCTTAATATTTTAAAAATTTATAATTTAATTTAAAAATTAAATTTAATTATGTTTATAATTATTAAAAAGCTTTTTATAAAAGTTTAAAAAATTATTAAAAAATTAATTTAAATTACTTTATAATATAATAATTAAATATTAAATTATTAATAATAATTTTTATAACTTTAATAAAATTAACCTTATAATAAATATAATTATTATATTAATAATTATTATATATATTAATAAATATTAAAAAGTTAAATTTATTTAACTTAATAATTTTTAAATATATTAATATAAATAAATTATAAATTTTATTATTTATAATTATTTAAAGTATTTAGTATTTTATTAATTAAGTAATAAAGTTAAATTTTTTAAATAATTAAATTATTAAGCTTATTTTTAATAAATAAATAAATAATAAATATAATTATAAATATATTATAAAGAAATAATAATATTAAATATAATAAATATTATAAATAATTAATATTAAAGCATTTATTATGGGTTGGCCTTAAGCGTTTGCTAAAAGGTACTTAAAAGGAGTTATGAATTACAATATTTAAGAAGTAAGTTAAGCCCTGAAAGGGCCCAACTCTGGATCTATCTTTTAAGTGTGTGCCCCATTACGTGAGAGGGTTAGGTGTAGTGTGGGCCCGGCATGGGCATGCATTACGGCTTGGGCAATAGCTTAAGCCCATTATAGCATTAATAAATAAAATTTATATATAATAATATATAATTACTTTTAAATAATTTATAATTAAAGAAAAGTTTTATAATTTATAATTATAACTTTTTTTCTTTTATATAATTAATTTAAATATAATTAAGTTTATTATTAATAAATATATATTTATTATAATTTAAGCTTTACTTATTATAATTAATTAATATGCTTTAGCTTTATAAAAATAAGCGTTAAAAAAATATAAATAAAAAGCGGATTTCTTTTTTTATATTTTAAATATAAATCTTATTTAAGCACTTTATAATAAATAAGCTAAAATAAGCTTATAATATATATTTAAAGTTTTTTTATATTATAAATTTATAATATAATTATATAAAACTTAATATAATAAAATTTAAGAAAAATAATAATAACTTATTAAGCTTTTCTTTATTTTAAGGAATTTTTATCTTAAAAATATTTAATAATTTAATTAATAGAGATAAAAGCTAAGTTTATAATAAATAAAAAATAATTAATATTAAAAAGGCTTAATTATTTTATATATTTAATTAATTAAAAACTTTTTATAATTAATTTTTATTTTATATTAATTTTATAAAAATATTTAAAAAGTAATTAAAAAGCTTTTTAAAAAGATTTACTTTATATTTAAAAACTTTTTTAAATAAAAATATATTAAATTTAGCTTAATTATATTATAATAATATTATAAAGAAGAAATAATAAAATTTTTTACTTAATTTAATTAATTAACTTATATAATAAAAACTTAAAATTAATTAAATAAATATAAAATATTATTAATAATTAATAACTTAACTTTTATAATAAAAGCTTAGCTTAATTATAAAAAGTAATTAAATATATTTAAGATTTTTTACTTTACTTTATAATAATATAAAAAAATATTTTTAATATTATAATAAAAAAAGATAATACTTAATCTTAAAATAATAAAATAATAAATATTAATATTATAATAATTTTAATAAATAAATTTAAGTATTTTATATATAATTAATTTAATTATTACCTTATATTTAAATAATTATTTTTTATTAACTTACTTTAATTAATATATTAAATTATAAGGCTTAAAAATGCATTAATTATAAAAAATAAGTTAAGCCTTTAATATATTTAAAAAATATTAAAATATAATTAAATAATTAAGTAAAAAGTAATATTTAATTTATAATTAAATTATAATATTTTTTATTTTTTATTATATAGCTATTTTTTAAAGCTTATTATAAAAACTTAAAAAAAAGAATATATTATAATTTAAACTTTGCTTATTATAATTAATTAATAAACTTTAATTTTATAAAAATAAGCTTTAATATAAGTATAAATAAAAAGTAAATTTCTTTTTTTATACTTTAAATATAAACCTTATTTAAGCATTTTATAATAAATAATTTAAGGTAAGCTTATAATAAATATTAAAATAAAAATAATAATTTAATTTAATACTTTATAAATAACTTTATTTTTTAAAATATAATAATATTTAAAAAGTTAATAATTATTTATAATTTTAAGAAATACTTTTAAAAAAAAGAAAATTAATATTAAAAAAAAGTATTAATAAATAATTTTTATAATAAAAAAAGGAATTATATAAAATAATTAATATATATAAATTCTTTAAATTTTATATTTAATAATTATAATTTTAAAAATTAAAAATAATAAAGATTTAAAAAATACTTATTATTTAAAAAATTTAAAATATTTTAATTATTAATATAATTTTATTATTTATAGCTTTTTTTCTTTTTTTTAAAGTTTAATATAATTAATTTCTTTATTAAAAGTAATAAAGGATTTTAAAAGCTTAAATTTTTTAATTCTTAATTATTTATAAAATTAAAATAAATCTTTATTTAATTAACTTTCTTATAATAAATATTATAATTATTATTTTATAAAAAAAAAAACTCTTAATTAATTAAATATAAAGGTTTTTTTAAAATATTAAGAAATATTATTTTAATAAAAGTTTAAGTTTATTAAAATGCTTAAAAACTTTATAATTTAAAAAAAGTTAAAATTTTTAAAATAATAATAAAGTTTTTAAGAAAAATAAATATTATATAATAAATAAATATAACTTTTAATATTTATAATAAATTTAATATTATAAAAACTTTTAATTTATTATTATAAAATAATATAAAAATATATTAAAAAAAGAATAAATAATAAAGCTTATATAAACTTTTTATTATTAATAATTAAAATTATATAATAAATTTTTTTAATAACTTAATAATTTTTTAATTTATAATAATATAATTATATTATTATAATAAAATAAAAAATATTATAATTTAAACTTTATAATTAAATAATAATTTATAATATATTATATACTTTAAGTTAAATTTTTTAAATATATATTTAAATTCTTTAAAATAAAATAATAAAAATAACTTTTAAAAATAAAAAATAGCTAAAAACTTTTATTAAAGTGCTTTTAATATAAATATTTATTATTTAAATATTTCTTAATTAAATATTAATTATATAATATAAGAAAAATAATTATAAGTTTATATTAAAGTTTTAATAAAATAATATAATTAATATATTTAAAAATTTATTTAAAAAATTTAATTGTAAAAAAATATTAAACTTAAATAAATATAATATTTTTAAGTTTATACTTTATAATAAATAAATATATAATAATATATAAAATAAAAGGTAAA